TGAATCAAGAAAATTGTGAAAATAGTGATTATGTTAGTAGTGACAAAATAGAAATATATAAATGCCAATGGAAACACGAGTATTGTCTTATTAAAGTATGAAGAATATGATTACCTATTGTAGTCCCATTAGGACTTAGCGTCATGTGTAGAGGGCGTGCTAAGTGCTGTTGAAGTTTTGCAAGGGGTTCGAATTGAAATCTTGACATCCTCCACAGCACAATGTCGTTGTTTTCTGGTGTTACTGAACCGTGACTGGAAGCAAGTTCTTGGTACTCTTGTGACCACAATAACCCACACACCTAAAAAGATTTCAAAAACTTTTATAATAAATCTTACAATACAGTTTTATGTATCTGTCGTCATAGTTTTGATGATTTCTGTCGGTACTTCCGTATCATAGTGCAAGATTCTATGACATCTGCAAACGACTTTTTTCCAAACCTGAGATTTGGTTGACATTTTCGCTATCAGTTCCCCCGTGTGAATCTGCCACAGTTTGATGTACCCATCTTGTGCTCCCCCTCCCGTTGCTATGATACTGCTTCGCCATGGACACCATGCCAGCGCCTGCGCATTTCGTAAAATAATTTTATCTAAAAATGTTCCGAGTTTAATTGAATTTTTGGTCTTGAAACAACTTTGCCAATCTTGTTGAAAAATTTAATAAACCTTAGCGCATCCACTGTGTGCTTTAATCGTCCTGAAGCAATGCTGCGCGCGCAGATCCCACAACCGCACAATACCCCCGTTACCACCCGTCACCATTTCGTGAGAATTACTGGACAGTGCCATACCACAAATGTCTAACCCCCGTCCAATTAGTCTACCAGCTAAAACAGGACATCTTAGATCGTACTGGCAAACTCTCCCTTTGCGATCTCCCCTGAAAGAAAAAATCTTAGTTGTAGAGTGCTTATTTTTAACCCCCCTTTCTCAAATGAATTTCCATACTTCAATTAATAATACTTGCGTGTAGATTTCGTTGTTTCTCCATTTTATCACACTTATTGTAGTCTTCTCATCTACGTTCAAATCGTGTATTATTTTTTCCATTTCAGGATCGAAGACCTTACAGAAGGATTTAAAATGATTTAATCAAACATAAACTCGAATAAGTTACAAATAACATATATTCAAAAAAATCAAAAGAGACGTTTTCTTTTTAATTTGAGTGATTGTCTATATGGGATGTGATATGAAAAAATGTTTTCAATTTTTTTTTAAACGTTTGTTTTTGTAATTCGCTAGAAATATATACTGTGATTATTTAACATCTTTTGAGAGTTTTAAAACTGTTTGCAAGATTGTCCTCCTCCCCAAGACGTTGCAATGTCATGTGTACCTTCAGATGACCCTGGTTGTCTCCAGTTGCCACCAGGTAGCCCTCGTTGTTCCAGCAGACAGCAGACACATAATTAGAGGAGGTTTCATCCTCCGGGACGATGTTAACTTTCTTGCAAACCTTTGAATCGACATCCCAGATGTATGTTGTTTGTTCTAAGGCAACTACAATCTTGTTGGAACGTCCCCAGTCAAGGACATTTGTGTCTGAAGTGACAAATTTTAATAGAGTGACTAGACCAAATCCTTCAAATTGTCTGGAATTCAACTACATTTGCATGAAAAGAAAGAATATAAACTGCCAAGAGACAGGAGATTCATTGTTCATATGGCTTTGCAACAGATCTGAGAGATTTCCTAAATTCCTACTTACAGAAATCATTTCGAATTTTTGGCATATCCAGTATATTTTTGGGTGATGTGACCACCTTTCTTCTCATCTTCCTGGAGCATATTTTGGGGCAACCTGTGGGTGACACAGAAGATCCTGAAGATACATGCATTGTATACAATTGTCATTTCAGATCCTACTTTACCACTGGCAGCATGCAAAAATCAAAGCCTTATTGTCTAGAAAAAAAATTAACTTACTCTGTGAATCCGGACTTTGACATGGTGCTATGGGCAATACTCGTTTTTGACCCGGAGAATCGAGAATTTCATCGAGAACATCACTGTAAAGCAGCTGATGGTCGTTGCCCCAAAGTGAGTGGTTCTTGGTTTCGCTGGGTGGACTCATCACCCGGGCGTGGGCCACATCCACATCTAGGTGGGGTCGATATGGGATAAAACGGTCATGGGTGTAAATACCGGGAGAACACAGCTCAGTGGCGGCCATTACGTAGCATATTCCTCTTATTAATTCAAAATCACTCATGTGTAACGTTTTGTCTTTTTCGAGCATATTCTAAAAAGAAGCTAAATCGTCAAAAAATGGAAATCGATGTATTTATTTACCCACAGAAAACTAATTTCAATTGTAGAAGGGAAAAAGAGTCAAAATAATATCAGTAAATTCATCGGATTTTAATTATAATAAGAACATTTTATGAAGTTTCCGATGCATTGTGGCTATCCGGAATATCATACGAAGTCTCTGTTCAAATAAAATTATTTGGCGTTACGCATCATCGACATTCTGTCAAGAGTACCCAAACTACTTTGTGACCTAACAGACTGGCCATGGGGTATCATGAAATACCACCGAGTACCAGAGGAGTCAAGCGCCCCATCCCCCCATTTTTTCCAAACATTATTTTAATTGTTGAAAATGTTTATTAAAAGGCTGGTTCCCCCTCTAAACACAATGGCATTTCTTTGTTGCAGCAAAGAGGAGTCAGAGTAATGTGGTTAAGTGTGCATGGAATTTGGTTATAAAAAACAATGAATTCTAACCCGACCCTACCCCTCGAATTTGCCCTATTTCCTTTTTAGCTCACCTGAGCGAGGATCAAATGATAATTAGAAATACATGTACTTAAAAAAAATCTTTGAAAGCCTCCTGACACAGTGTGGATTCAAGTTTGTCCAAATCATGTTCTCAGGGGTAAAGTGGGGCCACTATAAGTGAAATTTTCCATGGCTATATATAGGAAAAATCTTTAAAAATGTTCTCAAGAAAGGCAAAGCCACGAACACTCGTATTCATTGTCAGGTAGTATTATATAGATTAAAGTTGTTCAAATCATGGTGCGCGACAATGGACAGTCAAAGTTTTACTTATTATAAGAATACTTAGGAACAATTTAAAAAAAAATCTTTATCTCAAGAACAACACAACAATGTTCAGTCATATTTATATGAAAGCACCGTCAGGTATGTAGGTTCAGATTTGTTAAAGTCATAACACCCCCCTCGTCTTCGCTACCCCGTGGGTTATCATGGGGGCCACAATGGGCAATCAATGTTTTACACTGGAATAAATAGGAGGAAAGGTTGTTGCTAGGTATTGTAGCTTAAAATTTGTTCACATCATGACCCCAGAGGTTAGAAGAACTAATATATTTTACATGTGGAATAAATAGAAAAAATCTTCTCAAGAAAAACGAGGCCACAATTCATCATATTCATGTGGAAGCATGATCAATTAGTGTAGATTCAAGTTTGTTCAAATCATGACCGGAGCTACAATAGGCAATATTAAAAATTAACATAGGAGTATATGGAAAGAAGAATCTGCTGATGAAGAACACAAATGACCATTAGTTACTCAGGTGAGCGTTTTGGACCATGGGTCTCTCTTTAAGGGGATCTCTAATTAGACCTCCAATAACAAAAAAAATTTTATGTGTACATTACAGAAAAATACTTATTAACCTTAACCAAGAATTATCAAAACTATCAATAAAACAAGTGGCCCATGGGCCATAGTGCTCATCTGAGTAGCTTCTTCACCCGATTTTGACCCATTCTACCCCTAGGAGCAATTTAAGTGGCGTAGCATCGTTTTTGAAAGTGGGGGGGGGGGCAGCCGGAGAAAAAAAATTTTTTTTACTTACCTGAAAAAGTTGACAAGCAAAAAAAAAAAAAAGAAGAAGAAGGGAAAAGTTGAAAGTTGCCGAAAGTCGAAAATCCTATTTCGTGGGGGGGGTGGGGGGGTTAGAGGCTAACTTTTTTTCAATGTCAACTACTTTCAGTACCAATTCTAATACTTCATTTTCGGTACATCACTAAAACTGGGGGGGCCAACCAGGTTTTCAATTAATATTTGCTATAGTATAGATAAGGTTGGGAAAAAAGTGGGGGGGCCAGCCCCCCCCCCCCCCCCTGTTGCTACGCCCCTGAATTACAAGTTTCAGCTTTTCGGACCCAGTGGTTTTTGAGATATTTTTTTAAATAACCCACTCTATTTTTGTCTTTTCTTGATTATCTCCTGTTGTAAGGGGACTTGGCACTTCAAAGTTCTTAATTTAAACTTTTATTCAACCAAGGATACTTTATACCAATATTAATTATATAAAATAGGCCATTTGATGTTTGACAAGCTTTGAATTTGGCTGTGATGTGTCCGTATTTTGAATTATGCATTTTTATACCCCCGCTCCGAAGGAGAGGGGTATACTGTTTTACCCTTGTGTGTCTAGCTGTCTGTGTGTCTGTCCGTAACAAATTTTTGTCGCAGTTTTCTCAGCAACTACTCATCGTAGATGCTTGAAATTTTAACACAATCTTCTCTGGGGCATGCCATACGGTGGGATATAATTTTGTTAAAATCCGATGTCAATTTTCTGTTTGACTGTGCATTTCATACATAACAAATTTTCGTTGCAGTTTTCTCTGCAACTACTCATCGCAGATGCTTGAAATTTTAAACAATCTTCTCTGAGGCATGCCATATGGTGGGATACATTTTTGTTAAAATCTGATGTTAACTTCCTGTTTGTCTGTGCATCTGTCCATTTCATATATGACATATCTTCGTCACAGTTAACTATTCATAGCAGATGCTTGAAATTTTAGTACACTCTTTGTTGAGGCATGCCATATGGTTGGATTAATTTTTATATCGATCTGATGTCAACTTCATATTTTTCTGTGCATCTGCCTGTAACTGAACTTGTGTATATTAACATGAAATAAAAGTGCTTATTTACATCAGAGCCGGGGTATCACTAGTGAGCATTGGCTCACAGATTTCTTGTTCTTTTGGAATTGCTTCTGCTGGAATTGATTTTTAGGCAATACGTTTAGACCTAAAGAATGGCCTATTTTGGGTGTTTGCTTTTTATCCATCTGTAAATGCATTCCCTGATTTCCAGTATAGGAAAAAAAGAAACAAGAAAATGATGTTGTAGATGTGTTTATTCATAGAAGTTAACAACACCAGGCAGATCACATTCTCATCAGAAGTTCCTGTAAAACAAACACAGATTCATCATTATTGTATGTTACTCTTTAGGAATGAAGTTTCATAGAGGGATTAATTTTTTTTGGCAGTAAAATATCAAATGATTATCTGTTTTCTATAAAGAATTTTCACAGAAAATATATTATATACATAAGTTGCCATAATATTTTCTTACTGGGCTATGAGGTGATCTCTCTTTGCCAATCGGATTAGGGAATCATCAGATTCTCCCTGAAAGATAAAAGAATTCATTATAAAGGGAGAAATGTCCAACCTAAATGACTCCAAAAAACGTAAATAAGAGTACTTCAATGTTGATTATCACGACTTCATTATCAAATATTTAATTCACATTGTATTCACAATAAAACTTATTACAGCCATTGACAATAATAATAATGGCATTATAGTCTTTTCATCTAGCATCAACAACAGTGATACTGACAAACATGAAAGGACTAACATATGCAATATGCAGTAAACAACTCTTTGTCGAGATAACGTATGGAAAATGACAAAAAATAGTCAAATTCTGATGGTGAAACTGTCTATAAATATTTACATTCAATACTATATTGAACAATCTGGTACAAATGATGTTAAGAGTAATGTTTTAATCAACATTTCACCATATTCTGTTACACTTACCATTCTTCTAATGTTTCCACAGATGGCGTAAGTTGTGTTAGATCCAGTCATGCGGCCAGTGCTAGGATCCACCTGAAATTTTAATAATCACATATATATCAAAGCATCATAGGGACATTTTAGCACTGTTTGATTCTGATAAGTACCTCAGGTATACTAGTACAGTCAGGTTTATTATTAAACTACATGCACTTTAACTTACATCAGCAATATTGATCTGAATTGATGCATGGTCCTTTGCTGCTATGATTCTGTTGCTTGCAGAGCTGTAATGTAAGATGATTGTTACTTAAGTTTTTACTTTAGAAAGAAAATAAACACAGCTAACATAATTATTTAAAACAAAATCATGCCATATTTGAAACATAAACATTGCTTCTATTTTATCATCTGTTGAGACAATTGAGATACAATGAAATCATTCAACTCAAGCTGATAAAGGAACCCATCATTAACCCTTATAGTTATAAAGGTAAGGCTACATAAATCATAAAGAATAGGTGGACTTAAAGCCCTATTTTGGATCTTTCTGCAACTACTCTAACAAGTTGAAAATAAAGTGAATCCAAAGTATATTACAAGCAATAGCAAGAGCAACGTCTACATAGTTATTTTAGCTAGAACACATATACAAAAGCAATGCCTTGTTGCCATGAATCAAAATTGAAGCAACGATACATTAGTGTCCTCTTCTGGAATTTGACATGCACCAGAGTGGTTTTTCGGTCACGCTATCAATATTCTTAGGAAGCGGGGCTATCGATCGGTGTCATTGTTGACATTTCTCTCTCTGTGTCTCTCTCTCTAGAAATTCCAATACGTGTTTGGCATATTACAGCGATGTCATTATGATTTCTTTTTAAATGTGAGGACACACAAAATTAACTCAACATTTAATGTGCTATATTCTGAAAACGGCAACCACACATAGTGATATACATTGAGGTCAGGTTGAAGAATACAATGTAACTGTTTCCACCCAGGTGGACATCACGTCATGAATTGTAATATTTACATACATGCCAACTTTTGAAAATTTTCTTGGGGGAGATTTCGCGTAACGACATTTTTCAAAGTTCTAGATTCGTGGCATTTTGTTGTGAAACTAATATTTTATCATTTTTTAAAAATACCTATCTTATTCATTGTGGACACATATTTATCTATAATCTTTACCTCTTAAAGTGTTTTCTTCTCTATCAACTTCAACAAAAACACAATTTGAAATTTTACAAAAATTCATTTTTTAAATCAACAATAATTATTTAATACAGAGATCAACATAACCCATCCCTGCCCTGAGCAATAAGATATATTTACTTTAAATTATTTTATATTAATTTAGAAGGTCAATCGAAGTCGTAACAATGGAAGTGAGAAGTTTGTTTTGAACATGTTTTTTGTTAAATAAGTGTGAGCGCATGTTTGTCGGCTCTTCTCCTTTCAATATGACATTATTTTGTTCAATATACAACTACAGTTTTTGTAAGAACGGCCGACAAACATGCGCTGACTATGTATACACACAATGAAAAATGTGTGACCCTGATTATCTATTGATATTCAAGAAATCTTCAGGCATCATGCCTTCGAGATTTATTTAGTTTACCCCGAAAAGAGCATCTTAAATTCACATCCGTACCATAAATACACAGTTAAGATATCGAGGGTTTATATGATGGGAAAAAAATAACATTTTATGGAACTTAAATTTACAGCATTTTTTCTGGCCACTTAAGTCCACCCATTCTTTGTAAAATATTGGGGACATCCAAATAATATGGAGTAAAGAAAATGACCCACCATTTTCTAGGGATGTACATATCCACAAATTCTCCTTGATCGTTCTGCATAGTGACAGCTTACTACAATGTAAAACAAATAAACTTCAACCTTGGAGCATAAACAATAAATGCACATCTAAAACATTTTTATAACCCCCCCTTTCAACAAGCTTTTTTATTTTGTATTAGACTTATATACAGACAGATATTGACTGAAAATGAATTTAAAATAAAGGCATATGAGATGATGTTTGTATGTATAAATACTTTACTGGGCGTAAAATGATTGTATATGGCGAATTTAGGCAATATGTAATTTTATAAATATAAATACACACGACTGCAATGGCTGTGAGAGAAAAGAGGAAGCACATGGATATGTCATTTACCCAGAATTCATAGAATATAGGGGGTGGTATATAAATCCATACTTTCTATGTAGCTATCTAAATTTCATAAAATCATTTAATATGTTATACATGTTAGCAAAACAAATTAAACATTTTTTTACTATCTAAGATGTTCTTTAATAGTCGAAAAGATTAAAAAGGGTATTTTTATAAGTTTGAAGATTAGATTTTTGATATTTTCCCTCAAATTTTATTTTGTTAACACGTTCATGGTTGTGTCTCTTTGGAATAAAATCCTTGTAATTTATCTCCGTTGATTTAAAAAAAAATCACAAATAATTTAAGCTTTTATAAAAAAAAATCTCTGAGTAGAGTAACATTAACTTAACATGATCTTTCCTTCTTCTTTTGACATAAAGAAATTGTACGATTTATCAAATCTGCAAAGCGTTTCGGCGATGATTTTCATGATCAGTTACACGTTTGTCTGCAGAAGTTGAAGAAGTTTCGATTCCCCCAAAGATGTCGTTAAAGGTTGGTGAAAATCTACCCAACTTCATCATGTACTTGCTTTACAAGAATATTTTATTTTTTTTTCCGAAAACGCGAAATATTTTAAACTGTGCAAATACACATGAAAAAATTAAACAGTTGGAAAGTAACGGAATTCAGCAATGTAGTCTGTTCTGTTTATGACAAGGCACTGAGGCAGTTGAAATTCTTCTTTTTTTTTTTTTTGTTGTTGTTGCTGTTGTTTGTCAGATGAGGCTTTAGAAGAAAAGAACATTTGGATAGCTTTAGAGAATAACCCCAAATCGACCAAAATGATACTTTCATAATTTACTAACTTTGAGATAAAATTCTTATCAGGTATACATACTGTATATGATTATGATATATACTGTAAGTCTGCATATATTTTGATAAGATGAGTGAAAGGTGCCTGAAGGCAAGAAATCATAATTCTGTCATGTTTAAAAAATCATCAGTCTACAGTCTTAACAGCATTGCAATAATCATGATAATGATAACGGAATGCTTTGGTGATTATAGGGTTGATGTGATATGTTAAGCCAACAAGGGTTAAGAACTTAAGAAAATGGAAAACAACTTTGAAAAATTAATAAACTCAAAATATAACATTGTCATTGACATTCATATCACCCACACTGCAATCATTATGGCAGATTAACTTGAGATTTTAATTTTTGAGTACCATCAATTGTAGAAATGAGTTTCTTTTCACATAAAATTTAAGGCAGTTTTTTGAGTTAGAAGACTTTATCAATTTCTGTCACTAATGTTCATTAGACTGTCCTCCTGGCAGCTGATTAGATTTGAACAGACAACATAACACATGACAACGAAGTAAGTTTCAGATAAGACTGCCGCTGCTAATATTGACACAAACAAAGTGCTCTTTTAACATGTTTAATCTTCAGAAGCACATTTACTTAGTACTCTTTATTGTGCCACCACCTGGCTCCAAGACCATAAAACTGAGAAAAGACTTAAATCAAAATTTCAAACCAATATAATAACTTGTGAAATAATATTAATACATGTAATCAGTCAAAATATTCATCAGTGATCATAGAATTAAATTTTTCAAAAATTTGCACTTTTTAAGCAAACAGCTCAAGATACCGTATAAGTAGAAATTTTAGCGAGGATTTAATTTTTGCATTATTAGCGAGGCCGTTGAAATTGCTAAAATTGAATATCGCTAAAAATAAATTGTGTTATTTGTACTAGCTTCTTTAGTGAACATTTTTGAAATAGTTAAAATTACTTCTCGCTAAAAATAAAGTACCAGTTTTTAAGGAGAAATCGCTAAATTTGTGTCTCGCTAAAATTTCCACTTATACGGTCATAAAAATCAATATTTTGACTTATTTTTATTATCAGTTTATTGTCTTGGGGCCTGTTTTACTTGCCTTTTGAAATCTGAATACATGTTTTCTTAAACCTTATGATTTGTGTTTAAAAATGTTTTGAAAAAAATGAATTGTGAAAAAAGTATTGCAATAATTCTGAATATGTATCTTATTCTTATTGTGGAGACAGCATATTATTTCAGCCCTACATGCCATACCTACCTATAAGTTGAATAGTGTAAAAGTTCAAAAAGATCTAATAAATGATTAAATCCCCCCCCCCCATCCACCCCCACCCCCAAAAGAGAGAGAGGGAGAGAAAGAGAGAGAGAAACCAATATCTTAATCTTAAACTATAGATTATCTTTTTATTGTGCCTTAAACTAAGTAGTAAACACATTTGAAGCAATGTATTATATTCTTTCTTTCTTTCTTTTTTTCTTTTTACATATTATCGTTGGCAGCTAACTGTAAAGTTTCACGTTATGTCACAATCTAGTTGACAGCTGCACTCAAGGTAAATTGTACACCCCTCCTAACTGCAAGCTTTACGACTGGAACTTTCTTCTTATCCTTGATTGGTTGCTCGTGCAACAGACTATTTTCATATCAGTGTTGATAATTTGAGTTGACCAATCACGTGAATTGTTTACGCTGGATGCATCTGACGAAAAAAATCGTGAAGTAACATGAAACTTTACAGTTAGCTGCAAACGATAATAACATTGATAATAAATCATACAGAGAAGTATCAATTTCAGATTTTCTGTTGTAAAGATTGCATTTTCATTAAAAAAAAAAATAGTTTTTGTATTTAATTTTATAACAAAATATATTGATCTGGGGTTTAACTTCTCTTTGGTTATTTTGGTTAATAAGTATTTACAATTCACCAGACCAAATGTCAAGTAGATTATACAGAATTTGCCAATTTCATATCCTCTGTAGAAATCAATACCTCCCATATATTGTACTCTATATATGTCATTAACATATAATTTTTTTTTAGAAGGAAACTCCATCAGACCAGCAACTTCATTTGGCTGCTTTACAAGGAAACTTAGAACAACTAAAACGTGTACTAGACACCGGAAAAGTACATGTAGACTGCAAAGACAAGGTAGTTATATCATTTTATGGAGCCAGCTACTCTTTTATATATTGTTTCTGGTAAAATTCATAAAGTTAGGACATCACTCTTGGTTTGTTGGGAGTCCAGAAGATATGTTACTGCAATTTGGAATTTCTGATATTCCATGATACTGAGTTAGTATACAAATACTCTTTCCACTCTTTTTGAATGATATGAAGTTTATTTGCCTTTTATTTCTATCAATGATAATTATAAAATATTCAACTTCACAGCAGCAGCCATGGCTGGTTTGACTATTTTGAATATTTATACATATGCTTACATTCGTATTTAGAAATTCAAGTTGTGGTATTTATATCAGACAAGGAAAATAATTATTTGGCATATGAATTTACTATCTTAAGCACAAGGTATACTTTTATAATTGTGGATTAGTGTTTTTTTCAAAAATGTGTTAAATTTTTGTTTTCAACAGGAAGGGACATCTCCATTAATTTTGGCTGCTGCAAACAATCATCTAGACTGTGTAAAAGAACTTCTGAAACAAGGGGCTGACCCTTCAGCTCGCAGACTTGTGAGTACATGCATACCAAGATAGATTCCAGACAGAGAAACAGAATGTCAGATGTAAAATGAGGAAATTTAATTAATAAATAATTTAAATTTATGCATATCTAGCAAATTAAGCAGACTTCTTCATGTATTCATATAAAACATATTTTTCCTGTAATGTAAATTCATAGACTTGCTAAGAACTGTCTTGTTGGGTATTTAACACAAACACAAATTGAAATATGCTATTATTTGAACACTTTACGATTTCCAAATCTTGTAAGACATACACAACCTACATTATATGAATATATAAAGTAATAATTTTGTTACAGACGGGAACCTGTGCATTGTTCTTTGCTGCTCAAGGAGGATTTCTAGACATTGTACGTGTGTTGTTAGACAGCGGAGCCTCCCTAGATCTAGCCAGCTATGTAAGTTATTGTATTACATGTATACTGTGCAGTATTTGTTTGATGTAAACTTGATTCTTGGGTTTAAAGGTTCACCTAGTATTACATTTGCAAGCATCATAACTCACTCAGTTAGAAATTGAATTTTTGAATTTAATCATTTGGTGTGAGGAACATTTTTGAATTTTGCACAGCTACAATTTTGATCAAAAGAGTGTGTTGTGTTGATTCAGTGTGTGTAATTTACAGGATGGAGGGACACCTTTGTTTGTAGCCTGTCAGTGTAATCATTTGGATGTTGTGGAGGAGTTACTCAGTAGAGGAGCGGATCTCCATGCTCAAATGATTGACGGGGCCACACCTCTCTTTATCACTGCACAAAATGGCCATTTACACCTGTTAAAATACCTGATAACTCGAGGGGCTGATGTCAATGTTAAACGACAGGTATCAAACCTATAGATAATAATCATATTCTATTGTTTTTGAAAAATCATGGCTTTCTGATTTTAAAAAATCACTCATGTGTACAGGGTACACTTAAGCGCTAGTTAAAGTAAACGGCAAAAAATATTTATTAATCATTAATTTTTTTTAAAAATTGAATTAAAATTAAGCTTGAAAAGGAATTAATTAAGACTATAAATTTTATTACAATGCACCAGAGAAATTGAACATGAAATTTAATTATATTTGAATGGAATTCAATAATTTCTCTATTTCTTGTTTGGGTCGTTCAATTTAAAAATACTGCTATGACATTTAATAATGTATGATAATCTGTTTTGTAGGATCAGGCTACACCCTTGTGGATAGCTTCACAAATGGGACACACCTCCATTGTTAAAGAGCTCTTATCCTCTGGTGCTGAAGTAGATGCTGTCAGAGAGGTATATAGAGAGCTGTTTCAAAAAAAAAAAAAAAAACTTCTTTCATTTTTTCTGTGAACTTCTAAAGCAAAACCTCTTACAGGACAAGTAATAAAAGAGATGAATTATGAGATGGAGGACTTTCTTTACATAAATGATGTTTTCTTTATAGGATGGTGCAACCCCCCTTTTCAAGGCATGCCATAAGGGCCATTTAGATGTTGCTGAGCAACTCCTTAAACACAAACCAAACTTGGGTTTACTCAAGGTATGGAAGGTTTTCAGTAAGAATGAGTTGTCACATCATGAGGATATTTAAAGGTCCTCTAATGATATATTAAAGTAAATTAAAATTTGAATATTTTAAAAGTTGACATGAGTTTCATATAGGCTGTTTTTCCTGAAGAGAAACAAGATCACTAAAGAGAAACAAAATTAAAGAATTTGCTACACATGTAAATGCCAATTACTGCAAGTTTTTTGTTTTCTATCCTTGCCTGTATTTTATATTTGATTTCAGAATGGAGAGACACCACTTCATGCTGCAGCCCTGTTTGGGCACATGAAAGTGATGAAATTGCTCATGTCTTATGGTGTGGATACAAGGCTCAAAAACAAGGTATGATAAAGTATGCATGTACTTTGGCATTTATACTTCTTTAAACACAATCATGATATCAGTTGCATTTACTTCTTGAAGCAGCCTCCATGAATAATTACCTGAAGGATTATCTGATCATTATAAGGACATGATTCCTCTGATTACAGGAAGGTAAAACTGCTGCAGAACTTGCCCAAGAAGCAGGATATGACTACATTGCCAAATTTATCAACAGTTTCCAAACCAGTCAGGACAGGAAAAGCCCCACCACCCCACCGCCATCTTGATGTGCCAAGCGATAATCTACAAACCCCACCTAGCAAAGCAAGCTTTCTGTTTGTCTGTGATGATTATAAAGGTCCCATGTCTACCATCAGGTGTTTCATAATTACGCAAATTTATGATGGAATCGAAAATTCTTACGAACTTTTTTTCAATGTTTTTTTGTTAACAATTTTCAAAGAAATGTTTACGCAGCTTCATTCTTTTTTTTTTTTGTTTATCAGAATATCACCATTGTAATTTTTAAAGTTCTATTGATTTTTGTATATGAAACTTTATATTTGCAGTTGTTTTTCTTTTTGGCTGATTTTGATATTAATTACTTTTGTTCTTGTAACATAAGCATATCTTTTATAGATGGTAGCTAGAGCAAATTTGAAAAACTAACCAAGAGATGTGAAGGTTATTTACAGACATTGTCAACACTTGTTATCACATGAAATAATCTTGCCCTTATTTTCTTTAAGGTAGATAGGTCAGTATCATTTCGTAGAATAAAATAATATGGTGCAGGCCACCATATCTAGTTTCCGCTGTGATTTAAGTGTCGTTAAATTGTGTTTGTAGGTGTTGATTGGGTTAATATATGTAAAGTGACTGGCTGTTTTCATGAATTTTTGCCAGTGAGTTTTTGTGTTTTGACCTTCATTCAAAAAAGTAGCAAAATACTTAAAGTAATAATAGGAATGAAGTCACAGAATTCTTGAATATTTTCAAAAAGAATCCTGCTTATGTTTGCAATTTAATTTTGACACAATTTTGCAAAAAATATTTAATGTTTTTCAAAATACTCCTAAATCTCCATGATAATCGTATTTATTTGTACAGTTTATTTTAGTAAGAGTCTGAAAAATATAGTGCAATTCATTTTTCGTGTGCTAGTCATAGTTAGGAGGAAAACTGATATATATTTTTTGTCTTTTTTTTTTATAAAGATTAAGTTTTAAATCGTAGAGGTTGTTATTATTGAACAGTTTTGCCTCTTTTGAGTTACCTCATACCTGAGTCGTATTCTAACTTCTGAGATTGTAGAGACTAAGAAATGAGGGATTTAAATTTTATGTACGAGTTGTCAAAATGATCTAAGTTGGTGCATAATAAAGGGTGATATTCCATTGTTGTGACAGGTTTCTGTGTATATCACCCAGATGTCTTTCCATTATATTACGGCTGCCTTGAATGTTGTATTGGTGCTTCCGTGTTGTGTTGTTGACTTGTCGGCATGTAGATATTTGTTTCAGGCAATTTCAATGTAAAGGTAGTAAATATATTTCACAGAAAGTAGACTTAAAGACAATCAGATTATTGTTTAATCAGAAAGGAGATAAATGTTTACAGAAAAAAAGTTTATACATGTTTTTAAAGGATGTCCTTGTGTGGAATAAATTTCTGCACATCTTTTGGAATAAAATGAAATTAATATCTTTTTATGAAACATTGAGGGCAAGCTTAAATCATTAAGCTATGGAAAATCGATAAGCAAACCAAAGTGGAAAGTCAAGGTAGAGAAATGTGATTTAGGAGGATGACTGTTTATGTACAGGTTGTGAATTGACTCATATCAGAATTGTTTGAATACTCTTAACCTCTCTGGGTAATACCATCATAATTACTGAACTTTTTTGTCATAACATATACAGTGAATAAACCAACAAATTTTTGGCATTATTTTGGCTTTAGTAGTAAGGTGAGTTTCAGAGACAAAATATTGGGTTTTTTCTGTAAATAAGAATTTTCACATTATTGAGATGAGGTTAGAAATCTGTTCAGTTGTTTCAAGTAATTTGTTTTAGATTTAATTGATGATGATTAATAATGAAGAATTTGAAACTGGTTGATTTTCTCAGAAACAGATGTATTATATGAATCTATAACAACTGGTAATATAAATGAGACTTGTGTGACTATAGTTATATCATTACTGTAGAATAAGAAGTGCATGTATTTTCTTTCATATTTATTGTATTTTTTATTTGTAGTGGTATGATATATGATCGTTATTTATGATACATTTATTGAATGACTAGTGTCACAACAGTATTCACTCATACATGTTTATGTTATAATATATTCCCCTCATATACATGTATTTGCAAGATATTTTACTTGTGCAGTACAGTTTTAAGATACATGTACATGTAATAGGTGTGCAATATAGTTCCAGCATTTGAAAATAGCAGTAAATGTATACTCTTTCTATAAGCTGTATAATTTGTAAGTAAGAGTACACGATATCTTTTGGTTCAACTGCCTAGGTCATTGGTATGTTTTGATTATCACTGTTTTAATTTGAATGTGAACATTTTGACCATGGAATGAACAGATATATTAAGGTCACTGTGGTACATATTTAGGTCTCTACAAATAACTTTAATTAATTTTTTTTTTTAACTTCACATACTGATAGGTACATTGTAATGTACATGACATCTTGGCCTTTGACCTTGGTATTAGTTGGTGATAAACATTCATTGCTTTTTGGGGTCTTGACAGCCTGGAAGATTGAAAGGTGTAATCACTTTCTGAGTTAACCATGTTAAAGGATTTACTTAGCTCAATTTAGTGTGGTGCATTCTGATTAACATTTATCATCTCCTCATAATAATAAATCTTATTCTAGAGAAATTTCAAGGTTGGCTTTGACCCCTGACCTTGAATTAATTAAGATAACATGTGGTATGCTTTAATCTAGATTTTTTGTTTAGCATGATTTCATTTCATTAATTTATGAATACTTCACAATCTGGCTATTTTTTGTGTTATTATGGATTTTTTTATTTGGCAAAAGAACACTGAGGATTTAAGTTTCTTGGGGTGAAAATAATTTCAAAGAACTCTGTATAAAATAACACAGTGTTCTTCAAAACAATTTCTTTTTCATAGTGGAGAAGAATGCTGTGTCAATACAGTCATTAATGTACATACAATGTTTAAACAATTAGCATTGATTTATTTTGCTATGATGTAGGAAATGGAAATAACTTCAAGTGCATTGCCACATACAAGATTAGATGACCAACCTCAGCAAGTGAAAAATTTGTACGTGCATATTATTAGACATTTTATGAATCTGTGATGTATTATTATAGAACTGGGGTTACCTCCCGTTTTTGAACCGATATTAGGTGTATATAAGCTAGTGTTGTGAGAAAATCAAAACAGACATTTTTACTTACTACTTAACATGTTTTTGTTAGTATTCCTTCTTACAATAATTATGCAGCAAATAAACCTCATTTATTGGCAAAGGCTTAAAACTGCTTTATTTTTCTTGTTTGTTCCCATAAACAAAAGGAGTCTTAGGCAATCAATATGTCTGTTGTGGGGAGGAAGCTTAGAGCATAAAATTTATGTCACAAAAGACACTCGGATGGACAATTGCTGTCTAACTTCCTTTTTTGCCAGATGTTCATACTGCCAATATGGGTGGTATCGACTTAAAGAGTGCATGTATAGTTGAGAGAGATATAAAAAAAGTTTTTGAAATCGAACATTTGTGCAATTAAGGTAAGAATATGAGGAAATTAATCTGAAACACTGTGCAATGAAATGACAGCTTTTTCTATGGATGGCACTGTAGCTTTCTGGTTCTTCTTCCCATTTTTTTTTTATAGAGCAGCAAGCTACAGTTCTGCAGCTGAGGGGATACACGAATGACACAATATCAGAAAAGAAACAATGAAAAAAGGACTTAAATAATTTAATTAATTTCAATATAAATGTAGAGGGACATTTTTAGAAAGTATAAAAATCGATGTCCAATTTACGATTTCTTCAGCGCTTTCCTTGTCCTAAATACGTCATGTTTGGACGTGTGACTAAAATGTATTGAGCCTGACCAAGCAAAAATTCATTCCACGTGACAGTTCTGCAAAGAGAAAAAAAGACGTGATAAACAATTAACATATAGATTATGTACAAATTTAAAAGAATTATGATGGAATATCGATGTTATACTGACCCCAATTCCTTAACATCGAGCGACATGGCTCGAGCTAAAGCATGCTTTGCGTAGGTTTCGCCAATACTATATCGTCTCCTTGAAGATACAAAGAAAACGATAAGCAGTTTGACCTTTATTTTCACAACTAAGTTAATCAAGTTAGAAAAACTTTTCTTTAAAAAAAAATCAGTCTTCAATGGTTGTATTCTTTTATATGTAGTAAATCGAAAGGGGAAAGATTTTCTAAGTAAATCCTCTTTTTAGAAATGTAACTTTACAGAAAATCTTCCAGGAGAAGCTTCACAAGTACATCGTATGGTCCTCAGCTATTCTATGGAACCATACTCAGTATTTTTTTTTCATGATTTTATTTTGAGTTAATAATGCGTGTGAAGTGTCGAAACTTGAAATATCTGTAATAATTTATGAATACTTGCTCTTCAGGTAGGTTGAAACGACCGATATACTCATCAAGCACTTTCCTGGCTTCTAACTCCGATATCCTGCCATCATCATTTGTGTCTAAGTGGGAGAAGGCCATCTTTGCTATCAGAATTTCCTTTTCTGTCAGCAAGTCCACTAACTCATTCTGCAATGCATCAGCATCATCTTACACAGTGCTAATATGTCTTCAAGATTTTGATCACTAATAAAGTTAATTTCCCATTTACAAGTTGATACATTTCACAAAATGCCAAGGCCAAGATTGGATGCAAAAACGCCTATGTGTAATATGTAAAAACATTATTTTTTTCATTTTTTTTTTTTGTAAACAAGCAAGTGAAGTTTTACCACTTTGATAAGTAATTGGCTTAATTTACTTTCTTTTAGTTTTACCTGATTTCTTGAGGAGAGTTTGACTTTAGCCTGGAAATTTAAAAACTCCCACCAATCAATAGTTCCGCTGCCGTCCGTATCAACCAATTTGAATTCGAGATCAAAGAGTTTTCGTTCTTCTTCTGTGACCTGGTGCCCAAGTTGTTTTCTCTTGTATGCGATGAATTCATCAAAAGTAATTTGACCTCCTGCCATTAAAAGAAAACGGAGATATTATCTTAAAATAGTACAAAATAACACTTTGTCAAATTCCTATACTGTATCCACAAATGACAAATGTGCTGAGTACTAAACCTTTTGGGTTGATTTCTTCATCAAAAGTTTCAATAATACTTTCTATCTCCTTTTCAGTTAGTAAGAAACCCAAATCATCCTGTCAGTGAAAAAAAGTTTGTTCAGTAATAATTCTTTTATGACAAGAAGAGTGTGATATACTTTATTATTCGTATGCACGTTTATAAAATATGTAGGCTGTGAGTTGCTTTATTTCAACATTCTTTCCTACTTTCTGCCTCAGATCAACAGAACGTGAAGCCCTTACACACGTAGGACAGCTCCACCCCGTGCTAGTGTTGGCTCTCTCTATGGCGGTTACGTGCGATGGATGGAGATCCTGCATGAGCAGAACACAGTTCTTATGGAACACTCTGTCACAAACGCGGCACGGATACTCGTCTTTAGGGCTCTCAAACTTCTTATCGCACAGCTTACAATGAAGGCTGTCCTGGATATGAAATAAAATGAAATTTCTGATTTTCTTATCTTGCTAAACACATGATGTAACAAAACTGCAACAGCCAGAGAAATGAAGATCATTTACGTTGGAGCTGAAAGAAAGACTCTAAGTGCTAAAAGAACTGGAAAGAGACAAAAGGTTACAGCAGACAGCATACTTAGAGTAAAAGAAAAGGGACAAAAATCTTGGATTAGCAGAAACTCTTGGAAGGTGGTAGATTGATTGTTTGCTTTTTGTTTGACGCCCCTCTCAAAAAAATTTAACTCATATAGAGATGCCCAGAGTACTAGGCAATGAGAAGAAAGGAATACCAACAGCAGTAAAGGACAAAGAGGGCAAGATCCTGAGCAGTCAATACGAAAGAAAGAAAAGTAGTTGATGAGATGGATACAAGCTCCATACAGAGAGAGAAAATCATCAAGGCTATAAAGAAATTAAAGAATGGAAAATCTGGAGGAGATGCTGGAATAACAGCTGAGATGTCAAAAGCAGACACAGAGGCAACATCAATCTATTTGGAAAAACTCTTCACAACACTTTGGAAAAAGAAACCATACCATCGGTTAGAATAAAGGCGTGACAGTGAAGATTCCGAAGAAAGGTGATTGATCGATATTTGATAACTATAGAGGTACATTGTATAATGCTTTTGTCTGTACACAGCCAAGCAAAGTATTCTCAACGATAGCTATACAAAGAATCCAAGATGGAATGGAAAACAGCTGCACGAGGAACATGCTGCTTTTCGAAGAGGAAGGAGTACAACAGAACAGCCAGTAACACTTCGTAACATCATAGAACAATGTACCGAATGGAACTCAGCATTGTTTGTAAACTACCTTGATTTGGAAAAGGCATTTGATTCCAAACATAGTGAAAACATTTGGTCTATCTTGAAGTTCTATGGCAAATAAAATGGTCAGAGTAGTGAAAGTCTTTTCATTCAAGTGTGCAATCGATCCTTGAAGATGGAGAAGAATCAAAATGGTGTTCCAGGTAACCACAGGAGTGAAGCAGGGTTGCACAATGTCTGTATTTTTTGTTGAATATAGATTTTGTTATGAGTAAAACTGCAGAAACAAACCCAACAGGAATAATGTGGAATTTTAAAACAAAACTTAAAGATCTAGACTTCGTGGATGATCTTGCTCTCCTACAAATTCCGGGACATCCAACGAAAGACACAAAGAATAAATGAAATTGCAAGTCAAGCTGGCCTTAGAACAAACATTGAAGAAATCCAAGTGATGATATTCAACTCTGACATGATAGAGCCAGTCAAGACTAATAGACAAAACCTGGATGATGTAGAAACCTTTACTTACCTTGAGGTGTGACAGCAAAAGGAAGGAGCTGATGAGAGCTTTACCAACAGACTGAGGAAAGATAAATCTCAATTTGGAAGGCTCAGAAAAATCTGGAGCTCATCAAAATTTTCCACCCAAACAAATATCAACTTGGTCTTGTCGCTTCTGATGTATGGAAGTGAGACATAGAAAACAACAGAGCGGGACAAAAAGAAGATCGACATCTTCCAGAATGGATGCCTTAGAAAAATTCTGAGTTTGAGTTGGCCTGAAAAATGTCAAACGAAGAACCCCCATCATATATAGATCAAATACAGCCAGAGCGAAAGAGATAATAACGCTCAGGAAGTGGAATTGGATTGGTCATGTACTTAGGATGGAGAGACCAGAATTTGTACCACCGCACTGAAATAGCACAAAGAAGGAAAAAATCAAAGTGAGCCGACCAAACACAATTTGGAGAAGATCAAGTGAACAAGAAAGATTACAGCTGGGTTGGAGAAGCTGGGCGTCAGCGAGGGCAGCAGCCAAGCACAGAAACAGGTGGAGGCAGTGTATTGGGGCCTTATGTGCCAGAGGAGAGGATAGGTGAGATGAAGTGATGCACAAATAATACAAGAAGAATGACCAGTTAGTTCTCTACGCCTTTACATATAGTCTATTAGTGCTGCAGCAAATTGATCATCACTTGTTCTTATCAATGTTTATCATTACCAACCTGTTGCTTTCCACTGGTATCTCTGAGACTGAGGACAGGAGCCGGAGCACTCGATCGCCTCCTGATGTACCACTGACGCACCGCTGGATCCTCCTCTCTTAACTCCTGTTTAGTCCGCTTGGAGTCCTCCTTCATCTCTTCCATAAAGCTATGGAGTTCTTTCCGGATGCTCAGATGATCTTTGCAATGTTTTAACATAGATCCCACTAGCACGGCTTTGGGTATGTATTTCTGCCATGTTACTTGGGGACTGTCCATTGTTGTGTGTAGTAAGTTCAGAATGGTCACGATGGTGTTGTTCTTTGATCGGACTATTCGGACATTTAAAGAAAAGGTTAAGACGATTAAGGATGAGTTATGTGGAGAAAATCTGGGTCTAATGTGTCGAGTGTTTGTTTAAAACAAATTTCTTTTAAGAATTAATTCCGGTCTACGTCATAAATCAAAAGATTTATGATTTATTATGATTGCGACTGCAAAAGCAGCACTCATTTTAAACTAGCAAGTACCGAAAACGCACTGGCCATTAGAAGCAAAAAATTTGGTCATCTGGGACGTCAAAGATTGATTAAATACTGATTCAAGTGGCAAATACTGTTATATATATATATTTTAGTGTATTCTTAAGAAGATCAAACATAATAGATCGCACCCTCAAAAAGATCAATTCCTCCTCCCCACTCACCCACCGCATATATACAACAATCTCTGACTTGAAAAAAAAATTCAATATATAATACAGCGCAAAAAAGAGAGAAAAGAATCGCAGCATAGGTAAAAATTATTTTAGATTAAAAATGAAACAAAGGAGATGAAGCGATTTGTAATAACCCGCCAGATCTTCCCCTATACCGATTTAAGGTATGGCATTCAGCACTAATGAACCACGAGAACACAATGCATTTTATTAAATTAATTTTACTCAAGCATTATCTAGAAATAAGCTAAATTTTAATACTTGAACTTCATACATTAGTACATAGTGTATTCTCTTCAAATTGATATATTGTTCTTGAAAACAGTACTGGTTAATTTTGTAAAAAAAAAAAATTGGAATCATGAAAAAGTTATCAAAACAAAATACTGCTTGTAGAATAATATATACATGTATATTTGGATTCGTGTTGCATGCCTCCCGTGCAAAAAGTTGTTGAGATTTTAAACATAATATACCCGGTAGTAAAATTAGAGGTACTGGCCGATAGTTAATAGATATGCCACATCCTTAAAAAATATTGTATCCAATGTTTCTCCATCCTTAAATTTGGTTCGCAAAGACGCACTGATAAAAAGGAATCTTACCATATGGCATGCTTTAACACCGTGCGCTAAAATTTCAAGTACCTGCCTTGGGTAGTTTCTGGGAAGTCCGCGACAACCGTACGGATAAACAAGAAGTTGACAGTGGATTCGTACAAAAATGAATCCCACCATATGGCATGCCAAAACAAAGACAGTGTTAAAATTTCAAGCATCCGCGATGAGTGACGAAAGGGTTTTCTTCAGATTTTTTTTGTCAAGAAGGGGGGGGTATCATAATTTCAATATTAGGAACTTTCTTCTAAATACTTATAGTTCAAGAAATAAATGTCAGTGGCGTTAACACTTGGAACCATAGGCATTTGTTCATCTTCTTAATTAAACAATTTTTCCTAACATTTTTACGAAATGCACTCTCTTTTAAAGATAATCACATCAAGAAAACATAATTTGTACACCTTTATTTGGAAATCTATATCACATCAAACATGTACATGTTTTTGAAATATTATAAGCACTTCATGCTTTATGATTTAACTAGTTATTCGTCATTCGATACAGAATAAAATCATGCACTACAAAATATAAATACTTCAAAAATGTTTGCAGCCACTTTTTCCAAAAATTTTGCTTTTCACATTTTATCACCACTGAATACTCTCAATTGATAAATACATTTCTTTTTTTAAAGTGTATATCTGTTTAAAAAAAAAAGTAGGATTAAAAAGATTACTTATTGTATTCCTGGTGACTTTATTCTCTTGGAACAGCCAGACAACTGGACAGGCTTTTGTCTATATAAAATTGTACAGTGGTTCTCAATTGGCGCTGTTAAAAAAAATGTGCAGGGACAAATAGCTAAAAAAGCCTTGTAGCACAGTTCTCTAGGCGGAGCAACCCAATTAAGTCCTGGCGACATATACTTGTACCTAATAAAGTACTTTGCTCATTTAATTTTGACCATGTTAGGACGCGCTCCAATGATATACTTGGCTTGTCCCATCAAAAACTCTTTCCAGGAAAAATCTCTAAAAGAAAAATAAATAATTTTGATATGTAGTTCATTTGATAGATGTCAATGTTTATATATTAATGAATTGAACACCTACTGCAATGGAGTTTTATCAAGAGCCATAACTCTTGTGGATACAAGTCTTGCATAGTTATCAAGAACATCATCTTTTCCGCTGCAGATAAAGAAGGTTTTTGTTTAAAAAAAGTAAAAAAATTTATTGAGTGCATTTATAAAAAAATAAAAAAAATGAATAAAAAGTACACCGTAATAATATAAAACTGCAAGCATAGTCAATATCGACTTACCCATGACCATCTAGAAACCGGTACCATTCTGACAGAAGCCGCCTTGATTCCCCTGGGGACACCCTCCCACTCTTGTTTAACTTCAGTCGAGAAAATGCAGACTGCGCCACCTCCATCTCCTTCACTGTCAGGAGGTCCACTAACTCCTCCTGTGATGATTAGATGAGAACAGAATGACGTGAAAATGGTAAAAGTAATGATCATCATCAGTGATGATCGTCATCGGAAAAATTATGAAGCAACGACAAGAATGACAAATGCAACAAAAATGTCAGATTCAAAGGAATGTAGAGAGATTCGTTACCTGGCTACGAGAAAAGAGCCTCATTTTGGCCTGATACGTTAGAAACTCCCACCAGTCAATTTGTCCGTTGGAGTCGGTGTCGACCAATTGAAATTCCAGGCGAAGGTGATCGTGATCTTCTTCCGTTATGTCATGTTGACGTTTTTTGAAAGCGAGAAATTCCTCAAAAGAGATATGATCTCCTACAAATATTAGATAATTATAATTATACAATCAACCTTACAATTTTTAAAATAATCTTATCAGACGAAATGCTATGGATAAAACCCAATACCCTTTGGATTGATTTCTTCGTCGAACGTTTGCAAAATATTGTTCAACTCGTCTTCGGACAGTAACAGACTCAGATCATCCTACAAGAGTCAAACCTGACATGTAAATACTTTTGGGTTTATCTATCAGAAGCAGTATTATCCTTTTGCATTAAGTATTTTTTTTTAAAATTAAATATCCTTAGATAATTGCTTTTAAGAAATAAGATATCAATTTTAGAGGTTCATTGGGATATGACATGAAGTTGGTCACGTGATCAAATTCTGTAAAGGGGCGTTATTAAAAAAATAATCTAATTGTTTCAAACAAAAAGTCATTAATGATTTCCATTACCTTATTTTCTCGTGATTTGCAAGTACTACAATCTTGTTTTAGTTTCTCGACTAAAGCGATGAACCTACACAAGCTGGACAACTCCATCCTACTTTGGTATCTGCCCGCTCTATGGTGGATTTGTGGGACGGGTGGAGGTTTTTGATGCCCATGACACAGTCTTTGTGGAAAATTCCTTCGCAGATTCTACAAGGATATTGCTTTTCCGCCTTCTTAAACATACACTGACATAACTCACAATACACATCTTCGCAGTCCTGCAAATTAATATTGAAACGGGTTACAGAGGCTAGGTGCTCGGCAAATGACGCACTCTGTCTACATAAAAAAAAAATCAATAAGTATAATTTTTCTAGACAAAATTTTTTTACATGTACAAAATCGGAAATTTTGGAAAAAATAGATCTTTCAGCTACTAGTATCATATCAATGCAATTTTATATGTTTTTATAGAGTTTTTCTCATAACGGTTTAATAGTCTAAAAAAGGTTATGAAAACAACAATTATAATTTAGAAAAAAAGAAAACATAAAATATTTCCTATGGTTTTATACAGAATTTTATCTCCAAGACGTTTCAATAATCTAATCATGGATATCAACACCAAGTAAATACTTGTATAACCATTGATGATGAACCTACATTATTAGTAATTTCAGTTAAGTGTGTAGTTTTGCATTATATGCACATCCAGCTAGCGTAACAATTTACTGTGTGATTGGTCAACATTGACACGGAAATAGTCTGTTCCACGAGCAACCAATCAGGGATAGAAGAAACTTCCATGAAAAGTACATTACCTTGAGCGCAGCTGTCCTTGTCGCTGCAAAACTTCACATTTAACTGAAATAACTAATATTGCCTTTCCTGTTAATTTTTTCTAAAATAGCTAAAACATTTTTAGTGTGTTTATTTGCGTTTATTAATTGAAATGCAGCTTTGCCTTTTTATAGTCACGAGTTGTCATTCGAAAACTGGACCATCCGAATCAGCCTGAGATGACGTCACAGTATTAAATTAAAAAAAGTTAATATGCCCTTCATTTTTTTCAAAAATTCGAAATACATGTATTCAATTTTCTGACCTGTGCAGTGCATACACGGATGGAAGAAACAATGTAAGGAAATATTGTATAATTTTGAAATAACAACTGCATAAATCTATAAGAAGATAATTGCAGTGAAAGTATGTAATGACCGGGATTTGTCAAGATTTAAAGATGATCGCTACAACGCCGCGCTGCCGGCCTCTCTCAGTAGATTAAATCTGAACAATACAGTAACGTGCTAAAGGAAACAAAAATAATTTCTCAACATGACTTTTAAAGTCTCTACCTTTTATAAATGTCACTTTGACTTACTTCTAGCAAAGGCAAGACTGTAACTTTCGGTTTTAAGCCCCTCTTAAAACTCTACACATGATTAACTAGTACTGAACAAAAACAATGAACATGTACATCCAACTGGTGCATAGAGAGAAATCATTGCAAAATACAATTTATAAGAATAAATCATAAATCCCAGGTGAAAGTACAAATATTTATTAAAACGAAGTTTCAGGGATACATAGTTCTTGCCCTGTCCTTCCATCTGCCTGTTTGTCCGCAAAAATTTAATCTTGCCCATAACTTTTGACTAGATGGGACTATGGCTTTCATATTTCACAGGTGTATTCCTTGTGACAAGACCTTTCTTCGGGTACCACTAAACTGACCTCTTGACATTGGAGTTTGACCTATTTTACACCAAAATTCCAAACTTTTACTTTGATCATAGCTTTTGAACGGTTGGTGCCAGGACTTTTTTATTTCACATACTGTGAGTATGTATTTTTATGACAAGATCTTTCATTGGATACCAACAACGTTGACCCTTGGACCTTGGGCCTTGGAGTTTGACCTACGTTTTAAAAATTTTAACCTTGGCAATAACTTTTGAATAGTTGGTGCTAGGACTTTCATTCTTCACATTTATATTCTTTGTGGCAAAGCCTTTCTTTATAAACCAACAATCTTGACCCTTTGACCTTGACTCCGGAGTTTAGCCTACCTTTAAAAGTCAGTGACCTTGGCCATGGCTTTTGAAAAATTTTATTTAACATAGGTATAGGGATGGCAAAATGATTGTTTTTGTTCTTTTTAGTGTGTGTAATACATTTTCATTTTCTTTACATATACACAAAAAAGGCTTGTGAGATATATTTGTAATTTTGTAGAGATTTTATTACATAAAGTATATTTTACAATTTCAATAGGCAAGAAAAAATTAGAAAACCATGAAATATCAAGTAAAATTAGAAAATAATTTTATAATCAGAAGATTAAAATTTTCAACGTTCTTTATAATAATATAATTCAGATTTCAAAACGTAAATAGGCATTCTGCCGAAGTTAACGATTCGGGGTACATTTATTTACACTTTTGAATAATATTTACCCTATACAATCATATTATTCCTGCAGTGAAATTTAAAAAAAATGATACAGAAGTTTATACAATAACTAACCTTGTTTGATCTAAGACTAGCCACGGGCAGTGGTGCGGTGTTGTCTGACCTGCGGCGTATGTACCACCGCTGAGTGTCAGGTGGTTCCTCCTCCAGTTCATAACTGATCTCCTTCGTCTGCTCCTTCATGTCTTTGACGAAATTCTTCAACGCCTCTGTGCTTTGTTTCCTGGTCTGTAACGCCTTCAGATGCAGACGACAATGCTGAAGGAGAGAACCTATGAATAAAGCGCTTGGGGAGGCAGTGGACCACAGAGTACGATTTTTCTCCATATTTTGTTTACCCTTTCAAATTTTTCCAAGGAATGTGTGGCAGTATGTTTAATAGCCTAAGGATTAAGAGAATTAAGAAAATGTCAAATAATTCCAGCCAGTTAAATAGTACTCTAAAAACTTCAAGGAGGCACATATTATGTACATTTACTATTGAAAAGTCTACCCGTTGAGCTTAACAAATATAATTTAAAGGGATCTAAGTTGACTTTGAGGGGATATAATATACTTATTTTACAATTTTCAGTAAACCTTATATATGTTCTCTTTATAAGGCCATTCCAGTTTCTTCTCTGTTTAGCGTCCACCCATATTTCAAAAAAACCATCTACCTATTCGGGGAAAAAACAAGCCCAAAATATAAAACATAAATTTTAGTTAAAAAAATTAAGCCATTTTAAACGATTTGATTTCATAAACCTTTTTTCTGATAGAAAGTTTTTAATATGTAGTAAAATTGACAGTATTCAAAGATTTTGACCAGAATAATTAATTTCATGACTCCAGAGTTTGTTTGTGTGTTTTTTCGGACAGGGATGTCAAAAACCAAGGCGCACGCGGACGCTAAATTAAAAAAAATGTAATTAGCCTAAGCTTGAAATACAGACCCAAATGAGAAGGCACGATAAATTGTTAAAATTCAAAATGAAAACGAGACGAATGTTAATGAAAATTGTTGAAAATACTACATCTAGTTAAATTTTCCAACAAGTCAGGAAACCAGTCAGTCGACAAGAATCCATGTTACTCAAAATAGCACAACTAAACATAGACTTTAATCAAAGGGGAAAAAACTCTAGTACCCTTTTTATTTTTCTTACCTGGTCCGTTAATCGGTCACTAGTACAATTCTCAGTTAACCTTGGACTTTCAGTAAGGCGTGGTATTCTCGGCGTTACATAATTCGCATCTGAAATTTACACAGCTTTCTATTCATTTTTTTTATTTGTTGAAATATTCCGAGTGTCAAGAAGTGTATCAATGATCCAATGAAAGCGTTTCGTACGGCAGAGAGGTGGGGCTTAAGTCGTCTCAACGTTGTCAACAACAATTTAAAGTTGCTGATGTCATTAATTTCTTAACCAATGAGAATATATTCGCCATTTGAGAGACGTTAACAATGTAGTATCGAAAAAGTCACGCCCTACTGAAAGTCCAAGGTTAACTGAAAATCGTACTAAATCTTCTTCAGATTCCTCTTACATTTTTAAACTACTAGCCAAATCGTATTTAGAATATGGTTGATGATATCCTGTAGATGTTGAGTCAGATTTACGAATTTTTATTCTCATCATTTATGCCAACTGGGAAACGAAAAACTACAATTCCATAAGAAATCCTTATTCCTAAAATCCTGCTGCATTTTACGCAGTAACCAAATCATCTTCTGGAGTTCCATTGATGATATACTGAGGTTTCGGAATTTTACATTTTCATTTTTTCCCCCTCGTATTCGGGGATTCAAAGCTGTTGCCTTATCCGTCTGTCTGTCTGTTTGTCCGCAAAAACTTTAACAACACCCATAACCTTTTATTGGTTGGAGCTATGGCTTTCATATCTCACATGTGACAAGAACTTTCAACGGGTGTTAATATTTTTGACCTTGTACATGTACTTTGACCAACTTTTTAAAAACTTGAACCTTCAGGCTTGGTTGAACAGTTAGCAATTTTGACCAGACCTACTTTTAGAAAACATTACCTTTATGATAAATCTTGAATGTTTGGTGCTTGGGCTTTCATATTTACTAGGTATATCCACATAACAATAACCTAAAAAATCATATTATTAAGAATGGCAACGCCATGATTGATCACTTTATATGGAAACATCCTCAGGTAAATTAGATTCAAGTTTGTTTAAATCATAACTGCCCCCCCCCCCCCATATTTGGGCAATTAAGCTTAAAAATAGGAAAACATTTTAGAAATCTTTATAAATATTCTTCTCAAGAACAGTAAAGCTATGGTTAGTCATACATGCACTAGTGTTAGATTTAATCAGATACCAATGAACCTTCACTCAAAGGAAGTACACCTGTCGGGACGTTAAACGGTGCCCTGTGTCAAGGATTGCAACCCCCTTGGCCCGCTACAGATCGTTTCTCTGGTTTTTGTAAGAGTAGGCTCATTGGGGGCCGCTGGAGAAACAATTACTTTCAAAACCGTTCATGCAGTACTTAAGTTCATCAAGCCGAAATACGGCTGAATTATTGCCAACTCAGCGTAAAACACCAATAATCAATCAATCAATAAAAGGAGGTCCACAACATTAGTCTGAGTCTTAAGTGAGCTTAAAATTCATATCACGTGGTGTCTAAGTTCAATATGAGCTAAGATGATCAGATGTCGATAAATTCATGAGATTCAAAGCCTATGAACCACATTCACCAAGTGTATGCTTTATCCATCTGCGGTCTATAATCCGTAAAAGGATAAACTCATTGTAATATCACATTTTTATTTCAAGAATTTTACATGTTTATGATATCAGTTGACAGGTTTCCTTGAACTGAAAACTTTTATTCCATTTAACATGGAAGCTCTTGCATACTTTGTAAGGAGACCACCAACATCAACCTTGACTGTAGTTAAGTCCCTGAAAATTCAACAAAAGCAAATGAAAACCTTAAACTGCCATACCTTTCCAACAATGCAAAAGTATTTTTTACCGTTAATGGACTTCATATTCCCAGTATATACCTGATATAAGGTGTGATCTCTGATAGGATCCACTTCTCCCGGGTTTTGAACAACATGTTGAACCTCTCTCCAATATCCTCTGGTAGATCATCCACTGGGAAATACCAAATAACCTCTGGCATACAGTTCCTGTCTATGAGGGCCATTCCCTGCAACACAGCATGTACACAGAAAAATCAGTCAAAAAAGTAATGAATAGCAAAAGTGCCTGGTATCTGTTTTGGGTTTTAAATCTTCCTTAAAAGTTGTTGAATTTAGTTTAATTTTTTTAATGAAAAAATACAGGTTCTTAAAAAAAAACTATCTTTGACAACAATATCTCAAATACTATAAATATATTGAAATGATTTGAAAGTTCGAACCACATATTCTTTAATTATATGTATTTAACACCCGTTATCTCGAATTTCTCAACTTTTTTTCTGTGTCTCATTGAGTTCCAGATTGTAAACAAAGTTTTATTGGCATTTTGTAAATTAAAGATGTACAAAATTTATGTTTTCTCATTCAGGGCCAAATGTTCCTTACCTCCAGCTGTGATAAATTTGTCTTCATGCCTTGTGGAACTGTCTGTTCCCAAACTCTAAGAAACTCTTTTAAATTGAACTGTAAATAAAATATCTTTTTTAAAAATATGTGGGTGCAACATTATTGTCTTTGATTAAGTGTTGATTAAAATTTTTATTAGTTATAAATCTAAAATACAATTAATGTATTTTACATGCAAAATCTGCATACCAGAAATCATATCAAAATTTCAATTATAGAAACACTTGCCTTTCCTGAATTTCTTAAAATAAGTTCTGCAAAGAATTGACAGATTTTGTCTTCATTAAGTGAGTAAAACTTGGCATCTGGAAAAGTGAAAAAAAAAGATAATAAAAAGATCTTAGTAAAATTCTTAATACATTATATCAAATCGCTATTAGGAATAGACAACTGAAACAGTTTTTATACACTAGTTTGAAGTCTACAAATTGTGAAGAATAATGTTAACCTATTTCCATTGGCTGGTCCTCTAACATGCCTACTTATCCTAAAAAGGTCTTAATCGGATGTGTACTGGTCCCCTTGTTTGGGGAACATAATTAATGTATTTTACCTGATTTCATTTCATCAGCATAGCACTCTATTACATGAGTAAGCACTTCACTATTAAAAATAAAATAAAAGTTTCACTTCTCTAATCAAATATAACTCAGAGCTATTTTTCCTTCCATATCAAATTGTATTATGCCTAATAAATTGACCCTATTTTTGAGGGACATAACTTGTGTCTACCTTGGGAAGAGTTCCTGCAGAGTTTCACAGCACTCCTCCAGTGGTATCCCCGTGGATAACCAGTCATTCTCTTCACACAGTTGTATGATGTGGTTAAACACTTGTGTCAAAAAATCAAAATCTAACACTCTCCACATACCTGTTTAAAAATGTAATATTATACAATACCTCAAAGAATTATACGTTAAAAATTTTGAGGTCAAATTTATGAGTATTATGATTATGCCATTATTATAGACCTTCAATTGGACAAGCCTGAAGTTTCTTCAAAGATTCTTTAATTTCTGTTTCACTTCCTTGGACAATGTTCAGCAAATCCTCAAAGGAATACTACAATAAAAATATAAAAGTATAAGAACAAATACAGGTAAGTTTTTTTGGGGTTTCCTAACCAAAAATATCATGCTGTTTGAATCTTTTAGGCTTTATTTCACCTGGGTGAATTTCTAAGATCTCCTAAATGAACTTAAGCTACACGTAAAACACACACACAGGTACACTGAACATCTTCCTAATTTGAACCTATAACCTCACTGACCTTATGACCCTGGTGCTCTTCATCCTGTTCACACTCTCTACCACTATACATGTTCTCCTCCAGTAGTTTCTTCAGCTTTGACACTTTAGGTTTGCATGGTCTCAGCTCATAGTAGTTATTCATCACAGATGTCACCTGGGTGAAACAACATTTATTGTAACTCTTGTCTATTTAAAGGCTGAAGCTTAATATACTTTAATATATGAATATGGCAATTAATTCAAGAAGTAGACGTAGATTTAGTTATATAATTACCTTTGAAACCTTGAGTCTCTGGGGACCTGAATCATCCAAATCCGGACCAATGTCTAGTTGTGGAACAATCAACATAGAATTCGAAATCTCTGCCTCTTTTATTTCAAAAGTGGCTGTTTTTGTGCAAAGTACTGCCATGTCTTCTGAGTTCCCTCTAATTACTACTCTGGGATTAAAAAAAAGGCTTAAATTTGTTGAATGAGCTACAAATTATTTTTTCAATTCAATTCATTTCAAAGCCCTCAACGGACAAAAAGAATGTAAACATTAATATGTATGAGGATTCAGTGAAATGGAATTCATTTTAATTTTAGTTATAATGTTATAATGCAGGTTAAGAAACTCTGCTCAGTTACTAGCAGAGATGTATACCTTCCTCCATCTGTTAAGGTTTCCAGCACTGTATCATTCACCTCCAAAAGTTTGAACGACTGATTGTCAAGGTGTTTAGAGAAATAAATACACTGTACCGTTGGCTTTACATCAGACGATTCTAGCTTAGCATATTCTAAAACGGTGTTAATATCCTCTAGGGCCCTATGAAATAAACAATAGATTTTATTTAAAAAATTAGTGAGTTTATACTGACACGTTTTCAAATCTAGAACTTTCAAAAATTGATAACGTATTTGTGTTATAAATTACAGATTTCAGGGGGAAAAATAACACAAATCAATGCATTTCCTGACTCATAAAGTGACAAATTACAAACCTTTCATCAAGCTCGCTAGCCATTTCATTTCTTGATAAGTTGATTATTTTTTCCGCCAAACAAATCGAAAGCGCAAGTAAAGCTGTTTCAGACACAGTTTCGTATTTTAATAATTAACTCGCTCCATAAAAGTTCGTTACAAGTATTGTTGAAAATACTATCAGGGACCTATATATGAATGTATAGACCCCTGATACTGTTTTCTAATTTTTCTTCAAAGTTAAAAAAAAGAACTTTATCCCATCTATAACTTTGTTATCTGGTCCATAAGATTACAAATACGTCTCTGAAATATCCCACCCTTTTGTTGTCCCCCGCTTGAAAAGTGGGGGATATTAATTTGGGTTTGTCCGTCCGTCCCTCTGTCCGTCCGTCTTTCTGTCTGTCTGTAACGCTTTCGTTTCCACACGATATCTCGAGAACCCTTTGAGCTTTTGCAATGAAATTTAGCATAGCAACTCCCTATATGGACTAAAGAAGACCGCTATTGATTTTGAGGTCAAAAAGTCAAAGGTCAAGGTCATAAATAAGCAAATTCTGTCTATTGTAACACTTTCGTTTCCACACGATATCTCTAGAACCATTTGAGCTGTTGCAATGAAATTTTACATAGCAACTCCCTGTGGCCTAATGAAGACCCCGATTGACTTTGAGGTCAAAAGGTCAAAGTTCAAGGTCGTATTTATACATTCTGTCTGTGTGTAACACTATCATTTTTGGGCGATATTTCAAGAAGATTTTGAGCTTATGCAATGTAATTTTATACCAGAACTCCCTAGGACCTCTCTCATCCCTCCTAAAGTGCCCCGCCCCGTTTGTTTTATTACATGTAGTATTTATAGTATTACATGTCGCTATTTTTAGCACAGGGCCATGGGGAGAGTTATTGCGTATAAAACAGCCTGGGGCCCGTTTCACAAAGCGGCTTAGCCTACTTAGGTTTAAGTTATATCTTAGGAAAGAACTTTTTCCTAAGTTCATTACTTATCCGTTTCACTAACCTCGTCTTATCTTAGGATATTCCTAAATTATGTCGTAACTTTAGGACAGGTAAATCGATGACTTAGGAAGAAACTAAATATTGTGTATGGAACGCCGTAACTGCCTTCTGTGGAGAACTTTCATTATATGATGGTACTTTGTCATTATATGATGGTACTTTGTCATTATATGATGGTATTTTGTCATTATATGATGGTATTTTATCATTATATGATGGTACTTTGTCATTATATGATGGTATTTTGTCATTATATGATGGTATTTTATCATTATATGATGGGGTATTTTATCATTATATGATGGTACTTTGTCATTATATGATGTTATTTTATCATTATTTGATGGTATTTTGTCATTATATGATGGTATTTTGTCATTATATGATGGTATTTTATCATTATATGATGGTATTTTATCATTATATGATGGTATTTTGTCATTATATAATGGTATTTTATCATTATTTGATGGTATTTTGTCATTATATGATGCTACTTTGTCATTAAATACTGGTATTTTGTCCTTATATGCTGGTATTTTATCATTATATGATGGTATTTTATCATTATATGACGGTATTTTGTCATTATATGATGATATTTTGTCATTATATGATGGTATTTTATCATTATATGATGGTATTTTATCATTATATGATGGTACTTTGTCATTATATGATGGTATTCTATCATTATATGATGGTACTTTGTCATTATATGATGGTATTTTATCATTATATGATGGTATTTTATCATTATATGATGGTATTTTATCATTATATGATGGTATTTTGTCATTATATGATGGTACTTTGTCATTATATGATGGTATTCTATCATTATATGATGGTACTTTGTCATTATATGATGGTATTTTATCAATATATGATGGTATTTTGTCATTATACTACTTTTCATTGTACTACTTTTCTTTATACTACTTTTCATTATGCTACTTTTCTTTGTACAACTTTTCATTATACTACTTTTCATTATATGCTACTACTTTTTCGTCATTATTTGAAGTCTCGATCATATAATGAAAAGTAGTATGATGACAAAGTACCATCATATAATGATAGAATACCATCATATAATGATAAAATACCATCATATAATGATAAAATACCATCATATAATGACAAAATACCATCATATAATGATAAAATATCATCATATAATGATAAAATACCATCATATAATGACAAAATACCATCATATAATGATAATATACCATCATATCATGACAAAGTACCATCATATCATGATGAAATACCATAATGACAAAATACCATCATATAATGATAAAATACCATCATATAATGACAAAATACGATCATATAATGACAAAATACCATCATATAATGACAAAATATCATCATATAATGACAAAATACCATCATATAATGACAAAGAACCATCATATAATGAAAGTTCTCCACATAAGGCAGTTACGGCGTTCCATAATTGTGGCTGCATATCCAAGGTTTCGTATGGAGAGAAAGAATCTGTTTGGGGAGAGAAAATCCAATGGACTACTAGTATATGGATGATTGTGTTCTCGCTAGGTTAAAAATGTTTTACTTTGCATGGAATTACTAGAATTTCAATAATTGCCAAACATTTATCAAAATTAATTCAAGATATATAAAAATGTCCGTTCTCAATACTGGAGCTGGCGAAATAGATGTGCAGATGCTGGAATAATTCCAATCAATTGAAGAGCACGCCTTTCTAAACAAAAAATAGCCCATTATTTGATCCATACATGCATGTACATACATTAGGTTTTTATCTACATGTACATGTATATAATTTTTTTTTTATATTACTAGTATTTTATCGTAATTGATATTAAATTCGAATTTGAAAAATATTTTAGATAAATGGAAACACTTGTTTACATTCTAAAAAACATGATTCTTGACGAACCCCCAACCAAGCTCCGGATATATAGATGTTCCTCCCAAGAATGGTTGCATCTAATCTCCTCTAAGGCGTAATTATTGAGGGGACACAAGCAAAACGCAGTTTTGTTTTGTTTGTCTATAGTATTCTATACATCGGTAAAATTATTATTACCCCCCCCTCCCGTGCTCCTTCAGTTCCTACAGCCAAGAGATTACAACCATTCTTCCTCTCCGCTTAATACAATGTATACGCTAGCTATGCAAATTTCAAATTTTAGTATTTTCATATCACGACTTTGGTTTTTTTTCTGGCATGGCATTCATATTTCATATTTCCAAGGAATTGTTTGAAATTAAATTAGTATAATAGTGAGAGGACAAAAGGTTTGTAGAGAGTTCTGTGGGAAAATAATTGGTACTCTTTTCCTTACAGAGATCTTAATTTTTAAAATGTTAAGTGAATTTAAGGTCAAGAAAAATTATATTTTATTTATTTCACGACACACCGAGAGGAAATATACATGTATATATAAAAAAATAAAAGAATTGTTTTTGGTGTGTTGAGATTTGAGAGGAGTTATGTCCTTTGTTAAAAGGGGGGTGGGTAGTGAGAAGAATGTAGATATTAGCATAGGCGTCGGAACCGGGGGGGGGGGGGGGAAGGGGGGTTTCGCCCCCCAACTTTTTTTCCAATCATATACTTAGTATAGACATTGAACATTGTTTCTTAGGTTTAGCCCCCCCCCCCCACTTTCCACAGATACGTCGCAGTATAGGTTAAAAATGGGGAAATTAGTGGTGTTTGGAAAAAAAATTAGGTACTAAAAAGTATGTCGAACCTAACCACACCCCCCCCCCCCCCCTCCCCCATGACACGAAATAGAATTTTCGTGATTAGGCCATTTTTCTTTTTTTCTTTTTGCTTGTCAGGTTTTTAAGTTTTTTTTTATGGAATATTGTTTTTTATCACTTACCCCCCCCCCACTTTCAATTAGCTTCCGACGCCAATGATTAGTATAGCGTGGTGCATTTGATAATGTCAGAGGAAGTAAGTAAGTTAACAATGTGCATCAGATTGCTCTTAATATGATAAATATTTGTAGTGTATGGCATCGTTTGAAACTTTAATCCAAGCGCTTATAAAAAAAAATCCCCCCAAAATATAGGATCCATGGCGTTTATAGGTCAAAATTGCAGTTGATAAAAATTAACTTATAGGTACCGGCAGTAAATAACACTCTGACCCCAAAAAAAAATCAACCACAACTCCTACAATCTCCCCTGGTATTTCTATATTTCTGTTATATTCCTACATTCCATAAAAAAAATCAACCCCCGCTCTTACCATCTCCCTGGTATTTCTATATTTCTGTAATATTCATTATTTCAAACATTAATATTTTTACTTAAAAAAAAACACAAAAAACATTACATACATGTTCCTCATTTAAACCAATCAGGTAATGCCTTCCTATTCAGCACTCCACTCTCTCTCATTCCTATTACGGTTAGCCGCCATTTTTTGAGCAAGTAAACTAAAAAAACTAGAAGTCCAAATTTGAATAGATAGTTTCTAATAAACCGACAGAATATGTAACAATACACCCACAGAATATAATTATGAACCCACAGCATATAATAACGAAACCACAGCATATAATAAAAGATCCACAGCATATAATTATAAACCCACAGCATATAATTATAAACCCACATCATATAATTATAAAACCACAGCATATAATTATAAACCCACAGCATATAATTATAAACCCACAGCATATAATAATAGATCCACAGCATATAATAATAGATCCACAGCATATAATAATAGACCCACAGCATATAATAATGGACCCACAGCATATAATAATAGATCCACAGCATATAATTATGGAACCACAGCATATAATAATGGATCCACAGCATATAATAATAGATCCACAGCATATAATTATGGAACCACAGCATATAATAAAAGAACCACAGCATATAATTACAAACCCACAGCATATAATAATAGACCCACAGCATATAATTATAGAACCACAGCATATAATATAAGAACCACAGCATATAATAACAAACCCACAGCATATAATTATAGACCCACAGCATATAATTATAAACCCACAGCATATAATTATAGACCCACAGCATATAATATAATCATCTAACATAAGGCAGCCATGGCGTTCCATACGATTCCGTGGTCTAGTGGTATGTTTCTCGCTTCGCATGTGAGAGGTCCTGCGTTCAGGTCCCGGATGGACCATTTTTTTTTTTTAAGAAATACTTTTTTTACTAAATGATAGGCCATATTTCAGACTATGTGGGCAAAAAATGTGTGGTTGAATTTCTTTCATATCATATATAAAGAGAGATTTTGTATCCTAGAACAAAATATCAAAGTTTCAGAAAAATTGAATTTGAGGAAAATTCTTGGCCTATTTATTGTGTCCTAGTCCTACTATGATTGGGAGTCTAGGTCGTGCTTTTAATCTTGAAATATAATATAATTATGACTTGGTATTCTGCACTCAAAATAAGCATGCAAGCAATTATAGATTGATATACCCTAGTATATATTAAAGTATATTCATGAATATTTTACCGTCTACAATGTATGTTTATACCGGTATATTATTTTGAATAAACATAACTGTTACATATAAATGTAATTCATGACTGTAATTTTAAAAAGTTTATTAAAATACCCACGCACACGATTTTCTGTTGAAATTTACAATATACATGTAACAAAAAAATTGTGTACTCGCAGCGTTAGTTTATATTTCACGATTTAATGACCGCAGTAGTACTTAGTGTAATGAATGATGAATACGTAATTAAATCACGTGAGCATGATGTTTGAACATAATTCACAACTGAATTCACAAAGCAGTAACAGGTAACTGCGCAGCAGACTTTCAGATCAGTTCATTACATTTTTCAGTCGAAAGTGCATTACAGGAGCCCAGAGATGATCAAAAATTGAGGTAAATATTCTAAAGCTGTTGTAATAAAAAATGTTTAAGAATTTGTTTAATTTCTCTGAGGAAGGTTGAATATTTTGACATCCCCGCCATATTCAAAGGGTATTTTCCCTGGTCAGTGGTCAAACGACACAACTTCCAGATCTCCTTAGACAGCTGTAGATAGCTTTACAAATGACACAAAATAGTCTGCAATTTTAGGGGAAATGTAGTTACAAGGGAATAAATAGGACAGGATATATTCGTCGCATTTAATCTTGCAAATATGCATTAAAATAAAAAAAAGGCTTTCGGTTAAGAGGTTTTTCACATTTTCAAAATGCAATAGAATCCATAAAAATCAACCGAATACATGAAAAATTGAAACGCATTTATTTCTTTAAAAAAAATTATCTCAGACCCACCCCCCCCCCCCTTCCAGTAACCTAGCAATGTCTCTTATATAACAAGACAGGTTTGAGACATAAACATTTTGTCCTGCCCAGAGGTAGAGCATATTCTAGATTAACTGCTAAAATTGTTTTATAATTGGGGGATTGATTAATACATAAATTTATTTATTATTTGTTTCTTGCATGCATTTGTAATTTATTTGCATCGGGATCGAAATTGTGAGTTTTAAATTTTGACATGTGGCGCGAACAGCAAATCTGGCGTCAGTGGACGGTCAGGTGAGTTGGTTGGGGAAAACAGTTTACATTATTTGAAATAACATTTGTCGGATTCAGATGCACGTATTGATAAAACGTTGATAAAGTATTTTTAAGCTGCGGAAAGGGACAGCTTAAAACCTACAGGTGAATTACCGAGGGTAATCTATAAAACAAAAAAGTGAAATATGGTTTGAAAATGTATTGTGCTTTTAGACTCTGCATAAGTTTGGGACATCAGATCCTAAGTGGGGTTAACTTTGCCCTGAATCAACTGTGTATCGATAATGCAAATATTTTTACTGACAGGCATTTTTAGGGTGTAGAAGGGGCCTGTTTTTTGCTCCATTCATAATGGCAAAAAGTATGTGTTTTCCCAATTTCACCAAAGAAAATTTCCAACAGACAATCAAAACAAACAAAATTTGGTTATAAAATATTTGGACTCTGTAATGTATAATCTAATTGATGTTCAAATAAATATATAAACGACGTGCTCCAAATACTGATTAAGTGAATGCTGAAGTATTGTATGTATAAACTGACAATGATAGTAATTGTTTATATTTGTATTCAGCATTAATCATACAAGACTTACGATATTATAATACGCAATCTCTCCTACAATACAAGTGACTAGATCTACACACCACCATGCACAACAGACGACAACTTACTCACACTTGCGCATTGCACACAGTGTCAAGTTAACACATACCTGCACACACTCATACCATACTAAACTCCCCTCCCTTTTGAAAAAGAGGGAGGTACTCCTGTACCTTAATACATCATATGCAAGTAAAAAAGTCAATGAGTACCTTGCAAATAAAAGATAAACTATTATTTATTTACATAAATAGAAAAATGACAAAATTATAGTTTTTTTTTAAATTTCAACCAAATGTCACTTTTTTCTCAAATGGAATAGCCCAGCCAATTGATGTTTTGCCCCCTTTCCGGATTCTGCTGGAAATCAAGTGATGAGGTTGTCGGCATGATATTTTACTTGCATAAATTTATTCATCAAATCAGAGATGGCATAAAAAATATGCATTTTAATCATTTTTTTGCTCACCAGTATGAAGTAGACAGGAATATTAGTAACACCCATGGGATCAATGCAAGTGTTGGTGTCCCAGATAAACGTTTTTTGAGCAGACTTCTTTTTAAGTACATCTATGCCCTAACCCCTAAGGGATGCATGTAAGATGCTTCAAGTATGTTTCATTGTACCAACCAGGGTTTCAGAGACTGCAATTTCAGCTCATTTAAAAGAATGATCAGGTTAATGTTTTTGAAGCAGGTGTCATTTCCAAGTATTTTGACCAAACTTACAAGAATCGAACATGTACATCCAAAATAAAATATATGGAAGTACACTACCAGGCTTGCCTCGGATGCTGAATCTGGCCTTTATTTTTAATATGAGTGACTAGGTTAAAAGTTTTTTGAGCTAGTCTCATTTCCAAGTAACCATAAGGCCTATTTTGACCAATCTTTCATGGATCCATTACCAGGCTTGCTTTAGATTCTGAATCCAACCTACATTTCATGGATGAGTGAAAGAGTCAAAATTTTTGGAGCAAGGAAATATTTGGAAATACCGTAAATCTGGAATTTTTTGCTGTAGATAAATTTTTAGCAAATTTGCGAGTTCATTACATTCGCAAAAATATTTTTCTTAAAAATAAATTGCCAATAAGAAAATGTAAACAAAGCAGTGGTCATTCGCAAAATTTTGAAACGTAAAAATTAATCAACAGCATTTTGACCCGAATTCGCAAAATAAAATCGACGTAAAAATTTCCAGATTTACGGTAGTCATTCTAATATAACTATTAACCTGTTGAATGATCACAATCAAATTAGAGATATTGATGAAGGTTATTCAAATGCAAAAATTTTTTTTTACCTTAAAGCTTTATTTTGAACTTGAACTTACCTCAACAAAGTCAAGATGTAGTTATGCTATACCCTGACACCAGCCTCAGGGTTAGCATTTGTGCCATGGTAGAGTTTTAGGAGCAAGTCCATGTTCTAGTAAGTATAAGTCGTACCTGGACCAAAATTGCATGGATGATGCATTTAGGAATGGACACTACCAGACTTGCTTCGGATGCTGGATCTGACCCACATTTTCCTGATGAGTGACCAGGTTAAGGTTTTTGGAGCAGGTCCATTCCCAAGAAACTGTAAGTCCTACCCAATCCAAACAAGTATGGATGATGCATCTAGGAATGGACACTACCAGACTTGCTTCGGATGCTTGATCTGACCTACTTTTTCCAGACGAGTGATGAAATTATTCCCAACTCAGCTCTACCCTGACCAAACTTGCATGGATGATGCATCTAAAGATGGACATTTGAAACTTGCTTCGGATGCTGGATCTGACCTGCATTCTTCAAACGAGTGACCAGGTTCAAGTATTTGGAAAATGTCAATCCTCAATGAACTTTAAAACCTATTTAAACAGAATTTGCTTGAATATTGTTGTCAGGATAAATACTAACTGTTAAGGAAATATGATGTGAGATTTGCCTTACTTAAACTGATAACATTCATCGAGGTGAGCTTCATAATCTTTGATTATCTATGCTTTTAAATGAAGTTTCATACTTCATGTGAAATGAGAGTGTCTCCCCTATGATGTGTCTGTTTTCTCTTTATAAGAGCAGAAGAAATTTGAGGCTGACCAGGATCCTGAAGTGAAGAGCAGTCCCTTTCCCATTTAACAGCATTCATGAGCAGAAAATGGGGTAAGATTCATACTTGACCTCTTTGTACCTTTTCCCAGTATTTTGGCTTTCGAATTGATGTTGGCTTTGTCAGGCTTTGACTTATTGATTTTGAATTGACAGGAAGCAGAAATGCTGAGACAGTTCAGAAGAAACATCACCAGAAGCCACAGCAACAGCAAAGGAAGCTTATATGGAAGTATTTTTGATTTTCTCCCTTCTTTCCCCTACCCCCTGGCCCCTGCTGACTCTAACATAACTAACCATCCCCTTTCCTCTCCCCCTCATTCGTCTTCCTGAATTCACTGTCATTGTTTTCTGATTTTTCAATGAATTGTGTTGTACTGATTTTATTCACTTGAATTTTTGTGATTTGTTGCATTGTTTTGAAGTCTTACTAATCTTGTGCCAGTTTATACTTTCAGGGACTCGGAAAAGGAACAACGATGGAGGAACAAGGTCGACAAACAGAAGAAGACGAGATGACGAGTCCATTTCCCATCTCTATACACCAGACAACGGCCCAATGTGGTAAGTAACTTTTCGTGATTTGTTGCATTCTTTTGAAGTTTTACTAACATTGTGCCAGTTTTATACTTTCAGGAACTCGGAAGAGGAACAACGATGGAGGAGCAGGGTCGACCAACAGAGGAAGACGAGCTGACGAGTCCATTTCCCATCTCTATACAGCAGCCAACATGGCCCAAAGTGGTAAGTAACTTTTCGTGATTTGTTGCATTCTTTTGAAGTTTTACTAACATTGTGCCAGTTTTATACTTTCAGGAACTCGGAAGAGGAACAACGATGGAGGAGCAGGGTCGACCAACAGAGGAAGACGAGATGACAAGTCCATTTCCCATCTCTATACAGCAGCCAACATGGCCCAATGTGGTAAGTAACTTTTCGTGATTTCTTGCATTCTTTTAAAGTCTTACTAACATTGTGCCAGTTTTATACTTTCAGGGACTGGGAAGAGGAACAACAATGGAGGAGCAGGGTCGACCAACAGAGGAAGACGAGATGACGAGTCCATTTCCCATCTCTATACAGCAGCCAACATGGCCCAAAGTGGTAAGTAACTTTTCGTGATTTGTTGCATTCTTTTGAAGTTTTACTAACATTGTGCCAGTTTTATACTTTCAGGGACTGGGAAGTGGAACAACGATGGAGGAGCAGGGTCGACCAACAGAGGAAGACGAGATGACGAGTCCATTTCCCATCTCTATACAGCAGACAACATGGCCCAAAGTGGTAAGTAACTTTTCGTGATTTGTTGCATTCTTTTGAAGTTTTACTAACATTGTGCCAGTTTTATACTTTCAGGGACTGGGAAGAGGAACAACGATGGAGGAGCAGGGTCGACCAACAGAGAAAGACGAGATGACGAGTCCATTTCCCATCTCTATACAGCAGCCAACATGGCCCAAAGTGGTAAGTAACTTTTCGTGATTTGTTGCATTCTTTTGAAGTTTTACTAACATTGTGCCAGTTTTATTCTTTCAGGAACTCGGAAGAGGAACAACGATGGAGGAGCAGGGTCGACCAACAGAGGAAGACGAGATGACAAGTCCATTTCCCATCTCTATACAGCAGCCAACATGGCCCAATGTGGTAAGTAACTTTTCGTGATTTCTTGCATTCTTTTAAAGTCTTACTAACATTGTGCCAGTTTTATACTTTCAGGGACTGGGAAGAGGAACAACAATGGAGGAGCAGGGTCGACCAACAGAGGAAGACGAGATGACGAGTCCATTTCTCATCTCTATACAGCAGCCAACATGGCCCAAAGTTGTAAGTAACTTTTCGTGATTTGTTGCATTCTTTTGAAGTTTTACTAACATTGTGCCAGTTTTATACTTTCAGGGACTGGGAAGTGGAACAACGATGGAGGAGCAGGGTCGACCAACAGAGGAAGACGAGATGACGAGTCCATTTCCCATCTCTATACAGCAGACAACATGGCCCAAAGTGGTAAGTAACTTTTCGTGATTTGTTGCATTCTTTTGAAGTTTTACTAACATTGTGCCAGTTTTATACTTTCAGGGACTGGGAAGAGGAACAACGATGGAGGAGCAGGTTCGACCAACAGAGAAAGACGAGATGACGAGTCCATTTCCCATCTCTATACAGCAGCCAACATGGCCCAATGTGGTAAGTAACTTTTCGTGATTTGTTGCATTCTTTTGAAGTTTTACTAACATTGTGCCAGTTTTATACTTTCAGGGACTGGGAAGAGGAACAACGATGGAGGAGCAAGGTCGACCAACAGAGGAAGACGAGATGACGAGTCCATTTCCCATCTCTATACAGCAGCCAACATGGCCCAATGTGGTAAGTAACTTTTCGTGATTTCTTGCATTCTTTTAAAGTCTTACTAACATTGTGCCAGTTTTATACTTTCAGGGACTGGGAAGAGGAACAACGATGGAGGAGCAGGGTCGACCAACGGAGGAAGACGAGATGACGAGTCCATTTCTCATCTCTATACAGCAGCCAACATGGCCCAATGTGGTAAGTAACTTTTCGTGATTTGTTGCATTCTTTTGAAGTTTTACTAACATTGTGCCAGTTTTATACTTTCAGGGACTGGGAAGAGGAACAACGATGGAGGAGCAGGGTTGACCAACAGAGGAAGACGAGATGACGAGTCCATTTCCCATCTCTATACAGCAGCCAACATGGCCCAAAGTGGTAAGTAACTTTTCGTGATTTGTTGCATTCTTTTGAAGTTTTACTAACATTTTGCCAGTTTTATACTTTCAGGGACTGGGAAGAGGAACAACGATGGAGGAGCAGGGTCGACCAACAGAGGAAGACGAGATGACGAGTCCATTTCCCATCTCTATACAGCAGACAACATGGCCCAAAGTGGTAAGTAACTTTTCCTGATTTCTTGCATTCTTTTAAAGTCTTACTAACATTGTGCCAGTTTTATACTTTCAGGGACTGGGAAGAGGAACAACAATGGAGGAGCAGGGTCGACCAACGGAGGAAGACGAGATGACGAGTCCATTTCTCATCTCTGCCAATTTCTGTTGAAATTTACAATATACATGTAACAAAAAAATTGTGTACTCGCAGCGTTAGTTTATATTTCACGATTTAATGACCGCAGTAGTACTTAGTGTAATGAATGATGAATACGTAATTAAATCACGTGAGCATGATGTTTGAACATAATTCACAACTGAATTCACAAAGCAGTAACAGGTAACTGCGCAGCAGACTTTCAGATCAGTTCATTACATTTTTCAGTCGAAAGTGCATTACAGGAGCCCAGAGATGATCAAAAATTGAGGTAAATATTCTAAAGCTGTTGTAATAAAAAATGTTTAAGAATTTGTTTAATTTCTCTGAGGAAGGTTGAATATTTTGACATCCCCGCCATATTCAAAGGGTATTTTCCCTGGTCAGTGGTCAAACGACACAACTTCCAGATCTCCTTAGACAGCTGTAGATAGCTTTACAAATGACACAAAATAGTCTGCAATTTTAGGGGAAATGTAGTTACAAGGGAATAAATAGGACAGGATATATTCGTCGCATTTAATCTTGCAAATATGCATTAAAATAAAAAAAAGGCTTTCGGTTAAGAGGTTTTTCACATTTTCAAAATGCAATAGAATCCATAAAAATCAACCGAATACATGAAAAATTGAAACGCATTTATTTCTTTAAAAAAAATTATCTCAGACCCCCCCCCCCCCCCCCCCTTCCAGTAACCTAGCAATGTCTCTTATATAACAAGACAGGTTTGAGACATAAACATTTTGTCCTGCCCAGAGGTAGAGCATATTCTAGATTAACTGCTAAAATTGTTTTATAATTGGGGGATTGATTAATACATAAATTTATTATTTGTTTCTTGCATGCATTTGTAATTTATTTGCATCGGGATCGAAATTGTGAGTTTTAAATTTTGACATGTGGCGCGAACAGCAAATCTGGCGTAAGTGGACGGTCAGGTGAGTTGGTTGGGGAAAACAGTTTACATTATTTGAAATAACATTTGTCGGATTCAGATGCACGTATTGATAAAACGTTGATAAAGTATTTTTAAGCTGCGGAAAGGGACAGCTTAAAACCTACAGGTGAATTACCGAGGGTAATCTATAAAACAAAAAAGTGAAATATGGTTTGAAAATGTATTGTGCTTTTAGACTCTGCATAAGTTTGGGACATCAGATCCTAAGTGGGGTTAACTTTGCCCTGAATCAACTGTGTATCGATAATGCAAATATTTTTACTGACAGGCATTTTTAGGGTGTAGAAGGGGCCTGTTTTTTGCTCCATTCATAATGGCAAAAAGTATGTGTTTTCCCAATTTCACCAAAGAAAATTTCCAACAGACAATCAAAACAAACAAAATTTGGTTATAAAATATTTGGACTCTGTAATGTATAATCTAATTGATGTTCAAATAAATATATAAACGACGTGCTCCAAATACTGATTAAGTGAATGCTGAAGTATTGTATGTATAAACTGACAATGATAGTAATTGTTTATATTTGTATTCAGCATTAATCATACAAGACTTACGATATTATAATACGCAATCTCTCCTACAATACAAGTGACTAGATCTACACACCACCATGCACAACAGACGACAACTTACTCACACTTGCGCATTGCACACAGTGTCAAGTTAACACATACCTGCACACACTCATACCACACTAAACTCCCCTCCCTTTTGAAAAAGAGGGAGGTACTCCTGTACCTTAATACATCATATGCAAGTAAAAAAGTCAATGAGTACCTTGCAAATAAAAGATAAACTATTATTTATTTACATAAATAGAAAAATGACAAAATTATAGTTTTTTTTTAAATTTCAACCAAATGTCACTTTTTTCTCAAATGGAATAGCCCAGCCAATTGATGTTTTGCCCCCTTTCCGGATTCTGCTGGAAATCAAGTGATGAGGTTGTCGGCATGACATTTTACTTGCATAAATTTATTCATCAAATCAGAGATGGCATAAAAAATATGCATTTTAATCATTTTTTTGCTCACCAATATGAAGTGGACAGGAATATTAGTAACACCCATGGGATCAGTGCAAGTGTTGGTGTCCCAGATGAAAGTTTTTGGAGCAGACTTCTTTTTAAGTACATCTATGCCCTAGCCCCTAAGGGATGCATGTAAGATGCTTCAAGTATGTTTCATTGTACCAACCAGGGTTTCAGAGACTGCAATTTCAGCTAATTTAAAAGAATGATCAGGTTAATGTTTTTGAAGCAGGTGTCATTTCCAAGTATTTTGACCAAACTTACAAGAATCGAACATGTACATCCAAAATAAAATATATGGAAGTACACTACCAGGCTTGCCTCGGATGCTGAATCTGGCCTTTATTTTTAATATGAGTGACTAGGTTAAAAGTTTTTTGAGCTAGTCTCATTTCCAAGTAACTATAAGGCCTATTTTGACCATGGATCCATTACCAGGCTTGCTTTAGATTCTGAATCCAACCTACCAAAATTTTTACATTTTATGGTTCATTACATTCGCAAAAATATTTTTCTTAAAAATAAATTGAGAAAATGAAAGAGCAAAATTTTGAAACGTAAAAATTTTTGGAGCAAGGAAATATTTGGAAATAGTCATTCTAATATAACTATTAACCTGTTGAATGATCACAATCAAATTAGAGATATTGATGAAGGTTATTCAAATGCAAAAATTTTTTTTACCTTAAAGCTTTATTTTGAACTTGAACTTACCTCAACAAAGTCAAGATGTAGTTATGCTATACCCTGACACCAGCCTCAGGGTTAGCATTTGTGCCATGGTAGAGTTTTAGGAGCAAGTCCATGTTCTAGTAAGTATAAGTCGTACCTGGACCAAAATTGCATGGATGATGCATTTAGGAATGGACACTACCAGACTTGCTTCGGATGCTGGATCTGACCCACATTTTCCAGATGAGTGACCAGGTTAAGGTTTTTGGAGCAGGTCCATTCCCAAGAAACTGTAAGTCCTACCCGATCCAAACAAGCATGGATGATGCATCTAGGAATGGACACTACCAGACTTGCTTCGGATGCTTGATCTGACCTACTTTTTCCAGATGAGTGATGAAATTATTCCCAACTCAGCTCTACCCTGACCAAACTTGCATGGATGATGCATCTAAAGATGGACATTTGAAACTTGCTTCGGATGCTGGATCTGACCTGCATTCTTCAAACGAGTGACCAGGTTCAAGTATTTGGAAAATGTCAATCCTCAATGAACTTTAAAACCTATTTAAACAGAATTTGCTTGAATATTGTTGTCAGGATAAATACTAACTGTTAAGGAAATATGATGTGAGATTTGCATTACTTAAACTGATAACATTCATCGAGGTGAGCTTCATAATCTTTGATTATCTATGCTTTTAAATGAAGTTTCATACTTCATGTGAAATGAGAGTGTCTCCCCTATGATGTGTCTGTTTTCTCTTTATAAGAGCAGAAGAAATTTGAGGCTGACCAGGATCCTGAAGTGAGGAGCAGTCCCTTTCCCATTTAACAGCATTCATGAGCAGAAAATGGGGTAAGATTCATACTTGACCTCTTTGTACCTTTTCCCAGTATTTTGGCTTTCCAATTGATGTTGGCTTTGTCAGGCTTTGACCTATTGATTTTGAATTGACAGGAAGCAGAAATGCTGAGACAGTTCAGAAGAAACATCACCAGAAGCCACAGCAACAGCAAAGGAAGCTTATATGGAAGTATTTTTGATTTTCTCCCTTTCCCCTACCCCCTGGCCCCTGCTGACTCTAACATAACTAACCATCCCCTTTCCTTTCCCCCTCATTCGTCTTCCTGAATTCACTGTCATTGTTTTCTGATTTTTCAATGAATTGTGTTGTACTGATTTTATTCACTTGAATTTTTGTGATTTGTTGCATTGTTTTGAAGTCTTACTAATCTTGTGCCAGTTTATACTTTCAGGGACTCGGAAGAGGAACAACGATGGAGGAGCAAGGTCGACCAACAGAAGAAGACGAGATGACGAGTCCATTTCCCATCTCTATACAGCAGCCAACATGGCCCAAAGTGGTAAGTAACTTTTCGTGATTTGTTGCATTCTTTTGAAGTTTTACTAACATTGTGCCAGTTTTATACTTTCAGGGACTCGGAAGAGGAACAACGATGGAGGAGCAGGGTCGACCAACAGAGGAAGACGAGATGACTAGTCCATTTCCCATCTCTATACAGCAGCCAACATGGCCCAAAGTGGTAAGTAACTTTTCGTGATTTGTTGCATTCTTTTGAAGTTTTACTAACATTGTGCCAGTTTTATACTTTCAGGGACTGGGAAGAGGAACAACGATGGAGGAGCAGGGTCGACCAACAGAGGAAGACGAGATGACGAGTCCATTTCCCATCTCTATACAGCAGCCAACATGGCCCAAAGTGGTAAGTAACTTTTCGTGATTTGTTGCATTCTTTTGAAGTTTTACTAACATTGTGCCAGTTTTATACTTTCAGGGACTGGGAAGAGGAACAACGATGGAGGAGCAGGGTCGACCAACAGAGGAAGACGAGATGACGAGTCCATTTCCCATCTCTATACAGCAGCCAACATGGCCCAAAGTGGTAAGTAACTTTTCGTGATTTGTTGCATTCTTTTGAAGTTTTACTAACATTGTGCCAGTTTTATACTTTCAGGGACTGGGAAGAGGAACAACGATGGAGGAGCAGGGTCGACCAACAGAGGAAGACGAGATGACGAGTCCATTTCCCATCTCTATACAGCAGCCAACATGGCCCAAAGTGGTAAGTAACTTTTCGTGATTTGTTGCATTCTTTTGAAGTTTTACTAACATTGTGCCAGTTTTATACTTTCAGGGACTGGGAAGAGGAACAACGATGGAGGAGCAGGGTCGACCAACAGAGGAAGACGAGATGACGAGTCCATTTCCCATCTCTATACAGCAGCCAACATGGCCCAAAGTGGTAAGTAACTTTTCGTGATTTGTTGCATTCTTTTGAAGTTTTACTAACATTGTGCCAGTTTTATACTTTCAGGGACTCGGAAGAGGAACAACGATGGAGGAGCAGGGTCGACCAACAGAGGAAGACGAGATGACAAGTCCATTTCCCATCTCTATACAGCAGCCAACATGGCCCAAAGTGGTAAGTAACTTTTCGTGATTTGTTGCATTCTTTTGAAGTTTTACTAACATTGTGCCAGTTTTATACTTTCAGGGACTGGGAAGAGGAACAACGATGGAGGAGCAGGGTCGACCAACAGAGGAAGACGAGATGACGAGTCCATTTCCCATCTCTATACAGCAGCCAACATGGCCCAAAGTGGTAAGTAACTTTTCGTGATTTGTTGCATTCTTTTGAAGTTTTACTAACATTGTGCCAGTTTTATACTTTCAGGGACTGGGAAGAGGAACAACGATGGAGGAGCAGGGTCGACCAACAGAGGAAGACGAGATGACGAGTCCATTTCCCATCTCTATACAGCAGCCAACATGGCCCAAAGTGGTAAGTAACTTTTCGTGATTTGTTGCATTCTTTTGAAGTTTTACTAACATTGTGCCAGTTTGATACTTTCAGGGACTGGGAAGAGGAACAACGATGGAGGAGCAGGGTGGACCAACAGAGGAAGACGAGATGACGAGTCCATTTCCCATCTCTATACAGCAGCCAACATGGCCCAAAGTGGTAAGTAACTTTTCGTGATTTGTTGCATTCTTTTGAAGTTTTACTAACATTGTGCCAGTTTTATACTTTCAGGGACTGGGAAGAGGAACAACGATGGAGGAGCAAGGTCGACCAACAGAGGAAGACGAGATGACGAGTCCATTTCCCATCTCTATACAGCAGCCAACATGGCCCAAAGTGGTAAGTAACTTTTCGTGATTTGTTGCATTCTTTTGAAGTTTTACTAACATTGTGCCAGTTTTATACTTTCAGGGACTGGGAAGAGGAACAACGATGGAGGAGCAGGGTCGACCAACAGAGGAAGACGAGATGACGAGTCCATTTCCCATCTCTATACAGCAGCCAACATGGCCCAAAGTGGTAAGTAACTTTTCGTGATTTGTTGCATTCTTTTGAAGTTTTACTAACATTGTGCCAGTTTTATACTTTCAGGGACTGGGAAGAGGAACAACGATGGAGGAGCAGGGTTGACCAACAGGGGAAGACGAGATGACGAGTCCATTTCCCATCTCTATACAGCAGCCAACATGGCCCAAAGTGGTAAGTAACTTTTCGTGATTTGTTGCATTCTTTTGAAGTTTTACTAACATTTTGCCAGTTTTATACTTTCAGGGACTGGGAAGAGGAACAACGATGGAGGAGCAGGGTCGACCAACAGAGGAAGACGAGATGACGAGTCCATTTCCCATCTCTATACAGCAGCCAACATGGCCCAAAGTGGTAAGTAACTTTTCGTGATTTGTTGCATTCTTTTGAAGTTTTACTAACATTGTGCCAGTTTTATACTTTCAGGGACTGGGAAGAGGAACAACAATGGAGGAGCAGGGTCGACCAACAGGGGAAGACGAGATGACGAGTCCATTTCCCATCTCTATACAGCAGCCAACATGGCCCAAAGTGGTAAGTAACTTTTCGTGATTTGTTGCATTCTTTTGAAGTTTTACTAACATTGTGCCAGTTTTATACTTTCAGGGACTGGGAAGAGGAACAACGATGGAGGAGCAGGGTTGACCAACAGAGGAAGACGAGATGACGAGTCCATTTCCCATCTCTATACAGCAGCCAACATGGCCCAAAGTGGTAAGTAACTTTTCGTGATTTGTTGCATTCTTTTGAAGTTTTACTAACATTGTGCCAGTTTTATACTTTCAGGGACTGGGAAGAGGAACAACGATGGAGGAGCAGGGTCGACCAACAGAGGAAGACGAGATGACGAGTCCATTTCCCATCTCTATACAGCAGCCAACATGGCCCAAAGTGGTAAGTAACTTTTCGTGATTTGTTGCATTCTTTTGAAGTTTTACTAACATTGTGCCAGTTTTATACTTTCAGGGACTGGGAAGAGGAACAACGATGGAGGAGCAGGGTCGACCAACAGAGGAAGACGAGATGACGAGTCCATTTCCCATCTCTATACAGCAGCCAACATGGCCCAAAGTGGTAAGTAACTTTTCGTGATTTGTTGCATTCTTTTGAAGTTTTACTAACATTGTGCCAGTTTTATACTTTCAGGGACTGGGAAGAGGAACAACGATGGAGGAGCAAGGTCGACCAACAGAGGAAGACGAGATGACGAGTCCATTTCCCATCTCTATACAGCAGCCAACATGGCCCAAAGTGGTAAGTAACTTTTCGTGATTTGTTGCATTTTTTTGAAGTTTTACTAACATTGTGCCAGTTTTATACTTTCAGGGACTCGGAAGAGGAACAACGATGGAGGAGCAAGGTCGACCAACAGCAAAAGACAGGATGACGAGTCCATTTCCCATCTCTATGCAGCAACCAATATGGCTCAAGGTTGTAAGTAACAAATTGATTATTCAAATGAAGTTTGTCATTTGTTAGGGAATGTGAGTGATTCTCCTTTGATGTGTTTGTTTTCTCTTTTTAAGCAGAAGAAATTTGAGGCTGACCAGGATCCTGAAGTGAAGAGCAGTCCCTCTCCCATTTAACAGCATTCATGAGCAGAAAGTGCAGTAAGATTCATACTTGACCTCTGAGCACCTTTTCCCAATATTATGGCTTTCCAATTGATGTTGGCTTTTTCAGGCTTTGACCTCTTGAGTTTGAATTGACAGGAAGCAGAGATAGCCACCTCTGAAGGTCAGTCTGGAGTGTTTTCTGCTGCATTCAGAAAGTATGGGGTGTATAGTAGTTGTAAGTAGCGTTACAAAGGTGTTTCTTAGTCTTAGGTTTAGTTTGTATAGTATTTCCGGTAGGTGCAGTTGTGTTGTAGTTTGAGTTAGTAAGTAGGCTTTAGTTGATAGTTAGACAGCTTAGAGGAGTGTAGGTTATTATTGTAATTAAGGTATTTGTTAGTTAGTGCATGATTAGTGCTTGTGGTGGATAGGTTTGCATGATTAACACCCTAACAAGCAGGGTTCTCCATGAGCTGTTTTACTGTGTTGGTCCCGACACAGAAAAATGTTCTCCGACACAGTAAAGATTCAAATTTTATCTGTGCGACACATTAAAAATTTTGCTGACACAGTAAGATCTGTGATAATAAAAAAAAATTGAAACATACAAATTCTCTCTATCTGAAACATAATTGATCAAACAATTCTACCGTCTTTCAATTCTATATGATATCTAGATCACTTAATTATGCTTTCACCTTGCATAATCAATTATTTCCTAGACCCTCAATGGACTTGACGCATGAAGGAACAAAGACAAAAAATTGGATTTCAAACTTCCATGTAACGCTTAATTGGTACTAGTAGTTGCAATTAAAGTACATTGTATTATTTTTAAAAATATATTTAAATGTCTTTTCTTTAGAGCCATGGCTCTAGAATTATGTTTGCAATGTAAATCAAACATAACACTGTACCAAAATCATTTACTTGATGTAAATAAATAGTTTTCAATTTTCAAGGAACTTTTAAAAGTATTTTACTATTCCGAAGTCTCTTTTTTTGTAATTCCTTAATTCGATCAATAAAATTGACAAAAAAATTATGACAAATTTGCTTTAAAAAATTGTAAGTAGTTCAACTTTATAGACAAGAATTTCCTCTGCATTTCACAACATGTGCTAATATGTTCGACCATACTATTTTTGTAACGAATTGGTGATTTTTTTTTAAAAAAAATTGTGTGCATGTATTCTTAAGTAATTATAATGAATAGTGAGTCAGTTGCAAATTTGATCGCTAAAATACCGTGAAATTTTAGTGCTTTGCATAAACTCTGCAACACAGTAAAATTTCAAACAATGGAGAACCCTGAACAAGTAACAAGCTACTAAAACTACTAACGTCTGCTAAATGTTGTGTGACGCGTCTAGTGTGTTGGTGTTAGTGTCTGTGTGCTTGTCACCTCTCGCTTTCAGCCATCACCGCTGGCTAGCAGCAATGCGAAAAGGGGGAAGAAATTCTAATGTCTTCCCCTGCCAGTACATAGCCTCTCCACAACAAGTCCTATGCGATGCCTCCACGTGGAAGCAGACGGATACTGGGTATCATTTTGTCCCAGGCTAAGTTCGCAAGGGCGCATGGGAAGATGAGTCTCAAAAGCATTGGTAAACATCTCATATAGGATCTCTCCTGATCACAAACCCAATTTAGTAGTAGAATCAATTGATATAAGTGCTGGTTTTTAAAAGAAGTGAACCTTTGTTCATTTTATGTCTTTGTCATCTTTTTAGCTCACCTGAGCCAAAGGCTAAAGTGAGCTTTTCTGATCACGTTTTGTCCGTCGTCTGTCCGTCCGTCCATCTGTTAACTTTTCACATTTTCGACTTCTTCTCAAGAACCACTGGGCCAATTTTGACCAAACTTGGTACCAAGCATTCTTGAGTGAAGGGGAATTTAAATTGTTAAAATGAAGGGCCAAGTCCCCTCACAAGGGGAGATAATCAAGATAAGACAAAACTAGGGTGGGGTTATTAAAAAATCTTCTCAAGAACCGCTGGGCCAGAAAAGCTGAAACTTGTGTGGAAGCATCCTGGGGTAGTGTAGATTCTAAATTGTTCAAATCATGACCACCTGGGGAAGGGCGGGGCCACAATGGGGAATCAAAGTTTTACATAGAAATATATAGGAAAAATCTTTGAAAATCTTCTTAAGAACCACTGGGCCAGAAAAGCTAAAACTTGCGTGGAAGCATCCTGGGGTAGTGTAGATTTCAAATTCACAAGAATAATAATTAAATTTTGATCGCCATAAAAATAAAGGCGTGGGGTATTTTGGTGTGGGGTCACAATACGCGAAAATTAATGTGTTACAAGGGATATACTTTTTTTTCTCAAGCCATAATTAGTTATATTGAGCGCAGATCATCCTTTTTGGTAGTGAAGATTTCATTTTGTTCAAATCATTAAAGAAAGATCATGACTCCCAGGTGTAGCAGGGCCCCAATGGTTCAAAGCTGTAAAAATTTTTATCTCGAGAGAACTTTATTTTCAGGTATGGTCGCGAAAATTTGATTCTCGCGTATAATATGAACGAAAAATGAAAATTAAGTGATTTACAGTATATAGGAAATGTCTTCTCAATAATACCAAAGCCATATATAGTCATATTGATATGGAAGCCTCTTGTAGTGTAAAATTGTCCAAATCTTGATTCATCTTTGGTCAAATTTCAAAGGAAATAGGAAAAGATTTTATGTTGGATAAATGCCATTGTTATTGATATGAAAAGTTTATTCAAATGAAGGCCCCTTCTCCTCTTCCTAAATTTATACTTTTCAATACTGGACTAATTTGTCATTTACTAGCCAATATGCTTAGGTGAGCATATTGCCCATTGGCCACTAGTTTATTTTAGAAATCTTCTCACTTGGTATGAAGTGCAAGTGATCCTCTTTTGGTGTCTGTTAATTTTTATCTTTTTAAGAGGAATACTTTTAAGGCTGAACAGGATCCTGAAGTGAGGAGGACTCCCTCTCTCATTGAACTGCATACAGCAGCAGAAAGCAGGGTAAGATTCAGATTTTACTTCTTGTATCTTTGCTTGCCTATTGCTGTACCAAGCTTTAACATCTGGACCTTCAATTGACAGATTTCAGTTCCCCTTTGATTCAGAAGAGGAACAACAATGGAGGACCAAGGTCATTAATATAAGAAGAGTCTATTCCTGTCTGTGTTTTGCAGGTATTATGTTTCAAAAGTGGTAAGCAACAAGCTGCTTTTTACTGAAGCTTCTCACTTGGTATTAAGTGCAAGTGTTTCCCCTTTTATGTCTCTGTTTTATCTTTTTAAGCAGAAGAAAGTTAAGACTGACCAGGAATTCTAAGTGAGGAAGAGTCCCTTTCCCATTCCGCTGCAGCCATGAGGAGAATACTCGTAAGAATCAGACTTTACTTCTTTTTCACCTATGGAACTTCATCATGACCCACTTTAACAGGCAGGAGTCTTACAAGTATTTTTTATTTAATTATTTCTGACATATCTTTGTCCTCCCTACTCTAAAGTAACTATGCTTTCCTCTCCTTGCCCCAATATTCCACCTTATTCCTAGCTATCATAACCTTATTGTCTTTATTTGCTTTTTGATTTTCAAGCTAATAATGTTGTAATGATTATGTTCATTTGAATTTCTGTGATTATTACATTGCTTTGTATTATTGCTTATCTTCTCTCCATCAAGTATTTTCAAGGAATTTGACAAGGGAAGAGGACCAGTGCTGACCAAGTGAAGAAAAAGAAGAGTCTATTGCCAAGCTTTGTACAGCAGCCAATATCTGATTAAGGAGTGGGTAAAAAGATTTATTTTTTGCAATTTACAAATTTTCTTTATACACTTATCAAATCATAGGTCCAGGGGGATTTACTTCTGCTGCACAACAGCAAGACTGTGTTGCAATAACAATAGGGCATCCCGAGGATGTGTTGTTTCAAATGAAATTACGTTACATCATGATCCCTTTGGACTAGGATTAGTAAAAAAAATATGAATTAAGAATTTTTCTTTTGATGACAAAGTCAAGGTGACTCAGGTGAACATTTTGGCACAAGGTATTTTTGTTCATGTTTTTTTCATTATCAAGTAGAAGATGAGACTGATCTCAATCAGTTAACAAGAATGTGGAAAGTAAGGACTTACTACTGTCTAACCTAAACATTGATGGTTAGTCAGATCAGATGCATGTAAAGCTCTAGACCTTGCATTATGTGAATTAGAGGAGATTTTGACTCTCTCATTGCTTGGATTCTTAGTGTCTTTTTGTTAATAGGCAGGCGGTTATGCTGGCATTGATCCTGTTTCCAAAAGCAGATCAACATGATTCCTCAAGACTCCAAAGAGATCAACTATGGGACCTGAAAATAAAGGTAAGACACATGTACAAGCTCTGCAAAATCCTTCTATTCTGTAAAAATATGTTAGCTATTTTTCATTTATTAAGATTTTATTAATATTTATGTTGAGATGTAATTTCTTTTTTTACAGGCAGACTGCCATCAATTTCATGTTTCTTTGATAGCAGACAAATATGCTTCAACAATAGTGCAGAGTAATTTAAGGTTTGTACTGTAAGTGATGGACACACTAAATAACTCAACTCAAAGAATTCAATGGATAGTGCTGAGTACATTGTTATATATCTACAAAGTGATGGGCACACTAAATAGCTTAACTAATTCAATGGACCGCACTAGAACATTGTTATATATCTACAAAGTGATGGACACACAAAATAGCTTAACTGTTGAATTCAATGGAGTGCTAATACATTGTTATCTACAAAGTGATGGACACACTAAATAGCTTAACTCACAGAATCCAATGGACAGAGTTGTGTATGTACTAATATCTACAAAGTGATGGACACAGTAAACAGCTTAACACCATGATTCAGTGTACCATGCTGAGTACATAACTCATTTTTATGAACATATGACATCCACAGCAGATCACTCAAAGTTGTGTTAATTATTTTACAACTTTTTATATACGTTTTTTTTTTTTGTATCTGTATATTATATTTTTTAATTTAAAAATGTTAACTGATTTTTAAGGAAAAATATCAAGAGAGGTAAATCAGTGCTTTTGTGACAATCTAAGCTTAAGAGAAAAAAAAGTTGTGTGAAATCTTATGCGATAGTTATGCGTGATTTTTCTAAGCCTTATTCTGTGTTTTTCTGTAAACAATTTTTTGCTTGTCCACTACAGTTTTGGTCTGATTTCAAGATAACTTGGCACACAAGTAGACTACACTAAAATACATAATTCTTGCATAACTTTTTTGACTTTTAACATTGCCATGGTTAAATATAGAAATTTTTGAAATGCATTCAAAATGCTACTCCTCCTACAGTTTTAGTCCGATTTCAATATAACTTGGCACACAAGTAGACTACACTAAGATACATAATTCTGTGCATCGGTTTTTGATTTCGATGAACGATGTTGCCATGTTTACTAAAAATAGAAATTTCCGTAAAATTGTTTCAGAATGCTACTCCTCCTACAGTTTTGGTTCGATTTCAATATAGCTTGGCACACAATAGACTACACTAAGATTAATAATTCTGTGCATCTTGTAATTTTTTTTTTACAGGCAGACTGCCATCAATTTAAAAATGAAATTTCTGTGAAATGCAGACAAATATGCTTCAACAATAGTGCTAGAGTAATTTTAGGTTCAATATAACTTGGACACACAAATAACTCACACTCAAGGAATTCAATTAGTGCATCGGTTTTTATATATTACAAAGTGATGGGCACTAAAAATAGAAATTTCTGAAATGCATTCAAAATGCTACTCCTCCTAAAGTTTTATATATTTCAATAGTTACTTGGCACACAAGTAGCTACACTGTACATAATTCTTCAATGGACCGTGTGTTACATGGTTACTAAAAATGAAATGGACACATTCAAAATGCTACTCACTCCAATGGACAGATTTCAATATTACTAATGGCACACAAGTGAAGGACACAGTAAACAGCATAATTCTGTGCATTGGTTTTTGATTCATTACCATGTTGCTGGTTACATAAAAATAGAAATTTCTGTGAAATTCTCAAAATGCATACTGACATCCACAGCAGATTTCAATATAACTTGGCATACAAGTAGACTACACTAAGATACATAATTCTGTGCATCGGTTTTAGATGTTATACAATGTTGCCATTTTAAAAATAGAAATTTTTTTTTTTTTGCTATCTGTATATTATATTTTATAATTGGCAACAAAGTTAAAGATTGGATTTTTGATGAGCAAAAATATCTAATTATTGCTGTTAAAAGTTTGTCTGAATATTTAAGCTATAAAGAAAGGGAGATAATTTTTTTTTATTGTGAATCCTTGTCCAGAGCATATGCTTTCTCCCCTTGGTCCAATGTGGCTAATACTTCTCTCACAGAGTGCCACTGGTCAATGGATGTGTAGTGACCTTGAACAAAGTTTCTAGGCCAAGAGTCAAGGTTAAAACCCCTTTCAGCTACTTTACATTTTTATGTTCATTGCTGAAAGTGGGACCCTTTGAGATGGCCACCATCTCAATGATATCTAAAAATTGCTAGAAAAGATAAAGTGATCTCATTGTAACATTATTATTTTTTAGTGTTTTAGATTATAAATAAATATAACAATATGCAAAATCTAAATTCTTTTATATTTTCTCTCCTTTGATTTACATAGCAGACCTTGCAGTTTTTAGCTCATATGAGATTTTCTGATCACGTACCTGTTGTCCGTCGTCCATCCGTCTGACTGTCCATTCATCTGTAAACTTTTCACATTTTCAGCTTATTCTTGAGAACCATTGGGCCAATTTTGACCAAACTTAGTACAAAACATCCTTGGGTAGTGGGAGTTTAAATTATAAAAATAAAGTCCCCTTCCGAGGGGAAATTGTCAAGAATATACAAAAATAGGGTGGGGTCATAAAAAAATCTTCTCAAGAACCACTGGGCCAGAAAAGCTAAACTTCTGTGGAAGCATCCTGGGGTAGTGTTACTAGTGTAGATTCTAAATTGCTTGGATCATGACCCCTGGGGATTGGGAAAGGTCAAGATAGGTATTAGGGGGAAATCTGTTTAATAACATAATGGCCAAAGTTACTCAGGTGAGCGATGTATGGGCTTTTGCTTATCTTATTTAGTTTTATCTTTGTATGCAACACTATTTCCTTCTTGTAGTTGTTACTGAGGTTCTAAGTAATTTAAGTTTTTTATGAAATATTTTTCCTTGTCAAGTTCTATAAGCATGTTCTACTTCATACACAAGTAGTATATTAAGATTTTCTAGATGTTTCATATTTTTTTCAATTTTTCTTGAAAAGCATAACTGATGTACATGTAATTGTAAAAATTGTGTTTGTCCCTTGTGATACATGATTAATTTATGTCAGTTTGAATTTATCATATATATTAAAATACACTATTATACAGTCTGTTTGTCATGGAATTAAACTTGTTGAGTTTTTATTCCACCTCTATAATTGAAGATTTGGGGGCATATTTTGATAAACTGTCTGTCTGTTTATGTGTCTCCAAATTTACTAATTTTTACTACCCATGGCCATTCCTTTTGAACTTTTTTTAACCTTTAAGTTAGACTTTGACCTACTTTGGTAAAACAAAGGAAGTTTTAGGGAATTTTGTCTAGGCTCTAACTTTGATATATGGAAACATTGGAAGCTTATACTTGTTATAGAACTTGCTTGTAATGACCCGACAGTGAGTCCTGATCTGACACAAGGTCATTCCTGCAAGTTCAAGGTCACTGGCCTAAAGGTATGAAATTTCTGTCTGGATCATAACTTTGTAGAAAGAATCACTGGAAGCTCAAACCTGGTACAGGGATTGCTTATGACCCAAAAATGTGTCATGATCTTATCCAGTCATTCCATTTAGTTCAAGGTTACTAGTAGAAAAAAGGTATGACATAACTTGACTTTGTAATGGAGAGTCAGTGGAAGCTCATACTCGGTACAGATATTGCTTATGATCAAAGAATATGCCTTGACCTTTATCCAAGGTCATTTTGGCAATTTCAAGGTCACTGGTAGAAAAAAGAAAAAAAATGTCTCGGCTAAAACTTTATTTGGAAAAGAATTGGTACAGGTATTGTTTTTGAAATAAGGAAAGTTGTTATTTTAATCCAGTGTCAATGCAGCAAGTTCAAAGTTACAGGCAGAATAGTGTAAAATTATTTTTTTAAGACTTTAACTTAACAATGTAGAAATACTAGGAGCTCGTACTTGATACAAAGATTGCTCATTGGAACCTGATACAGGTACTGTTTATGAACCTAAGGAGTGTCATGACTTTAATTCGAAGTCAAATAGCAAGTGAAAGGTTGGTGGTATAAGAATTAAAAATTATGACAAGCCTTTATTATCTGATGGAGAAATATCTGTACGTATGCACGATGATTCACTTAAAGTTTACTAATGATCAAAGTATATGTGAATTTTGACTAGTCTCAGTCTTTTTGGCAAGAAATTGAAATGAAATGGCAAATTGAAAAAAAAAATTCATTTTGGACCAATCCCGATCAAAATAAAACCATAATGAATAAAATAACAATTTATTGCCTTCTTTATTGTCCCCCGCTTTAGCAAAAGCGAGGGGACATTAAATCTCATTCGTCTGTCCGTCCGTCACAAAAACTTTAACCTTGCCCATTATTTTTGATTTAGTGGAGCTATGACTTTCATATTTCACTTGTGTGTCCCTTGTGAGAAGACCTTTCTTTGGGTACCACCATATTTGACCTTTTGACCTAGACCTTGGAGTTTGACCCACTTTTACACAAAAAATCCAAACTTTTACTTTGGCCATATCTTTTGAATAGTAGAAACTAGGAATTTCATATTTCACATATGCATTTTTTGTGTCAAGGCCTTTCATTGGATACCAACAATTTTGACCTTTTAACCTTGACCTTAGAGACCTATGAAAAAACTTTTACCTTGACCATAACTTTTGAACGGAAAGGGCTAGGGCTATCGTACTTCACATATGTAATCCTTGTGAAAAGACCTTTCATTGGATACCAAGAACTTTGACCCTTTGACCTTGACCATGGAGATTGACCTAATTTTCAAAAACTTTGACCATGGCCACAACTTTTGAACGGTAGATACTACATGTAGGACTTCATATTTTCGCACATATGTATTTTTTGTCGCAAGACCTTTCATTGGATACCAACAACTTTGACCTTTTGACCTTGGAGATTTCCGTACTTATGAAAAAACTTTAACCTTGACCATATCTTTTGAATGGTAGAAACTAGGACTTACATATTTCACATATGTATTTTTTGTGGCAAGGCCTTTCATTGGATACCAACCATTCTGACATTTTGACTTTGACCTTGGAGATTTCCGTACTTTTGAAAAAAAAAAAGTTTAACCTTGACCATAACATTTGAACGGTAAGGGCTAAGGCTTTCATACTTCACATATGTAATCCTTATGAGAAGACCTTTCATTGGATACCAAGAACTTTGACCCTTTGACCTTGACCTTGGAGATTGACTTACTTTTCCAAAACTTTTACCTTGGCCATAACTATTGAACGGTTAAGGTTAGGGTTTTCATCCTTCACATATGTATTACTTGTGACCTTTTTAAAGAAATCAACAACTCAGATCCTTTCACCTTGGAGTTTGACCTACCTTTCAAAAATGTATACTTGGCCATAACTTTCTTTTGAACAGGGGGGGTGGGATTTCGTATTTCACAATCGTATTTCTTGTCTGAAAACCTTACTTTGTGTAATATCAAATATATTTCATTTGAATTAAGAAATGTTAAATCTTTGTTATGTTGCCATACAAGGTCATCTGTGTTTCACAATTTGACACATCTTGTTCCTTATATTGAGAAGAGATAGGACTTTCATATTTGACATGTGCATTACCTGTGACAAGATATTTCCGAGCATGCTATGAATTCTTACCCCTTGACCTTGACCTTCACAATTGACCTTATTTAAAAAAAAAAAATCAACTTCAGTGATAATTTCTAAATAAATGACATATGATAGGGTGTTCATATTAGACACAATGTGTCATAAAAAAAATGACATCTCATCCACAAAGACACTGAAAACGGGGGACCACAATTCTTTGAATTTGCTTGTTCACAGTGGTTTAAGGTAACATGTTACTAGTAGTATATTAATCCAGCAATATAGACACCAACATATTTTTCTTCAGTTTCAATAAGTCAAGTCAATATTTTTTACCACTAAAACGTATCTTTAATTGCTTTGCGGCCCCAAACCCAAATCATGCAGGAAGAAGGATTTTTTAAATCTTCATGTCCAGTGCTGACCTCGATCTTCCTAATTTCCATATTTGTGTGGCTCTTCATTTTTTTTTTAAATTAATACATTAAAAACTGAGTTCCTTGTTTAAACAATTTACACAAAAGACTACAAAATATCAAGGTATTTATTGTACTTTCTTTATTTCATTCTTTTTTGATGAAAATTGAAATTGAAGACAATGAAATACAATTAAAAATAGCACAAAATGGGCACAATCTAGGGGGAGGAGTCAGACACAAACTGGAAACACAGGCCCCAACCATGGAAACAGATCACATTTTTATTAATAAAAAATAAAAATGTGCTCTATTAAAAGTAATAATCATGGGGGAGGAGTCAAACACAGGTGTAATGACAGACATCAGGGCCTGAATTTTGTGAAGTTGAACATTCATCTGGAAAAAAAAATAAACTGTAAAATCACATTTTTATTAATAAAAAATAAAAAATGCTCAATGTCTTGCACATAATACGCATAAATAGGAACACTGAGAAATGCACAAATAATAATAAGTCATTCATCAAAAATCAATTTTGCCATATATCATACACGCTAAATATAATACATTTACAGTATACAGACCAGTTTCCTTGCAAAAAAATTATAATTCTGATTATTCAAAAATACATCCATTTTTGCAAATGAATGCTCACAACAAACACAAAATTTGATAATGTTTCTAAAGCTATTTTCTTTAACAATTACAGAAAACATTTATTTACACATGAATTTTTATGACAGAAAGAAAGGGAAAGACAAGGAATAGTACAGAAACTACATATGGGTGAGTACAGTACAACATCTTTTAAGGAAGCTTAAAAAATGTTGAAAAACATGTTCTTTCTGGATTCTGAATAGATGTACATACCAAACTAACCATATCTAGTTATTTGTCCACAAATAGGACCTTCCATATTTCATTCAAGAAAAATGTTCAAAGATAATGAAGTATCAGTACCCTCCCCCAATATACACTCCGTAGATTTCCATAACATAGAATTTAACATTTTATTTAAAAAAATCATACATGGGCTATTATAAAACATCATAATACTGCAGGTGCATAAATCTATCATAGAATTTGAACTCTTCAATGAGCAGTGCTTAGAGCTCCCTTAAAGCTAGACCTTGATTAAACTTACCATCAGAGTCTTAATTCTCTCCCAGGGTTGATCACTTTTTCCGGAATTTAAGGTGAGGCAAGTTCCACACACCATAGCATGTAAGGCCGTGGTAGCAAAAGCTGGGATGACCAGGTCATCCTTAATAAACAGTGGTAGCATGCTACAACACAAATCATAAACAATGTACTGTACATGTATATATTTCAAGAATTGGGGAAAATTACTATTATTATTTTTTCAAAAAATCAAACAAAAACAAGGACCTTCATGTAAACTTTTCAACCATATTAATTTTAAGTAATATATCTACATGTTTGCAGGTTTATTTTAATGTCTTTGTTTCTAACAAAACAATGCTTCAAATTGTAACTAAGGGTCTGGTTATTAGAAATCACAAAAAATGTCACAACTCAAAAGGCTTTTGTTTTCTGTACATTGATTTATGAGAATTTTAAAATCAACAAAGACAAACAATTACAATGTTTGAACTTAAAACTACAAAATTTATCAGTTTTTATACTTACCTGAATGTTGAAATGAAGTAAAACCATACACACCAAAATGGATGTTCATGAATGAGTAGGGATATTGCTCTACAAGTTTAAAACAACTGGATTATTTTCTGATAATTTTTTTTTTGAAAGACAACAGTGTCTATAAATGTTAAGAAGATTCATTTTTTAAAATTATGGAATACTGCATATACCAGAAAACTATGCATCTCTGTGATTGTTTTTTTTTTTTAATGAAAGAAGTTTTCTGAAACTGGATGCTAAAGTTGATTAATACCTAATTGATAATGAAATATAACTTACAGAGCTGGAAGAAGAATGGATTTCTCATGGACATGAAATGAAAATAAAAAGAACACCAGAGAAGAATTGACCTGCAAATAAAAACAAACAGAACAGATATTTTATTAATCAATGTATCTTACTACACTGCTACAACTCACTGAAAATCATTCATGAATTTATACACAAAACTTGTCATATAAGATGTAAGAAATATTAGACTCCCTAAAAGATGTAAGAAATACTCAACTCACTAGAGCTATTCTGAAGTTCCTGTCATTGGGAACGCACAGCAGGTGTATTGAAGAAGGCAACAAGCAAAGCAGAGTCGTCAAAAGACTGAAAAAAAAAAATAAACAGGACTGAAAAAAATGGATTGCCACTGGCTCAACTATCATATTGTGAATGATCACAAGTTTATTCTTGGTTAATATGTGTTTTGGTTTTATTACTGTATGCTGTGGGTATTTCACTCACTGGAACTAAACACTCAGGTGATCTTTTTTGTTTAAAGTTTGTTTGTTGTCTGTTTTCATCTCTTTGTCTATTATTATTTTTAAAATATATTTTTAACTTCTTTTTTCAAAACTACTGGGCCATTTACAAAACATTCGTGGGTGAAGGAATTTGAAAATTGTATATAATGCTTTCAAACAAGACAATGATGCAAAAATAGTGAATCACAGGAAAATTGAAGCTAAAAGGTGTTGAATTATATTACAGCAAAACTCGGTTATAACAAAGTCACTGGGACCTATAAAATAACTTCGTTATATCCATAATTCGTTATAACTGTATAAGAAATTCATTCAATTTGTATAGCTGGGGATCCAAGATGACTTCGCTATATCTGTAAATTTGCAATATCTGTGTTCGAACAGTCAACTAAACCATTTTTAACTGTAGATAGAATAATTTAACATCTATTTATCTCACATTCCTCTGACTTACCACAATAGAACCAGTTGATCCACAGTAAACATCTGTTTAAGTTTGATAAGGACTGATAAACTGCACCAAACATTGGCAACTTTATCCTAAACAGAATGAACAAACTTAAAAATTCTTGTTGCATGATTAAAACAAGAGGCCCAGGGGCCACATTGCTCACCTGAGCAATTGGCTAGGAAAAAGTACACATCAGACCAGAACTTGAATCCACACTACCTAAGGATGATTCCCTATAAATAAATGGCTTTAAAGTACTGATTTTAAAAAGGTTTCCCTAGAAATTCCTATGTAAACTTTTACATTTACTTAAGGGGGGGGGGGGGTTGGCTTGAATTTTAACCCCCAGGGGGTCAAAAAAAATCTCATACATTTACATCAAATGTGTGATATTTAAATGTTTTGCATATGGATGAAACAGGATATTGGTTAGAAGCAATACCGTATAAGTGGAAATCTTAGCGAGATGCAAATTTAGCGATTTCTACCTTAGAACTGGTAATTTATTTTTAGCGAGAAGTAATTTTAGCGATTGTAAAATGCTAACTAAAGAAGCTATTACAAATAATACCAATTAACTTGTAGCGATATTCAATTTTAGCTATGTCAGCACCCTCGCAAATAATCCAAAATTAAATCCTCGCTAGAATTCTACTTATACGGTAATGTATCCTTCATCAATTTTTTTTAACTGATATTTTCAGGATACCCCCCCCCCCCAAAATGGAGAGGGCTACATTATTATAGCTAGATATTGGTCTGCATTTTATCCTCCTAATTTATTACCTCATACAATCCTCTTGCCAAAGGAAAAACTCTGTGAAGAACCTGAAAAAGATTTTCTTTAGATCCTAGGAAGGGCAACCAGCAAGCTGTAAAAGTTGTCAACACGACAGAAGCTATCTTAAAAAGCTGTGGTATTCTACAATGGAAAAAAAATAGACTATAAGACTGCAAATATTCTAAAAAAAAACCACACATCATAAAAACATCATTTAATTTTTATCAATAACAATATACCTTGACCATTTCTGAAAGCACCATCCAAGCAGATAGCAAAAGAAAGGTAGTGCATGATAAAGCTCCATTTGTTTGTAGTTCAGAGCCAGACAAAAACAGATGGAGCCCCAGATATGAAAACCATGGGAAATCCATACTACTCCAAATAAGGCTAATCCCAAACTAACACAGTTATATCTTTAGGCAGGTCAAGGATTCATAGAAAAAAATTCAATTCAAAAATTCATAAGAAGTAATAGAACCTTGATACACAACAATGCACCTAATTTAATGAATTGAGAGAGAGAGAGAGAGAGAGAGAGAGAGAGAGAGAGAGAGCAATTGTGACTTCTTTGAACACATAATAGGAAAATGATAAATTACATTAGGCAGGTCAAGGATTCATAGCAAAAAATTCAATTCAAAAATTCATAAGAAGTAATAGAACCTTGATACACAACAATGCACCTAATTTAATGAATTGAGAGAGAGAGAGAGCAATTGTGACTTCTTTGAAGACAAGGTAGGAAAATGATTAATGCCTATAATATATTGTACTTGGATCATTGCAGAGGAAACTATTTTTTCTCCTTTACAAGTTAAACCAGTTTAAATAACTTATATTGTTTTGATCAATAATTTTGTGTAAAGGATACTGAAAATGGCAAATGGTCATATTTTTAGTTTAGAAGACAAAAAGCAAAATATGTGAAACCTATATAGCACCATCGAAAAACAAAAAACTGTGCACAACTTCAGTGTTATCTAAAAAGTAGAATCTTTTGAGCCGTCTGTGAATACAAAAGTTTAAAGGGAAATTTTAACTTTTTGAAATTTTAAAGAATATAATCTGAAAATTTGACAAAATCCTCGAGAGAAAATGTTGTGTTCTATGTTCAGTTTTATAAAACGATAATTTTGTGATTGGCCATGGTCAATTAGCAGGAAACCAGGAACCCTTTCCTGTGAATTGAAGGGTAATTTTTATCAATTGTTGAATACTTAATAAGAAAAACAAAATAATTGAAGCAGGGAAAAATATGGCCACATCAGCAACCAGCACTGAAGACGGTAGAAAAAATGTTAAAACTTTAAAAGTGACATCCAAAATTCACATATTATACATATACTGGTACTGAAATTTATCTGTATTTTTTCTTATTTCTTCAGTAAATCATAAATTGGATTGTATTGCTTAACCATACTACATGTATTAAGTAATTTCCTTTACATGTATTTAAATTATAACAGAAGTTATACCTGTGTATCTCATGAACAGTTTGTGGGCATAACTTTCATGTCCATGGGATTCCTTTAACGCAACCCAGGAAGGATTTATCTTGTGGGCACTGAAATTAAAAATAGACTGAACATGAATATAGTCAACAACTTCAAGGAGTAAACTAAATATAAATAGTCAACAACTTCAGTTATACAGAATTAGAAGTACACTAAACATGAATACTGTAAATCATTTTTTTTCCGCGAGAACTTTATTTTCGCGAGACGGTATGCTCATGAAAATTTCATTCTCGCGTATAATAGAATTCCTTAAGATTATATAGAGCAATGACCACAATTCGTGAAAATTTTGTCTCGCTAATGAAGAGTCAATGGCTATCTCACGAAAATAAGGTGTCACGAAAATTAAGTGATCTACAGCAGTCAACAACTTCAGTTATACAGAAATAGGTGAACACTAGACATGACTAGTCAACAACTTCAGCAATTGTACAGCATTGAAAAAGTCTTGATCATGGGAGCTCCAATTGGCTTCTTAAGTGGGTTAACTAACTGTCAGAGTGTCTTTTGATACTTACACTGCACCACAAAGCCAGCTATGATAAGCAGTCAAAGGGGGATAATCCAATCCCCAGTATGACAAATTGTTGTTTACGCCATTGAAATACCTAAAATTGAGAAGAAATTACTTATACTTCCTGCATGATAGAACACAAAAACTACATATATATCTACTAACAAATGCAATGAAATTTGAAAATAAGACAAAAACAAAATTTACTAATTTGCACTAACCTAACTTTCATACATGTTTGATAAATATATTCTGATTTTTATGATCATGAAATTAAATAATGAAACAGAAATTAGGTAGAAAATATGATTTGTCACACACCAATGAATAAAATAAGTCCCATACAATAGTTGGTTAACAGTAATGGACCTCTTAATTGGACTGCATTCTTGTTTTATATTTATCATACATTAGGTTTATTATTTAAAAGCTGCTGAATAATGTTAGTTGACAAAGAAGCATTTGTAAACTACTAAACATCAAAATTTACTTATATATGCTCTCATTATTAATGTATTAGTGATACTCTACCACTGTTGAGGAGGCAGGTGATAGGTGATTTCCATCCAGTGTCGCTGAGCTTCATAATCACCAAACATTGGAGGTTTCTCGGCCCCTTCAAGAGAGATCCAGAACAATTAAATGCTGTTTTTGCAAATAAGCACAAATTCATTGTTTGCTATAATGTGTTCTATTGGGAACACAACAGAAAATGATAATTCCTTTGGATTTTTTTTTAAAATTTAGACTAATTTTAGCAGCTGTGTTGTCAAACTATAAATTGCAAAGCCATTTTTTTCTGTCTCTGAAATTCAGATAAATTCAAATAAAATGCTTATAATATACAATTTATTTATAAAGCAAGGTATTGCCATTTCGCACATCACAAATTAACAATAATCCATAACGTTAATCTTCTGAACAGTCAATCACTTACTGGTATTCACCATGTTCAAAGTGGCACATTGACTGACTACACAGAATTGCATGTCCCCATTTATATACCTGTTCACAGATGCTCATAAGGGGAATCATTTGCAAAACAAATTATGTTATTTTTAAAATAGGATTGGCATCGGCATCAGGAAAATGTAAAAAAAAAAAAAATATTATCATAAATATAGCGATAAGGACAATAGAAGTGCAAAGCACAGTTTAGTAAGCGTGTTCTACAGTACTGATGCCATTAAGAATTACATCTGTACTTTCATGATCACACCTTCAAATGATTCCATGTGATTGTCCAATATATTATGCCATAAAAATTTAGTTCTTGCAGAGAAATATTTTTAACAGTTAAACTATATCACTGGTAACAGCTGAAGTGACAGTTGTTTAAGGTTTAATGTCCTAAAGATATATATATGCACTGTCATCAATAAATATGTATTTACCATATGAAAGTACTCAGTTGCTTAATAGTTTTCATTACTATTTCGAATTTCCTCTACCAATTCCCAAAAAGTAAGTTTGCAGAGAAAATTCAGACAATATTGTGAATGTTTGAAGAACACCTTATTGATAAAAAACAATATAGAATAAATTAAACCTGAATATTTATGGAGTGAAACCAGCCATCGCACCAAAACAGCAACAAGCAGTGCAACAACGTAAGCTGATTTGTACATAGTCAACGTCAAAATATTGCTTGCATGTTCCGCACAAAATTGCGTTTTGAAAAACGTACTTTTGACAATGTATCATTAAGAGATACAAAGTTCTATTCGTAGAGATCTGCTTTATCTTGTTTTGTTTGTTTGACTTTTGATGATAAAAAGGCTATCTTACAAATATTTTTAAACAGGAGAAATGAAAATCAAAACAGATGAAAATAAAAATATTGTATTTTTTGCGGTGACAATCCTGAATCAAACAGGTACAACTTAATGAATAAAGCCTCGCGTTTTGGAACATACTAAAGACCTGATATACTAAAGACCTGATATTTTGACCTGATGAAAAAAAAATCATATAAAATTATCAATTCAAAGATTATATTTCAAATATAAGTTGGAAAATTATTGATGAAATTATACTAAATTACACTTTTTAGGGGATAACACTGACTTTGTCATGTTTGTATCAAGGAGTACTTTTAAAAAGTTGATGACCTGATATTATTGAATGACCTGATATTTTTGAATGACCTGATATTTTTAGTGAAGACCTGATATTTTTATAAATGACTTGTAAGGGATGGTTTTAAATGACCTGATATATTAAATAATTCTTTTAGAAAGGTTAAACATTTTAAGGTTTTGAGAAGAAAATTTTTGCAGCAATTTATGAAAAAAAGGATTTTAAAATGACCTGATGATATTTCCGACTAAAGACCTGATATTTTTTTATGACCTGATATTTCTGAATGTCTTGATGGGTTTAAATGATCTGATTTATTATTATATTACATATTTTCAGGAAAATAAAACATTTTTCAATGTTAAACTTTATAAAATTTGAAAATTTGTAGCAATTCCATTTCATTTAAGAATATCAGGTTTTTAAAGTAGAAATATCTGGTCATTCAAAATTATCAGGTCATTCAAAATTATCAGGTCATCAAGTTTTGTGGATATACCTTGATATTTAGCAAAATTATCTACATATTATCCACTAAAATTGTATTTTAATATAGTTTCAGCTATAATCATCAACAATTTTTCCTCGAAAATATGAAATAAAAGTTTAAATTGTTAATTTTTATTTCATTAGGTCAAAATATCAGGTCTTTAGTATATCAGGTCTTTAGTATGTTCCTCGCGTTTTACGCATGCCCAGCGTTCTTAGTTTCCTCTAAAATATTTGCCTAGTCTGGTTTACTGAAGATTTGTAAATAGTAATCTAATGCATTGTTAAAATCTGCATGTTAAAGAGACATCAGATTTTTACACAAGAAGAAAGTTTTATCACAGAATGTAAGTAAATTAATGTATCAAAATTTATATCTTGAAACTAAATGGCACTACCAAGAGCAGTGCAAGTTTTATGTAAAAAAAAGGACAATGTATTCACAAATGTAGATTCTGAATAAGATTTTTTAAATTATGGAATTTTTTTTTTTTTCAATTAAATTGAAATGTGGAGAACAAGTTCAATGTCACTGATTTCATCTAATTAATTTCACACATTATACCTATTTAATTCTTTAATTACCTTTGTAACAGAATGTCGAGACGGGCCAGTCGAAGTTCCCTTGGTGGGGATAATGGGGAGTTCTACCTTGAGTGTAAAGCTGCTTACCTGTCTATTTATGACAATATCAAGGATGAGATTGATTCATTGGAGGACCTCATCCAAGGTTTCCCTCAGAAAAAATGACTATATATTCTTACCATATTAATAAAACGTTTATGGTCATATGGGTTAGTCTATATTAAAACACTGAGCCTTTGAGCGATATAACTGGAAGAAGGTTTTAACTTAAAATGTTTTTTTGTAAAATGTAGCAATTTCACTGTTATTGTTTAGATGACTTAGAATTGTGGTCTTGATTAGGGGAAACAATGATTCTTTTTATTTTAATTATAATGTAATTATGAGCCAAGTTTTTTTTCTGTGTCAAATATGTGCAAAACTATGGAAAATATAAAGGCAGATGCACTTCTTTAAGAAGATACAATTAAACTCTATATATTCCTTTTCAGTTTTACAGCAGGCCGGTAGAAATCCATCAAAAAGAGTCTTGTCTAAATACTGGAAATCTGATACAGGTAAACATTTTCCTAGGAATAAAACTTTTTAAACTGATGTACAATATAATATTCTCAGATGTGTTGAAAAGGTTGCTTTTTTATGAATTGGATTTTTCAGAATGATATAAAATTATTTGAAAGAGCTCTTCATAAACTAATGATATTCATTATTTTCAGACCACTTGACATTTGATGATTTTGTCGACATCTGTAAAAAGGAAAAGGCCACCACTGCTGATGACTTAATGAAGGCATTCAGAAAGATTGACATTAATGGAGATGGATATATTTCCTTGGAGGAGCTGTACAAAATCATGACTACTGTAAGCCAAGCACCATGAAAAATTATTCCATCTGTACTCTTCATTTTATGGATGTGTACTTTTTATCACAATGTACAATGAAATTTCAATTTTAGAAAGGTGAAAAGATGAGTCGTTCAGAAGTAAAAAAGATGATTGATGAAGTGGATGAAAATAAAGATGGTCGTCTGGATTATGGGGAGGTAAAAAAAATATAAAGTGTTTTCCCTTAATTTCAAAGCAAAGGGTTAGAGATCATTTGTAACAGGCTTTGGGTTGAGCTTTATGACAAATCTCTGTGGACCTTACAATAATTGAATTTTGAAATTTTTAGGTCACCTGAGTAAACTCAGGTGACCTATTGCTATCCGTTTTCGTCCGTCGTCGTCCGTCGTCCGTCGTGCGTCGTGTGTTAACATTTGAACATTTTCAGCTTCTTCTCTGCAACCACTGAACCAATTTCAACCAAATTTGGCACAAAGCATCTATGGGTGAAGGGGAACAAAAATTGTGAATTTCATGATCCCTGCCCCCCTGGGGCCTGAGGGGTGGGGCCAAAACCACTAAAATTAATGCAATCTTTAAAAATCTTCTTCTTTACTCCTGGACAACAAGCAGTCAAACTGTTTGCATGATTGTAATCAGCATTGAGTCCTCTACCAAAACTGTGAAATTCATGGCCCTGGGGTCGGGGTTCTAGTGCTAGGGCGGGGCTAAATAAGTATATAGTGAAAATGCATTATTTCTTTGAAAATCTTCTTCTCTGCTCCTGGGTATTAAATAAACCAACTAAGTACATAGTTATGATGAGCAAGATTGCCTCTACCAAAATTGTGAATTTTATGGCCCCAGGGTCAGGGGTTCTGGTGTTAGGGTGGGGCTCTTTTGATTATATATAGGGAAAATACATGATTTCTTTGAAAATCTTCTTCTCTGCCCCTTTGTATTAGATAAACTAACTAAGTGCATAGTTATGATGAGCAAGAGTGCTTTTACCCATATTGTGAATTTTATAGCCCCAGGGTCACGGGGTCTGGTGTTCGGGGGGGGGGCTCTATTGATTATGTAGTGAAAATACATGAATTCTTTGAAAATCTTCTTCTCTGCTCCTAGGGATCAAATAAACTAACAAAGTGCATAGTTATGATAAGCAAGAGTGCCTCAACCAAAATTATGAATTTTATGGCCCCAGGGTCAAGGGTTCTGGTGTGTGTGTGGGGGGGGGCTCTATTGATTATATAGTGAAAATGCATTAATTCTTTGAAAATCTTCTTCTCTGCTCCTAGGTATTAAATAAACTAACTAAGTACATAGTTATGATGAGCAAGAATGCCTCTTCTAAAATTATGAATTTTATGGCCCCAGGGTCAGGGGCTCTGGTGTTAGGGCGAGGCTCTATTGATTATATAGTGAAAATGCATTAAATCTTTGAAAATTTTCTTCTCTGTCTCTGGGTATGAAGCAGATGAACTACTTTTATAGTTATGATGAGCAAGGGCCCTACTCTTGCAAAATTTTGAATTTCACGGCCCCCGGGTCTGGGGGGGGGGGGGGGCTCTACTTATATACTGAAAATGAATTAATTGTTTGAAATCTGCTCCTTTATATTTATATAACATTTATTTTTTTTCTTTTTGGGATAGGCAATTTTAAGGGTGCCTTTAAAAAAATTGTGCAATGTGTGGACCTAGGGTCAGGGGTTTATGTCACAGTGTTAGGGGCACTTTTGATTATTGCTGAATATTACTGATTAGTTGAAATGCAATATTGTTCCCCTACCCTGCGTATGGGTATTCAGTAACCAAGCTAAGCAACTGCTAAGTGTATTGTTATGATGTTCAATGGTGCCTCTTTCAAAATTGTGAATGCCATATATCATCTGGCTTAAGTTAAAACATTCAGTAACTGGAAAGTTGTTGCATAATGCTCAGGTGACCTATAAGGCCCGTGGGCCTCTTGTTATTCCAAAGCAACGTTTAATGATTTTACCACTCGAGGTGGTCAATTTGTCTGATTGTTGGCTCCTAAGGAAAACACTAAGTACATGTATATGGAAATCTGTACATCTCCTCATCATTTTTATGATGACAAAGGATGGCTTAATGATTAGAAGACATATAGATTATTTAAAACAAAAATAAATTTGTGAATTTCTTCATCTCTGATAGTTCCACTACCCTGAGGTAAATTTTTAAATTTATTTTGAGCAACGCTACCTTTTAACACTGCATGAGAAAAAAAAGCGTTCACTGCTTTTTGTTTAAAGTGAAAGAATATGCTTGGCCAAAGGCAAACTGAAGCATGTTCTTTGTTGTCAAGCAGAATGTATATGAATATAAATGAAGCAAATCTGTTTTATTTAGACACTGAATGTATATTATGTGTTTTTATTACACTGTCAGAAAATTTTTTCATTAAAAAAAACTGACAGCTTGTCAGAATTTTATCTAAATGTTATGAATGAAATATTTGGAGCTAGCTGGTGATCTTGGCTAGCAAGGGTTTCTGATCCGAAATCTAGTAGATTTCAGATCAGAAACCCTTAACTAGGGAAGATGATTTGGAGCATGTCCATTCATATGAAATTATATGTGTCTGCAACCCCCTTGCATGGTTGGTGCATCAAAATATACATGCTAACTCTCGCTTAGAATGCTAAAAGAGATGAGTAGTTTTTGGTATTATTTGGTACTGTAATTACATGTAATTAAGGAATCTTATAATACATTAATTTTTTTTACATCATGGTCTGACTGTCTTCTCTACAAATAACATTTCTTGGAGTTGGCATGGTGATATTAAGTTTTTAAAAAAATGTCATTACTCATGTTTTACAGTTTTGCAAGATGATCATGGAAACAACAGAGGAATGTAAGAAGGCATCTCGGAAGATCATGGAGAAAAAAGAACAAAAAAGAAGAAAGGAAGAGCTGACCAAAACAAGTAAAACACTTCTTGAATTTTTGTCTATTGAAATTAAAAACTGCATGCATATAGTTTGATTCATAGGATCTTTCTAAAGATTAACAAAATGATTATTTTTAGTAAACTTAAGATTGTTTTAGTGATTATGAAATGCATTTCAGTAAACAGGGTTCATACCCTATGAAATTATAATTTTGTAAAACAGCTAATGTAAACTTCTATGAATGCCATACTTAAATGTTACATTTTGAGAGAGAAAAAAATGTTATTTAGGTTGTAATTGATTTGAAAAGAGAAAGTTTTGTCCACTACACAGGTGATTCTAGGTCAGGTTCCCAGATATCCGTTAAATCTGCTGCGTCCGTAAAAAGTAAGAGCCCTCTACAGTTTCACTGGTGTGGCATCACAATTTCGCACATCCCCCATCCATTTTGCTCATACATCTAACTTGTGCTTGATTATAAACAAATTCCTAAATTTCAGTTTATGTTTTTTATAAAATCTGTTTTCTGAAAATATTTGTCATTGCTTGAGAATGTAACTAGAAAAAGAAAGCAATAGTTCAACAAAGTAAACTTTTTGGTTAGAATTTGACAACTTTTTTATTGTAATTAAAAAGATTAACAAAATTATTCTGTGTATCAAATTAAAAAAAAAATTCATTTAACTAGATTATTTTTATAAATAAGTTGATAGTAAAAATCTTTTACCAACTCCTAATGCAGCTTTCATTCCTGGCTTGAAATCTTTACATGTATTACAGTGCTTGTATAAAAGATATAGTTTTGCTTGATGCCATATATGCAGTTGTTTTCTCTTGAACTTGGAATTCAGTACCCTATATGCTACCCAAAAAGGCAGATTCAGGGCTCTCGACATTGCCCTTCATTGCAAGCATTCATTTCATTGTGTGTCCAAGCAGCTCTTCATTTTGTGATGTGATATTGTTGTACATACACTCTTTCACTTAACAGGATAAAATTGTGATCCTAATAAAAAAAACATTTAAAGAATCTCGCTCACTCTTGAATTAATCCTGTTAAAAGGATTGGATGGTCAGTATTTGTTGTCTGTAATTTGGCATTGTTAACACTATAGTAATCAGGCATTTACGTCATGTATTTATATATAAATCACAGAAATACAAAATTATTGAATTTATTGAGTGTTTGATTCCTGTAGAACATATCACTATATGCACTCAAAAGACCCTCTACCCCAGCGTTCAGTAAAATAATTTGAGATTTGAAATACCTTGTTTCTTTGATTGCTTGTAGATTTTAAGTTTATTCATTTTATATTTACTACTCTAATAACAATATCTCTCATAATTTATAAATTCTCTTCACTAATTATTTTTGAATTTTTTTTTTTTACTTTTCCCTTTTCACTTACCCAAATCTAAAATTTTATTTTATTAATTTCATTCATCTGTATTCCCCCTAAAATTCTTGTTAGATGTTATTTTCAATTTTTTTGTTTGTTAATTTACCATCTCATTTTCTTTTGATGAAAAATGGTTTGGAATTTTTCAAATTCCAGTTTTCAAAATTCCGTATGGCTTCCATTATGAACGTATTGCATGTTTCCCTTCATTTAATTGTAGGTCACACCGAGAGGCCCATGTCTGCATCCTCCAGATCAAACAGAGGTAAAAAAAAAAGAGGTTTTACAAATTGTATTCTGTAAATGTAGTGTATTAGATTTCAAATAGAGGCTGATTGCATGGGTGGCCATTGCATGACTACATGTTAACAAAATAGACATGACACACATAGATGAGTTGATTAATACTCAGAGTAGATGGGAAGCTAGTGCAGTAGATACAGTCAGGCAGAATCAATGACATGGTAGGGTATGTGGTACACAGCTATTGGTGTATGTAATATAGCATCGCTGACTTTCACTTTTATGGACATTTAGGAATGATACTCTCATTTATTACCGTAAGTCAGGAAATTGATATCTTCTTTCATATATTTCTTAGAAATATAAAACTTAAAAAGACATATATTCTCTTTTAAATTTCATTTTTTGGTTTTCAAAAAATACATGTACACTTATTAAATATGCACAAGTTAACAGGCAATTCTCTCAATATATGATTTTATATATGTGAAATATAAACTATTTCTAATCCACTTATTGCATGGTATTAGTAGTTTTTAACATGTAACACTGTGTAAAACTTGAATGGAAATATGGTAGATGATACAGTAGCAACAGAGGAACCAAGTGTGTCTACAGGGACGTCAGAACCACCTAAAGAAGACAGTGATGTCACTCTGGAGAAAACAGGGTCAAAGGTCTCATTAAGGTCAAAGGACAATGATCAGGCCTCTACCAAAGGTTTGGGATCTAGGGTATCATTAAAGTCAAACAAAGAGGAAGATAAACAGAAATCCCAAGGCATGGGATCTCAGGTGTCTATCAAGGAGGAAATAGCAGAATCTACAGAGGAACCAGCATCATCAAGACAAAATATGGGATCTAAAGTGTCATTGAAATCAATCAAGGAAGAAAATAAGCAGGAATCCCAAGGCATGGGATCTCAAGTATCAATTAAGGAGGAAATAGGAGAGGAACCAACATCATCAACAACACAAAATATGGGATCTAGAACATCAGTGAAATCTAAAGGAGATGGGACAAAGGAGGAAAAGTCCGAAGCTATGGGATCCAAGGCATCTTTGAGGTCAAGGAAGGATTCTAAGGCAGATATAAGTGGATCAAAGCTTTCTCTAAAATCCAAAGATGGAGAGACTGTCAAAGAAGAATCTATGGGATCTAAAGTTTCTCTGAAATCCAGAGGGGAATCAAATATGGGATCCAAAGTTTCCCTGAAGTCAAGAGGAGATCCAAATTTGGGATCTAGAGTTTCTCTGAAATCCAAACGGGACTCTATTGCTACTGCTGAGACGGCAACCATTAAAGAAGAACAAAATGACAATTCTGAGGAAGAAACTCCAAAATCTGTCAGACCTACTCCTCGTGCTAGGAAAGACAGTAAATCTGTTAAACAGATCAGTAAGACTTAACACTATTATTTAGTGTTATTTGTAGATTTTTGTGAAACAAATTTCTAAGCTTCCATGAAAAGTGTTATCAAGAGTTTATGTTACAGAACTAGGAAGACAGATAAGATATTTCTGGAAATTTTAATTAAGCAAGATTTTTTTTCCTGTTCAGAGCATATTGTTTTATAATATTAAGAAGTAAATTTTTTAAAATGACAGAATGAAATTTAAGGCGCTCTTTGCATTTTGAAGTCTGTATCAGTTTAACAAACTGTGGACTTTTTTGTACAGATGAGGGAAGCATGTTTGGTTCCTTTGCCTCCATGAAGTCAGGTATTCACGAGTCCGTTTGTCCTTACCACTGGATGTTCATCACAGCTATTGTCTTATTTTTCTTGCCATGCATTACTTATCTTGGCAAACATTTTCTGCTCTTTGCTTACATTGACACAGCGTCATATCCCAGTAGGCACCCATTGCTTCCCGATTTATAGGCAGCAGTGTTCAGATACCCTGTAGACTGGGTCTTTTCAGTTGCAAAGTTTTATGAAATTACATCTTTGAATGTACATGTATATATTTACATCCACTGTGAAAACCCATTGCGTTCATCACTTTTTAGGCATATCCTTGAATACAAAGATGCATCATTAACACAATAATTAATATTTTTAATCCTACTTAAAATGATAATTTAAACAGATATACACGGGTTATGTATTTTTTCTGCAACAGCTGCTTCCGTTCATTCCAGTAATAACAAACAAATAAAGCATTTTATTGTTTAAGTGAAGACTTTTTAATAATATGATATTCTAAATTGTACAGATGTACAACTTTATTTCAAAGAGTTAAGTTATATTTTCTTTATGATATAATCACCTAGAATGTAGGTTTAAGATTTTTTTGAAAGGGCAACACTATTCTCATGTTTGGCAAAGACTTATTTCACACTATCACTTGAGCACTTGTAATTTTTATACTTCCTATCATAACTAGGATAAGTGTCAATTGATCAAAGACCAAGGTCATTTACTGTGTTAATTTTTGGTGTGTTGTGATATTTTTCCTTGAATTCCGAGATTGCAACATTTCTTTCTTTCTCATAATCAAAATTTTGAGAAAAAAACTAGGCTTTGAATATTCTACAATATTGTCAAGAATGGGACAGTGAAATGTTGTACATACAGTTTTACATCACATGCCACATGATAACAAATGCTTTTAAGATAAATAATATATAAGTACAAAAGCATTTTCATCATTGCTGTTGAAAATACATGTTCATCATATTATTTTAAACAAGATTGGCACAGATATTGGAAGGAACACACATAATATTGTCTAATAGTTGTGGATTTTTAAGCTTAATTGATGTGTGACAGTTAGAACTACATTTTCTTAATTGCTTACTTTCACTAGTGTGGTTTGAATTTTTACAGCTAAAAATGTTACATCAAACCTACAGATATTCATTCCTTTGTCTTCATATTATTTTATATATTGATTGTGATATAGTTGTTTTTCTTTTAATTTCAATCAATTTAGAGTGTGATTCTACTGTGAAGCACTCTTATTACACTATTTTGCAGTTCAGCAGTTCAGCCTTTTAGATTTTGCTTATGTCCTTTATATATAGACTGCTTAAAGCAGTATAGTAGATGACTAGATGCAAACATTTTGCTTACAGTTCCTTATATATCCCCTGCTGCTATATGCAGAAAATATAGCTTAAGATTTTTTTTAAAAATCTAAATTTTCCATCCCCTAGTTTATCTAAATATTCCTTAAAAAGAATGAGTGGAACTATTTATAATGTCACTGATTTCAGACACAGAAGAGCATTATTATTTCTCCACCTATTCTTTTACAGGTGCCTCTTTGGCTGGGTCACGAAAGTCTCTGCTGAGTGTTGGTATGTATGCTTCAGTCAGATTATAAGAGTATTAGTTCAAAGTATTTATTTCTTTATTTGAAACAGTTCTTAAAAATGCATTTCTTTTTTAAACAAAATTTAATTGGTTTTGAAAAGTGAAACTCATTTAAGGAATAACTTTCTAGTTTTATGATGATGATCAATCAGTTTGCTTGTGCAATAATTTGCATAAACACCAAAGGCATTTATGTGTAAAATTTTCACACAAGCAAATTGTTTGATCATCATCATACAACCAAAAACCAGACAGTTATTCCTTATGTATTTACGTTTTATCTGATCCTTGATTCAATCAAAAAAATCAATAATAAGAAATCTCAGCATCCACGGCAGGTGTAATAATAAGCAACATACAGCAAAAAAGCATGCAGCTGTGTCACATGCTGAGCAAATTGCTAAATGGGGTTATAAAGCCATTAACCTTATTTGAAATATCAGAGAGAAAGACATTGGAAAACAAATATTTTAATTTAATTTCCTTAATAATGACAGATGATCTTCCAAAGCCCTCTCCCAGAAACAGGAAATCCAAGGGCCAGGCAGCAGCAACTCTGCCCAAACTGTACGAGCCCAAGAATCTTAAGGTGAGTATAAAATTCCTTTTGCCATTGTCAGTAAATCATTGCATGTTTTATCAAACCATTATACGTTATAGGTAGAGCTTAAATTAAAAAAAAGAGCAAAAAACGGATAATTTGATTCTGTAAAGTAATGAGGTATCAGTGCAGATTTTTTTGATTGTTGTTTTGGAGGAGGGTGCATTATCTCAGCACTTTTACTAAAATCCTTGTGTGCTGATAATATGTATACTTGCATAAGAATGATTAATATTTTATGTAATTTTATGAATGCTTCTTGGAACATATTAAATTATTTATTTAGGAATGGACACACACAACAAGTAAAGGGATGTTCTTCATTGATGAGGACACTGGAAACCTTCTTTGTCATCAGTATGATCTCAAACTGACAGAGGAAACTTCTGTGTGGATAACTATAGAGCCAATCAAAAGCCGCTGTCAAGGTAATCACATTTGTTTAAAAAATGGAAGGATGTTAGAATTAGGTTTTCAATTGATCTTATATAAATTTATACCAAATTTTGTTAAGAAGTCAAGGTTTATTGAAACCCTATGAAATTCAAATTAAATTTTTATTTTTCGTGTAAAAATAGAAGTTATATAATAAAGTCTATGACTTTTTCTAGTTGAAAAATATATTCTGAAAATGAAAATAAACTTTTTTCAATGTGATATTTCAGCTAGCGATCAGATCATAGATACAGCTCTGTTTATCCTGAGGGAAAAACCAGACGATGATGGCAATGTCCTAATTACATTCACCCAGCACAGAGATTCCAAGGGGGTCAGTACAAATCGCTTCTTCTTCTTCCATCAAAGTGAAGGGCTGCTGCTGTAGTGTTATTTCACTTTGTGGTTTACAAGACCAGTTTTTACACTCATAAACAAAATTTTTATGTGAATGAAGCTTAAAACATAATGATGCTTTTGACTTGGATCAGTTAGCAAGAATATGTTAATCATATATCTGAATTGAAATTTTAAAATTCATTTAAATTATTTTTAGAAATATGGGGTGAAGTGTTCATTGGATGCAGGAAACTATCACATAATTCCATTTACAACTGGATCTCGTCTTAAAAAGCGAGAGAGTGAGTCCTCCAACCCTGTAAAACTACTGCAACGCAAAGAAGGAAAACACACCATCACTAAAGCTTTTAGGTAAACTATTCTCCTTATTAATCTGTGTGTCAGCTCCATCTTTACTGTTCCTTTGGGGTCATAGATTTCATTTTGAAATATCCATCAGTGATATGCCTGTAATACAAATTCCATGTATGCTCAACATGTTATAATTTTATTGTAGGAAGGTGTTAGAGGATATCTTCGACCTATCAGACCTGGATGGCAATGGCACGATGAGTAGAGAGGAATTTAACTGGTACAACATCAGGACAAGTGATGAGGAGGTCGGGGATGATGAGTGGGAGGTGGTGGAGGGTAAGTGATGAAGAGGTCGAGGACGATGAATGGGAGTTGGTGGAGGGTAAGTGATGAAGAGGTCGGGGACGATGAGTGGGAGGTGGTGGAGGGTAAGTGATGAGGGGGTCGGGGATGATGAGTGGGAGGTGGTGGAGGGTAAGTGATGAGGAGGTCGGGGATGATGAGTGGGAGGTGGTGGAGGGTAAGTGATGAAGAGGTCGGGGATGATGAATGGGAGGTGGTGGAGGGTAAGTGATGAAGAGGTCGGGGATGATGAGTGGGAGGTGGTGGAGGGTAAGTGATGAGGGGGTCGGGGATGATGATTGGGAGGTGGTGGAGGGTAAGTGATGAGGGGGTCGGGGATGATGTGTGGGAGGTGGTGGAGGGTAAGTGATGAAGAGGGCAGGGATGATGAATGGGAGGTGGTAGAGGGTAAGTGAGGTCGGGGATGATGTGTGGGAGGTGGTGGAGGGTAAGGGTCGTATTTCTGTAGCCTTGGAATAAAGTGACCCCATCATTTTTATAAGAAATTGTCCCTGTTACTAAAAGGTTGTCAAACTAGAGGAAGGGGTTAAATAATTGTCTTTGACCAAAAAAAAAAAAAATAAAATATGTTATACTTTGAATGTCAACTTACCTGAAAATTAAGTTTCTTTAAATATACTAATAGATTACGTTAAGAAAAACCTTCTCGTTTTTAAAATAAATGAATTTGAATCATATGCAAAGGAAAAAAATTATAACCGTTTAATTATCATTCCTTTCAGAGCGTCTTGAGCTTGAGAATGGAGAAATCACAAAAAATGGCTTCCTTCAGCTGAATGACCTGGAGGCTGAGGACTCTAACGGAGATGAGGATGATATGTGGGTGACCCTGGAGAGTCTGGGGATCAATAAGGAGCTGGTCATGGATGAGGTACAGGACTCACTGCTCTATACATTAGCTTTATATCTGATGGTTTGATTACATGCCTGATAGTATTCCACTTCTATATACAAATAATGCAATGTACATGTATATTGGATGGATTTTTTGAGCTTGATATTTTTTCGATGTAGTAATGTGTAAATTTACAGTGCTTTGTTACCGGTATATTTTATTTCTTTATTTGTTGCAGGCCTGTCCTTTCTTGGTTAATGTGTACACAGAGGACTGTGATGATGCCGAATTTAAAGTGGTTGCTATAGAAGCTATGATGGATAAACTCCAGCGCCCTCTCTGTCAGTCTGTGATGGAAAAGGTAAATAATCTAGTTTGTGTATGTTCTCCAGCTGCAGTGTGTATCCTGTGATTCTAATGTTGGAAGAGAATATAGAATGCAACAGTAAGTTGACACAATCACCTACACCTACTTTTAGAACTATAGTACCCTTGCACTCTCTTTGTTATTGTGATTGGTACAAACCTGAAATTTATACAATGAATTTATACATGTATTATTTCTTTAACATTCACAGGGTGAAGCTACCAAGGTGAAGGGTATGAAGGATTTGACAATGTACACCTACTTTGGGGATACTAGAGCCAGCATAGTGCTGGACAATAAGGTAAACATATGTGACGCGCCAAGCAAAAACCTCCCTTATCTCTATTATGACGTAACGTCAAAAGACGCGTCTAAAGTCAACAAGGTAAAATCGACGTAAAAACGCCTCCTTGAGAAAATTGAGAAATTCTACTCCAGCAAAACAAGGAGATTATTTACATGTTAGAAGGAAGATTTTTGGGTGGGGTTTGATTCATTCTTTAAGAAGTTAGTTTCCATCAAGTGTCTGTGTGATCTTTCTTTTCACAATAAAGTGTATACATGTATCATTAAAGATGTCCAGTCGTATTTAAAAAATTCCCGTAAGGCCATTTTTAAAATGAAGTTTGTTTGCCCTATCACTATTCGTCGGTATAGGTAAGTCGAAATTTTTTGTCGGAAATTTTCAATGCTGAAAAAAAAATAGTTGTTGATGGGATGAGAAAATTCTGGAATGAATATTTTGGAGGTTTTAAAAAGATTTTATATACACATGTGTAGTCGGTTAATCTTAAAAGGTCAAACAGACAAGTTTTCATAGATAGTTTTTTTTAAATTTAACATGCAGCTGTTTCATCGTTATGTTTTTGATACATGTGACTGTGACATAGATAATCCAAATTATGCAATAAAAAGTAATTTCTTTATCCAACCAAATACCACGTTATTAACTAGAATTAAATAATTACACCTTTCACTTCCGTAGATGATGTAAGTTAGAAAACTGCATCGCTGTTTATTGTTCTTTTCTGTGCAAGTAGTAAGAAATGTACATAATATTTGATAGCTTGCCAAGGATATTGATAAATAGTTACGTTTAGTTAAAAAAAATGTAATTCTCTCTAGATACAACACAGAATATTTGATTTGCATACTTCTTCCGGAATAAGTTTTTAGCCGTTGATTTAAAATGAATGCTTTGAACAAGGCCTCTTGAGCTTCTCAATTGATTTTCTTATTGTTGTATTGTTTAACACCTTCTAATGTTGTACACAAAAATGTAGAAAAAGTTCGCCCACCCCCCCTTCTCCTGTGTCACGTGTCTGCTCCATCTCTTTGGTGACTTCGTGCAAATTTTATCATGAATATACGGATGCTCGCATACATTGTGAGTTACAGTCCCACTTTTTAAGATATTTCATGATTGAGAATAAAGCAGATTGGACATATTTATCGACCTTTTCCGAAAAAAAAAATAATAAGACATTCCGTCATTTGCTGCCCTGTTATGTATTCATAATCCGTTTGCTGAGGTTATACACACCGATAATACATCGAATGTGAAACTAGCAAACATGATACGTCGCTAAAATGTTATAATTAATACAAATTGTTACAAATTAATACATGTCGGCCATTTATAAAATATTGCTAAATCAAGCTGCCGCATGTAGTAAAGCAGTCTCCGGTGCTCAATCAGCCCTCTGAACTTAGAACATCAATGCAGGATGAAAGTTTAAATTAAACATTTCAGAGGTTTTAAAATTTCTTTGTAATGAATTTATTTTAACCTTCAATATTAAGGATTTGTTTAACCTATAATAATGTTATCTCCGATAATGATTTTACAACAAACATTTTATAATTAACACCTATACCTTGGAAAATAGAATTATAATCCTATTTTCTTCTGTTGAAATGCAATTAAATGAATATATGCATTTCAAATTATGGAAGTTTACTACCAAGTACATATGTACATGAAATTTGATACATTATACATGTAACATACTTAAACAATATCAATATTTTTTTCCTGCAGAAGTGATCGGCTTGAATATTGCGTGCTTGATCAACAAACCCATTCACACAGCTACACATTTATCAAAAAAATAAATATGTATAAATTAAAACAATAAATTCATTTGTTTTTAACAAAAATTACAACTTACGATTGTAAATGTGTGTCTTGTTCTTGATGAATTAGTTCAGGTATTTGATTACGCGTGGATGACCATAGCAGGGACGACACAGCCCCCCGTTTCGAAGATGGAAGAATATTAAGAATGTTTTATCCGTTCTATTTCTTTCTGTTGTGATTTAAACAGGCATGTATATTGTAGTGAAGTACCATCATTTTAAAAAGTGGGGGGGGGGGGGCAGCCAGACTTTTTAAATTACCTGAAAAAATTTACTAACAAAAAATTCACAAACTAGGAAATCATATTTCCTGGGGGCGGGGGGCAAATTTTTCCAATGCCTACTTCCTTCAGTACCAATTTTTGGGCACACAATGCTAAGAACCGTGTTGGTGGGGGGGGGGGGGGGCAACCAATATTTCAAATTACATTTTCAATAGTAAATGTAATGTTGGGATAAAAAGTGGATGATGCCCCCCCCTACCCACCCCCTCCTTTTTGCAATACGTGCCTAGCATGTTTTAACCTACACAAAAAAGCAACTAATATAATGTATTTGATATGATTAAAATAAATTATAATGTGTGCATGTACTTTCCCAGGAAGTTAAGAATGAAGCTTAGATTAGGCGTCATATTCTACGGGTTGTAATGTTCCTGAAGTTATTACAATCATGTGGATTTCATAACGACACCAATAGAAGAAAAGGATCGAACTGCACGAGAAAAATGAAATTTATTCGAGAATATCAATAAACCGAAAAGATGAGTTCTTTATTTTGCATAGATTCTCCCCATATTAAAACATTTGAAGCTAAAACATGTTAATAGTATAAACTTGTGGTAAAAGAAATGTTATGGTAGCCTTTAGACAAAAAAACCTACGGCACTCTTTAAAAATTCAGGTACATATATTTAAAATGTAAACTATGACAATACATGTACTTTCTTTTTATTCTGTGTATTGAACAGACTTTTAATGTCCGGGGAAAGGAGGTGGTAGGGGCTTTCTGGAACTTTTTTTTAAATAACTACTTTGATATTGTAACAGATACAATTAAGTGCCTCTGCTTACCGGGTAATTGGGATTGAACGCGAGGCCTCTTGCTTGCCAGTCAAGTCTCTATACCGATTGAGCTTAAGGCTTAATCCACCAGCCCAAGCTTGTAGGAAGCCGTGTATATCGTTTGTACTACCGTAATAGGATTTTTTTCATCTAAATGTTGCCTTTTTTTCGTTTTACTGTTGCAGTGATGTAGATTTCTGCGGTTTTATTGCATTAAAAAAGCCACAAATTGGAAGATCTCTCAGAGAAGATTATCGATTTTGATTTCGAGTTTTGTTTTTTTTCACTTGTCAATAATTTCTGTGCCCCCCCCCCCCTCCTTCTTCTTTTTTCAAAGATATTGTTTAGAATGTTTATTTTCTATTATTACGATGAAAAGATTTAAGTCTTGATATTATTAAGGGAATCAAATCAAAAGTTTAAAAAATATAAATATCATTAAATTATTATATTGCTTCATGTTATTTTACGGCTTTACGTTATGAAAATCAATGCAGTTAGACACGTCACAGAAAGTATTCCGTCATTGTCTTGCGATTTTTTTATATTTATACACAGAAATATATGTCATGCTATACATCAAATAAAAGAGAAAGAAAAACTCTACAAGAATCAATAAAAAACTGAAAATGTCAAAATTCTTCTTTAAGGGAGGTTTTTGCTTGGCGCGTCACATATACATTGTACTGCAAGGTAAATAATTCCTAAAATCTGCTGTTTTGGACAAGATTTTACTTTACAAATACAAAAACTTTCATAATGACTTGAATAGAAATAAAAAACAATGGCTCTGTAGATTAGAATGTTAAATTCAGTTGAACCAGCTTTGTCTTTTCATATTATAATGTAAAATACACGACATTGTACCTACTATTGTCTATTACAGCTTAGATGTAAAATACAGTATTACCAGCTTTGTGATTTTACTTTCAGTCTTACAGTACAGTCCGTGTCAAGCTGGATTGTTCTGGCAGCCAAAACTGTCTCTCAAACCGGCCATCTCTAGAGGAATCTTTCTCTGTCAAATCCCAGTCTCAAATTGTAAGTGTTAGATATAGGTCTGATAAGTAATTCTATCAGCTTCCATCCTTAAAAAAAGCAAGGAGATACATGTATATGAAAAAGAGTATAGTGCACTGTGAATTTCAGTGCATTAAAAGTTGTGATTCTTGTTAGTATCAAGGGGAAACCATTATTTTCCAACTGTGTTAATCTTTTCTGATCTTGACTTTTTCTATGACCTTGACCTCATTATTTTGGATTCTACAGTCCAAAATTAGCTTCAAAGAAATCTTGTTTTTAAAAAAATTAGTTGTTTGAAAATAAAAACAGCTTTTGCAGCATTCATGTAAAATGGTAATTTTATTTTGCTTGTATAAATTTCAGATTGCGTATCATTTCACACCAGAAGATGAGGATGAGGAATGGAGTGTGAAGTGTACTGAGGTCATACAGAAATAGCACATGTCCAGGATTTAGTGTTTGTTGGGGATTAATTGTCTTTATTTAGCAGCAGGACTGTAGCTTTAACAACATACTCTGTTCTTCTTATTTTTTTTTTTTTGAAAAACAGCTGCAGGGTAGCATTTTGTATACTTTTTATTCAATGTCTGAAGCAGAAATAGGTAGAACTTATGTTGTAATGATGTTGAAAGGACATTTTTTGAATGGAAAAATTGTAACAAGTTAGAGTCCAAATATGGGTTGGTTTTGTTAATGGATATAAAGTTATAACTGTACTTCGGAGTCATTCAATACTGTTGGTTGTCAACAAATTAAGTCCAGATACCAATAAAGAAAGTTGAGATTGATTTTTCTTCACAGAATTCCATATACCTTTGCATTGTATTATTACCTAAAAATTTATTAAAATATGAATTTTGCTAATGAATTATATTTTTAAAATCCTTTAATTTGGTTTATTTCTATAGATGTACATATGCATGCATACAATATCTTTATATATAACTGTTGTACATGTACCTTGTATATTGTTTGTTTATTTTTACATAAAATAGAACAAATAAATTTATTACAATTACTCCACTTTATTGCTGTCAAATTCACAAATTATGAAATTAATTAAATCACTATATGCTCTGCCAAAATTATTTAGCAGTTATGTAATCATCTGTTTCATTTACAATGTAGATCTAGCTGTAAAATGTTCTTATACAGTCCGTCCATGTACTTCATTGCTGTCACATAAAATGGAATTATGGGATTACTACAATGTACCACTCGGCAAACAAAAATACAATATATCAACCCAACTTAAAACTGTCACTGATATTGTAATGAGAAGAATTATATTATCATATTATTTAATTAAGTGCACAAAATTGTGCAAGACATTTATTTAAGAAAATATATGCGCAGAGAATTTTCATTGTTACTGCATTTTTTGTACTCTATTTCCGTCCAATTAAAGTAATTTTTTTTAGAAAGCAGCTTGGCATGTTTTTTTATGTTTAGAATCATTAACAACCGTATTTAAATAATACTTTAAACAAAGAATGGGGGTTAACAGGTAAGGTGTATCTAAGGGCTGATCTATTTATAAACTAGAGGTACTAAGAGCAATTAGCTCATTAAATGATACCACCCACCTCCCAATTGATACCATATTAATGGCAAAGTCAGTGTTTTGTTCTGAGAGACAAGAAGTAAGTGTCAGATCAAAAAATAAAATAGGAGGTGCACAATGAAATTAGTTGATAAAGAGTCTGTGAAAGTATTAAATTTTATTCAATGGTATAGGAGGAGTTGCAGATAAGAGATGGGTACCCTTCAATATTATAGGAAGAATAATATACAGTGGACCTTCAGATATCCGGATGCTTCAGTATCCAGACGATTTTTTATCGGAACGGAATTTTTTAATGCTATTTTGTCTTGTTTAATTGGGGATTCAGGTATCCGGACGCTTCACATATCCGGACAAATTGACTGGGAACCAAAGAGTCCGGATAAATGAGGCTCCACTGTATAGCACTTTATAGTAAGGCCAAAATAAAAAATACCTTTGTTTCCCCTAACGCGACCGACCCAATTAAATCGCAGCGACTGAAAAGATTTTTTAGATAAGATGATTCAAAATTTTTTTTTTATTGTCAACCAAGTTTTGTAAAATACAATTTCATCAAAATCAGTTTTTATCAGAACGGCCGACATTGTTCTACTGTGATTTTCAAGCATTTGATGGAAACAAAATAGCTCCTAGATGAGATTACAGAGAAGTAGTTCTTCATAAAACAACGGCAATGTCTCAATTTTATGCCTTTAGCTAACTAGAATTCTTCACTCTTTAAACAATTTGAAGAAATTGAATAAATAAAAAAAAAAAAAAAAAAAAAAAAAACAACGAACAAACAATTCTGTCTGTTGAATTTCAGGAACGTAATACATGGAAAGGCCAGCCTCATGAGCAGATGAAGGGCCCACCTAGTGAACATCATTCTTTCACTGCATTTTATTTAATTTGAGTTTTGATCTAATAAACAATTCATCTATGTTCCTATGTTTACTATATGCCATTATGGAATCATAGGAGCTGTTGTAAATATGTCTGCATATTCATCCTAATAAATATTACAGTATTCAGTTGTACTTTTTCATGCCTTTATTTACGGGTTAAATTTCATGACTATGACCTTGTTTTATAACCCTAGCATTTTAATAATTTGTAGATTCGGTTTGGTTCATTTAAATATTGTTTAAATACGCTTTCCAAATAGTTTTAAAATCATAAGTTAGCTTCCTGAGACGTCCATTGTATTTTTTCTTTAATTAGGCCCTTAAAGATTGGTTGTTTCTTTGCTTTTAATCCCTTCGAGATTTGTTGGGACGACATTTGAACATTTCCCCATTGCTCCAAATTTAGACGTACTACGCACTTTTTTTGCCATTAAGCAGTGGGGATCTTTTTGAACCAGCATACAACACCGCATCTGCGACACTGGAATAAGTTTTATGGTCCCTTTTGTTCCTCATTGGTATTTGAACCAGTCCTGCGACTTAAAATTAGCAACTTACGTCTTAACTCCAAAGCAAAATGCTCTACAACCACTGCATATCTCATGGCCCTCAAAAAAAGTACACTGACTGTTTTATTCGATTTATATAAATGTACTCTAGCGTGAGATATTTCATAAGGAGATGGGTGAACATGACGAGAGATAAGCCCATAGTGCAACAAACATGAAGGTGAAAAATTAAATCTCAATTTTATCAGAATTTTCCTTAATATTTCATCTAACATTAAAGTATGCTTTATGTAAAATCTCTACAACTTGCACAAATCTCATGAAAATTGAAGTTATTTGCCTATGAAATATTATATACACACGAAAGAGGACAAAACGAGTCATTTTTTCACACTATAACACTGTTTTTCTATATGAGTGGGTCTTCTCTCAATTTTTTTGAAAGGTAATCCTCAAAGTTTGCATAAAAGCATACATATTTTGGTTTTCAAAATTATGGAGCAAAGACCCACTATACCTAAAAAATATAAGTTTATGACATAACTTTCGTATCTTTTCGAAAAATACTTGAAGTCCCTTAAGTCAATGGTCTTATCACAAACATGATTTAAATGCCACACTTCATCAGGACTTGTGTAGCGTAGTGGTTAGCGTGCTAGTCTCAATAGAGAATGCAACTCAGGATTGTTATTGCCAGGGTTCGAACCCAATGGATACCACATTATTTTTCTTCATAAAAGAATAAATTTTAACGAAAAGTTTTCCTCAAAACTTGTTGTTTATCATGATTTTACAAAAATCAATGATGAGAACTTTACTCTAAGTACTAAAATCACAATTTGAATATGATTTTTATATATCTGAAGCTTATGGGTTTTTTGCACGCTAAGTTCACCCATCTCCTTGATCTAAATTACAGTTGTGAATTAATTAATCGTAAATTTTGTTTTTAAATGGCATATGTATGATACTTAGCATTTTGTTCACAATCGCTTTCTTTCGTACTTTTCTTATTTATAAATAAAATTTTCCATCAAATTTTAGAATGTATTTTCAAAGCTACTGTCAGAAAATAAAATTGTTTACCTACCTACCGACCCAACTTGAGAATTTAGGGTCGGGTTAGGGGAAACAAAGATATTTTTAATTCCGGCCTAATGTCCATGTTTTAATATGGGAAACCCAAAATATGTGTCAGATCAAAAAGTAAAAAGGAGGTGCACAATGGCAATATATTCAATTCAGTTCAATTCATTTATTGACAACACCATCATACTTTGGCATATAGTCATGAATACAACAATTAACATACATAAAATAAAATATCAAAGAAAGGATTCTGTACAAAAGTCTCATTAAAATTCATCAAAATTAAATTAAAATTCATTCAGTGGTATAAGAAGAGTTGCCGATAAGAGATGGGTACCCCAAAGGGTAATGCACATATGGATGGACAGACATCCTGAACTTTTAAATTTATTTTTTTTATTAAATTTATTATAAATCTATTTTCAAATTTAAAATCAGCATAAAAATTTCACTCATACATATGCATTAGGTATAAAACACAATTTAAACCACCACATTCAGTGTTGCATTTTTAAAAGGCATCACTGATAAAAACGAAGCTGAATATGAATGGGGGAAAAAGATAACTAGTGGCAGTCAGAACCATTTTAAGTACGAGCTACTAAAATGTACATGGCGCCAAAATTTCATTATGTCAACAATAACACGGTGTGCATTTTACGGTCTGTCCAACAAAAATGCGCTAAGGTGAGTAAATATAGGACTCGTTTTTAAACGAGTTTGTAATTAATACAGTTATTTAGGGTATTCCGAATCACCCCGCATTCCGCGACGCTCGGTAATTTACCTTATCGCTGTATCTTATACGAATCATGCACACGTGTGACAACTAAATAGTCATTAACAACATGGTTCATGCTTAATACATACAGAAAATAAAGAGGTAAACTTAATGCGTAACAATTAAAATAATTAATTCATTCGTTAACTTGCTATCCTTCTCGATGAAAATTTTCGTGTTTAAACGTTGCAGAATATTTCTCATCGATGTCGTGGCGTTGGTGGTGTTTGAAACCTAGCATATTAGGTATTGATAGAACGGCAATTTTATGAGCTTTTATGAGCATTAATAATTTTTTATTACATCTCAAAAATTTGTATGTTACAACCGCATTTGTAGCCCCCTATAATTTGGGGTATTTTGAATCACGTATGTGCATAACCGCAACTGAAGAAATTGCAGGCTGCATACTTGTTATATGCCCGATATTTCGAAAACATCGGTTTTCTTTACATGCAAGGGACCTATGAAAATTATGAAATGGAAAAGCTGTGAAGAGTTAATGAGTAGCTTGACCAGTGGTTATCCTTTTGTCATAAATTTTTAAATATGGACTTGCACGCATGTACATGTACACATACATATATGTACACTGTGCACATATGCAGTGATTTATGTCATATTTAATAATTGTGATACATATATCTAAACAGGAGCTAGTTTTTATTCCTTTTCATACATTTTTTATCACCATTATCATTAGGGGCCTATACATGTGATTTTATTTTCGTAGCCGATTCGTAGAATTATGATATTTTCAATGTTAATTGTTATGCAGCGAAAAAAATATCCCAGGTGCAAAAAAGTGACATAATTATATTAACAGGACAACAATTTACAGTCATGTAATTTCTGAAACCCCTATTTTCTTGGTAATAATTGCTTTTCTGCATGATCCGCTTCTGAAATGATGTTTTATAGTGCGAATAAAGAGGGGGGTGCTGATAACTTTCAAATAAACAAGAACAATCAAGAAAATTTTAATTCTTTTTATTCTTGGAGCTTTTTATAAACAATACTAACTAGTTCATCAATTATGATGATGTTATCTGACCGTTTTCAACCCATTTACCTGGTGATTCGAAATACCCGGAAGTGATTCGCAATACACTAAAAAGGTGATCCAAATATAACCCCCGTCAAGGTCGCTGTATTGAAGATAGACTCGTTCTGTAAAGTAGATCTGATTTTTCACTAAATTGGCTTTCCTTTGATACCAAACAACCATGTGAAAAGTTTTTAATAAAAACATCTGCAGTCAAAATGTAAACGGTGATTCGGAATACCCTAAATGACTGTACAAATTAAATTTGTATCAAAACACTTCAAAAGGAATAACTTTTTGGCAAGGAAGTTTTTCTGCAACCCTACCGTTTGTTAGCTTGATTCCCAAGAAGTTATAAGGACCTTCCGAGGGATCAATCTCCTAATCAATGGGCATACAGAAGACTTGTTAACTAAAAGTAATTCCTTTTTAAGTGCTTTGATGCAGATTTATGATATTTATGGCCGAAATCAAAATTTTTTATTTTTTGCCAAAATCAATTTTTTTTATTTTTTGCACTGCAAATTTATATCCCATTTAGGATATTATATCTCAAACAGGCTATTATATCCAATTTGGGTAAGTGGTCCCAACCTGTAAAATTCGACATTATAATGTCACCAGGTTCACAGGTGTGTGAAAGTCGGTCAGTATATCGGGTCTCACCTGTGACATTATATAAATGGTGCCTGTTTTGGAGGGTAACATTTGAAATTGACACCCCAAGGAAAACCATTGTCAACCGACGCGTCAGCGGAGGTTGACAATGGTTTTCCGAGGGGTGTCAATTTCAAATGTTACCCTCCAAAACAGGCACCATTTATTTTATTATACTGAATGTCTGTAGGACGTCAGCAAAATAAAAAACCCCGTCGATCGTCTTTACGTTCATGTATAGAAAGCTTTCACACTTATCGGTTCACTAATCTCCTTATTGTTTGTTTGATACTCGAATTAGAGTCATTTATCATGTAAAGTTTCGTTATTTCTAGCTCGCAAGCATGTTTCCTACACTCGCAAGCATGTATCGTCTGTCGTTTGTTGTTTTCAAGTAAGCTATATCGGACGCAAGCTTTTATTGACGTCAAGTTAATTCCAGTTCTTTCAAACGCGCAACTGACGTTTTGAGAATTCTACGGTGAACCGTACGCGCATAATTTCCACGCATGTGGCATACCGTTGTGTTACCCGTTGTCACGTGTGTTGCTAAGGCTCAGGGTAATCGAACGGATTGTTAACTGCGTCTAAACCAATCAGATTTTAGTATTTAACATGAAAGTATAATAATAATATTTGGCACCCATGTAGGGACCCTGGTGTTCTCTGGCGGGTGAGAGTGATTGCCCCCAGAACTTTGCCCCAATAGGTGTCTGCACACCAAAAGAGATGAGGACATCTCATTCGCTGGAGGGGGACAATGTAGTAGTGTAAGATACATGGCATCCTACTAGCTCGGGCTGGTGGGTTAACCCTTTAGCTCAATTGGAAGAGCACTGGACTGGCAAGCCAGAGCCCAGTGTTCAATCCCCAGAAGAGGCACAAAATTGTCTCTGTTACACTTGGCGCCCAACGTACAAAACCCACTATTCCCACTGTTCCCTTGAATATGCTTCACCCATTTCCTTAACTCATAGAAATCAAGGAGGAATTTTTACAAAGAGGGGGAATATGTCGCCGGGTTTACAGGTGCATGAAAGTCAGTCAATATATCAGGTCTCAATAGCTCAGTGGTTAGAGCGCTGGTATGGTACTGTAGGATATTAGGCTGGACTGAGGACATCAGCGTGGATAGCTCAGTGGTTAGAGCACCTGTCTAGAAATACAGGGGTCCCGGGTTCGATTCCCGGTCCAGCCATATGTTTTCAATATATATGTATTTATGAATTTTCAGTGTATGTTTACTCATTCCTCCTTTCCATACTACAGATGGTGCCGTGGCCTACCTTGTTCAGGCAATGTATAATTACTAATGTTAAGTCCTGACAAGGTGAACTTGTAGTGTCTTCGGGTCGAAGACTATTTAAGGAAGGGGAATGTAGGATATTAGGCTGGACTGAGGACATCGGCCTGGATAGCTCAGTGGTTAGAGCACCTGACTAGAAATACAGGGGTCCCCGTTCGATTCCCGGTCCAGCCATATGTTTTCAATATATATGTATTTATGAATTTTCAATGTTTGTTTACTCATTCCTCCTTTCCATACTACAGTACGAAAGAAGCCCTGGGTTCGAGTCCCGGTTGAGACTTGATTTTTTACCACCTGCGACAGCAATATTTCTCCTAGTAGTACTAGTATGCCCAGGGACCTGTATAGTTAGTATAATTATAGGTCCCTGGTATGGTTTTCACAGTATATTATAGGCAGGTTTGCCCTTCACCTTTGTAGGTGGTTATCCGGACGTATTTACATGTTTATCTCTAAATTGTTTTGTTTTCCAGAAAAAGGAAACTGATTGAAAAAACTTTAAACGAAAAAGTTAAAAACTTCAAACAGAATAGTATTCCAAAGAGCTATAACCAAAGGTAAATGTATATTCAGTTTGTTAACTGTAGCATGTTCTGTATTATATTAAGTATAGAATTTTTCCCATGGTAAAGAAAACCTATAATTTCATTGTATTACAGGATAACAGGACCTGTCTTTGACTGGAAGCTGTTTTACAGACAGCAGAGTGCCTTCAACTATGCCAGAGATCAATCAGAGGTATTCCCATGAATAACAAATTTAATATGGTTAAGGGCACAGAATATAGCCAAAGATTGAGATAGTTGATGTGGCACTTAAATTTTAATGTAATCTGTGTATTATGTAAGGCCTAGATAAATAAATTTTGTTGTTTCCGGTCCCCCGACTGACCATAAAATATATGAGCCGACCGTGAAAAATTTATCCACCCATATCTCTCTAAAATTAAATAATTCTGGTTTCACGATTAGAAATCCTAATCTCTATCACTGACACTTCCATGTTTGAAAAAATGGATATCTTATACACATTAATCAGAAATGTTTTCAAAGGGATTTCACTGTTGAATTTTAAACAATAAAATGTTAAAATAAAATGTTTTCCCTATACCTACCTACCCTATTTTTTCTCAGGTTGGAATAGGAAACACACTATTTATTTAACTTGTCCTAATTGGAAATGATTTTTAAAAAACACAAAAGCTATGTAAAAGAAACACTTCCATCTTGTACTTATAAGCAAAGGACATTAGGCCAACTTTAAAATAATGTTTGTTTGACCTCTCCGACTCAGGGTAAAATTATTGGGTTGGTAGGTATATGTCAAAATCTTTTTTCCAGCAAATTTCAACATATTTTACAAAATTAGAGGAAATAAAAGAAAAACAATTAAATTTGTCCTGGAATGTTAAAAAAAAGTTTTGAGTTGGGCTACTTTATATAGGCATTTGGCCAGGAGAGGGCAAGCAAACAATTTTTTTTGGTAAGAATATGAAATGTACAGGGTTAATTTTGTCCCTAGAACCCTGTGAATTTTGGCATTTTTATGGATGTAATGCCCTGGGTATTCTGGTTTTCCCCCTCAAGGCCTCAACCCCCCTTTTAGGGAGGAAGCCCCCCTTTTTCTTCTTTTTTAATGACCCCTGCTATTTCAGTTCTTATAATCATAAAAGGGACAACCCAGCATTTAACAATACATGTATTTGGTACAAAAGACATATTGTGATTTGCACAAACAAGGTTATTCAGTTTTCACAATTAAAAGAGACTCCTTTGAATCCAGAGGCTTAGATTTCAGTGCAAATTGGATAGTATTCAGATTGTCTTTTTTTTGTTTACAGGAATTGCATGTGTTTGCATTTGAGAGTTCCAGTCTAGGACTAGGTGATGGGAAGCGAATGTACCTTGTATCCAGTTATGAAGTATTCTGGCACTACTATATGTCAGTACCATGAATATGTCAAAGTCGTTGTCAATAAGAAGCCCAAGTCACCTTTTCTGTATTTTGCTCTCAATATTTTGAAACCATTAGATATGTCAAAAATTTTCAATGGTCCAATCCAGTTGGAGATTGTACATGATAATTTGGACGTACTGTTGTTATATGTCTTTAAATTTTCATAAAGAAAACTGTTATCCGTAAATGAAAATTAATACATTAACATTTTAATTTCAGTCAGCTGTCTAGTGAAAAGAAACTTCATTATGAGATCATTCCAGAAGGTGAGTTGCTTGTTTTTGATTAGTATAATAGAAGATATAAAGATTGAAATAAGAAATGCATATACATGTACATGTATATACTAAGTGAGTTGATGAAAGTCTTTTTAATAATGTCATTACACGAGGGAACTCTTTTAATAATATCCCTTTCCTTCCAGGCTCTGTGTGTAAGCTGTACTTTGATCTGGAATACTCCATCCCAGACAATCCAGATCATGTAGGAATCAAGATGGTGGACACATTTATCCAGGTCAGTTTTGCGTCACCTGCAGAACACAGCATGAGAGATCTAGAGGGGATCAATTCTGCCTATTTGTCTGTCTCAGCATGGATACTTATACTTACACAAATGTTAAGATTTTTAAAAAATACAGTAAAACTCGTTTAGTATGAATACAAATATTGAAAATTCACCCATATAGCGAAGTAATCTTGGATCCCCAGTTATATAAATTTAACGAATTTCTTATACGGATATAGTGAAGTAATTTCATAGGTCCTAGTGACTTCGTTATAACCGAGTTTTACTGTATTACAAGAAATACATGATTATGAAAGTTGTGAGCAGTCCCCCTACCCTTGCTAAAGTCAAGGGTTCTTGTGTCTAATGTTCATGCCCTTACTTTAATAAATTGTTGGAAAATACAGAAATTTATGAATATAATGGTAAACTTAGTGATGAAGTACCTCTTAAAAACCCACCTGTAGGGGGTGTAATTAGGGCCCAAAAAATTAACTCGCAATTTATTTTATTTTATTATAAGAGATTTATATTTTACAGTATGTCTGTTTATGGTTAGAGCTAGAGTTCAGTCTGAAGTGCACAAGGAAAAATGTTCTGGATTTGGATGCCAGGCAAGTTAAAATCCATATTTTATCTGTGATAGAGGTGTTATGAAAAATTCCTTTAAACACTTTCAAGAACTTACATGCAATAAAGAAAGCTTGTGTGTTCTATTATAATGTGGATTCACTATAAAGAACTGATGTAGATGAATGAACACTATTTTTTTTCCAGCACTGATAAGAAATTCAGCCGACATCTTGTCTTCATTATTCCTGATGTGGCCTTTCAAGACAACATTACAATTGGTCAGTATATCCATTTGTTAAGATATGGTGGTATATTTTATATGAAGTATGGATTACAGCAGTGTTTGTTATAATTGCTTAGTTTTCAAACTACATGTATATTGGGCCCACATTTGAAATGTTGAACAACATTAAAATAATAAAACATCAACATGGAGAAACAAATGTCTATGCAAATGAATTTGATTTATGGTACATGATCATTTGTATTTTTTAGCATATAATTAATGGTAAATTGTGAAGTAAAATGTATCTTTCAGGTAATTTTGTGCAGCACATAATCGCTGTACTGAGTCAACACTGTGAATGCAGTGACTCCAAAGCAATTAATGGAGAGCAGCCTCTACATGATAACAATAAAGCTTATACATCCCCAAAGGAAAAAGATGATGTAAAGAGGGCAGAATTAAAGGGGAAGTCTCCTGAAAAATTTGAAGGTCAAACCGAACATATTGACACTACAGAGGACTGGGAGGGACTGTCTGATGAAGTGTTGATTGGTGACAATGGTCAAATGCCTGATAAAGGTGGAAAGAAACAGTTTTCTGACAGTGTATTTGAACATTTTACAGAGAAACAGCTGTCATCTCTCTTTGTTAAAACAAAAAAGGGAGAGAGAACAGCATTTTGTGATTTGGGTAAGCGTACATTATTCATCAGATATCCATTTCATAATCTGTCAGGTGTAATTCTGTGCATGTATATCTATATGAAATTGTCCTCAAGGTTTAATTCAAAATCTGAATCACAATGTTATGAGTAAATCAAAGAGGATTTCATTGTCATCATTTATTACATCAGGTGTGTACACTAAAAACAGGAATTTTCGGCTGTACTTGTCCAGCAAGTTCGGCAAGAACAACCCCCTTGTGGTGGCACAGGACAATGAATTTGTTCCATCTACAGCAACAAAATGTTATGAAAAGGCAATCTTTATGCAATCCCTGATATCAAATGTGAAGTAAGTTATTGAGTCAGTTTTTCAATACCTTTGGTCCACATGGTAACAGAAACAAATAAACAAGAACTATCCTTTCTCAGAAACATTTTGAGAAAAAAAAATTGTTGAAACTTTGTATTTGAACTCAAAAGTGTAAAGAAAGCAAAACATCTACATGTACTTGCAACAGGTTTTCACGGAGAATGAGAATTTTAAAGTTTGATGGCATGCAGAGGGACAGTAGAAGATCTGTCAAAAACAGCACAACCAGTGTAGGTATGAATGAAATCTTGCTAATAATTTTTATGTATTGGAAACTTTTAGGTGATTTTGAGATTTACTTTCTGTATACTTCCAGAGATGTTTTATTTCCTGTTTATTATACTACATATATCTTCTCTTCACTGTCAGTTATGAGAATAAAATTCAAGTTTGGGTTTAGTATTACAGTAGTTCCATATTTTACACCAATTTTTGTTTATATTAGCATTTTTTTGGATACAAGCTGATAACTTAATATGACCTATAAGCTAGGGGGTGTCCACATTGTGGCTCGAACCTACAACCCTCAGATTTAAAATTCAACGCTCTACCGACTGAGCTAAAGGGTTAACCCACTAGCTAGTGCTAGTAGGAGCGTGGCCTCACTATTTACAACACAACACCTGGCCACTTTAAACTCTGTTACTTTAATATGATTTAAAGATATGGTTATAACAAAGTAATTCTGGTATTAAATGCTTTAACTGAGATTGGTTTTAACTATGCTGAATATAGTATAACATTCCAACTTTGATTCTCAGTAATTTCTTTACAGCAAGTCTAGAAGGATACCGAACTTCTCCTTATCCTGAGGTAGATGCTTTCCTTGTGAAACTTGTACAGGAAGTAGAACCTCGAGGAGGGATCCGTCATTGGACTTATTTCAGTCAGGGAGAACTCATTGTTTATGAAATGGCTAACTACAGATTCTGTCACAATATTGACAGGAGTCATAGAAGCAACAATGTCATGTAATAATCCACTTCAATCTTCTGTCCTTATAAAATTCATTTCAACTTACTGTCTATTAAGGAAGCTCTAAACACCAACACAAACTTTTTTTGGACTCAGAGAAAAATATATCATATAGAGATATGCATAATGAGATTTTTTTCATTCATTTAGAACATAGGGTACGAGCCTTATTTGCACAGGAAAAATGTTCAAAGACCATGGACTATTTGTGAGCAGAAATCATTGTTGTTTACTTTGGGAAAATTAATGAAAACAATTGATTAAATTTCTTACTCTTGGTCTTGTATAATGCTAAAAATATTTAATCTATTATACATTATGTAATTAACTGTAAAGAACGATCTCTTTAATCTTACATCTAAGGGCAGATCACTCTACCTGCATAAAACTACCCAATAAATAGAGCTCTTTAGTTTGCAGTGTTTAGAGCGTCCTTAAATATTCTTCAGGTTTCTTGGATTATATATTTCTTGGCTTATACTTTACCTCATGTTTTATCCCCTGTAGGTTTATTGTGGACCTGAAGAAAAGGATTTATTACCAGAAATGTCATGATCCAGCTTGTAGGTCACAAAATTTCAAGTCTTCAGGTAAAACTGCACTCAAAAGTAATTTGAACTAATTGTAGCAGTTCTAAAGGTATAGTCCAATATTGATTCCAATCCTTCTTTTTTTTTTGCTCCTACAGACTTCCCTTTACCTGACTCTGTGTTTCCTGCCTACTTGTGGGAAGATGATCCCATGTTTGATGGAGAGCTGTCGAGGAAGCAGAGAAAACAATGCCTGCGTGATACATCCTTCATATACATGTAGGACATTTGTATGAAGCTTAATGACACCCCCTCGTCATTCTGATGTCCCTTAAGGAACATGCAGCCCCCAGAGGTAGCCAGAACCCAAGGGATCAAGCACTGGATATTCAATAAAAAACATTCTTCTGTACAATTTTTTCTCCGTACGATCCTCTATTATGAAAATTACATTTTGTACATTGATAAAATTATAGCTTACTACATGTATACTGTAAAGGTGTAAATACAAGTCTTCAGTTAAGATATACATGTATATGTATCTATTTCAACACAGTTTACCACCCAACCCCCTTTTAAAGGTTCAAAGGAGGAAATAGATCAAAGTATCAATGAATAATCTCTTGAGGTGAATTAAATAAGGCTCTATATTAACTTGGGTAGAACACCTCAATTCTTTTCTGTGATGTGAATTTTTATTCATCCATCAGTCCTTGTTGCACTCTTATTCTAAAATTAAATAAATTGAAAACAGTTACTAAAATTTATTTTTTGTACAACCTTTGTAGTAATACAAGAACAAACTTGCTGCATGAAATTGTACACAAACGTGTGCAGAATCAAATCAAGTATACTTTCACAAAAGCTAATTAAGAATGGAAATGTTTAGCAATTGATCTTGTATGTACATCTGATTGAATTTTATGTCCCTGCATTTAATGCATGTACATGCACCGTCATCAGTTATTAGTAATCTATCTATCAACAAGATTACTGGTTACTATATTTGTGCCATCTCCATTCCTATTACAAATACATGTATATGCAAATACATGTACTGCAGAATCTTTTAATCTATATGTATGTAGAAATTCTGACAGGTGTGTACTAAGGTAAAAAACACATCTACCACTGTGTTTAAGATCTTGAACTACCATTATGTCATTTTTAGCTCACCTGAGCTGAAAGCTCAAGTGAGCTTTTCTGATCACCCGTTGTCCGTCGTCCGTCCGTCTGTCTAGCTGTCTGTCTGTCCGTCCGTCCGTCTGTAAACTTTTCACATTTTCAACTTCTTCTCAACGGAACCAAATTTTAACCAAACTTGGTCAAAGGATCCTTGGGTAAAGGGGAATTTAAATTGTAAAAATCAAAGGCCAAGTTCCCTTCCAAGGGGAGACAATCAATAATTTACAACCAGAAGTCTCTGTTGAGACTGAAGCTCTACTGGTTTGTACTTATAGCAAAGGAAGAGGAAAGTACTTAAGCAGTTGGGAATTGATACTTTACACTAGCAAATAAGAGAATAAAGATCCTTGAATAAGTTTCTTTATGTTCTTAGTGTAGTCTACTTGCATGCCACATTATATTATAATCAGACTAAAACTGTATTTGAAGTAGCATTTTGACAGTAACAGAAATTGCTATCTTTATTAACCAAGGTAATAATGTTCATTGAAGTCAAAAACGGATATAAAGAATTATGTACCTTAGTGTAGTCTACTTATGTGCCAAGTTATATTGAAATCAGACCAAAACTGTAGGAGGAGTAGCATTTTGAAAGAATTTCACAGAAATTTCTATTTTTAGTAACAACGCCTGTACACCATTCGTCGAAATCAAAAACCGATACACAGAATTATGTATCTTAGTGTAGTCTACTTGTGTGCCAAGTTATATTGAAATCAGACCAAAACTGTAGGAGAAGAAGCATTTTGAAAGAATTTCATAGAAATTTCTATTTTTAGTAACAACGCCAACACCGTTCATCGAAATCAAAAACCGATGAACAGAATTATGTATCTTGTAGTCTACTTGTGTGCCAAGTGATATTGAAATCAGACCAAAACTGTAGGAGGAGTAGCATTTTGAAAGAATTTCATAGAAATTTCTATTTTTAGTAACAACGCCAACACCGTTCGTCGAAATCAAAAACCGATACACAGAATTATGTATCTGTAGTCTACTTGTGTGCCAAGTTATATTGAAATCAGACCAAAACTGTAGGAGGAGTAGCATTTTGAAAGAATTTCACAGAAATTTCTATTTTTAGTAACAATGCCAACACCGTTCGTCAAAATCAAAAACCGATATACAGAATTGTGTATCTTTGTAGTCTACTTGTGTGCCAAGTTATACTGAAATCAGACCAAAACTGTAGGAGGAGTAGCATTTTAGAATTTCACAGAAATTTCTATTTTTAGTAACAATGCCAACACCGTTCGTTGAAATCAAAATCCGATACACAGAATTATGTATCTTAGTGTAGTCTACTTGTATGCCAAGTTATATTGAAATCAGATCAAAACTGTAGGAGGAGTAGCATTTTGAAAAATTGTTTACAGACAGATGACGGACGCCAGACGCATTACTAATCTGACCAGTAGAGCTAAAAATAGGGTGGGGTCATTAAAAAATCTACTTCTCAAGAACCACTAGGTGAGAAAAGCTGAAACTAATGTGGAAGCATCCTGGGGTAGTGCAGATTCTAAATTGTTCAAATCATGACCCCCGGGGGTAGGGAGGGGCAACAATAAGGAATCCAAGTTTTACATAGAAATATATAGAAAAAAACTTTAAAAATCTTCTTCTCAAGAACCACTGGGCCAGAAAAGCTGAAACTTATGGGAAAGCATCCTGGGGTATTGTAGATTCTAAATTGTTCAAATCATGACCCCCGGGGGTAGGGCAGGGCAACAATAGGGAATCCAAGTTTTGCATAGAAATATATATAAGAAAAATCTTCTTCTCAAGAACCACTGGGCCTCAAAATCTGAAACTTATATGGAAGCATCCTGGGGTAGTGCAGATATTAAATTGTTAAAATCATGACCCCCGGGGGTAGGGCAGGGCCACAATAGGAAATCCAAGTTTTACATAGAAATACATAGAAAAAAACTTTAAAAATCTTCTTCTCAAGAACCACTGGGCCAGAAAAGCTAAAAGTTATGTGGAAGCATCCTGGGGTAGTGTATTTTCTGAATTGTTTAAATCATGACGTCACAATAGGGAATCGAAGTTTTACATTGAAATATATATGGAAAAATCTTTGAAAATCTTCTTCTCAAGATCCATTGGGCCAGAAAAGCTGAAACTTTGGGGTAGAGTAGATTCTAAATTGTCCAAATCATGACCCCTGGGGTAGGGCGTGGTCACAATTTGTATTACAGAGGGGGGGGGATCTGTTAAAGAACAGCATGGCCAAAGTTTGTCAGGTGAGCGATGTGGCCCATGGGCCTCTTGTTCTATTTGGTAGACATTTTGATGATAATTCCAGTCTATAAACTTCACTAATATCTCTTTAACGGTTTAACCAAATTTATTTTCAACACGACATAAGAAACTAACTCTGCTAAACATCAGTAGAAAGTAACTAGTCAATGCTTGTGCTTTATATCACTGTTCCTTATTCACAAAACTATTAATTTGTCCAGTTGAATCTAATGCACCAAAAAAATGACATTTCACATCCATGGTTCCCAGCCCACATACACCCGACCCAGAATGTTTGGGTCGGTGGCTTGGTCGATCAGTGCTGCCACCTGTTGTTCTACTGTCAGGCCAGTGTCGTTGAGCTGTGCGCGCACATTCTCCCTCTTATCACCCTGAAGCACTCTCTCCATGGCAGAAAATGCTGGCTTCTTGGAGTGACCTAATTTCAACTCCGCTCTAAAAAAAAAAGGAACTACATTCAGTAAATGGATCTTTTTTTAAGAAAAGATGAGCTAATTGAGTTGTTCATGTACAAGGATAACTACACGTACCTGGTTATAGTGACTGGGTTGTCTCCCATTAGCTTTCGTTTCATGTATTCTATCTTTTCCTTTGGGTACCACATCACATCCTCCTCTTCAGGGGATTCTAAAGAAAATGACACAACTTCCAGTGTTAAAATTTAGCAAGTGTGGAAAACTTTAAATTTGTTGAAACAGAATTTCAAATTTGTCCACAGGATTACAAAGAAAACATACCATCTCCTTTCATTTCATTCATTTGTTTTTCTGCATTTATCTGTAATGAATAGAACATTTTTTATTAAAGGCATTTAAACTTCATAAAAACTTTTTTTTTTAAAAATTACCCACATCTGAATTAATTTTCCACCCATTTATTAGTCTGATTATCATGATGAAGGCTTTTATTATTGAACAGAAAAAGCTGCTGAACTGACCAGCCAATCAACTGATGGTTCTTTTACGAATATATCCATGGTATTCAGCAGCAGGTCACAGTTATTTCTGAGTGCTCGGAGGGTATGGATCATGGTGGATTCCATTAGACCCTGAACCTGTAGCGGCATCATCAGGTTACGCAGCTGTCGAGTCAGGCGGAACGGCATCAACTCAGGAATAGGCAGGAACTGCAATCATTTAATATCATAACTTTTAGTATGAATAAAATGAAAATTTAGTCATATTCTCAATAAAGTGCCACGCCACAGCATGATACGCCCGTCAAAAAATTACAATGTATCTTAAACAGTTAAAAGTGCAGGAAAATCATGTCAACCTTAATTGATTTTAAGATTTCAATGATTTTTACACACCGTAAAAAATTTGTTTATCCATCTCCTGTGGTGTAGGCATTAATTATAACAAATATTGCATCATTCATAGATTTCTATACCTTGCCAAATGCCTATCATATTAAACAATATCAAATTAGTCTTCACAACTTAATCTATACCTAATTAATTTTGGAAATAAAAGGCTGGCCATCAAATATAAACTGACCAACAGTTCTTCTGTCTAATTCCCGAAGGATACAGATAAGACCATGCTCTGAAGAAATGAAAGAGACATGCACCTAGCCTTCCTACACTGAACCCATTAATTAATCTTTAACTGGATGCTTGCCTACTCATTAATTACTCCCAAAAGATTATTGGATCTGCATTATCTACCATAAAACATTTTTAAAACATATAATACATCGATGATTTTTTTTTTTTTAGATTTAATGTCGGACAGTTAATTGTTAATATGCAATTCATATGGGCATGCAGATTCCACCCCTACCCCCATAAAATTAATTATTAAGTTCAGAATATTATGTAATATCAAAATAGTTTAATATGCAATATCAAATTTGTTTTAATTAATTCTCATCAAATTCATTTTAAAACTTCGGCTAGCCAACTAGAGCTATTTTTAATCCAACAGGCTTACCCATTTGCTCAAGGGATATAGATAGCACGGATGCTCTTACAGTTACTCCTCACACTAAACTCATTAATTTCTCTCTCTAATTTGACATGCAATTTTCTGTTATCAAAATTCTTCTTGACCAGTGCTTGATAGGAGTGGTGGAATTTCTCTAACATACATTATATTTGTTATAGATTGCTGTCAAGTATATGCTAAAAAAAATAAGTATTTTCTTGATTTAACAATTTTCTAATAAGGTTAGTGCAATAGTTTTACATTTTTTTGAATGTGTAAATGAATAGAATAAAAAACATTTTTTTTTAAATTCCACTTAAATTAAAGGTCACAGTGACCTTGAAATAGGTCGCGACACACCTTCTACCTCAGATGCATAAACTGGCCAAGTTTGATGATTCTAAGTCTAATAGTTTTCTAGTAATGGACCGGACAGGATTTTTCCATATTTGGCTATAACTTTTTAATTATAGATCAGAGCGACCTACTTTTTGTGCGCGACACACCTTCTACCCAAGATGTATCAGCTGACAAAGTTTGATAACTCTAGGCCTTATAATATTAAAGTTATGAGCCGGACACGAGAAAAGCTAACAGACGGACGGACAGACAGACACGAAGCCTATAACATAATACATCCCATCTTAAGACGGGCGTATAAAAATGACAACCTTTGTAAACAAATATTGGCCAAGCAAACAGTTCATGTAATTCACTCTTTCTTTAATTGTCCCCACTTTAAAATTTTTGGAACTTGTGCCTTAGAAAACTTTTCCTCAAGTATTGTTTAAAATCAACGAATTCATAATTAAGATATTAGCGACTTGTATAATGGAAAAAAATGAACATTATTTAACTTTTATCTATGGCTTTTTACAAGGACATGTCAATTCATTCTTGGGCTTAAATTACAGCAGTCCTAGTTCAAGAATACTTACCTGTGTAGCAGAGCCAAAGGCATGGCCAAAATCAATTCCCACCATCTCACCATTCTTTAAGTTCACCATAAAGTTTGACAAATGTCGATCTCCGATCCCCAGTATGTACTGACAAATAGAGATCAAGGCGTGAGTGGTGGCACACTTACAGCGGAGGACGTGGAAAGCTTCAGGGGAGGTGCTCATCTTATGGAAGGCACGCCTACAAAACAGGGAAATGTACTTAGGTTCAAGTCTTCATGATGTTGCAAATACACATTCCACCTTGTGATTCATAAATATTTTTGTAAATTATGGACCCTTGGTTAGCATGTGACTAAAATTGAAAATCTAATTTTACTTAATTCATGTGAGCAGGAGACGTCACACCTCTCCAGAAGTACATGTATACACAACTTTTTTCAGTTATTTCCCTTAGTAAAATTTCATCCCGATAGGGGTCGCAGAAAGCAGCCGCCATTGCATCCGTGACGTTGCATTATTGTCATAAACAAACTCCGTAGCAACAACACACGGATGAAACTACGTACTGTTCAACCGTAGATATTAGCGCACAAACAACATTTAATATATGAAAATCTTGTAAATTCTTTCGTTTACCTTAAATATGAATCAATATCAATGTAAAAATTGCAAGGATCGAATTATTTCCTCGCCAAAAGATGTCAAACCACAAGAATGGAAGGACGATATGCGGGAGTGGCCCCAAGTCGAGTATGGCGATATTTACAATTATTTAATATTGAGTAAGGCGTGTGATGGCCAAGGGATGAAAAACTACAAATCTTTGGACAGTTTCAATTATTTTAAAAGTGGTTCCGTGGGGAAAATTCTACATTTTGTTATTTACAATACAACAGTTGTTTTAAAATCTGAAGTACGCCCCTCACAAAAAGTCAATTCAGAGTTTCATAATGCATGGATTATATGTGACATGGTTGGCACGATTTTTAGTGCTGGTTGTTCATGTATGGCAGGGAACAGTAAAACGTGTAGTCATGTCGGCGCTGTGTTAATGGAAAATTGAATATGCTGTGAGGTCAGGGCTAACAGGCAAATCCTGTACCGATGAACAAATGCAATGGAACAAGGGCTCGACGAGAAACCTAGAACCTGGTATTCTTGAGGAGATGGATTTTAAAAAACCTAAATACAACAGTAGTGAAGTTAACAATAATGATGAAAAACCACAAAACACAAAATCAGTATCCCCCATGTTTGTATCCCATCAATCCTTTAAATATTTTGTACAAAATAGTGAACTTCAGGAATTGTTCTCAGTAGAAAATTCTCTTTTAAATACATCTGTGCAAGCTAAAGTTGATACTCTTCAATTCAAACCTTCATCTGAGCCTCATACTGAACACTCTGCAGAACTAACGTGTAAAAAGTGTTGCCAATTTTATAATAAGTACATCAAACTTACTGATTCTCAAATCAAGTCCTTATCTTATAAAACTGTTTCACAAAGTCACTCAGAACTGTGGCATAACAGTAGAAAAATTAGAATAACAGGCAGCACTGCTCACAAGGTTCCAATCCGTGACACTACAAATAGTGATGACTTCATTAGAGAGCATTTATATCCATCCTTTAAAGGCAATAAATTCACAAAACATGGACAGATTGTTGAAAATCTAGCAAAACAACAACTGCGTTCCACTGGAATACAAATAGAAGATGCAGGGACTATAGTTTCAGATGAAGAGCCCTGGCTCAGTGTTTCCCCCGACGGAATAATAACTGATGACGATGGCACACAATGTCTTTTAGAAGTAAAATGCCCAATACTAAAAAATGACCAGACCCTTGACAGTTTATTTACAGCTGGTAAATATGATGTTGTAAAATCATTGCAAAATGATTCTTTGTCCCTAAAGCAGAGCAGTTCACGAGGATATTATCTTCAGATACAATTGACTTTGCATGTTACACATAAAGAATTGTGCAAACTTGTTATATGGACAGCTAATGAATACAAGATTGTTAATGTTCAATATAACCAACAGTTCTGTCAATCATCAATTTCAAGATTACGTTTATTTTACTTCAACAAACTTTTACCCAGAGTAGTTGATGACTTTGAATCTGGAAGATTGAAGATTAGTAGAAAATATGAAAAATTTTCAAACTGATGCAGATAAAACTTGTTTCTGAAATAAAAGTCAAATATCTTTTCATTCTGGGGTAATCATTTATTACTTAATATAATATGTAAACAATTTTTTTTAAAGTTAGGTGCCACATAAAAAATCAATGTCTGAAAAAAGAGTAAATTCAAATAGTTAGTAGAAGGGTGGAGGTCAAGAAGCTTAAACAGTATTTATTCACCAACATGCAAAGACTTAATAAGTGACTTGAATGTACATAACTTTACATTAATGGAGTTTCAAATGTATTTTTTTAAAATGAACAAAAGAAATTTGTTACTTTTCCGTGTAAAAAGAAAATGGACTGTGATCAAAATTGAATTAACATATTCAAATCTTGGCAAACTATTGATTGAAAACTAATTGAATTTAGATTTCTTGTCAGACATAAAACTTTTTGGACTTACTCTCATGTAAACCTCCATAATGATATGCCAAGCACAGTATCTTTTTTAACACAAATATTTTAATAACATGAAAACATTATGTTATTATAAAATAATACCCTGTTGTAACCTGCTGATGCAAAGATAACCAAATTGACAGGTATAAACTGATTACAGTAGTGTACAGGGGTGGAACAATACACAATTTACTCATCATCATCTTTGATAAGGTCAGATCTTAAGTTAACCAATGCAGCACAAACAATCAAGTATTTACTAAGTTTCTTCACCGAGGTAACTGGAACAATCTGACTCAATATGCGGAACACCTTTAATCGTCTAATAGCCCGTTCCACGTGAATCCGGACCGTGGCAATTCTTCTGGTCTCTGTAACATCCTCTTCTGACAGTTGGTCTTTACCTTTTGTAAAAGCTGGAATGTTAAGTTTCACTTTCAGAGGAAAGAGTAGGTCATCAATGGTAAAACCTCGATCGGCCATGATTTCATCCCCAGGAAGGAGGTAATTTAAAATCCCAGATTCTTCCACAATTGCTTTATCACTAGACCTTCCTCCAAAGCCCTTAGATATAAACATAATCTGACCATGTGGTGCAATACCAACCAAATACTTCCCTGTGTTGTTTGACTTGTAGTGACTATATGTTTCTCCTCTGGTCTTCAAGTTTTTTGCTCGTTGAATAAAAGTTTCTGCACAATCAATGATGACTGTAGTTTTGGGAAAGTTCTCACGAAAAGACTTTGGCATGGTTGCCCTAATTGTTTCACGTGGAAGCCAAACTATTAAGTTTTTTAGTTTTGAAGCCATAAAAGAGAGTCTTTGATTAAAAATGTTGCACGCATGAGACTCCGATATACCAAATCTGTTGGCAATATCTGCAAACAGTAAATTAAGCCTTAATTTAATAAGAACTAGTAAGACTTGATCTGACACAGGCATAGTAAATGTCAGTGGATTGTTCAAACTTTCCATAACACGCAAAAGAGTTCTAAAAGTCTTCAGAGGCAGTCCTGTGTAGATCAAGGCTAAGGAGTTAGTTGTTATGTCAGCAGCACTGAGACGTACGTGTAGAGTGCTGCAGTTTACACCTTTTTCCTCCATCTTGATGACTGTTGTTTGTGTACCTGAACTCCTAGATCCTGCAAGGAATGGTCTTGCGTATTCATGTTCACACAATGTGGGATCTGTCCACTGTGTGCCCGCAGTTCTGCTCTCTGTGATGCTCGTCTGCATGGAAGAAGATGTCATGTTTGGTTCAGTCTGAATGGTGAGGGTTTCGACTTCGTCTGCAGCAGTAGCAGCCAGTTTTTGTTGTTTTATAACTTCTGTCCTGCAAAAAATATTAACAGTATAATACAAGAATTGACAAACATAAAGGCAAAATCATAAATTTCAAGTTTTATTAATAGATAAACAAGTTGTAACGATACAGGAATATATTAATTGTATTGATCCTGTGTTTCAACAGTAGGCATATCATATCATCTATTCAGAAAAAGATAGCGGAAGTGGTATTTTCCCTTTACAATGAAACACTTAAAAAGTTTTAAAAATCAGAACAAAATGGCACTCGAAAATGAGCATGGTGGAATTTCTAGTAAGTGACCAAGTTATCAATATGTTCTTTTCCAGAATATACAATAAATTGGTATTATTCACATAAAGTTAAACATTCATTATGTCATTATACAAAACAAAAGAAACAATTTTCTGCTTTCAATTGTATATCTAACTGTCTTGTGATACTCAGTTATATTGTGTCGCAGTAACCTTTCATACAAACTAATTTAAATTTGGCAGTGGGGAGGGGAACTAATCTGTTGCTGTCAGGTATCTCTCAAAATAATATCTAATTTTCTGAAATAGTCGCCCGCGTGGCGCAGTGGTTAGAGCGTCTGCTCTAGAGTCCCGAAGTAAGGAGTCAATCCTTACATCACGGGTTCGAATCCCACTGCGGGACGTGGAGACCGGTCCTTCGGATGAGACTGTATAAACCGAGGCCCCGTGTCGCAGTAGGTGCTGGCACGAAAAAGATCCCTCACTGCTCAAAGGCCCTGAGTGCCGAGCATAGGACAAAATTTGTGGCCCTCCACCGGCAAGTGGTGGCGTCTCAATATGAGTGAAAAATTCTCTCATGGGACGTTTAACAACATACAATCAATCAATCAATTTTCTGAAATTATTTTAAATGGCAGCACAACAAAATATATATTTATCTCTGCTCTTTCATTTTTTTGGATTCAAACATACCCATCTGTCTTTTGTTCTGTGACAGACTTCCTTTTCAAAAGTCGACGACCAACTTTTATGGGAGCTTCATAACCTGTAAAAAAAATTCTATAAATCATTGATACTTAGGCCAAAATAAAAAATAGTCTTGTTTCCTGCTACCCGACCTACCCTATTTTTTTGCACCCGACCCTAAAGTTTTTTTTAGCTTTTGGGGAAAAAATTCAAAATTTTAGGAATTTCATGTTTCAAAAAAGAAAAAAAAAATATATACTCAAGTTGTATTACATGAAATATATATGTTTAGAATATGGACTTTTATAAAATTCCACTTGAGTTGTGCATCAAAAGACATGGAATTTCATTTTAAAAGATGATATTGACCTTAGCTATGACATCATCATGTTCGATTTGGTTTTGTAGTAGTTCATATCCAAAAAAAATACCGTTGGAAAAAATAAAATAAAAATAAAAAAATAAAATAATTTTCCTACCTACCTACCCTATTTTTTTCTGGCTGGTAGCAGGAAACAAGACTATTATTTTTTTTTGGCCTTATAAAATAAATATTCATCCCCTCCTCCCGGCAAAAAACTTTTAAATAAATGGTTTATACTTTTAGTTATTTTTTTGGTGCACATTGAATAGACAAAATCTAGCAGCATTTAACTTGTAGATCACAGGACAGATAAATAAAGGGGCATGGTTGTATCGAACGACCCTCTTACCATTACATAGAGTATGTGCATATCAAAACCAGAGAAAATATAATGCATGTAAACTAAATACTATAGATTATGATTTGTGTTTACATTTACGAATTATTTCAAACCGTATTACTAGTAAGGCATAATTATGGTGGCATATTTCTGCCACCTACATGCAAGATAAATTATGTTAACATGCAACATATGTATGTCAACAACTCAACATGCAACATATGTATGTCAACATGCAAATTAATTATGTTGACATGCAATTTACCAATCTTATAAGAAATATAATTTATATAGGTAATTTTACTTACTAACGCCTGTATCTGACATTTTAGATGCAATATACAACACAATTATGTAGACATGCGACATTTTTTGGTATGTCAACATGCTAGATAATTATGTCAACATGCGACTTATCTATGTCAACATGCGAGTTAATTATGTAGACATGTTTACATTTACATGTCATTTACAGAATTACATGGGGAGCACCTATGATTTAAATCAGATTCCTATAAAAGATTTGTAACTTGCATGTCAACATAATTATCTTGCATGTACATAACTTTCTTGCATGTTCACATTTATAATTTATCTTCCATGTTGGAAGCAGAAATATGTCACTATACATAATATATAAATATTATCATTTTTATGCCTAGTAGCGCCTTGTTTGTGAATGCGTTGTTGCAAGCTTACTTTCACTTTACATGAATGTCAAATCTATTTTTAAACATCGTGTATGAAGAGTTTTCAAGTCGTAAACAAACCTAAATTCAGACTGGGTATGGGATTTCTTGCAGTTGGTCGACCATCAATAAAATGTGTTGAACACACGAACACATTCTTCGGCAAATCATTGCGGTGTAGTGCCCGTTGCCATTGAAGTTTCTCTGGCTCCGCTTTCGGCATCTTGTGGAGGCTGTAAGGCACAATGCAGGGACAATCTTTGTGGAGAATGCCGACGTGGTCTTTGCAGAGAGAATGTTTCCACAAATAAATTTTCTTTCTGTTGTTAAAACAGTTAAACACGGCGCACGATTCCCCCCTCCATCTTTATACATCTTTCACGGCTCACGGGTTTCACGGTTGTAATGGCGGATGCATCACGTGACATGTGATGGCTACGCTCTGTAACTATGACGTAATTGCGGGAAAAAGTTGTGTATAAGGCCATGTTCGACATACTGATGCATCCTAATATTGTGTAAATTTGAAGATCCCCAATAGCTGGCATTGGCCACAATATGGAGTCTTAATTGTTCCAGAGTATTGAGGGTGAAAAAATCTTTTTTAAAATCTTACAAAGAACAAAAGGGCTAAGGTTATGCAGATGAGCACTGTGACCAGTGGGGCTTGTATTTAACACACTTGATGTGTGGGTGTCATGATTTGAACAATTTAGATTGAACAATTTAGAATCTACACTACCTCAGGATGCTTTCAGCTTTTCTTGCCCAGTGGTTCTTGAGAAGCAGATTATAAAAGATTTTTCCTATTTATTTCTATGTAAAACTTGGATTCCCCATTGTAGCCCTGTCCTACCCCCGGGGGTCATGATTTGAACAATTTAGAATCTACACTACCTCAGGATGCTTCCTCATAAATTTCAGCTTTTCTGGCCCAGTGGTTCTTGAGAAGCAGATTATAAAAGATTTTTCCTATTTATTTCTATGTAAAACTTGGATTCCCCATTGTAGCCCTGTCCTACCCCCGGGGGTCATGATTTGAACAATTTAGAATCTACACTACCTCAGGATGCTTCCTCATAAATTTCAGCTTTTCTGGTCCAGTGGTTCTTGAGATGATTTTTTACTGACCCCACCCTATTTTTGTATTTTCTTGATTACCTCACCTTGAAAGGGGACTTTGCCCTTTATTTTAGAAATTTTTATTCCCCTTCACCCAAGGACGCTTTGTACCAAGTTTGCTTAAAATTGGCCCAGTGGTTCTTGAGAAAAAAGTCAAAAATGTGAAAAGTTTACAGATGGACAGACAGACAGACAGACTACAGACAAAATGTGATCAGAAAAGCTCAGGTGAGCTAAAAACCCATTTGTTTAATTCAAAAAGGGTCAAAAATGTGTTACCTACCAATATGCAGGTACAGAGGTAACAACAAAATTAAGTGCTCTTGAAACTGTTTTCCTTGCTACAATTTTATCGAAGTATTTCTTTCCACCTTTCATTTTATTAGACATCAAAAAACAAACTTCACTGCATTTCAAATACAAGAGCATTGAGTTATTGTACTGTACCTTGATAAATCCCATGGTACACAACTTTCTTTCTTCTGTAGTTCTCGCTTAGTTTCTGTCATATTATATTTCAGGTACATTTGCATGTAGGCAGGAATTTGATCTTTGTTCAGTTTCATTATCCAAGAAGTGTGTAGATGCATCGGTCCTTGCCTAAAATGAAACCACACTTAATTAATGCAAATGTTACTTCAATGTACTAGTATATAAATGTACACCTGTAGCTACATTTTTGCAGCAATTTTATTTCTGTTACTTTCAACTTTTAATAATTTACCAGTATGTGTACTTATCAGCTGGTGTACTTACTGGTGTGATTTAATTGCCATGGTAATTAACTTACTTGCTGTGGATGAATTTAGTTTCCTGGTCTGTAAGATTAGAGTACAAGAAATCTTTCAGTGGTATAGTGTTGTTCATCCACTCTATAAGACCAACTCTGAAATTTATCATTTACATATGTCAATTCAAAGAAAGTATTTAAAAATAAAAACGCTTCCATACTTGACTCAAGATTCTCTCTCCTAATCATGTCAAACCTCTGGATAGAAAAAAAATGTTTTTAACTTTGGAAGACTTTCCAGGACCTTGCTTTATTTAAACTTACCTTGGAGTCATTAGAATGACTTGGTAAGTTTTGATTTTAATTAAGGTTCCTATGTTTACAGGCTTTAGACTTACCTTGGAGTCATTGGAATGACCTGGTAGGTTTTGATTTTAAGGTTCCTCTGTTTACAGGCTTTAGACTTACCTTGGTGTCATTGGAATGACCTGGTAGGTTTTGATTTTAAGGTTCCTCTGGGCTTTAGACTAACCTTGGAGTCATTGGAATGACCTGGTAGGTTTTGATTTTAAGGTTCCTCTGTTTACAGGCTGGGTCACTCTCTAAGACCTGGTTCATCAGGAAGAAGAGCTGCTCTATCCTCTGATCCTGCCGTAAATCCTCCCCTCCTTTCACTAGGTAATGGTACTCCCGCTCATCATTACCACGAATCGTTATCCTCTTTGGTTTACGTATGGAGGTCATCACTTTTACCTAGTAAGGAGTTCACATCAAGTTATAGATTCTTAACTTCAATGGTCTGATCCTAACATACATATAATTACATAAAATATCCTTTACTTTATCCTTTGCATTAGAATGATGATCAAAACTCTTCCTTCTCTTTCACTTAACGATACAATGTTGAATTTTACCATAATTTACTGAAATTATGTCAATGCCAAAGCATTTTCAAAGTTTCCAATTTTTGAAAAAAATCATCCCACTCACCCTTTGATCGAATCCGACCACCTTGATATGATACTCAGGCAATGGTTTTGTCACTCCATCATACTGACCTAATGATACAAGTTACTGTGTTACACATTTTTGGGGAGGGGAGATTAATTTGAAAATGCTTAACTGATTCATCTATTAAATAAAATATTGTTGAAACATTGGAAATCTTTTTTCATTAATCTTTTTTCATGTACATGTAAGTCTAATAGACATATTCTTATGCAGAAACTGCAAAACTTTTCATTATTGAATTTGTTTAAAACACAATTATGAGTTAAAATGTTTCTGAAACTTTCACACACCTGGAATTTCTAGATCCTTGCCCTGAATGCTGGGGTTGAAATCTGACAACCATTGACAGTAATCCTTTAGTGATTCTGGGGGTTTCAGGTTGTTCCCCTTTACTTCATTTGTCATGTCAGTGTACACTTTTTTGTAAGCATTGACAAATTTCTGTTTTAGAGAAAGAAAACAAGTTTTTGTATTGTGAAAATTCCATAGGAAGTTTCAGTGATCATCATCTCTCGAAGAATATAGAATACTGACTTGTGTTGTCCAACAAAATGAAAGGAAAGGAATAAAAATTTCATCACTCCTTTCATCAGAAGTTGAAGTAAATGTTCCTATAATAGGTTACAAACATTAATTTAAGAACACTAGTTGCAATTTAGAAGCATTGATGCTTGATGTTTTTTGAACTTACACCTAATGTCATATCCAAAATTTTTTCTCCATCTTTCCCAAAGCAACTGTCAACATCTTTCTTGAATCTCTGTTAATTAAAAGAAGAATCCTTGATGAGAACATGCCTTATCCAAATGTTATATTCAAAGGCCATACAGTGTGTATACGAGTTTTACACCAGTCTCCAGAAACTTCATAAATTTACCTCTGCAAACTTTTTGGGGTATTTCCCTTTGTCCACTAAGCTCATGGTTTCCTCAGTCTGAGATCTTTGACTTGCTCCTCGGCCTGCAGTCTGAGTGAACTCCAAAACCTTCTTGTACATGATCTGAAATTCCTGCCTCATGGCTTTTTTGTCTGGTTTCTTTTTGTTGAATTTCAGTCTTGTGTCATCAAACCAGTCCTTAAATAACAAGGAAAAACGTTTAATATTAAAAATTCATTTTATTTTACCAAATCTTCACTCCATTATCAGGTGTCTCATATGTTCATGAAAGGGTATAATAAAAGGAACATACTTGGCTACATTGATTTCACTGTACCTTGAAAATTTGATCCGGTTGACTCATGTGTTCCAGGGCTGAGATGAACTTTGACACCAGAGGAAGCTGATCATCTCCCAACTTATCATTCAGGCTACAAAAAATAAACATGTATGTATTCATTTTAACAAAAAAATCTGTATTTGTTAAAAAAAAAAAAAAAAAACATTTAAAGTGTGTTACCTTGCAATAAAAGCTTCATCTTTTTTGTTTGTAATATTATATCCCTCACTGCTCAGCTTAAAGGGATAAACTACAGCCTATGTAAAATAAAAAAAAAAAACAACATATATTATCCCTGTCCAGGGCATCAAGATGACATTAAATTTCAAATCAGTTTGAACAGACCCATGTGAGATTCTGAGATACAGTGACACAGACCTGAGGATAGTTTTCGGTAAGTTCCATCAGAATGTGGTGTACAGTGCTGCCCTCTGGTTTATCTAACAAAGCCATCATCTGACTGATCCACATAATGAACATCCAGCAGGGAACCTGCTTACTCTGAAAATTAAACGAAAATAACTGATAAAATTTATGAATACAAAATTTTTTTTTCAAATAAGTAAGTCACTTGTTACATGATACAAGCATCCATTTTTAATTTAAGTAAGAAAGCATTATGTCGGCAAGTGGTAAAATGACCTTTTTTATACCTTTTCGACAAAAGTGGAGCGAATTTCTGGATACATCTCCACCAGCTGGAGTAACCGTGGAAACCTCTGCCTGGCTTCCATAGAATCAAACTTCATAGCATTCAACAGACAGACAGTGATGGTTTCTGGGAAACTCTTCAGACTCTCTTTGGAAAGTGGTAAATGCTCTGTCTCTAAATAATATAAAATTTCAATACCAATTAATAACAATAAAAAAAATTAGGATTCAAACTGAGGCAAACACCAGAGGCTTAAAGCTAGAACATATGGTTAATTTTGTAAAAGAGAAACAAGTATGGTAGTATTTAATGTTTATAGTTTACATGTGTAAGAAAACAATGTTGATTTTGAACTGAACTTTGTGAAAAAACAGGTTACCTTCATCATCGACCGCCATTCTGAGGAACTTATTACAGTACTGGGACACGGCTAGATAGGCCTCCTCCAGACCATAGCGACATGTCCTTGTTGATCGACCATCATAAGATAAAGCTGTCTTCATCTGCTTGTATCCTTCATCAACAAGGCATTTAGCTATCTAAAAAGATGGAATCTTAAATGTAAGAGAGATTTTTTTCTTTTAAATACTAAAACCCATGCAAAGTTCTGTGTGTTCAAAAAAAAGTAATTTACATGTATCTACCTGTATATCTTTGAATGACTAGAATTCTTGATTATTTTTTTAACAGCTCTTTTATATACTGTAAATAATTTTTTATTCGCAAAAACTTTATCCCTGTCAAAATATGCAAGGCAACCTACTCTTGAAAATCTCGTTCTCACATTTACTTGTATTATCAAATTAAACAATACCAAAAATTGTGAACATTTTGTCTCACTCTTTAATATATACAAAATAGTTACCGCTAAAATAAAGGGGTTCACAAAATTTGGAGATTTACTGTACATATACAGAAGTACATTGCTCTAATTACAATAAAACTCGTTTAGTACGAACATTGATATTGCTAATTCATGGATATAACGAAGTTATTTGGATCCACAGCTATATAAATTTAATGAATTTCTCATAAGGATATAACAAATTATGGATATAGTGACGTAATTTCATAGGTCCCAGTGACTTCACTATAACCAAGTTTTGCTGTACCTCTCTCTGGTCAAGCTTGGAAACCTTGCTGATGGACATCATTTTCTCTGAGTTTTTGTCACTAAGGCTACTGAAGCAGTTTTCACTTAGTACACCTTTAGTCAACAAGCCATAAGCCTGTCCCATCAGAACAAAATGCCTGCGACCTAGCCCAGGCTCTCGCCTCAGGATCTGGCTATCCTTAAATTTTCCTACCAAGAAAGAATAAATTATTTTAGAGTCATACTCTCAGGACCTTTTAATGCATTAAGTTATCCTTGATCCTTTTTTAATAGACAGTGGAGACTAAAATTCTAAAATACAGTAATAGCTTGGAGATCTTAAACTAAATGGAACCAATAAAAAACTACAAAGAGGATTCAAGATATCCAGGATATTGGTGTACATGATACTGAAGTTCAAATCTAATACTAATCCATACCCAGCCTGTCTATGGTTGTCAGAATGCTGGAGAAGTTGTCATTGGTCCAGTCCATATCAGCTGTCATAGCACTCAGCTGGTGTGTTTTAGCGTACAAGTGACTCCATTCTAAATTCAATATCTCATTCTCCTTATCTCTGTAATTCTGGAAGGATATAGAAGTAAACATTTTATTTCCCTTTATGTATTGCCTGCAGAAAATGATGGGCACATGATAATTTTTCCCTCATCCATTTAGCTGCCTAGGTGTCTCTAAAAATACATCATACTTATGATTACAAGATCAAACACTTTACTTCTTATTCAAATAAGGAAAGTACATGTATAAAAACATTCAATTTTGAGGGAGGGTTGATAAAATGACCAAATGTTAATTTTTGATGCAATTTATCAGATGTTTTTTCCATATTACTTAAGGGGCCGACTACAGTTTTATTGTGTGAAAACTACAATAGCGAAACTCTTAATTTTTATGCCATATATAATTTACATTAACTTCATTGTACATGCAAAGTTTGGGGGAAATCTACCGTCCAGGTATTTTTGAGGGACCGTCTAGGATTATATCGGAAAATGCCAATTTTTAGCACTTTAAAGCAAATTATACAAATACTACAATAGACATTTTGTTCAAACTATAATATTTGATGAGTAACTATATTATACAATATATTAAGAAACACAAAATTTATTCAAATCAAAAGCAAAAAATTAGCAAATTTCACTATTTTTATAGAGTATTAAAAAAAAAACATCACATGAAAACATAATAAAAATTTGAGATATTCTCAAATTTCTATGTTTTAAATTTCAAGAGTGTATGTTTATTATATAATATTTTTGACCAAATGTTCAAAAAACACATTTTTGTCAATTGCAAAATCGGTTAAAAAATCAGTTATATCAAATTGTAATTAGATTTTTATACCTATCATTTCTTAATTTTGTTTAATTTTAATAATCAAGCATAGAAAGTTGCATTAAAACAGTAAATACGCTTCATTTTACTATGATTCGCGAAATATTGCGCAATGGAAACTATAGTCGGCCCCCTTAAATTACTTTGTGTATGTCTGCCAGTATATTCAGAGCCAGTTTATGGTTCCTCTTCTGACAACTGCTGTCTGCCATCTTCAGACGGAGCCGGATTTTGGATTCCAGGAATAGGTCTTCTTCATCTTCCTCCATAGCATCTTCCTCCTTCTTCACCAGAGAACTGGTCAAGCGGTTGGATATGTGGTCCAGGTAAACCATTCTATAGAATAGACAAAGGAACTCTTGTTAGATTCTAAAATGATTATTACAGTAAAATAGGCTTATAGCAAACATGCTTATAATGAATTGATGCATTTACAACCACACAAACTTGTCCATCCCTGGCACTTCATTATAAACATAGATGTATTTTACAGTATTTTAGTATATAGCTTAATCAATTCATTTCCGTTTACCTGTTAGTGACGATGTCATCCCATACTACCTCTGGGTCCAGAAGTGGATGTAAGGACCTATTCTGCCATCTCTCTATAAGCAAGTTAGCAGGCCCTGCTGAGGTAAAATTGCCTGAAATAGAACACCAGTTACACATATTTATTCTCCTGCACAATATTTTGTCACAATCAGCCAGTTATTCTTAAACTAGAATTAAATTTTCTAGATATTAGAGAAAGTTTTAATTCCCAATGCCATCTTATCTTATTCTCACAATCATTATTATTGCCTTGCTGCAATGAAGAAAGATCACCTTCTTATTAAAGATAGAAATGATGAAAGTACAGAACTTATTACTTCTGATGCCATAGACTGAGACTGTACTAAACTACATTTGTACAAGAAAAGGACTGTACATTCTGAGATTACACAGTTAAATAAAAGTTTCTACTGGTATAGTGAACTCTCAAGAAGTGGAGAAACTCCTGCAGTTTAAACCAAGGCTAGAGATTTTGAATCTACTCGTTAACACAGATTTACACTGTTATACACTGACTTACTCTGGAGCTCCATAAAGCTGAGGAATTCCCGTAGCTCCACTAAAGGCTGGAGATTCTGTAGCTGGCTCCTCCTACTGACCGACATCAGACTGTCTGTACTGCTCCAGTCCTGGGGAAATAAAACCAGTATCAGTGGGACTCTTACTTCCATAGCGTCTATTATCTAGCACTACTTTTCAGAATCTTAGAAAAATTATGTAAAAAGGGGATGGGAGAGGAAATTCTGAATTAATTTTATGCTGAATGAAGATTTTATTGAAATACCAGTAAGAACTGTTGGGATGCCATTGTGGAATAGTGCCTGGCTCTGTCATAGTCCCCCTGCCAAATGTACATCAAAGCCAGCTCCTCACAATATCGACTCTGTCAAACAAAATACACTGTCAAACAAAATACACAGAAAAATGACCAGCTTTCAAAATTAGAATCAAAAGCGTTATCTCAATGTTTTCAGTCTTGTGGTGATGATAATCTGTAATTTTTTCACGCGGTAGGATCACACAAACTAGTTTTGGTGTCTGTAATTCATTTGTCAGGTGATACAATAGATCTAGTTTCAGTGTACCTCTATCAGGGCCTTCTGGTCAGGCTGCTTCATACAGTCATCTATGAAGGTCAGTAATGGCTGCTGGTCATCATCTCCCTGTAACATCAGCTTCACCTTACTTCTGATGATGTAGGGCAAGTAGTGTTCCTATTAAATTACAACCAATAATTTATTGCAAAAAATGTATCTATCACATTAAAAAAATCCCACTATCATCTAAAAGCTATAACTGCAGTGTATGATGTGTCCTTGACCTGCCCTTGACCTGACCTGGTAGTATGTGTCTTTCCACACTTGGTGGATTGACTTGCTGTTGATTCCAGACATAGCAACTCCCTCCAGCTCCTTCCATTGAGACAGGTTGTCTAGGCACTAGAATGAAATTTACAACATTATTCCACTTTTATTATTAGTCTCTACTATAAGTTTTTACTCAAGAAGTAACTATAATTTCAGTACCTCCATCCTAGATTCATCCCACATGTCCACTTCTATAGTAGGTGGAGTTTCATCCCACTCTTCACATGACATGGCCTGTTTTAATAAAAGAAACAAATTAATAGCTAAAATCCACTCTCCAACCAACCCCCAAAAAGAAATATCTACATTATAGTAAACATCTTTGTAGTAGTTTTTTCTCTCTCTCCTCACTCCACCTTTTCTAACCTGATTATACAGTTTCACAGCTTTATAGTAGTCTCCTCTGGCCTCCATTTGCACTGCCTCCTTAGTGATGTCCTGTGTTCCTATCTTGTCACTGAAGATTCCCAGCAGTACATCATAGTCCTTCACTGATTTATACAACCTGCAATACAAAGTTCAATCTTTACTACACATACATTGCCAAGATTTGACTATATTTTGACAAATTCTTCACATCAGTAATGTCTCATTCCCAATATCATTAGGAGACACAGATGTGCAATGGTAAATCATTACAGTAAAACTTGTTTAATCTGGATGTTGTGTATTCCAAAATCTTGTCTAATACAATGCTATTTTTCAGTCTCTTTTAGTAATTTCTATTGATTTTAATGTCTAATCTGTAATGTTGTCTAGTCTGGGCCAATTTCTGTGGAACCAACAGTGACTAGATTAGACAAGTTTCATTGTACATCCATCCTGTTGGTGTGGGAGTTCTGTTACCTTGCCAGTTCAATCCAGCTTTTTGTGTCTGTGGACACAACTGCCCCCTCACTCCTTCCTCTCTTTGTTGGCCGTTCATCCTCAGTCTGTGATATCAGCTGCTCCTCCAGGACACAGATTCCTAACAGATTAAATGTTACAATTAAGGTTTTGCCAAAGGTCAAGATGTCCAAAAAATTATTTTTACAACAACTCCTTAGCTATGTGGTTTATATGAAGTTAAAACTTTTCTAGTTTATAAATACCGTATAAGTAGAAATTTTAGCAAGGATTTGATTTTGGCATTATCAGTGAGGGTGACGAGATCACTAAAATTACATATCGCTAAAAATTTACTGCATTTTATTTGTAATAGGTTCTTAAATGAACATTTAAAAATCGTTAAAATTACATCTCGCTAAAAATAAAATACCAGTTCTAAAGAACAAATCGCTAAATTTGTGTCTCGTTAAAATTTCCACTTATACGGTATATCATTGATTAACAGAACCACAGTTTTTGGAGCTATTGTAAAAATAAATTTTTGGGTATCTTGACCTTTTGCAAAACCTTAGGCCATATAAAATTAATCTTTAGATTCTCATCCCCGCCCGCCCCTCTCAAAATGTCCCACCCCGATGTTTTTTATTTTGATTTTTGGTATTTAAGGTCTTCCGTCTTCACGGAAGACCTTATAGTGATTCTATTGTTTCTTATTATTATTATTCTTATTATTATTATTATTATTCTTTTTTTTGACAAAATTTTGTGCAGGCGATTTCTCGAAAACTATTCAGCGGTTTTTCATGAAACTTTCACAAAATATGTGTCATTATATGAAGTTGTTACATCCGAAGAAAAATTTGGAAAATTCGCTTCTGGTGCCAAGTTATGGACAATTTCCTGATTTTAAAATGCGATTTTGTCGCGCACTTTCATCGAAAATGGTTGAGGATATAAACTGGAGACTTACTGGAAATGATAGATCATGACTTTCTGGTTTGCAGAATCACGTTTTCGTGCGTCGTCACTACTTCCGGTCGTAACGAGATGTAAATTTTAAAAAATCGAATTTTCTAACTTTTTTGTTTTTCAATATTTTTCAATTATTTTTGGTATCTTAATAGAAACCCTCCCTATAATGCTTACTATCTAATTTGTTTGAATATTGGTAAATCTATAATCTAGATATTTGCATTCAAAAATCTGAAGCGGGTCCAAAATGGCGGCTGTCTCTGTCAACGCCGACATTTCGCAATAGGGGTTTACGGAGTCAGCCGAGCGTTTGCTTGAAAGAAAATAACATAAGGATAAATGAAATGTAAAAGAATACTTGGATTGTCACGTCGTAGTTACGTTGCAATTCTGTGTCGAACTAACGTCTTCTATAATTGGTTTTGACTGGTTCACAAAGTAGAAAAAGAAAAGACTAAATGTCCTGATGAAATTCGATACCTAATATCTTTTGCTCACAACGGAAAAACAGATCTTAAATCATATTTATAAGTAATACTTTCTCAACTAAGAATATCGATGAATTGTAATTATAAAACTTAACGACTGTTTTTACAATGCACATTTGTGTCATATTAAAAGAGTTTATATTAGCATTCTTGTCTCACAGATCTGATTCAAGTTATTGAGCGTAAATGGTATCGATTCCTTGACAGTCATAGGGCGAGCCATGTTTTTCGGCGAAACATTTCAACTTTTTCATAAAAGCTTAACTAATCGCGATAGTTCACTTTGGGGATAAGCAGGAAATTAAAAAAAGTTAAAAATTCATAGCCGTTTCACTGATTTTGTGTAACTTGCTTATATACAATATGGATTTTGTGAAATGTGTTAAATATACATTCTAAACCTCAAATTTTAGGCTATAAGAACGTTTATTTATTTCATTGAAGCTAGCACACTTTTTTTATATAACATTCCAAAGAAAAGGCGCGAAGATTAACTTGTGGTGTTTGGCATGACATTTTGAATAGTGACCGGCCTTTCATTATTCTAAGACAGAAGCATTGTTGCAGATGTATGTACAATTAGATTTAGAGAGTAGGTTCCAATAACGTAGTATTTAGCGCGTTGGATTTTCATGCTGGCGACTTGGGTTCAATCTCCCTTGTCTGCTATTTTTATTTACTTATTCAGTCGACGTTACGTTTTTTTCTTCGGAATCGGACGGAAGACCTCTCGTTGCTCGCAACGAGTCGTTTCTAGTTTCTTGTATTTTTATTCAGTAAGAATTTGGGTCAAAGTTTAAGAGATATCTCCCGTCTGTATTAAAATTCGCGTGTCGCTATTTATAGCAAAAACGCCATGTGAAGAATGGAGAAAAATCGGCAATAAAAGCAGTTTAAATGTGTAAGGAAAAGATAATTTGTCAGTATAGAGAAGGCAGAGAAGAAAAAATAGCATAAACACATATAGATACTATCACTGGCAGGAGCAAGTATGTAGAGAGATTGTAACTAAGTAAAAATAGACGAGGAAAGTCAAGTTATATATAACGATCTCCAGCTGTGTGACTTAGCTTTGAAATAAAAAAAAAAATCTACAACATCGTAGACATACTTAAGAGAAGGGCTAGATTTTTCAGTAGAATAATTATTAGAACATTTATATAGAATTTGCAAAGTAAGAAGTCACGCATACACAATTTATTGGTATCCCCACCTCATTTTGTTCAGGGTGTGCCGTATAATGTGTACTTGTTAATTTGTTAATTAACAATAAATATTTAACTTTTAAAGAAAAAAAATTCTTTAAATATTTAAAAGAATATGAAAAGAATTAAATCTATTCATATTTGCATTAAGGTAATGAAAAAAATGTGTACGGGGCCGTCCATTGTTTTGTTGATACTTAGGCCTATATATAAATTAACAATTATAAAATATAAAAGATAAAATCCGCCCACCGCCCCAATTTTTTTGCAAATTAGGATGAGAATCTAAAGATTAATTTTACCTGGCCTTAATGAACAATTATTACTCATGTGTATATGGATATTAATAAAAATATATATTATGAAAAGCGACCAAAAGAGTAAGTTAACAGGTTGCAAAAAAAAGAAAAATGTATTTTATAACAAGAAATGAGAAACAACTGCTTACCCAATGGTTGAACATTTCCAAATGTGGCTGCTGAACTTACATCAGATACATCTACTTTCAGTTTGCTTCTTAAACTGTACAAGATGTCCTTAAAATAGAGGAAAATAAGATAAATCAATTCACCTAAAAATCTGGTAAAATCAATAGGTGTATAATACTGTAAACCAACTTTAATTCATGACAACTTTTATTCACTGTTTTGTTAGTCGGAAATCCATTTCCATGGCTGAGGTAACATTAATACACTAAGGAATAACTTGTTTGTGGCAAGAAATAATTGCAAAGAGAAGAAAGTCATGAAACACATAAGTATTTCTTTGGTATGCAAATAAAAGTTGGTTTACAGTAGTACACTGCAGACTGAGTTAATAATGGAGCAATATTAATGACCATGGACGTACCAGTAGACAGCTGATGAATGGAGTGAAGTACTGTATTGAGGACGTCAGCACCACACCGATACTCTTCTGGATCTCCTGTATGGTCTCCTGTACCTCCCTCTCTGTTTTAACTTCATCCATCTTAGAAAATATTCCCTTAAATATGGCCCCAAACAGCAGCTTGGCTATAGTACTGTCTCTCTAGAATAAAAACATAGGTAATCAGAGATTACAGAGCTCACCTCAATGAATGTTGTCTTTAAAGTAAGGCAAAGTCACGCAATTAATCAATAAAAATTTTACATCCAAAAATGCAAAATTTATGCAATTTTGATTTGATACTTTGGAATAGACCTATATAAAAACTTCAAACTAGTTCTTCACCATGAAAACGTAATCAAAATCCAGCATCTGAAGCAAGTTTAAGAGTTTTCATCCCTTGATGCATCATTTGTGCAAGTTTGGTTTATATAAGCCTTATAGTTTCTAGGTAAAAGACATGCACCCATAACTTTTACGAGGTCCATTATCTGGAAAATGTATGTCGAATTCAGCAACTGAAGCAAGTCCATTAGTGTGCATCATAAGATGTATCATGCTCAACATAGAGCTCAAAGTTACTTGGAAATGAAACCTTTATAAAACCAGAAGTCTCTGTCGAGACTGAAGCTCTACTGGTTTGTACTTATAGCAAAGGAAGAGAAAAGTTCTTAAGATGTTGGGAATTGAAACTTTACAACAGCAATAAAAAGAATAATGATCCTTGATTAAGTCTCTTTATGTTCTTAGTATAGTCTACTTGCATGCCACATGCCACATTATATTATAATCAGACTTAAACTGCAGGAGGAGTAGCATTTTGAGATTTTTTAACAGAAATTTCTATTTCTAGTTACCATGGCAACACCGTTCATCGAAATCAAAAACCAATACACAGAATTACATATCTTAGTGTAGTCTACTTGAGTGCCAAGTTATATTGAAATCAGACCAAAACTGTAGGAGGAGTAGCATTTTGAAAGAATTTCATAGAAATTTCTATTTTTAGTAACAACGGCAACACCGTTAATCGCAATCAAAAACCGATACACAGAATTATGTATCTTAGTGTAAACTACTTATGTGCCAAGTTATATTGAAATCAGACCAAAACTGAAGGAGGAGTAGCATTTTGAAAGAATTTCACAGAAATTTCTATTTTTAGCAACAACGGCAACACCGTTCATCGAAATCAAAAATCGATACACAGAATTATGTATCTTAGTGTAGTCTACTTGTATGCAAAGTTATATTGAAATCAGACCAAAACTGTAGGAGGAGTAGCATTTTGAAAGAATTTCATAGAAATTTCTATTTTTAGTAATAACAACGGCAACACCGTTCATCGAAATCAAAAATTGATACACAGAATTATGTATCTTAGTGTAGTCTACTTGTGTGCTAAGTTATATTGAAATCAGACCAAAAATGTAGAAGGAGTAGTATTTTGAAAGAATTTCACAGAAATTTCTATTTTTAGTAACCACGGCAACACCATTCATCGAAATCAAAAACCGATACACAGAATAATGTATCTTAGTGTAGTCTACTTATGTGCCAAGTTATATTGAAATCAGACCAAAACTGTAGGAGGAGTAGCATTTTGAAAGAATTTCACAGAAATTTCTATTTTTAGCAACAACGGCAACAACGTTCATCAAAATCAAAAACCGATACAGAGAATTATGTATCTTAGTATAGTCTACTTGTGTGCGAAGTTATATTGAAATCAGACCATAACTGTAGGAGGAGTAGCATTTTGAAAGATTGTTTACAGACAGACAGACAGACAGATGGACAGACAGACAGACGGACAGACAGACGGACGGAAGACGGACGCATTACTATCGCATAAGCTCTTCTGGTCTCTGACCAGTAGAGCTAAAAACTAACCTTTTCACCAATCCAGAAAATGTTGGTCAGATTCAGCATCCAAAGCCAGCCTAGTAGAATGCACCCTTAGATGTACCATCCTTGCAAGTTTGGTCATTATATGGCTCATAGTAACTTGGAAATGAAACCTGCACCAAAAACTTTAACCTGTTCACTCAACTGGAAAATGTAGGTCAGATTCTGCATCCGAAGCAAGTCTGGTAGTATGCATCCTTAGATGTATCATCCATGCAAGTTTGGTCACGATAGTTACTTGGAAATGAGACCTGCACCAAAAACATAAACCTGTTCACTCATGCGGAAAATGTAGGTCAGATTCAGCATCCGAAGCAAGCCTGGTAGTGTGCATCCTAAGATGTACCATCCATGCAAGTTTGGTCAACATAGGGCTTATAGTTACTCGGAAATGAGACTTATACCAAAAACTGCACCAAAAATGTTAACCTGCTCCAAAAACATTAACCTAGTCATTCCTTTGCTGAAATTGCAGCATCTGAAACTTTGACTGGTACAATGAAACACACTAGAAACATCTTCCATGCATGTCTAATCAATATAGGACATAGAAGTACTTGAAAAGAAAACTGCTCCAAAAAACTTAACCTTAACCCGGGACGCCGACACCGATGCTGAGGGTATTACATAAGCTCCCCCAACTTCATTGAGGTGAGCTAATAACAAGAGGCCAATGGGCCACATCACTCACCTGAGCACATTGGCTAGGGACTTGAATTTTAATAAACTACCTGATGATGTGTCCATAATATAAATATAACAAATGACTGCTGTTCTTGAGCAAAAGTTTTTTTCCTATTTATTCATTAGCAAACATTTGACCCCCTATTGTGGCCCCGGGGGCCCTAATTTGAGCCAATTTGATTTTACACTACCTGAGGATGCCTCTATATCAATATGACTAATCATGGCTTTTCTGTTCTTGAAAAAAGATTTTTCCTTTTTATTCCTATGTAAAACTTTGATACCCCATTGTGGCCCCTGCCTACCCCCAGGGTCATGACTTGAACAAACTTTAATCAACACTACCTGAGCATGCTTCCATGATATCACCAATCATGCCTTTGCTGTTCTTAGAAAGAAGTTTTGAAGAATTTTCCTATGTATTCTTATTTTAAACTTTGATTACCCATTGTTGCCCTTCCCCCTGGGGTAATGAATGATTTGAACAAACTTGAATCTACATCATTTAAATGATTTCATACATATTATATGACTAATCATAGCTTTGTTATTCTTGAGAAGATTTATAACATTTTCCTGTATAATAAAATTTTGATCCCCCATTGTGACCCAATCTACCCCAGGATTTATGATTTGAAAAAAATAATTGAATCTGCACTTCCTAAGGATGCTTCCATGTAAATGACCAATCATGGCTTTGCCATTCTTAGAAAGAAGAGTTTTAAAAAATATGTATTCCTGTGTAAAACTATAATCAGACATTGTGGGCCCACCCTAACCCCTGGGGTCATAATGTGAACTAACTTGAATTTACACTACGTGAGCATGCTTCCATATAAGTTTCATCCTTCCTGATCCAAAGGTTCTTGAGAAGAAGATTTTTAAGAATGCCCTTGTTTTTTAACTAATTCCTAATTATCTCCCCTTGAAACAGGGTGTGGTCCTTCCTTTAAACAAACTTGAATTCCTTTTACTCAAGGATGCTTTGTAGCAAGTTTGGTTGAAAGTGGCCCAGTGGTTCTTGAGAAGAAGTCAAAAATGTGACAAGTTTACCGACAGATTGACAGACAAATGGACGCCGGAAAAAATTGATCAGAAAAGCTCATTTGAGCCTTTAGCTCAATAAGTCTCGATCTACATTACATGGTACAGTGTCACTTTTGATTTGACATCACTTATTTCTTTTTTGCTCCATAAAAGAATCTTATTATAACCCTCCCCCTTTCATTTTCATGTTATCTTATGACTTCTACTTCCGCTAATGTGCCTGGCTACAAAAGTATGACATTTTTACATATGTGAAGGTTATGCAAAGAACCCCCTGTACATAACATCAATCTTTTCTAAAATGAGCATCATGCATCATGCTTGCTCAAAAGGCCATGAAGATGCTGTAAATTAAAATGATTGACTCTGGTCCAACCATATTTTGGGAGTTGTAATTTTTACCGTTTATATGATTTTCTTCTTAAAATTTTCATGAGCTGTTGTGGCCCTAGTCTTTGGGATCTTATTTGAATTAAAATAGATTTAATTCAAAATTCTACACTAGCCTTTTCTGTGCCATAGACTGGTGGTCACTCTGAATCTAGCAGAGTCCAAAACTTATACATAAAAAAGATTCTTTTTTTTTTAGTTCTAATCCAAGTACATATGTATATAAAGCTGTATTTCAACACATATAAAATGTATCTTTAAAAAGAATTTCAACTGCTTTTCAGGTTGAAATTCAATTCTCTCTGACATCATGTTTTTAAAACTTTACTGCACTTGAAAGTTTTTTTTCTTCAAATATTCACATATTTGCTACAAATATATTCCTTTGGTAAAGGTAAATCAAAAATCTTTAAAATTTTCATGCAGAAATCAATGTTCTTTTGATACAATTGCATATAATATTTTCTAGTGCATTGAAATAACATGAAATGATCTATATAATTTCTGCATTTCAAGCAGTTGTTGGAGGTATTTAAATTCCACTTTAAACCAGGAAGTATAAACACCTGACAGGTAGATAACGTAGGTGTGTCATGTGATCAGAGTTACATACAGATAGACTGCACTTGGAGATGAACAAATAGGACAGCCGCCATTACTGAAGTCAGGTAAAAAAACTTTTGAATGTTTCTGTGCATAACAGTTGGGAGTCATTGAAAATTCAGTAGTACAGGCTTTAAAGCAATATGAGCTGCATTTTTGAGAATTTTATTTTGCTATTAAAATGTGTTATTATGATTAATCTGTATGTAATCTAAACCCTTATGATCAATAAGACCAAAATGAAGTTTAAGGCCCATGGGCCACATCGCTCACCTGAGAATATTTTGTCATATTGTTCTTTACCAGATTTCCCCCTTGTAATACATATTGTGGCCCCGCCCTACCCCCTGGGGTCATGATTTGAACAATTTAGAATCTACACTACCCCAGGGTGCTTCCACATCAGTTTCAGCTTTTCTGGCCCAGTAGTTCTTGAGAAGAAGATTTTCAAAGATTTTTCCTATATATTTCTATGTAAAACATTGATGCCCCATTGTGGCCCCGCCCTACCCCCTGGGGTCATGATTTGAACAATTTAGAATCTACACTACCCCAGGGTGCTTCCACATCAGTTTCAGCTTTTCTTTCCCAGTGGTTCTTGAGAGGAAAATTTTTAATGATTTTTCCTATATATTTCTATGTAAAACTTTGATTCCCCATTGTGGCCCCGCCCTATCCCCGGGGGTCATGATTTGAACAAATTAGAATCTACACTACCCCACAATGCTTCCACATCAGTTTCAGCTTTGCTGGCCCAGTGGTTCTTGAAAAGAAGATTTTCAAAGATTTTTTCAATATATTTCTATGTAAAACTTTGATTCCCCATTGTGGCCCCGCCCTACCCCCGGGGGTCACAATTTGAACAATTTAGAATCTTCACTACCCCAGGGTGCTTCCACATCAGTTTCAGAAGATTTTCTCAGAGTTTTCCTAAATATTTCTATGTAAAACTTTGATTCCCCATTGTGGCCCCGCCCTACCCCCGTGGGTCATGATTTGAACAATTTAGAATCTTCACTACCCCAGGGTGCTTCCACATCAGTTTCAGCTTTTCTGGCCCAGTGGTTCTTGAGGAGAAGATTTTTAAAGATTTTTCCTATATATTTCTATGTAAAACTTTGATTCACCATTGTGGCCCCACCCAACCCCCGGGGGTCATGATTTGAACAATTTAGAATCTACACTACCCCACAATGCTTCCACATGAGTTTCAGCTTTTCTGGCCCAGTGGTTCTTGAGAAGAAGATTTTCAAAGATTTTTCCTATATATTTCTATGTAAAAATTTGATTCCCCATTGTGGCCCTGCCCTACCCCCGGGGGTCATGATTTGAACAATTTAGAATCTACACTACCCCAGGGTGCTTCCACATCAGTTTCAGCTTTTCTGGCCCAGAGGTTCTTGAGAAGAAGATTTTTTTAAAAGATTTTTCCTATATATTTCTATGTAAAATTTTGATTCCCCATTGTGGCCCTGCCCAACCCCCGGGGGTCATGATTTGAACACTTTAGAATCTACACTATCCAAGGGTGCCTCCACATAAGTTTCAGCATTATTGGCCCAGTGGTTCTTGAGAAGAAGATTTTTTAATGACCCCACCCTATTTTTGTCTTTTCTTGATTATCTCCCCTTGTGAAGGGACTTGGCCCTTTATTTTAGCAATTTAAATTCCCCTTCACCCAAGAATGATTTTTTTGGTCGAAATTGGCCCAGTGGTTCTTGAGAAGAAGTCGAAAATGTGAAAAGTTTACAGACGGACAGACAGACAGCTGGACAGACAGACGGACGGACAGACGGACGGACAAAATGTGAAAAGTTTACAGACGGACAGACAGACAGCTGGACAGACAGACGGCCAGACGGACGGACAAAATGTGATCAGAAAAGCTCACTTGAGCCTTCGGCTCAGGTGAGCTAAAAATATTTCAGAAGAAATATTTCTGTACAACCGAATATACAGTATTATATTTCTAAGAAATCATTATTGCACAGGACAACAATAATTCAATTTTGCTTCAGTCAAATCTTGTAAAAAGTTCTTCCATAGCAATGTGAACACAAGAAGTTTATAAACGTTCTATTTTCCTGTCATTAAAATAGTTAATTACAAAATTGAAATAATATTTTTCCGATGTCAAACACACAGCTTATATTGCTTTAACTACGGGAACAAAATTTAATTCCCAAAAGATTCAATGAACCATGTATATGCAATACGATGACTTGTTTCTGTTTATTTACTTATTTTTAAAAGCCTCAGACAAACTGTGGTTCTATAATCCCAAAATAATTAATGTTGGCCTCAAAACCAGTCAATAAATAAATAATCATTAATGTTGAATTTTTATGTTTTAGTCACAAATTCTAATGATGGACCCCCGTACCAGTGCCCAGGATGTGATGCGATGTGATCTGTGTGAGACCGCTGTGGTACAGATGCACTGTGATACATGTCTTGTCAACCTGTGTAAGGCCTGTGCATGGGAGAACACATGGTATCTGATCAATCTATCAATCACAAAGTCGTCGGTATTCAGGCCAGAAAATGCACTTCCCTCTACCCTGGATGTACATACCATAGCAAGGAACGATGTAAAATGTTCTGTAAACAATGTGACACTCCTGTCTGTATCAGCTGCATTGAATCTAATCAACATTTAGGTCATGAATTATCTAAACTCTTACGAGTTTTGGATGAAAGGAAGGACATGATTATAAAAGAAAGAGATGAATTGAATGATACAATTTATCCCACATATCAGGACATTGCCTCTGATGTACAAAACAGAATGAGTCAGTTACAAAAGGAATATGATGATCTCTCAACAGCCATAACAAAACATGGAGAGGACTGCCATAGAGAAATTGACAAACTTGTCAAGAAACTTAAAGCTGAAGTTGATGAGATGAAAAACACACAGTTACAAACTTTACAGAAACATCTAGATGAAATAAACAACAAATTGTCTAACATGAAGGAGGAAATGAATTCTTTGGAAATTGCTATAGACACCAATGACTTGTCAAAGCTATTTAGTGTCACATTAAATGTACACACATACAGAAATCTTCCAATCAAAATTATACCATCTTTACCCAAATTTATTCCAGGAAAAATCCAAGAAGAACTCCATAAATTCTTTGGAGCCTTATCATCAAGTTCTTTAACATCAGATAAACATGGCTACAGCATGAACACAACACAGAGATCACCAAAATCCTCTCCTCCTGTCAAACAGCTGCTTGATGAACCAGAGACTGTCACCACCATAAACACTGGCTTGGAATCGCTTTACAGTGTGGTCAGTCTAAGTAATGAAGAAATCTGGACAAGAGTATATAGCAAAACCATGAAACTATACAGCATCAATCAGGGATCGCTACTCAAGTCAATCACAACCAAGTCAGGGAACAGACCATATGACATAGCAGTGACAAAAAGTGGAGATCTAGTTTATACTGATTATGATGATAGAACTGTGAACATTGTGAAGAATGAGAGGATAGAGGAGGTGATCAGATTACAGAACTGGAAACCTAAAGGTGTCTGTAGCACCTCCTCTGGTGACCTCCTGGTTATCATGATCAGTGATGATAACAAACAAACAAAAGTTGTGCGTTACTCTGGTTCCACAGAGAAACAAACCATTCAGTTTGATGATAAATGTAAACCTCTCTATTCATCTGGTAGTGATAACAAATATGTAACCGAGAACAGGAACCTGGATATTTGTGTGTCTGAACGTGGAGCTAAAGCAGTAGTGGTGGTCAATCAGAAAGGGAAACTGAGATTCAGATACACTGGACATACTCCTTCTTCAAAGAACCATTCATTCAGTCCAAAAGGAATCACCACAGATAGTCAGAGTCATATCCTTACAGCTGATTATTTCAATCACTGTGTCCATATCATAGACCAGGATGGTCAATTCCTCCGTTACATAGACTGTGGACTGAATTTTCCCTGGGGACTGTGTACAGATACAAATGACAATCTGTTTGTTGCTGAATGCGTATACAAACAAGTGATGAAAATTAAATATCTGCAGTGAAATGCCTTACTTTGTTGTATTTTAAATAATTAAAGGGTTTGTATCAGTAAGTTGAACTATGGAATCTTTCAATAATAAATACATCTACTTCAGTCTTTAAAAATGATTGAAAACTAAAGCATGTTATAGGAAATTTTCTGATAATGTTTGTGAAATTCAATTTTGGCTGTAGATAAAAGATATAGTGTTTTAGGATATTTCTCCAACACAATTCACTATCTAAGAATTATTTTAAAACTGCCAAAATATTTTAAACCGAATTTAGAAGAATTAATTTTTTTTCTTTGAAGAAAGTAATTTATCCTGCCTCTGATAAAAATCTTGAATGTTCATTGGTTGAGAGCAATACCGTATTAAACAATGTTATGCTGCCTACCCACATTATTTTGCTACTGTGCCCTATCCATATGACCTAACCACCAAAAATTAAACATACATGAAATTTAGGAACTGTACATCATCAATATACATGTATTTTTTTCATGTGACCCTGCATAAAGCTTCATAACTGACATCACAGTGCGCCAGACAACAACAATGGATGCAGAACAATTTGCTTCCCTCAATGTAAGCGATGTATCAAGATTATATTTATGATACAATTTTCAACGGTAGGGGACTAATAATTATGATAACAAAGAAACAGAAAACATACAAAACAAAGCTAAGTATCATTTCATGTACGTTATTCAAACCGTTGACAGGCCCAGTTGGAATTTGTAAATGCTTGCGAGTGTCAGAAAGATCAATGGGCTATGAAACTGGTCTATCCTTAGTTTCGTTTTTTAATTAATATTTTAATCTTTGCTTCTGCTAATTGCCTAATAAAACTGTTTCTTCTATGGACACAATACAAGGCTTGGTACTTTGAAATCTTCCATATTAGTCTTAGAGTCTTTGAAAAGTCTGGTCCACAAGTTTTTTTAACTTCACACACTAAAAATTAATAACCAGAAATAAAAAAAAAACAAACAAACAAGAAGCCCATTGGTCATGTTGCTATTCTGAGTAACTTTGGTCTCTCTGTTTATTAATAGATTTTCTCCTTTATCTGCATACTGTAAACCAACTTTTATTCGCGTGCGAGAAATTTTCGCAAAGTTCGCGAGGGCCACATCATCACGAATATTTCTCGCCGTGAACCTTAAAGTCTATGTGTCTATATTAACAAGAGAACCTAAATAGGCTTTATCGCAAAAATTAATTGTCGCGAACTAGTTAACCCCAGGTAAATCGCAAAATAAAGTCGTCGCGAATAAAAGTTGGTTTACAGTATCTGGTTTGTACTGTACTGTCTGTGGTGTGGCTTACATGAGCAACTGCAATAAGTGGAGCTATAATGTAAAAGTACTTTATCTGTATATCTGGTTTGTACTGTACTGTCTGTGGTGTGACTTACATGAGCTACTGTCTGTAGTGGAACTATAATGTAGGAGTACTTTATCTGTATATCTGGTTTGTACTGTACTGTGGTGTGACTTACATGAGCTACTGTCTGTAGTGGAGCTATAATGTAGGAGTACTTTATCTGTATATCTGGTTTGTACTGTACTGTGGTGTGACTTACATGAGCTACAGCCTGTAGTGGAGCTATAATGTAGGAGTACTTTATCTGTATATCTGGTTTGTACTGTACTGTCTGTGGTGTGACTTACATGAGCTACTGTCTGTAGTGGAGCTATAATGTAGGAGTACTTTATCTGTATATCTGGTTTGTACTGTACTGTCTGTGGTGTGACTTACATGAGCTACTGTCTGTAGTGGAGCTATAATGTAGGAGTACTTTATCTGTATATCTGGTTTGTACTGTAATGTCTGTGGTATGACTTACATGAGCTACTGTCTGTAGTGGAGCTATAATGTAGGAGTACTTTATCTGTATATCTGGTTTGTACTGTACTGTCTGTGGTGTGACTTACATGAGCTACTGCCTGTAGTGGAGCTATAATGTAGGAGTACTTTATCTGTATATCTGGTTTGTACTGTAATGTCTGTGTTGTGACTTACATGAGCTACTGTCTGTAGTGGAGCTATAATGTAGGAGTACTTTATCTGTATATCTGGTTTGTACTGTACTGTCTGTGGTGTGACTTACATGAGCTACTGTCTGTAGTGGAGCTATAATGTAGGAGTACTTTATCTGTATATCTGGTTTGTACTGTACTGTCTGTGGTGTGACTTACATGAGCTACTGTCTGTAGTGGAGCTATAATGTAGGAGTACTTTATCTGTATATCTGGTTTGTACTGTACTGTCTGTGGTGTGACTTACATGAGCTACTGTCTGTAGTGGAGCTATAATGTAGGAGTACTTTATCTGTATATCTGGTTTGTACTGTCTGTGTTGTGACTTACATGAGCTACTGCCTGTAGTGGAGCTATAATGTAGGAGTACTTTATCTGTATATCTGGTTTGTACTGTACTGTCTGTGGTGTGACTTACATGAGCTACTGTCTGTAGTGGAGCTATAATGTAGGAGTACTTTATCTGTATATCTGGTTTGTACTGTACTGTCTGTGGTGTGACTTACATGAGCTACTGTCTGTAGTGGAGCTATAATGTAGGAGTACTTTATCTGTATATCTGGTTTGTACTGTACTGTCTGTGGTGTGACTTACATGAGCTACTGCCTGTAGTGGAGCTATAATGTAGGAGTACTTTATCTGTATATCTGGTTTGTACTGTCTGTGATATGACTTACATGAGCTACTGCCTGTAGTGGAGCTATAATGTAGGAGTACTTTATCTGTATATCTGGTTTGTACTGTCTGTGATATGACTTACATGAGCTACTGCCTGTAGTGGAGCTATAATGTAGGAGTACTTTATCTGTATATCTGGTTTGTACTGTCTGTGATATGACTTACATGAGCTACTGCCTGTAGTGGAGCTATAATGTAGGAGTACTTTATCTGTATATCTGGTTTGTACTGTCTGTGATATGACTTACATGAGCTACTGCCTGTAGTGGAGCTATAATGTAGGAGTACTTTATCTGTATATCTGGTTTGTACTGTCTGTGATATACTTCTGAGTGCCTGTAGTACTATAATGTAGGAGTACTTTATCTGTATATCTGGTTTATACTGTCTGTGATATGACTTACATGAGCTACTGCCTGTAGTGGAGCTATAATGTAGGAGTACTTATCTGTATATCTGGTTTGTACTGTCTGTGGTGTGACTTACATGAGCTACTGCCTGTAGTGGAGCTATAATGTAGGAGTACTTTATCTGTATATCTGGTTTGTACTGTCTGTGGTGTGACTTACATGAGCTACTGCCTGTAGTGGAGCTATAATGTAGGAGTACTTTATCTGTATATCTGGTTTGTACTGTACTGTCTGTGGTGTGACTTACATGAGCTACTGCCTGTAGTGGAGCTATAATGTAGGAGTACTTTATCTGTATATCTGGTTTGTACTGTACTGTCTGTGGTGTGACTTACATGAGCTACTGTCTGTAGTGGAGCTATAATGTAGGAGTACTTTATCTGTATATCTGGTTTGTACTGTACTGTCTGTGGTATGACTTACATGAGCTACTGCCTGTAGTGGAGCTATAATGTAGAAGTACTTTATCTGTATATCTGGTTTGTACTGTCTGTGGTATGACTTACATGAGCTACTGCCTGTAGTGGAGCTATAATGTAGGAGTACTTGATCTGTATATCTGGTTTGTACTGTCTGTGGTGTGACTTACATGAGCTGTGTTGTGACTTACAAGAGCTACTGCCTGTAGTGGAGCTATAATGTAGGAGTACTTGATCTGTATATCTGGTTTGTACTGTACTGTACTGTGGTGTGACTTACATGAGCTACTGTCTGTAGTGGAGCTATAATGTAGGAGTACTTTATCTGTATATCTGGTTTGTACTGTCTGTGGTGTGACTTACATGAGCTACTGCCTGTAGTGGAGCTATAATGTAGGAGTACTTGATCTGTATATCTGGTTTGTACTGTACTGTCTGTAGTGTGACTTACATGAGCTACTGTCTGTAGTGGAGCTATAATGTAGGAGTACTTGATCTGTATATCTAGTTTGTACTGTCATGTCTGTGGTGTGACTTACATGAGCTACTGCCTGTAGTGGAGCTATAATGTAGGAGTACTTTATCTGTATATCTGGTTTGTACTGTCTGTGGTGTGACTTACATGAGCTACTGCCTGTAGTGGAGCTATAATGTAGGAGTACTTGATCTGTATATCTGGTTTGTACTGTCTGTGATGTGACTTACATGAGCTACTGCCTGTAGTGGAGCTATAATGTAGGAGTACTTGATCTGTATATCTGGTTTGTACTGTACTGTACTGTGGTGTGACTTACATGAGCTACTGCCTGTAGTGGAGCTATAATGTAGGAGTACTTTATCTGTATATCTGGTTTGTACTGTACTGTCTGTGGTGTGACTTACATGAGCTACTGTCTGTAGTGGAGCTATAATGTAGGAGTACTTTATCTGTATATCTGGTTTGTACTGTACTGTCTGTGGTGTGACTTACATGAGCTACTGCCTGTAGTGGAGCTATAATGTAGGTGTACTTTATCTGTATATCTGGTTTGTACTGTCTGTGGTGTGACTTACATGAGCTACTGTCTGTAGTGGAGCTATAATGTAGGAGTACTTTATCTGTATATCTGGTTTGTACTGTACTGTCTGTGGTGTGACTTACATGAGCTACTGCCTGTAGTGGAGCTATAATGTAGGAGTACTTTATCTGTATATCTGGTTTGTACTCTGTGGTGTGACTTACATGAGCTACTGCCTGTAGTGGAGCTATAATGTAGGAGTACTTTATCTGTATATCTGGTTTGTACTGTACTGTCTGTGGTGTGACTTACATGAGCTACTGCCTGTAGTGGAGCTATAATGTAGGAGTACTTTATCTGTATATCTGGTTTGTATTGTACTGTCTGTGGTGTGACTTACATGAGCTACTGTCTGTAGTAGAGCTATAATGTAGGAGTACTTTATCTGTATATCTGGTTTGTACTGTCTGTGGTGTGACTTACATGAGCTACTGCCTGTAGTGGAGCTATAATGTAGGAGTACTTTATCTGTGTATATCTGGTTTGTACTGTACTGTCTGTGGTATGACTTACATGAGCTACTGCCTGTAGTGGAGCTATAATGTAGGAGTACTTTATTTGTATGTCTGGTAAGTCTCCCTTTCTATACTTTCTATACATGGTCACTTGATGTTCTCGACGTGATTTCTGTTCTTTCACAGCCTCCTTCAAAAAAAAGAGATAAAAGCTGGTTTAAAAGACAATTGTATATAATTACAGTGTAATAGAAAATTTTCACATTTCCTTTTAGTCCCTAATTTAACTATTGTGCCCATATAAAATGTTGATTTATTCAAGGGGACATAATTTTTAATCTGCAGAATTGCTTAGAAAGAATTTAATTTAGGACAATTTTTATTATATTCTTCCCAAAACATACACATTTACTGCAGCTCTAAAAGAAACTTGAGAAATTGAAAAATTATAGAACAATTCCCGTGATAGACCATATAACAGATATTTGTCTGCATATAATTCCTACCTCCCTCATTTTCTGCAGTCTGGTGTGGCGTTTTATGAAGTAAGCTTTACTTTGTTCCTCATCTCTCAAGAAGCGTCTCTTTAATCTGGACATTTCACTGTCAACCTCATCTGACGAAATATTTTTTCTGAATCAATTTTGTATGTCTATATGTGCGTACAAGTACAATGTATATGTGTTACATCACTCAAGAATTCAACTAATAATACAGTAGCTTCATTATAATTATTCCTTCACTCATATAGACTACATCTTATGAACAACAACCACAATGTCTTTATATTGGTCATATTCATGCTTTATATGACTATATACTAAATTTGGATATTCAATTGTGATGCAAACCTTTGCTGGTTCTCTCAGGAGCTTTGCTGGTTCCTGCTCGAGGCCTTCCGAACCCTGCTCCAGGTTTTCTGCTGGGCTTCAGTCGGGCCCTGATGGCCATGTCTTGTGTTCCCACAGTAAACAGTAGGGAGCTGGAGGTCTCTGATCCCACTGTACTGTAGTCAGTGAATGTGTCTAAACTACTCCCAGTCAACCAGTTAAAGGGGGCTTTTGAAGCTGAACAAAATCACAAACATGAAGTATTTTACTTACAAGGTTATTCAGTTTCAATATATATATATATCGATAAAGTAGCATAAAGCTTCCAGCTGTTTTTTTTTCATATTAAATGCATAAGTATTTTTTCATTATACTTAAAAACTGTCAAGGAACATGTACCTGTTCATCTCATTTTACCCTGAGACATTACAATTAAGTGTGCACTGTTTAATACACAAAGACAATTTAAAAAATTTTCTGAAACTCTTCACAAGCTATCCTACCATCCTGTGTGGCAGTGAATTGTGGGACATCCTGTGTAGCTCTGATCTCTCCACTAAAACTCTCATCCTCCTCCATCATACTCTGGGTTGCCATGGTGTTGGCAAACAGTGGTGTCATGGCTGCATGTCTCTGTCTCCATGACGACTTCACTTTATAGTCCTGTAATGTATTCATTTACAGATATTTATGCAAATGTATTATTATAAGCTAATCCAATTATAACAGGATGGAAATGTGACAGATCAGACCAATTCAAACTGGGCCACCTAAACTGTTGATAGGTGCTCTACTACTGATCCACCTGGCCTTCCCAGTACCTGGAATTTGCAGTCCTCTAGAGGTGACTCAAACATTTCTCTCTGGTAGTCTGGACTTTTTGACGTCATTTCTAGGACAAGATTTGTGGCGTAGCTCAGAAACTGTTTCTCTGTGACAGGTGAATACATAGCTTCCAACATGGCCACTAGTCTGTCCAGTGTGTTCCCTGGAACTCTTGATTCACTACTCCAGAAATTCTGTACCAGCAGTCTATAAATAATCAAGTGAAATATGTACTTGAATTCAAAGTACCTGATTCTTTCTTCACATACCCATGTAAATCAATATAAACCAAGCAAAATTTGGGTATCAGTGAACTATATGAATGAGAATTTTGACTGTCTAGGTTTCTTCCTTTGTGTGTCAGTCTGCCCCTACCTGCACTGTAGATCCTCATCCCCTAGTCCTTTAAGCAGGGTCTCTTTTGTCTGCTGCATGATCAAAGGAAAGAAGGGGGGATTAAAAAGGCAAATTAAAAAGAATGACAAACAAATAAAAAATTAAAATGATTTTTCAAATATTTTAGGGAAAACAGTGGGGGAAAGTGGGGGGGGGGGGTGTCCTCACTCGTTTTCCGTAAAACCGTAAAAGAAAATCCAGTATTAGCTGTCTCACTCTCATCTTCTCTGTAAAAGTCAATTTGATTACAAAGTTTGACAATCAAAAGAGAAATAGTACTGTTGTCATTTTATTTCACTTCCATATCCCTTCTTTCTCGACACAATTGTAGTAATGTTAAAGGCCTTCATATTTGCTTTCTTTACCTGTAGTTATCGTAGACCCACATCAGAATGTCATACATGACGTTACGGCAGGATATACTGGGGCTGATGCTGAACCCACAGATCAGGGGCAGTAACTCCGACACTTCACCAGGCTGTAGTTTGGTTTGAATGCTCTTGACAATTTTCAGAGCAATCAATTGTGTCTCTTCATCCCTGAAAATAATAAAATGCCAAAAAAAAAAGTAATTTACATCCAATCTTTTCAATATTTTAATTTCATCCTAAAAATCTAAAAATTCTAAAAACAAATGTTGATAAAAGCTATGCATTTGACAAAACAACATCATACATGAATATATGCATGATGTGAGAAAAATCCTCTCACCTGTGTGTTAGGAAAGATAACAGTCCTTTACTTTTAAGCTCCACATAGACATTTTCTAAAGTGTCAATCCTTGTAAGAATAACTTCCAGGCAGCGGTTCCGGAACTCGGCATGAAGATTGGGAAGAACAAACAATAATCGATTCATAAATCTACAAGTAAAATAGATAACTTACACAGACCATAAATGTACAAATGAAGTACTAAAAATTTCAAGCAAAGACCTCAAGCATCAGTAAGCATGAAAGACAGTCAATAAATTCCTATTAGGAATTTTCTAATTTGAAGTTAACATTCTGTTGAACAATGAAAACTCAGTCACTCAAAGACAAAAAATAAACTACTAGAAAAAAACCTACCTGTCAGCTATGGGAGGGTAGTGTAGATGCATTCTGTGAATACAGAGGAGGAAGTTAGACGGGTTGCTCTGTTGTAGGGAATTCATCAGATTGACAACATAATCATGGAAGGTTCCTTCTGTCTGCCTCTCCTTGTCTGCCAGGAACTTAAAGATCATTCCCACCACTTCTGCTGTGGCTGCATAAACCGCTTTGTAACGATTCCTCATGTACTGAGCCACAGTGATAAAGAATCTATACACAAAGAAAGACATTTGTGTTAAAACAAATTAGAGATGCAATTATGCATGAAATGCTTCAAGTAGACCCAGGAAATACCGTATAAGTGGAAATTTTAGCGAGACGCAAATTTAGCGATTCGGCCATAAAAAAATGGTATTTTATTTTTAGCGAGATGTTATTTTAGCAATTTTAAAATGTTCACTAAAGAAGGTATAACAAATAAAACGCAATTAATTTTTAGCGATATTAAATATTAGCCATCTCAGCACCCTCGCTAATAATACCAAAATTAAATCCTCTTTAAAAATTCTGCTTATACGGTATTCTATTCAATAGACTTTTGTGGAGGGATCAAATAATAATAGTATATTTTCAAATTCCATTTAAAATGTACATGCACTGCATGCAACTGCTCCGATCCACTGTGTAACTTACTTTTCCTGGTCAACAGGTGCTGTGGGGGCGTACGGAGGGAACTTACAGGACAGGACCACCCCCATCAGCTGTACCCCCACACAGCTCTCCTTCTTTGTCTCATCTGGCTGCTTCAGATGTTTGTACACAATGCTTCAAAGAACGGAGAATGATTATTGTATATCTGATTGCAAAACTATCAAACTGAAAAAAAATGTCTCAACAACAGTAAAGACATTCACAAAGACCTACCAATACCAAAGCAACTCTCTGTGTAATATGATGATCTGTTAATTACTTACCTGTAAGGTACCTCCACACGGTCCTTCCACACCTGTAGTAGGGTCTTCAGCAGCTCTAGGTTATTACGATACACAGGTCTGGTATCGTTATACACGTAGCCCATCACAAACTCCACCAGCCGACTGGACATAGCACGGTCCTCTACTGTGTCCTAAAAGTTACAGAAAAACATTTCAGTTTATATTCAAGAAATTAAATAATCACACTATAATCACACCGAAACAAAATTCAAGGTAAGTGATAAAGGTACAGCATTACCTTTAAAACAAGTACAGTAAAGCACAGCTAGAACAGACAGACTTATAATGAACTTACAACTTAACAAAGTAATTTCCATTCCCTTTTGTTTCAGATGAAATAAAATTGTCTCTTACACTTCATTATAAGAATGTCATACTGTATTGAAAAATTTGTAATATAATTCATTATAGATTGAGATCTATATATTTAATACATACATGTGTAATAGTGAGTGATCTGCCCTTGTTACCTGTGGAATGGCTACTTGATGCCAGGACATTATGGTGACTATTATATCTATAACAAAGTAGTTAAGACTGGTGAATGGAGCACTGATGATCAGTTGTGTCAGCGGGCGGATCCAGTCTCTGGCATAGGGGCGGAATATCTGAAAGATACGTCATTTGCAATACACTTCATTGTAAACAGTCACCTGACTGCTGTAACTTTAATGACAGATTCTGCATATACTGTAAACCAACTTTTATTCACGTGCGAGAAATATTAGGAAGGTTCGCGAGAGACTCGTCATCGCAAATATTTCTCACCGTGAACTGGTCCTTAAAGTCTCTCTTTCTATTATCAACAGATCAAAAAAAAAAGGCCTGATCGCGAAAATTAATTGTCATGAACTAGTTCGCCCCACCCCCCACCCCCAGTAAATCGTGAAATAAAGTCGTCACGAATAAAAGTTGGTTTACAGTACATGGACTTGCACATGTAAATGTTAAATTTCAGAAAATTTAAACACCACTGATACTTCACTATTTTACAAACAGTACACAGTTGTATTGTCATGGTTGATCAATATCCACTTACCTCAGCAGTATTAATGATGAGTTTGGCAATGAAATATTTGATGTTAATGTGGGTCCTTGGATTCTTCAGTTTATCATTCAGACATTTCATCCAGGCTGGTAGTTCTGGTACCACACCCTAAAAATAAAAGTACTGATTTTACTTCTGGAAGGCCACAAACCTATGCTGCATACTGTAAATCACTTACAGTGTATTTTATGTGCAGTTTTTTTTTTGTTATATACTATAAAAGCACAAATATTCGTGGGGGATTAAATTTCATTTATTTCGTTGTTAACAATTATGGTGGAAATTAAATCCCACATGAAATTTTATATGACTATATATTGAATAGGGTTACTTTCAAAACAACAAAGTTAAATGCAAACAAAACTAATTTTGATGACAAATCAACAAAATTTTATCCCAACGAAAATGTGCTTCTACAGTATTCCAAATTCACATTTTTTTATTGATGGCATAATTTTCATGGGTCTCCTCATATGATGAAAATAACAAAAATTACCCCCCTTCCCCAAGAAAATGTTTAATTTCACAGTACTTTTTTTTACTGTCTCTACTTACCGACTCCACCAGTGGGATGATGTTGGCCCTCTGCATGTGTTTGAGGAGAGCTATCATGGTGGCCATACACTCGTGTTGATTGAGGTCATCCATCTCCAGCTCCACATAGTCCTCCTCTACCATCACCTTAGTGTCCTGTCAATGGATATGGGCATTTTAATGAAAAATTCAAAAATGCACAAATTCCTATGCTTATTTTAAAAGCATGTTCTGAAAAGTGTACAGTTTGTACAGTACTTAGCTACAAGAACTGCTTACAGAATCATCCTCTTCATCAGTGTAGCTAGATTTACGAACAGTCAGCACTTTTTCCTTCTGTGATCCTTCTGACATCTAAAAATAAATAAAAGTTGTGACTGACAATAAGTGGGTGTGGCTGTGAAGTCATATTGATTGACATTACCTGGGGTGTGGCTGTGATTGACATTACCTGGGGAGTGGCTGTGATTGACATTACCTGGTGTGTGGCTGTGATTGACATTACCTGGGGAGTGGCTGTGATTGACATTACCTCGGGAGGGGATGTGATTGACATTACCTGGGGAGTAGCTTTGATTGACATTACCTGGGGAGTAGCTGTGATTGATATTACCTGGGGAGTAGCTGTGGTTGACATTACCTGGGGAGTGGCTGTGATTGACATTATCTGGGGAGTGGCTGTGATTGATATTACCTGTGGAGTGGCTGTGATTGACATTACCTGGGGAGTGGCTGTGATTGACATTACCTGGGGAGTAGCTGTGATTGATATTACCTGGGGAGTAGCTGTGGTTGACATTACCTGGGGAGTGGCTGTGATTGACATTATCTGGGGAGTGGCTGTGATTGATATTACCTGTGGAGTGGCTGTGATTGACATTACCTGGGGAGTGGCTGTGATTGACATTACCTGGGGAGTGGCTGTGATTGACATTACCTGGGGAGTGGCTGTGACTGACATTACCTGGACAGTGGCTGTGATTGACATTACCTGGGCAGTGGCTGTGATTGACATTACCTGGGGAGTGGCTGTGATTGACATTACCTGGGGAATAGCTGTGACTGACATTACCTCGACAGTGGCTGTGATTGACATTACCTGGGCAGTGGCTGTGATTGACATTACCTGGGGAGTGGCCGTGATTGACATTACCTCGGGAGGGGATGTGATTGACATTACCTGGGGAGTAGCTGTGATTGATATTACCTGGGGAGTAGCTGTGGTTGACATTACCTGGGGAGTGGCTGTGATTGACATTATCTGGGGAGTGGCTGTGATTGATATTACCTGTGGAGTGGCTGTGATTGACATTACCTGGGGAGTGGCTGTGATTGACATTACCTCGGGAGGGGATGTGATTGACATTACCTGGGGAGTAGCTTTGATTGACATTACCTGGGGAGTGTCTGTGATTCTCATTACCTGGGGTGTGGCTTTGATTGATTGATATTACCTGGGGTGTGGGTGTGATTGATTGATATTACCTGGGGCGTGGCTGTGATTGATTGATATTACCTGGGGTGTGGCTGTGATTGATTGATATTACCTGGGATGTGGCTTTGATTGATTGATATTACCTGGGGTGTGGCTTTGATTGATTGATATTACCTGGGGTGTGGTTTTGATTGACTGACATTGCCTGGGGTGTGGCTTTGATTGATTGATATTACCTGGGGTGTGGCTGTGATTGATTGATATTACCTGGGGTGTGGCTTTGATTGATTGATATTACCTGGGGTGTGGCTTTGATTGATTGATATTAACTGGGGTGTGGCTTTGATTGATATTACCTATGGAGTGGCTGTGATTGACATTACCTGGGGAGTGGATGTGATTGACATAACCTGGGGAGTTGCTGTGATTCTCATTACTTGGGGTGTGGCTTTAATTGATTGATATTACCTGGGATGTGGCTTTCATTGATTGATATCACCTGGGGTGTGGCTTGAATTAATAGATATTACCTGGGGTGTTGCTTTGATTGATTGACATTACCTGGGGTATGGCTGTGATTCTCATTATCTGGGGCGTGGCTTTGATTGATTGATATTACCTGGGATGTGGCTTTGATTGATTGATATTACCTGGGGTGTGGCTGTGATTGACATTACCTGGACAGCGGCTTTGATTGATTGATTGATATTACCTGTGGAGTGGCTGTGATTGACATTACCTGGGGAGTGGCTGTGATTCTCATTAGGGCTGAAACGATTCACCGAAATATCGATATTGTTCAATATAAGTGCTCGGTTCAATGTTCGATTCACCATCTCGATTTTCGGTTCGATACGTTTTTTATAATCGGGGTCTGATTAACTCTTTGAAATAGATCGGGTTCGACCTTATTTTAACAGTTTGACACACACGAGGGAGAAAATTGAGACGGTAAAGTTTCAGAGTAGGCTGCTACTTCTATTATTTATACGAATAAAGTGTTCTTACTCAACGGAACCACAAGTATCAGAGATGTGCAATTAACAAATTAGTAAATTCGGGCTAGCAAAAATTATAACTACGCATGTAATACATGAAAAGCACAACCGGTATTTTACTCATTTTTTGCTATCAAATTCCCAACCAGTGAATATTTTCCAGGCAGCATGCTCCTACTGTCATTAAATCTCCATAATTTTCTCCATTTTGCAGTACTTCCTGACTTATCTACTTCCAAAAACGATCATTTCTTTCCTAATCCGAATTTCCTCCATTCCTCCGTTTATTGTAAATACATGCAGATATCTCAGTGAATTATTTACCATCACTCAATCAACTGAAAGATCAGTGTGATTCACATGAAATATATTTCTAGTGTATTTAAGGATTTAATATGCAAACAAAATGAATTTAATTTCATTCTAAATGAGCTAGTGCAAAATAATCAGAAAAGGAAAAATCTTCAGATAATTTTTTAAAATTCATTTTTATTTTCTGTCATAATCATTAATTTTATATGATTTAATTTTCATAGTGAGAATAAGATTTTAATTTTTAAAAGAATGACCTTAGTACCCTGACTTTTTCAATGATTAATTTTTTTTTTCAACATTAGTTTTATTTTAATTTTTGTCCCATATTTGGGCTAGTAACTTTTTACTTGGGGCTAGTAACTTTATTGCTGCCACTAGCCCGTGGGCTAGTACTTGAATTTTTAAATTGCATACCCCCGGTAGTATATTTCTATTGTATCACCACCTTTTACTCTTTTTTTTTAAAATCTGAATACGTATTCTTTAACCTTATGAATAGTTTCTTTCTTAAATTGTATCGTTTTGAAAAATTGAATTGTGACACAAGTATTGCAATACTTATCGTATCGTGGAGGGGGTGTATCGTTTCAGCCCTAATTCTCAATATCTGGGGCATGGCTGTGATTGATTGATATTACTAGGGGCGTGGCTGTGATTGATTGATATTAACTGGGGCGTGGCTGTGATTGATTGATATTACCTGGGGTGTTGCTTTGATTGATTTACATTACCTGGGGCGTGGCTGTGATTCTCATTACCTGGGGTGTGGCTGTGATTGATTGATATTACTGTAAATCACTTTTTATTCGCGAGAACTTTATTTTCGCGTAATTACGCGAGACAGTGTGCTCGCGAAAATTTAATTCTCGCGTATAATAGCATTCCTTAAGATTATATAGAGCTATAACCACAATTCGTGAAAATTTTGTCTCGCTAATCAAGAGTCAATGACTATCTCGCGAAAATAAGATGTCGCGAAAAATTAGTGATCTACAGTACCTGGGGTGTGGCTTTGATTGATTGATATTACCTGGGGTGTGGCTGTGAAGTCGTACTGGTTGAGGTCTTCACTCAGACTGCTGTCAGCCAGGTACTGAGAGGCCAAATGAAGGGAGGAGCTGGTCCCTCCCTCTGCCTCCCCATTCTGTAGTTCACTATTCTTTACTTCATTTCTTATTGATACATACTGCTTCTTTCTGGACAAAGGTGCCTTGAAAGAAAAATGACAAAACTACCTATTAGATATTGTTAATAAAATCTGTCTTTCTCACATCAAAAATAATTCAGCCTTGCAAAATGTTCAATAGTATGCTTGGATAATATTAATTATCATTTATTTGAAAGATGTCTCCTCTTACCCTCAGTTCAGAAGTAAATTCATAGGATTTTTCCTTGTCAACCAAGTTGTCATAAACAAACTGTCCCTACAATACAATCAAAATCAAAATTAATATCATGAATGCTCAAAAAGTGTAAAGGAGTAAGACTATTGCTCTATTTGTCACAGAGATTTACTGGCAGAATTTATTCACTTGCTGAGAATATTTTCTTCATTTAGATGGCTCATTTACATTTAAAGTGGTTTATATATCAATCAAGGAAATTTACAGTTTTCCTATATTTACTTGATCATTTCATCCTGTAACATAAAAAATTGTTTTATCTGAGCATTACGCCAGGCTTCAACATACATGCCAACTTTTGAAAATTCCCATGGGGGATTTTGCGCGTGACGACAATTTTCAAAGCTTTAAATTCGCGACATTTTGTCGTGAAAATAAATGATTATGAAATACTTTTTTTTAAATTATAATATTGATAGCACTTATTAATGCAGCACAAATAATTCAATACAAATTAAAGTTTTATTTTTTCCAAATTTAAATATCTTTGCTTAATAGTTGTCACTCTATTCTATCAATTTACATTTTGTTTCTGGTATGTACCCTTAAAATCAAGTGTCACTTTATTTTCTATAAGTAAGTATATAGACACTGCATGATTATTTTTATCTCACACACAAAACAATTTGGAGAAATCATGATGAATTTTTTAACACAAGCCCCACTCCCACCCATCCCAAAGAAAAATTAAAATTGTAAAAGACTACATCATGAACATGATTAACTTTTGCAGTCTTGGTAATGCCATATGGGTCTCTGGTATTTCCTTGACATATATTTAACAAAGAAATACAATGTACAATATGAGTATGATCTATGGGAGAACAGGGGGGGGGGTTTAGTGTACTTAACATGAGAGTATTATTTAATCTAAATTATTTTCAATATTTTTTTTTTTAATTGACAAACTATACAATGATTTTATTATTAGCAGTCAAAATCAGCAGCTATATATGCTTTGAAATTTTCTACTTTCGTTTTCAAAAAAACGATCTTCTTGGATTCCAATTTTATTGTTTGATTATCATTTTATTGATTTTAATTTTTGTTTTTAATACAATTCCTAATAATTAAGCCCTTAATCTATGTGTTTCACTTCACAAACCCCTTCAAACTGAACAAGATTAGTCCCCTAACTGCTCCAGGCTATAAGCTACCTGTACCTGGACAGCAGCGTGTGCGTTGAAGCGAGAAGTGATTTACTGTGGCTAATTAACTCTGCATGCTAAATAAACAATGAGACTTATCTGTGTGCATTGAATAAACAACTCTGATATTCTTATCCCAATTGACAAAATTCGGCGGTAGGGAAACTGAAAATCTGAATTTTTTCAAATCGGGAAATTGGGGCAATTTTTCTCTCCCGATCGGGAAGGCGGGATGAAAGGGTAAAATCGGGAGAATCCCGCCTAAATCGGGAAAGTTGGCATGTATGCTTCAAACACAATAAAAATGTATCCTATATTATAGAAACCCAAATTTTATAAAATACTCTCATATACTAGTCACTTTAGAGGTATTGTATAATGACATACTTTGGCCTCGTCCTCCTTGAAGAGGAATGCGGTGTAGAACTTGGCTTCATTCTGTGTACTGGAGAGTATGGCTATCAGTAGATTATAGGCAGCACAGTGGTACTGTCTCCTCAGTTCTGTACAACTAGTCTCCCCCCTCACATCCTCACCCTTAGCTGCATGTGCTGTCCTACAGTATAGACATAATAATAAACTTATAGCCAATTTCTCTCAAGTATCAATTTGACATTTGGGTGGTTAAGAATTTCATTCATGTGAATCCTTGGTAGTCAAGACCTGTTCTGTTTCATATTGATGATAATTAGGTAAAATCATGATCAAAATTCAAGTTCCACTATATTCAAGATATGGCAAGTTGAAAATTGCCAAAATTCTAAGAAAATACAGGAATAAGATTTTCCTGGCAAATATGCATATCTACACAATATGTCCTATATATCTGCAAAGTTTGATGAAATTCTGTGCAGCAGTTGCAGATGAGTTGTGCTGACAAAAACAGAGCTGACAGACTTGTTGCATGGGGTATAATTATTGCAGATCACTAAATTTTCACGACACCTTATTTAGGCGAGATAGTCATTGCCACTTTATGAGCAAGACAAAATTTTCACGAATTGTGGTGATTGCTTTACATAATCCATAGGAATACTATTCTACGCGAGAATCATATTTTCGCGAGCACCCTGCCTTGCGTAATTATGCGAAAATAAAGTTCTCGCAAATAAAAAGTGATTTACAGTACTTACTTCATTATGATTTGAGTCATTTCTTTGCCTGTATCCACCGATTCACACCTCACATCACAGAATTTCTTGTTTAAAGCTGAGCTTTTACCAAACACCTCCTCCTTACTCAGTCGACCGTACATTAATTCCAGCAGCTGAAAACTGCAGAGTTTGGATGTTAACTGGTTCTCCGGCCCAGGGCCCTGTAATAACAGAGAGGTCTGATCTAGGAAGCATAGGATAGATTTCTTTATCCACATGGACACGAAAAATTTTCCACTGTCATCTTAGATGTAAATTTATAATTTCAACACAATCATAAGACTTTATGCAGATACAATGTACTGAATATTTTTGCATAGTCCCTGTGGGACATAAAACAATTATATACACATCATTCCCATGTTTAGCCTCTTTCAATGATTTAAATGATTCCCCAAAACTAAATTTCATTCATTTTCTTCAAAGAACTTAATACACATGTACATGTATTTATTCTCTTCTTAATTTTTTCTATATCATATGTATACAAGCCATGACCTGTACCACATAGGAAAAGATATCCACATAACAAAAAGAAGACTTCAAAAATTTCTATTTATTGATGACCTTCATATTAACTGACCTTGGAAAGTTTAGCTTCTACTGCTGCTCTGAGGTCATTCATGTGGTCAGTGAAGAACTCGATCAGGGCGGACTTGTGGACCAGTCTCAGTAGCGGGAGGGCCACCTTCTCTATAGTGATCCTCCTAACTTCTGCAGGGTACCGCTTCTCCTGACAAAAAATATTATAGGCCACGTCCACGGCAGACTTCTGCTTGGCTGCTGGTAACCTGAAATGTCCCATTGTCAAAATGAAAAATTTTGATGGGATGAGAGGAAAATTTATAAGTAAAGTCAAACATTTTTAAAAAATTTCGCCTGTTTTCTGGTCCTACCTTTTTGTGAACCTGTTGATGGATTCCTGTATCCTTGTCTCGTGCACATGTTTGGTTTCTCTACAGAAGATGCTGATCAGGAGTTCCAACAACATCTCACTCCCTGACAACTCCAGACTGGTCAGCAACTAAAGAGGGTTAATTAAGATGATTAATAACATTGGTGATAAATCACTTCTTAAAAACTGGAATGAATGTAGAACTCATACAAGTAGCATATATCAAGTTAACAGAGAGGTTGAGATCTTAAACATGTACATGTATGTGTGCCTATACTTTGACGTACACGTTTTTATAATTTGTCTGTTGAGATTTTAATGACATGTAACAGTACGTGCACACCGCGATCGCCGTCTTTTGTTTCTACAAAAAGTTTCTTTAAAGTTTTGTGACGTCAGTTTGATTTGAATTAGTAAGCAAAACATGATGAAAATAAGTGCTTGTGAAACTAGACATCCTAAATAATAGTTAACAACTACAATTTCACACATAAATTGACTAATTTTCATGAATAAAACTACAAGTTTTCAATTACATGTAGATGTCATTCTACAAGATCTAAGAACATGTAGCAATCTTGATGTCACTAAAATTGATGACGTAATACACACAGAATTTAGGTTATACCCCTACTAGACGTACCAGTACAGGTACACGTTTGAAATCTCAACCTCTCTAATTAGTCCAATTTATTAATTTTAATTTCAAGATAGTTTAAACATATTGACTCTAATTTCTGCAGTCCTGTGTATCTATTTAATGCAGGAATACCAAATTTTCAATCAATACATATTTATGCACCATGTAAATTCTTGTCTTTTTCTGATCAAAGGGTAGTTGAGGCAATTTATTAAAATGTTTGCAAGTAACTTTGACTCCTTCTTGTTTTTATGAAAAAAATTATGAAAAATGTCAGTGTTGTTATGAGACAGCCTTAGTTTTGTTTTGTCTATAATAATCCTACCCTGTCTACTGCAGCAATGTAGTCTTTGAACTGAGGACTGGATTCTGGGAGATCGGTGCTCTTCACTGGAAAATGGTCTGCCACAAGTCTGTTCAAGCTTTGCCTGTAAAGAATCTTTGATCATCAATTTTATTATCTACTGCATAACATAGATATCTACACTTATGATAAATTCTAAAAGAAAAACATGGCCATTTAGTAAAATTTATGTAAATAATTTCTGTTAACATGCAAAGTCAACACTTACTTCAGTTTTTTCAAGTGTGGTTCTTGTAGTATGGCAAAAAATGGCAAAAGTTCTAGCATTCTGCACTGAAAATCAGAAAGTGTGGAAACAGGTGTAAAAAATCATTCCATAGAGACATACGTGAACTTTTATCCTGTTTATGACAAGAGGGCTCCTACCTTAACAGATAAAGTTGTTTTGGTTTCTGTTAACATCTTGAGATAGGTGTCAAATACTTCTTCAAAGTGTTTACTACCGGTGTCAGTTACCACCTACAATCAAACAAGTGCTTCAAATCAGTAACATCACCTACATATTAAGATGGTCCTATCAAAAAGGGGACTACTTTTCATGCAAAACAAAGTACCTTGCTGTCCAGGAGCACCAGTTTGGTGAGTAGTAACATGGCCATACTGTGTAAATCGGTGGTTGCTAAGCACCAGACAGAGATAGATTTCCAATGCTTGACCACAGATGTAACGACATTTGGACCAATCCTAAGGAAAATAATTAAGAACTTTATTTTAAGTCTTACTGATACCTTTTTAACCGCTTAACCATTTAAGTATTCCATTTCTTAAAATATCCATAAAGAAAGATCATCAGAGGTAATTTTCTTATTGATCTAAAAATACAATTAATATAATGTGCATGAAAAATTGAATACAATACAAAGCAGTGGACAAATACTGAGAATTTACTATTAAAAGAAAACTGCTCATAATATTTACTGTTTTCTGAGGTTTTTGTCCTTGGATACAGTGTCAACAATGGTAACCATGATACTCATCACTCGGTAACTCTGCTTCTGAGCATGCTCACAAAGAACAGGAACTGTCTCACTCATAACTTTGGCCAAATGTACTGACATCGTAGATTTGAAAGCTGTAAACAGGAGCTCTCCATGACTCTGAGAGAAACCCTTAGCTGTCCCCTCTACCATGGACTGGTCGAGGATCCCAGAAATAACCTTCTTAATCTGTAAAGAAGGCAATAAAAAGAGGCATACTTAAAAATCTTACTTTCTACACGATTTTAATTCATGCAATAATATCTGCACAGCAAGTTGAAGCATTGCACCTTACCTAATGTACTGCAGCTGGAAACCAGCATACAATAATATTATGTCTCTATTAAGTACAAGTACCTGTACTTACATATTTCCAAGACATGCAGACTATTGAAGGTAGTAAATACATTTAAAAACATGGAAATGACATATTAGTGTGATGAACTTTCATGGCTACATGCACTCTCGCCCCTCTCCAATAGTCTGTTTGCTACAGTGTGTCTAGAGAAGACTGAGGCTATTCAGTACTTTGATTCCTTACCTGCACTCCCAGACAGAAGGAGAGCTCCAGTAACCTGGTGGCCGTGACATGTGCTGTGGGGGACAGGGTCAATGATTGTTTGGTTCCTCCCTCCACACAAATCAAACTCTGCAAAGAACAAACAAAACTCTCACTTTGAATATTACAATATTTGAATATCATTCACATAAAATACTGCTATGTACAAAAACTATCTTTCTTACCTTGTGGACAAAATCAAATAGAGAGTTGGCCAGATTTGGTAGTGATGTCCCTTTGAGGATTTTACTCAGCAATCCCACAGTGTGTAGAAGCTGGTAGCCTGACACTAACTGTTGTAGGAACACATGATCTGTAGAGGGATCATCCAGAGATCTACTCAGCAAGCCTAACAAGTCTCTGTGGAATCAGACCAAAACATCTTTAAATTGTAGGTCATTATTTGTAATATAGAAGCCTCTGATGGGACTGGAACGCTACTGTTTTAATGTATTTCTAAGAAAACATAATTTAAAAGAAAATGAATAATATTCATGTTGACATTGCATTATGGGATATATAAGTAGATCCTGCTTAACCTGTCTCCTTGCAGCAGGGATCCAATCTGTTTGCACATCTCTGTCAAGATGTCTCCTGGCAGCTTTGCACTGAATACTTTTAGCAAGTTTTCCATCTACAATAATTCAAGCAATACCGTCCTTAGTCAATACACCTGTGTGTCATTTGAGAAAATGCTTTACATACAGTCAAACTTCAATTACTCGAACAATGATAGCTTGAATACTATGACATCTCAAATTTTATACTTAGTCCCATCAAGTTTGAAATACTAGGGCTTGACTGTACATGTATGTCCTTTATCCTTTGAAAATATAAACTGACCTCTGTAGGTAGATTTTTGATGATCTCCACATCCCCTAGGTTGAACCCCACCACTGAAGGATGGACAACACACATACAGATCAGGTACCACAGGTCCTCACCCAGTACTCCAGGGGGCAGCAACTGAAGGAAAGAATCCATTATTAATCATGAATAATCCCAGCTGAACTACAGTGTACTCTAAAGACAAGAAACTATCTCATCAAGGATTTATAAATAAACAGTATGTAATTAGTAAAGAAGATAGGAAATATCTGTTTTGGGCAAAAAATCAACAGTTTTTTTTACAACTTGTATACACTGACAACTCATTAATACAGAGTAACATTTAGGTTACCCTCTTTATGGAAGGACTTCTGGCCACTAAGATACAGAAGAAATCCAGTGTCCTCACCACGGCTGTACATTTAGTCCTAAACAGAATAGAAAAGCAAAGTACAGTGTATGGTATATTTGGGAGAAAAAGTACCACCTACAATGAAACAATTATCTTTTTACACTAGTCAATAAAAGATTTCCTTTAATTTTCTTTGCTGAAAAATAAAATGTGTCGTGTCTATAGCAAAAAAAATGTATATCAACTTTTATTCTCATACTAGAAGTACTTGTGAGTTTTGAGACCTTCTTTAGCTTACAAATATTACTCACTGCAAAATACTTTTCAATTTTTTTGTTTTAATGTTCCGTTTTTTTCTTGGTTGTAAAATAAATACTGGCAGATCAATTTCAAACAGACCAATAAAAAATGTTGCCAATAATAGATAATTTACTGTACAATAAAAAATCCTGCATTTCCATTACCTGTTGTATTCATCCTTTTCTTTAGGAGTGTAGACATCAGTCAGTGGTTCGTGTGGAAACATCCCGGCTACTTCCTCTACGTCCTTCATCACAACCTTACCCAGGAAGTGCTTCATGGCCTGAAACAGTCTGCTCTGTTTCTGTCCATCACCTTAAAACATCACATAATATACTAGAATGGATCATAAAATTAAAAGTGTCTTTAAAATGTGCCATTTTCTACAATATTTGTGTACAGGTGTAAAAAAATTTTAGCTTATGAAAAAAGATGGTGTCCTTGTTTTATGTATACACATCTCATATTTTAATTTAGCAATCGCAGGAATTGTGTACTTGATACAAGCTATAACAGTGCACCAAAAGAATTTATAGAGTACTTTTAACTAGCTGAAAGCAAAATCAAATGCAAGGATCACTTTACCTTGGAAAATATCATCAGGGGTGAGCAGTTGTTCTCCAAATGTCCAGATGTAGCAGTCTAGAGCGGCCAAATAATGGTCAAACCATGACACAGCGTTCTGTATGGAGAATGAGGAATCAACAGCCGTCATCTCAGGACAGGATAACAAGCCGTACTTCTGCTGCTTACCCTCAAATCTATAAATAGTTTACCTTATTAAAGAACATCAAATATAGGAGACATCTTAAGTGTTCCTCTCACATGGGTATACAGTTATTACTGTAAAATCACATATTTTCGTGGGGTCAAATTTTCATGGTTTGAGGGAGAACTCTTGGTTCGCGGGGACTTGATTTCGTGGATAAGGGATTGTTAAGAAGGTATGTGTGTAACGTTTTACATTTCATGGTGGAAATGAAATCGTGGGTCTCTTCTTACCTCGAAAACGACGAAAATTAAACCCCCATGAAAATTTGTGATTTCACAGTACATGTATATGAACAATATGCAGTCACTGTGTGGAAATAGTTTACCCTTTAATCCTTTTAATCCTCAAAATCAATTGAAAAATTACAATAAAATATACCTATTTACTCTTACCTTATTATAAAATAAGCTGCCTTTTCACTCTTATAAAATGTCTGGAAATAGTCTTTGGTTGACTTGATACCTGAAAATATAAGATGTGATTTAATGGATGCATTTGCATGTAAAATCTTAATCTTTTTTGTTGAATAATTCAATTCCAATTCCAAGATTATGCCTGTTTATAGTAATATACATGTAAGTAAATTATAAATAATGAAATAAAATGTTGGGGGAAAAAATTATGTTTACAACTTTGGTGATGAAAACAGCTTTATTTTAAATATCTATTTCAATCATTACCACATACCCTAAAAACATCCCCCATAGACTGTGTACAAACAAAAGAGTCATGTACAAACAAACAAAGTCAAATTCACAGAAACAAAATAAAGACATTTCAGAAACATCCACATGCCCCATAATTTTGGAAATGGGTTAAAATCATTTTGTTCACTCATTTACCAGGGAAGACTGAAATTAATTTCAAAAGTTATCAGTGTAATTGATCATAAACATACATATACTGCTGTTTCTCAAGCATTTATTTTCATAATGAAAACCAAAATTCATGAACAAATGGTGCTGTTTAGGAAGTTATCTATGGAAAATGTTCAGATGTATCTAAAAATTCACTACATGATTTAATTGACTATATAAAAAATTGATGTACAGTATGAACAATGTTAGACAAGAAGCTTAGCACTACAAAAACCCTGTATCAGAGCAGTTAGTGCAAGTGACATATGCAACAGATTATTGACATCATGAAATGATGTTCTTCCCTGTCCAAAGTGGTTCATTTCACTGAATCCATATTTTATTTTACAGTCTATGAGATGGATAAGTTTACCTGTAATACAGGGAGCTAACTGATGAACCAGCTTCATACAGGCATGTCTACATTCCGTCTGGGGGCGACCGCACTGTCTCATCAGCCAGCGGACAGCAATGTCTAACTTACGCACACTCCACTGTCTACAATACAAAGACACCATAAAAAAGACTTAGAGAGTCTATACTCTGTGTGCAGAACATTATACATGAGGGTTCAGAAAGTGGATATGAACAATAGGAATATGATTCTTACTTGGGCTCAGTTCTGTTTTTATCTTCCTTGCTTAGAACAGCAGCTTTCACTTTCATGATCCTCTCCATGTGTTCTAAGACCAGCTTACACTGTGTCTGAGTGCCTGATGGAAAGAGCAAGACTTAAATTCTGTCTTATCATAGGAAATTTCAGTAAATTCACAACATATTAACAGTATAACACAAATACATATTTTTCAAAGAAAGAGGCTACAAACCCATTGATAATTCATCCTCATGAGCAATGGCCAAACTCTCTACAAAATGTACCAATACTTGGAAAGTGTATAAGTTCACCATCGCATTGTCCTCTCTGAAAAATGAAAAAACTGAGGGGGAAAATTCACAAGGAAAATGTGTAACACCTATTGCACTCTTGTCTATTTAACTCATGCTGAACATGATAATAGATATACAGTATGTCTTATTCATTTCTGTTGTCTTCCAAACCAACCTGAACACTGTGTAGATGTTATTAAATGCCAGGGCTGCTCCCAGTCTCTTGAAGGCCCCAGGATGAAGTGCGTAACTGTACAACCTCTTCAGCAGGGACTTAGCATTGATTGGGCTCTTCTCTACCTACAGAAATAAAGAATCTTAAATTCAATTTTAATATTGGAAAACTTTGGCATGCTACAAAAATTACATGTAATCTTAATTCATAATGCTGCAGTGGGTCTTACATTTTTAGATTGTTTGATGGACCACTTCAGGAACTCTCTCAGACAGACTGCACAAAAATCCCTCAAAGCTGTGTCATTTGGCTGAATAATACCATCCTAGAATTAAAAGAAAAATACTCATAGTTTTTCCTGTTGTAATCATCTTGATAATAGAATTTCTAATTCAATCAATTCTAATTAGTTAATTCATCTTACATAGATGGCATCCAGTAACGCCATAGATTCCTCGCTCTCTGCTTTGTTGTTCTTTGTAAACCAGTGGATCAGCTGCATCAGCAATGGCTCATACAACTGTTTGGTCACCTGCAAAAAAAAATACACAAGTACATTTTTGAAACATCTCATCCAGTGGATACTTAAAGTTAAAAGTAATCAAACAAAATATACTGAAATCTGACAAAAATCTTACAAAAAGAAAAAATAAACTGAATAATTTTATGCCTTCAGAACCATTACAGGATACTGACCAAATCTACATCACAAGCCAACTGGAGGATGCTGGGAAACATTTTTTTGTAGATGGGGGCCATAGAGAATCGCTCCCTGCCTGGAGTTGTAGCGCTGCGCCCCACACTGAGCAGTATAAGGGAGTGAAGCAGTTCACAGGCCGCTACCTTTGTCTGTCTGTCTCCTGATTTAGTGGCCAGCTCCACAATACGAGGCAGAAATGGATCTTAAAGACAGAGATTGCACTAATGATATGCACTTTTCACACAGTATAATAATCATTTGCAATTCTAATGTTTGTAGGCTCAGTTATCCCTATTCACATAATCAGACTGCACCACACAGCTCTCAAAACATTTTTGTGACCCTGAGCCTTTTTGAATTTCCATAGAAGCATATCTAATAATTTACATTACTAAAGAAGTACTTTTTTCCGTGTGGTATTATTTTACGCTATGTACGAGGTCACAAATTTTCCACGGAAATTTGTCCAAGGGTACTTAATATTAATGTAAGGCATATAGGGACAGTTTAAGAAATCCGCGTTATTTTCTTCCCGTGGATTAAACAGAAATTGTGATTCCTCAGAATTATGACCCCGCAGAAAAAAAGTACAGTACGTCTACAGGATTTCTTTAGCTTAGAAAAATTCAAACTTTCTGCATTTTGAATGCAAATAACACTGAATGAACCATGAATCTGACACAATCTTTTATCAACAATCACATGACCTCACCAAAATATATCTGAGGCTTCATATCAATAAAAGGCACATCAAATCTGAGATGCTGTTCTGTGTCCCATGAGATGGCCTCCTCACAAACATCACTCCCTGACAGGAGGGCGTGGTTCACCTCTCCCCCCAGTCTCCCTAAGTAATTCATCACCCTCTGTTTCACCTCAGCCAACTGGGTCTGAAAAACCTACAAAGAAATATCCAATCTTAATACTGCAAAGAGGTCAAAAGTTAAAACATCATTCAAAAACAATTACAACAGCATGTACAGTGTATGTAACAGCAAAAGGTGACTTTTACTAGTTACCTGTTTGGTTTCAGTCTTGGGTCCTTTGATAATTCTTACAGACAATTTCTTTCTACCTTTCCCACTTTTTCCTTTCCCCATTTCCATAGTATTGACACTGACATCATCAGCTCCTTTCAAAGATATTTATTTATATTATGTAGAGATTGATAGTTTACAGTTCAGTAAGAGACCATAAGTTCAAATTAAAAGATTCATAGGTTATGGGTATGTACACAAAATAAACTTACAAACAACAATCACACTATACATGTTCATAACATCTTTAATATAGTTACCAAACTTAAATTTATTTTTCCCCCTGGATCCCAAACATAAAATTTATGAGACATTAACAATTTTTGAATTGTATAACTCAGATTCATGGGAAATTACATCCATCTGGTTTGAAAGCCTTGGATGTACAGTCAAACAAGATCAAATATTCTTGTTTTCATAGAAAACATTCAAGCAAGTTTCTCACCATAAAGTCCTAAAACTAATCCTTAACTTATTTATGAAGTCACTAACCTTGGTCCACAGTTTTGAGGTAGCTGTCCAGACATGGTAAGATCTGTGGGTAGTACTGCTGTATAACAGAGGGGGGCAGGGTGTCTGACCAGTAGTTCAGGGCATCCAACGCAATCATAGCCAGGGGCAGGTAACCCAGACCTATTGACAATGTCAACTGAAAACAAAAATTGTGGAATAATCATATACAGCCTACTCCGGATATATTGAAATTCAGGGGACCATGCAAATTATTTCAATATATCCGTAATTCAATATAAGCGAAATCGTGAAGCCGCCATTTTTACAAGTTCAATCCTGATCTAAAATAATGGAGAACAAACCCGAACAAATTAATTTTGTTATCGTTCATCTAAACAGTAAACAGATTACATAAAATATGATTCCTTGAAAGTTAAAATATTTTTTTTATTTCTGTTTCATTGAAAAGACAAACTTCAACCTCATTAATATTCCCCGATCGCATTTATTTACGCTTTGGAGAAAATTCACCGGACTTAAACGGTTGTAGTACTGCTGACCGCTGCTTGTATTTCGTCGTAAATGTACTCGGGTTAATCCCTAGTTATTTCGAATTTAGGCATATATCAATTGCCATTAACAGTACTATTTCATCTCAAAGTTAAGTGTTTTTTCCTAGATCTGTGAGGGTTACTATTAGGTTTAGCTATTTAGTCTGACTCTCGATGTGTCCGTATTACATAACGTTACATGGACGCAAAGAATTTAACAGTGAAGAATTTTATTTTGTAAGAGCATGCAGTATAAAAACACATAAAGTGTTAACTTAATTATTCACAACTGTGTATATCAACTGGTCAATCAGGCATAATTACTGTCACCAACCGTAACGACAGCCGCCAGGGAGTACTTCAATATAACCGTTATGAAAACAACTCATTATCACCTCTGGGGACCGATCAGTGGTTTCAATATAAGCGATATTTCAATATATCCGATTTCAATATAACCGTTATTTTAATGCAAAGAATATGAGAGGCAAAAACTGGGGATTAAGTTTTATTTCAAGATAAGCGGAATTTCAAAATAAGCGAGTTCAATATAAGTGGAGTAAGCTGTATAACACTAAATGTAGAACCACTTCAATCTGATTTCAGGAGTCAAGTTCAGTGGTCAATATTCTCCCTTTATAAGTTATGCCACTTTTCTTCTTACCTGTATAGCTGGCACCACACTGGACATTTGCTCCGAGACAATTTCTTTGGGTAGGGTTAAGATGAAGGTCAAACAGGCTGCCAGCAAGTCATCTTTGTACTGCTTCATTCTAACAAGGACCTACATACAAGTGGAGTATAAGAACAAACTAATTTTATGGTATGTCAAAAACTTTTTTAACCTAAAGTCCAGCTAAAAATCTCTAAAAACATAGGTAATCAGAGATTACAGAGCTCACCTCAACGAATGTTGTCTTTAAGTAAGGCAAAGTCACACAATTAACCAACAAAAAGTGCACATTCCAAAAATGAAAATATTTAAGCAATTTTAATCTGATACTTTGAAATAGACCTACATAAAAAATTTAAACTAGTTCTTCTTCATGAAAATGTAATCAAAATCCAGCATCTGAAGCAAATTTGAGATTTTTCATCTCTTGATGCAACATTTATGCAAGTTTGGTTTATACAATGTTATATAAGCCTTATAGTTTTTTGGTAATAGACCTGCACCCATAACTTTTACCTGGTCTATTATCTGAAAAATGTATGTCGAATTCAGCATCCGAAGCAAGTCCATTAGTGTGCATCCTAAGATGTATCGTCCGTGCAAGTTTGGTCATTAAAGAACTCATAGTTACTTGGAAATGAATCACTCACGAAAAACTTTAACCCATTCACTCAACCAGAAAATGTAGGTCAGATTCAGCATCCGAAGCAAGCCTGGTAGTATGCATCCTTAGATGTATCATCCATGCAAGTTTGGTCAACATAGGGCTTATAGTTACTTGGAAATGAAACCTACACCAAAAACTTCAACCTGTTCACTCAACCGGAAAATGTAGGTCAGATTCAGCATCCGAAGCAAGCCTGGTAGTATGCATCCTTAGATGTATCATCCATGCAAGTTTGGTCAACATAGGGCTTATAGTTACTTGGAAATGAAACCTGCACCAAAAACTTTAACCTGTTCACTCAACCGGAAAATGTAGGTCAGATTCAGCATCCGAAGCAAGCCCGGTAGTATGCATCCTTAGATGTATTATCCATGCAAGTTTGGTCAACAAAGGGCTTATAGTTACTTGGAAATGAAACCTGCACCAAAAACTTTAACCTGTTCACTCAACCGGAAAATGTAGGTCAAATTCAGCATCCGAAGCAAGCCTGGTAGTATGCATCCTTAGATGTACCATCCATGCAAGTTTGGTCAACATAGGGCTTATAGTTACTTGGAAATGAAACCTGCACCAAAAACTTTAACCTGTTCACTCAACCGGAAAATGTAGGTCAGATTCAGCATCCGAAGCAAGCCTGGTAGTATGCATCCTTAGATGTATCATCCATGCAAGTTTGGTTAACATAGGGCTTATAGTTACTTGGAAATGAAACCCACACCAAAAACTGCACCAAAAATGTTAACCTGCTCCAAAAACATTAACCTGGTCATTTCTTTGCTGAAATTGCAGCATCTGAAACTTTAACTGGTACAATGAAACACACTAGAACCATCTTCCATGCATGTCTTATCAATATAGGACACAGAAGTACTTAAAAAGAAAACTGCTCCAAAAAACTTAACCTGGGACGCCAACGCCGACGCCGACGCCGAGGGTATTACATAAGCTCCCCCAACTTCGTTGAGGTGAGCTAAAAAAACACATTCATGTCTTATCTGTACCATTAAAATAGGCAATTTCTAACCTCCTTGGTGAATTTCTGTATGAGTTGGAAACAGGTTGCCTTCTGATGGATGTCTGTTTTTTGATCAGAATCCACCTCCATTTTTATTTCTTCCTTCACAGGGGAAAGACTGACCATACCCTAAAAGAGAAGAATGGTACATTCATATGCATATAGAAGCAAGAAATTAAATGACAGTAAAAATAAACAATTTGTAATAATTTTTATGCCTATTGATATTTTTCATACCTGAAAGTAATTCAGTTTATTTGCAATCTTCATACAGACTGCCAACAATTTATAGTATCCACTGACCAAAGGCTTTCTGAAATGTAAGTTTTAAAGTACAGTTCTTAATAAATACATGGCTTTGTACATTTATAGGTACTTATACATGTACATTATCTTTATAGAATTGAACCCTAAAGTTTTTGTGAAAGTGAACCAACTCCCCTTCCTTTTTCTGTTTTTTCTGCTGATTTTTTCACAATTTTTTTTAGTTTTTACAGGCTTCAACAATATATCAGTTTTTCAACATACCGTATTTAGCCGAGTATAATACGCATTGATGTAAAATACGCACCCCCCTTTTTGAGTCTGAAACTGGGGAAAAAAACGCAGTTCGGATGTATTATACGCAACAGAAAAATTTACCAAGCGATGTTCTGAACTATGAAAATCACGGTAATTTGTTACGAAAATCGGCCCGAGGATTAGGTGTCAAAAATTTACTGAACACACTTTTTTTTAAAATATACACTTTATAACTTTCTCTTAATCCTGACATTCCGTATCGCTGCAATCTGGAGAAAATGATTTATTCATTTATTTCAACAAAGCACAAGATAATGTTGCGTAAAAGTATTAACAGATTTTTTTAAAGAATAGTTACGGTGATTTTGAAATTATGACCTGCAAAAATCGTCGCCATATTCTTAGATGAAATAATTTTATTTCAACAAAAGAAGAGATATTGTCGAAAGTTTTATCAGTTGTCATATTTAATTTTGGTTCCAGATAATCATGTTTAAAATTATCTTACAATATTTTAACAGGAAACGAAATTGAAACATCAAAGTATTTATTTCTTTAAGAAAACTACGATTTTCCTCTTCGGAATCTTCGCGGATATCTTATTTTCTAAATGATACCACTTTTATTAATAGTTTTAGCATTATTTATATTTCATTTCTCAACTCTCAATTATTTTAACAAGAGGCCGATAAGTATAAGATAAGGTAAAATTACATTTAACAAGTGTTTAATTGTTTAAGTGCCGTAATCAACACATGCTCACCATGCTCATACATGTATACGAAAGGTCATAAGCCGACCCCCAATTTTTAACAAAGAAAATAATCACAGCAATTAACATGGCAGTAAATAATCAGTGCTCTAACTGTAAAAACATTGCTTTGGAGTCGGTAGACAATTAATTGCCCCGAGGGGTGTCGATAGGTAATTATCATTTGACCAGCGCACGTGTGTCACAACATTGGCTTCCTTTCATTGGGACGTATGGAGGGGTGTTAACATTGTTGCAGATTATCACTGAGTTATTTTAAACCTAAAATTAATATTTATTTTATTGTATTTCATTAAAAAATGATTTATTAATTTGTCTGGCAGATAAGGTACATGTGCACTATCATTCCGGAAGCACGTGACATAGCTATGAGTGAACGTCTAAAAATAACATCGGTAATGGCGGCCTCCTCGGAGACAATCAACATGCAGCTCAAATTACTTTTAACTTACTTTTTCATGTTATTTGGGCATAAAAAGATTATGAAAGTGACATTTTTAAGAAGCATACCTTCCAACAATAACTTTCCGAAGTTTAAATATGGCAATTAACAAAAGAAATTGCATTTGTCTCTAGGTAATACTACGGTATGTACGTATGATAGCCGTGTTTCACCTGAAAGAAAAACTTGTCAAAATCCCATTGTGATGTAAAATACGCATCCCTTTCTCACAGAAATTTATTTTAGGAAAAAAGTGCGTATTGTATTCCCCTAATTACGGTATAGTGCATACAAAGTTTCAAGTGTGGCAGCTTGACAAATGCAGCCTATACTCCAACATGATATGCATTCTAGATTCCTCTCTGTCTTTACAGAGTTTCACAGTTTGTCTAATGATACATATATATTATTATAACAGTAACTTGATCCGAAGGGTCGTATCATGTAGAGTTGACAGGCGCAGATTATCAGATCTAACGAGACCCGAAGCGTCGAGTTTGATCTGATGATCCGTGCCTGTTAACAAGACGTGATACGGCTCTTCGGATCAAGTTACTGTTATAATGATAAATTTATTATATACCGCCTCATAACTAGCAAAATTTAGAAAGAGAAAACTTTGGAGATCAATTGTTTAACATTTATCCAAAACAAAGCATAATAACAAGGGGCTTTTTAACGTGCAAGAAAAATAACGTCATGTTTCTGCGTACTACGTCATCAGTTTCAGAGAGTGGTGATATGGGTTCAGAAAACCACAGTGTAATGATCCGGAAAGTCGGATCACAACGTCACTGATAGCGTAAAATCAACAGTAAAATTGAAAGATACACATTAGGTATATAATAAACAATGATAACCAGTCCTTACTCTGTAGACTGAAGAATCAAAGTATGGCAGAACAGGAACAGCCATTTCTCAAACATCCCATAATGCTTCTCTGGAAGGACTTCCCTAAAGAAGAGCATAAACATTTTACTGAAATTTCTTGTATTACTATGTACAATGTATTTATTTTTGGTCTGTTGTTTAATTGTCAATGCAACCATTTATCATTCAATGAAATTAAATTGGAGAAAAGTTGCTGTACAGCCATATAAAGAAAGTGGTGTTTATATGTAACCTGCAGAAATCCACGAGGTTGATGAAGATCTGGAAGTCTTTGGGTTTGCTGGGCTGTATTCCATGAAGAGGGTCACTGGACACTTCCTCTGGGTCATCAGCACTTGTCCCTTCCTATAACAAACATAGGTAATCAGAGATTACAGAGCTCACCTCAACGAATGTTGTCTTTAAGTAAGGCAAATTAAGTCACACAATTAACCAACAAAAAGTGTACATCCAAAAATGCAGAATTTATGCAATTTTGATACTTTGGAATAGAACTATATAAAAACTTAAAACTAGTTCTTCATCATGAAAATGTAATTAAAATCCAGCATCTGAAGCAAGATTGAGAGTTTTCATCCCTTGATGCATCATTTGTGCAACTTTGGTTTATATAAGCCTTATAATTTCTTGGTGATAGACCTGCACCCATAACTTTTACGAGGTCTATTATCTGGAAAATGTATGTTGAATTCAGCATCTGAAGCAAGTCCATTAGTGTGCATCCTAAGATGTATCATCCATGCAAGTTTGTTCAACATAGAGCTCAAAGTTACTTGGAAATGAAACCTGTATAAAAAACTAACCTTTTCACTAATCCGGAAAATGTAGGTTCAGATTCAGCTTCTGAAGCCAGCCTAGTAGAATGCACCCTTAGATGTACCATCCATGCAAGTTTGGTCATTATAGGGCTCAAAGTTACTTGGAAATGAATCCTGCACCATAAACTTTAACCTGTTTACTCAACCGGAAAATGTAGGTCAGATTCAGCATCCGAAGCAAGTCCAGTAGTATGCATCCTAAGATGTACCATCCAGGCAAGTTTAGTCATTATAGGGTTCATAGTGCCTTGGAAATGAAACCTGCACCAAAAATTTTAACCTGTTCACTCAATCGGAAAATGTAGGTCAGATTCAGCATCCGAAGCAAGTCTTGTAATATGCATCCTGAGATGTACCATCCATGCAAGTAAGGGGCATAACTTAAAAAGTTATTTTCAAAAATAACTCAAATGAGTTATTTTTTTGTCTCAATGAGTTACTTCTCTTTGCTATGACCTACTTTCTCCTAGCCTTAGTAACTCAAACACGTTATTTTTCCAAAATATCTTCAATAAATTAATAACTTGTTTAAGTTATTTTGTGTCATTCCTCCCTAACTTCACACCCCGTGCACCAAAGGATTTTGCTCGTGCACCAAGACAAAAACAAATGTTTGACTAAATTTAAACCTTGCTCAGTGCAGGAAAAGTGTTCAAAGTCTTGGAAAAAGTGGGGAATTTTTTTTATTTAATGATAAAAATTGGACGTATACACCATGTGGATAAAACCACAAAATAAGGAGTAAAATGCTGTTTATCTCCACCTCCTCACCAATTCTCCATTGGAGTCGGTGCACTCCATCTAGTATTACATAATGGAATCCCAAAATGCAATGCATATTGACAGGAAACACAAAATTTCCAAGAAATCAATGTCCAAGAAGGATATAAAAATAACTTATTTAAGTTATTTTTAAATAAAAATTCGTGTGTGTAAAATAACTTATTTAAGTTATTTTTTAAATAACTTATTTGAGTTATGCCCCTGACTGATTATATGTCTCATAGTAACTTGGAAATGAAACCTGCACCAAAAACTTTAACCTGTTCACTCAACCGGAAAGTGTAGGTCAGATTCAGCATCCGAAGCAAGTCTAGTAGAATGCATCCTAAGATGTACCATCCATGCAAGTTTGGTCATTATAGGGCTCATAGTATCTTCGAAATGAAACCTGCACCAAAAAATTTAACCTGTTCACTCAACCGGAAAATGTAGGTCAGATTCAGCATCCGAAGCAAGTCTGGTAGTATGCATCCTAAGATGTACCATCCATGTAAGTTTTGTCAACATAGGGCTTATAGTTACTCGGAAATGAGACCTACACCAAAAACTGCACCAAAAATGTTAACCTGCACCAAAAACATTAACCTGGTCATTCCTTTGCTGAAATTGCAGCATCTGAAACTTTGACTGGTACAATGAAACACATTAGAAACATCTTCCATGCATGTCTAATCAATATAGGACACAGAAGTTCTTAAAAAGAAAACTGCTCCAAAAAACTTAACCTTAACCCGGGACACCGACACCGACACCGACGCCGACGCCGAGGGTATCACATAAGCTCCCCCCAACTTCGTTGAGGTGAGCTAAAAACGAATCTGTATAAAGAGTGTTTAAACCACTAAATTTGGATAGAAATTCATTGGATATTTAGACATTTTTTTTGTAATATGGAACTGGTGTACCATTTATTGTATACGCTTTCAATCAGGACATACATGTATTTCAAGAGAAGAAAAAAATCTGAATCTTTTAACAGTTAATCAAACAATTTACTAGTATTCATTTTAAAATTTATTGTATTCCTATAAGAACCAGTGTACCTGTTGTTGTGCGACTTCAGTGCTGGATTGTGAGGTCAGGTCTAGCTTGCCCAGCATCTTCAGTAAGGATTCTATCAGCTTGTTGTAGATCTCTTCTGTGAGGGCCAGCCTCATTTCTACACTGATGTCAGCGACACTGAATTCCTGTAAAAAACCAAAGATAATATCCATCAATAAGATACACCATAATTTAGTGATTTTACCAAAATCAGGCCCCATGATCATGAAACAAACTTAGACTTAAGTCAAATTTTTTATCGCCTATAAATATTCATTAATTGAGGAATTTAATTAGAAATTTGCAGACAACAACTCTTTTGAGAAGCAATATTGAAAAATATAATTTTGGTCTTCTCGACCTTTACAACATTTTATAATCAAATAAAGATTTTGACTTAAGCTTAAGATGTTTCATGATCCCCGGACCAGAATTGCAATATGTAAGTGTGATCTAGCTTAACACCATTTGTGAAATTAAACCAAATTCCGAACTTGATACAAAAATGAACTGATCTTTTTACAAAAACTGTCAAATATTACATTCTTCTATTATACATGTACATGTATGTTGCCTTGGTGAAATTATTCAATCTTTTAATTATATCTTTCTAACCTTGATCCTGGGACTGTTGAAGAGAGTGTCCCACATCTCAATGAAGTCCTTGTAGGTCACCTTGTTTCCCATCTGTTCTGACTGAGTGTTCTCCGCCATGTCTTCTGTTTCAATCACTGGTGGATGGGAACAAGTTCTGATCAACATTTGGTACACTGTAAAAATCAAATCATAAACAGCATTGTTTGATGATAGAGAAAACAACACTAAATATAATTCATTTTAGTGTCTACTAGACTGTATTCGTAAAAGTAAAGAAAAATGTTCAATACTTAATAACTGAAATCCTGCGTGAATTATTTTTCTGAAGAAATGTTTTTTTTTTATTTATACAAAATTTTATTGACATAAAGTGAATGGGATTGGGCAGCAGGCAAAGCCTATTTTAGCCCTCTCCCTAGAAATGTTTTCGTACCAAAGCCACTCAGAACTTGGGAAAACACTTCTCCTTTTGGCATAAGAGTTATCAGCACCCACAGTAAGGACTTCACAGCCACGAAATGCTGCTTCTGATGAATTGTGGGAAAATTTTCAGCCAGGATGATCATTAGTCGTTCAATGGATGTGGCATAGGTTTCTGGTACCTGAGAAAAACGAACAAACATTACTCAGTAATGGCACATTAAATTCTACTGACACATTACTGTAAAATATTTCCAAACTCTTACATGGTCTAGCTCTCTGATGATATTGGCCAATGCTTCAAGGTAGCTTGGTAAGCTGTAAAGTTTATCCTCAACATCTGCTTTCTCTGAGCTTATAAGTAAAACAAAGAAAACTTTCATGATCTAGAAGCAATGTTATGTACATTCATAAGCAGTGTTACAAGAATACTGATACTAGTTAGACAAAGAAACATATACATGTATACCAAGGTTGCATTTTAAGATTGTAGAAGCTAACCTTGCAGCTAAATGTAAGTGGTGGATATCAAGCTATCTTGAAGAGACAACTTACCTAGCTGCTAAGTGTTGGATTTTGGATTGAAATATCTTAAGTACTACTAAATTGCTTAAAGAATCAAGCAAGTGTTATTTGTATATAAAAAATTTCAGTCTTTTAAAATTCTTCACTCAATGCACCTAAGGCTAAGTTACATGTGTATAGTACCAGGTATTTTTATGTGGTATACCTCAGATATAGCTGTTCACTTTTAGTCATCATCTCACTGAACATAAACTGGACATCAGTCTGCTCCAGGAACTCCCTGCATGGCTGTCAACAATAATTGTTGAATAATAATGACAGATAAAATAACATAAAAGCACTGATATCTTTAAATTCAAATACATGAAATTTGGATCTACTCACTGCTGCCAGCAAGCCATATCCTCTGATAGCTAAGGACAGCTCTTTTGAACTTGCAGAACTGTCATTCATAATTTCTCGAAACTTTGTCACAAAAAACTGGAAAAAAGATGAATAAATCAGTCAATTGAAGTATATACCTGTATGTGAACAAAGCAGAATATAGATTTAGGGAGCTACAAATACCTTAAACACAGCCCCTTCCCTCTTTCCTTCCTTGGCTTTGGTTACTAGAACTTCTGATATCTAAAAGTTTTTTACAGAAGAAAAGAATATTAGTTCCATGTTATTGTTAAATACTTATTACTGTAAATCAGCTTTTATTTGCATCAAACTTTATTTCTAATATGTTATTTGAAATCTATCAGCAATTCCTAATTTTCACAAACAAGGAACAATTGTACATACATGTAAATGCTTAATGTTATGAAAAGTTTGCAGTGAGAAAAAGTCTCAAGTATAAAAAGGATTCAAAATTCCTGGATATTTTTTACATATGACTAAAAATTTATTTACTGTAACCAAAATACATTTTTATACAAAATCTTAAAGAAGAGCTGTCAAACTTTACATTATATGTCTTTCTGTACCTCTACCTTGGACCATCTATGGTTTCATAACGTGCTCAAATACTGTACCTGATTTAAGAAGGCCTCCATGGCTGCAGTCCCCAGATGAAGCAGATCTCTATTGTTGTGCTTACTCCAGCTTTTTAGTTTGTTATACATACCCTGAAAGTAATGTCATTAATTTGAGTTTAGCATATTTTATCTGAAAAAGAGTACATATCTGGCATTTCAGATCCTTACTGATATGTCCATTTACAGGTATTTGTTTTGATGAAATGCCTAGATTTTCCCTACTTTTTTCCCAAAGCTTTTCGTACAGATCTCATTTACATTGGTGCATAATTATTTATGAGTACTAAAAAAGTGAACTTGAAGGCAACAGAAAAATTCTGTCAGTAACAGGGTTGGCACAATGTGTGTATGGTATAACGTTAAATCATTACTTTCAGTTTTTCTTGCCATCGAATTAACTTTTTTTTTTTTTTATTTGATGGCAAGTGTAATTATCAGTTTACACAAAAAGGAAATTCATTTGACTGAATAAATGGGTAAATCACTAAATGTCATCTGGCAGTGTATATATGTACATTAAGGGTAGCAATGTAAAAAGTATTACATTCAGAAAAGCACTAAAGTAAGAATGTGTACATTTTTTATTCTTTATTACAAGAATTTTTTAAAGAAAAATATGTATATATATACCAGTAAAATGATATTTAGAAGGTAAACAAGCAATATAACATTTTAAAAATCCAAATAGTTTTTTCGAATATGTTCCACTGTATATATACTATACCTGATAATCTTCTGCCAACTGGGATCTAAACTGGGCAGAATGTCTAGCGAACAGTTTAAGTCCGGCTCTTGGGACATCATAGCGAGTATAGTTTATATCAGGATCTATGGCCATTCGAGCATATTTGAATATTTCATAACTATTTGAAGAGTCTAAAATAAAAATAAAATAAGTAATATGTCAGCAAGGAAGAAATGAAACTTCTGAGTTCAGACTTGTCATATTTGTTAATTGCTATATTTAAACTATTTTTCCACATAAACATTTTTTCTTGAAATTGTCAGCATGTAATACAGTTAAATTTACTATAAATAAAACAATTAATCCTGCAAAACCTAATTCTAAATGTAGTGTTTTGTTATATTACTCACCTTCGTCCACTGTGAAATTGACAAGACAGCTGGCCAGACCTTCCAGACAACCACTGATCACTGACAACTCGGGCTTCTTTGTTTTACTAGTCATCTACGAATGTAGAAAGTACAGTTTGTTACTGACTGTCTATATCAAACTCATAGATCGTCAGAGAAAGATTATCTTTATTAAGATCTACATGAAATTTCGTGAATGCATTAAAATCCTTTTTTCTGAAACAGCTACTAACCTCTGCTTTCAAGGCTCTGAGATATATGTCTGTTAGTTTACTGGCATACTCAGTCATGTGTTCTGGGTATATCTCAGCTAGAAGTCCCAAAATCACATAAATGCTCTCCTTCACTGTCAACATCAAAAATATTTTTAAATTTTCTTTTAGAAAAAATATCAAATGATATAACTGATCTTTTTGAGGGAATAGGAAGGGTTGTTTTGGTTCCATGCCCAAAATAGATGTTTTCTAAAGTGTTCACATTATACAGTAAAGTCAAATATTTAGTAAGGTTCCACAAGACACAAGTTGCTTTTACTGATGTTTACCTGAGGCTGGTAGTTTGGATACACTCTTTGTTAGTTCCATGAAGAATTTGTTGACCATTTTATCAATGCCCAGATCCTGGGCACTAGCAGACCCAACAGACAATTCTAAAACCTAGGAATATATAATAAAATTCCATTTAAAATACATCATCCAGGGTTTAAGAAAATATGCAACAAGTACATTTCATTTACTTCATGAGTATTAAGGGCCATTAATAATTACCATGAGTTTCAGGGTCGTCTTAGCTTCTATACATGCTTTGTTTTCATGAATATACATGCATGTATTATTGTATATACTGTAAATCACTTTTTACAGAACTTTATTTTATATAATAAAATATAATAGTATTCCTAAAGATTATACAGAGCAATAGCCATAATTCGTGAAAATTTTGTCTCGCTAATCAAGAGTCAATGACTATCTCGCGAAAATAAGGTGTCACGAAAATTTTGTGATCTACAGTAATTAAAACAGTTCTTAGGCCACTTATGAAGAAAAAAATTCTGCAATTTTGTCCAGTTGGCTAGTTCCATTCAGAATCTGAATGATTAAGTAAGAGGTAAAAATTGACAATATTAAAAATTTTACAAATACAGTAAAACTCGGATATAACAAAGTCATATAACCTATGAAATGACTTTGCTATATCCGTAATTTGTTATATCCATCTAAGGAATTAGTTCAATTTATATTACTGGGAATCCAAGATAACTTCGCTATATTCATTGATTCACAATATCCATGTTCGTACTAAACAAGTTTTACTGTACAGTACTCTATAAAAAAACAATAATTTGATAATCAGCTATACTTACTTTTGCCAGAACAGGCACAGACAAGTTCTTTATCTTAGCCAGCCTCTCACGGAAGAAAAGAGACATGCATACATCCTAAAATTCATTTTGTTGTTGTTAGCATTTCTTTATGCACACATATACATTGTGTATATAAAAAAAATAGACCTCTTCTATAAATTTACGTTTGTTTAAAGTAAACAAACAAATAATATAGATCAACACTTACCTTGATGTCAAAAACATATGGGATGATTTTCTTCTCAATCTTTTGTATAAATTCTGATAGAAATTCTAAGATTTTCTGTTTGCATGTCTGAAACTGTAATTTTATCATTCAGGTTCAATGATTATTGATAAGAGCAATAAATCATTTGGTTAAATGATTTTTATTTCTTTAGAAAATTGTTAATTCAAAAGATTCTTTCAGTCAAATTTTTATCCTGCAAATTATGCTTAAGTTGAAATAATGTACAATATTACTGTTTATCAAATTCATGTTAAAGCAAATTTTATATGAGAAGAGGAATGATGGGCTTTAAAACTGGATATGGAATTCACCTAATTCTGGAATCTAATGTATACATACCAGTAGGGCTGTGTATTGGGTCAAAAATTTCGATACGATACGATACAATATTTTTTAAAGCGATATGCGATATATTGGATTCTAAAACAAGTCCATCAGAAAGGGCTTCTAAATCATTTTAATGCATGAACTTCATAACAATTGAGTGTTTTATTACCCGTTTTAAAGTTCTTATGTCAGTGTCATTACAAATAACACTTCAAAATAAACTTTTAATGACAGTAAAAGTTTAATGACAGAACATTTTCAAATAAAAATCTCTTTGTACTTTGTAATAATTATAAAAACTGTGTTATTTCCTTTCAAATTATATCATTATTGAACAATTTTAATTCAAAAAAGTGAATTATAATCTTTGGTGATTAAAATCCCCACCTTTTTAACAAAATTAGAAGAAAAACTGTCCGTCCGATACGTATTGGAAGTTATTTTTCGATACGATATTATTCTTGAATATCGATACGTATCGATATATTGATACAGCCCTACATACCAGTATTTATCATTTCAATGCACAGGTAAAACAATTATACAACCAGAGAACTTAGTTATTTACCTCTTCCTTTGTGACTGTTTCAGATAAGAATGATACCAGTCCTTTTCTTTTGTCGAACAAAATAGAACAACATAAATCTGTGTTTAAAAAGAGAAGAAAACAGAAACTTATTGCAGGTACATATATATAAAGTATATTGTACATGTACATAGATTAGCATATTCAAAATTTAGCGGAATCAATGGATATCAAGATGTTGGTATATTCATGAATTAGCATTACACACTATTGCACCATAATTATATTATATTCATAAAATGATTTCATAGCAGTATTCATGAATTAACACATCGTTGTCTACAACAAAGCTGCTAAAATATGAATCCTACTTTTAGAAGTACCGGGGTACACATAGAGTTTATTTTCAGGGATTCAATATCCATTGCATGAAAGAATGTAAAAAAAAATCCAGTCCCAGTTGATTAATTGAGGTAAATAAAATTCCAAAATCACAAGCAGTTTTTTTTTTCTTTTATAAATTTCATTAGAAGTCTGATGTTCCAGATTAAATCAGGTCATAAATTGAACAGATGATAAACCGATTTAACTGTCTTCTTTTAAAAAGAACATTATATTAAACGTCTTAAATATTTTCCCCATTTTGTCTCGTTTCAAGTTGACTGTTCTAATGTGCTGTTATCCAGCATTTGTGCAACATGTGCATGCACTTTTCTTCAATAAATCTTTTAAAATTAAATTTTGAAAATAATGAAGAATTCTATAGAACGTCTACTTGTTCATACATGTAAAAAAGTTTTTCTTTTTTCTTTGTAGTTTAGGATGGTCTCTAACTTAAAGCAACCATTTTTGCCTTTCTTATCAAAGTGAGACATACAACTGTACGGGTTCCAATTTTTAGATAAATCATCTATCAGATGACAGTCTAACTTTCCTGCACTGTCAGTGAACAGATGAATGTAAAATCCAGCACGCCCTTCCCCAGCGTTGGTCCACAGGGGCATCTTATCCACTCTGTTCTCTACTTCACATATAAAAATACACAAGAAACATATTGACGCAAGCGTCAAAAATCGGCCGCAAACCAATTTATATAACTGTTGAAATTATTTTAGAAACTGGTTTTTTTTTTAATTTCTTATATTTATCTGTTAAAATATCCTCGTAACACGAAAAAAGAAATACATGTGACAATGCCGATTTTCTTCATGCATAATGCATGTACAATATTACATGTATAGGCAATATAAACTGTGCATAGTCCTCTGCGTCTCTGCACTCAGTTTGGTACAACTTAACGAACTCTGTTGGGTTTGCTGTTGAAGTAGTTTTTACATAAAACGTACAAAACTAAAGTTTAAACTTAGCTATAGTTTTACCTTAATAAAAACGCAACAAATATATAATATGTGGGGCTCCTCGCTCTCTCTTAGAGGATGTTACCCCCCCCCCCCTCCCCAAACTCCTTCTAGATCCACCACTACATTTCTTCTCTTTCAATCTTGAGATGTGGTGGGAAAATGTTTGGCACATTGTAAAACGCGTTCTATCCTAGTCTCCTGGACTAACATGTCGTAATATTCTTTGCTTTTAAGAAATCAATATTTCATTATATTTTTGAAAAACATCCATAGGAAATGTTTAAATATACTTCATTTCAAATAAAAACAGCAGATCCTGTTTTAAAAAGAGAAAGTAAAATTGTTGATTTACAACGCGGGCTTTGTTTTAAACTATGCCCAACACTCGTACTAATTTTCTCCGCACTTCAGTTATATCAGAGTTTGTCAATCAGGATTGGATGAAATATTTACCCCATTATTTATAAAATTTAATTTTACGATTATTGTGCTTTTTCTAAACATTTAGACAATCTTTGTTTGATATTGATTCGCCAGCGATATATGAATGTTGAATATTTTTATTTAAATTGTTAACTCCGCAGAAACGCACAGCGACTTAAAACTTTCATATCATATAACCGACCGCCTCCTGGCGGCCGGTAACAAGGGAAGAATCGAAAGTAGCACACGATTTTTAAAAAAAGTCAAAAAACAACTTACTTGAGAAAAGTTACACAAATCCTGAAAGGAACTAGCGCAAATAATGTCCTAGTACTTATCCAGGCTAAAATATTCCAGACATATCCATCGAAAATAGCTTTTATCCAACTAAAACCCCAGCTTTCTGCACAGTGTGAAACTCTTCGCCCAAGAAAAGATAACTCACCCAGATGATAATAGGGTAGTACCCGAGGCCTTCCGAGTGCCATTGGAAGACTTCAGGTACTACCCTATTATCATCCGGGTGAGTTATCTTTTCTTGGGCGAAGAGTTTCACACTGTGCAGAAAGCTGGGGTTTTAGTTGGATAAAAGCTATTTTCGATGGATATGTCTGGAATATTTTAGCCTGGATAAGTACTAGGACATTATTTGCGCTAGTTCCTTTCAGGATTTGTGTAACTTTTCTCAAGTAAGTTGTTTTTTGACTTTTTTTAAAAATCGTGTGCTACTTTCGATTCTTCCCTTGTGTATTTTTATAGATAAGATAAGATAAGATTTATTAATACCAATTTGGGGCCCATCAGGGCATACAAGTAATAAGAAAGAAAAAAAAAAACATTACAAGCAGAAATTCAAAATTGATAGCAGTAACTAACAAAAGATAAATGATGTTACCGCAGTTGGGGATTACAACATACATAATCAATACACTGTAAACAGAAGTTTGTTTAAAGTATTTCTATATATTACTCTTTTGTATTTATTTGTTTCTTTGTTTAACATTGCATGATTTGCTATTTCTTATTTTAAAGATATTGATTAAAAAATTACCCAGCTTGATAAGCAACATGTCATCTTCATTAGACATAATCCATAAAAATTTTTCTTTATTTGTTAAAGTGTAAAAATTTTTATTACTTTTAAAAATAATATTAAAAAAGTCATCTCTATCATGTTTATATAATGGACATTCAATCAGTGAGTGTATCTCATCTTCCACACAGTTCATGTCGCACATTCTACAAATTCTTTCATTTCTTGCAATAGTGGTTTGCTCTCCAGCAGAGTTTAGTTTTTTTTCGTATCTTCCACTTTCTATTCTGAGGTTATGTGAACTCACTCTAAATTTGCATATAATTTTTCTTTGTTCAAAATTTTTTAATAATAAATACTTTTCAATTTCAAAACTTCTTTTTATATAGAAATATGTTGTAAGTTTACCCGATAGACAACCATCATCTCTTTGTTTAAACCAATATTGAAGGAAATCTTCTCTAATAATTTTTTTCAGATGTTTCTTTAAAGTAATTAGTTTCATTGATTTACATCTAGACAAATCTATGCCCATTCTGTTACAGAAATATGTTACATTTGAAAACCAACTATTTACATTACAACTGTCCAAAATAATGCTTTCTTTGTATGCACTGTATAACAAAGAGTTTTCAGGCATGTTTTCCAGTCTGTGCCAGTAAGATATAATTGCTATAATAATAGAATAAAATATTGGTTGTCTACCAAGTTCAGATAGAACTGCAATATTGGTACTTCTTTTCCCAGACCCTATAATAAATTTGCAAAATTTCATATGAAGATTTTCAATCTCCCAATCTTTAAATATATCAAATAAACATTTTTCTTTTCTTTGCATTGATGATGACAATACACCCCATATTTCGGATCCATATGTAGCTATTGGCTTGATCATGTGATCAAATAGATGAAGTAAAGTTTTAATGGGTGGATCTGTTGATTTTATATCTTTGTATATATGTGAAGTAGAGAACAGAGTGGATAAGATGCCCCTGTGGTTGGTCCTTCCATACAAAATGAAATTGCTTCGATTATTAAGTGTCATTACCTATATCCTTGTCTGTCGATTCGTTGATGCATATTTGACTTATATCTGCAACAATACCATCTGCCTGCTCCTTAGATGCATTGCTGGCGGCTGTCAAACACTCGTGTAGAGACCGCAAATTATCGTCCAACAAACTTGCCGCCATAGTAGACAACTGACATATCGAACCCGACCTAATTTTAAACGAGTAGACTGGCAAGCCGCAATGTGTGTATCGCTAGTCTATGTATTAACCCCCACATCCTGGGCAATGCGACAAAAATTAATTAAAATAGCACTCCCCTTTTTCATGTTATAAAATTTTAAGGATATCTGATCCTCAGCCAGGAAGGATAACTCTTTAAATTTATAATTTAATTATACACTGTGTATTTTTATTATACCGAATAGGGCCATTCTTTAAACAATCTGCTTGCATATAACGACATATCTAGATGTGTTTGACGGGGAAATTTTATATTTTTGAGGTATTATACACTCTTACATTGTTTTTTAGTTAAAAAAAGTGGGAGTATTATCCATACTTCCGGTGTCTGTGATATTACTTCTGTTCTATATATCGGCAAAATTACCACCCCCTTCCCCCATTTATTTTAAGTTTAAGTCTCCTTTGTCTTACTTCTTTTGTAATACATTTACATGTACGTTTAAATTACTCTTGTTCGTAAGTCTTGCCCTCCCTACCCTTTTCATGTCTTCTTAATCAGAGATTCGGGGTTTATAATTTTTTGCGCGGCCCGTCCATCTGTCTGTCTGTATGGCTGTTTGTCTGCTGAAACTTTAACCTTGGCCTTAGCTTTTGATTGGTCGGAAGTATGACTTTCATATTTCACGTGTGTATTCTGTCATGGCCTTTCCTTGACTTCTGACCTTGACTTATACCCATTTTTTTTGTAAAAATTTACTAGACTTTAACCTTGGCCATAACTTTTCAATAGTTGTTGGCTTTCATATTTCACATGTCTATTCATAGCTTCGGAGTAGGGCCTTCATATTTATAGCTGTATTCTTTGTGACAAGGCCTTCTAATACCTCAAGTTTGACGCTTTGACCTCAGAATCTAATCCACATTTTAAGAAAACTTTAACGCTGACCATGACTTTTGAATCGTTGGTGCTTGGGCTTTCATATTTCAATGAAAAGTGTTTGACCTCTTGACATTGACCTCCATTTTTAACTTGCATTTGAGATCTTCGATTACGGGGGCATAATAAAAATCTTCTTTAGTATATTTCATTGGCGTCGGAAGCCAGAAGCTGCCATACGTGGCATCAGTGTTTCACAAACACATCTTGTTTCTTTGCGCAAAAGTCGGCACACCCGTGATATACCTTTGCTCAGCCAGGGTTTCTGGGGACTGTTTTACAAAAGAACTTACGACTAAGATCAAAATTTAATCCTACATATTACTTAAATTTCTATACGATATGATACGCAACAGCATGCACTCGTATGAACACTCCCTAAAACGAGAAATGTTACTGACAAACAAGTTTATGAAACCAGAATATCAGCAGTCTCGATTGAAGTCATCATTTCGTAAGTTCTATGGTCGATACAATTAATTTACTTGTCAGCAAATGATCATTAAGGCAAATGCTGACTGATAAATCATGAGCTATATACACGTACATGTACTAGTAATATTCCGAATCTGCTACAGCCCTGTTTTCACACTAGTGATGATAAAAAAATCGATGACATGCTTATGGAACAGAACAATTTGTGTTTAAAATAGAAAATGGTCTGTCCCAGAAGCTTTTCACTTCGTTCATTCATTCATTCATCTTTTATTTCCTCCATTACGGAGATTAGAATCAAACATACAACAAATAAGTTACAAAAAAAAGTGGAGATATATATGTACATAAATGTAATGAAAAGAAATAAATTAATCAAAAGGAAAATATTTACATATATTTCGAATATATGAAAAAGTTTGAAATAAATTCATTGATGGGAAATTTGAAATTGTGTTACGTCAGGAGTCTATTGTAGACTGCACAACACGACACTATGTGATTGGAATTCATTTTTTTTAAATTCGATTTCTTCTGTCTGAGTGAGCACAGTCAGTGTTTCTTTTCCTAAAGGCCGGTATACACGATGAGATTTGTAGTATGATACAAGTATTATAATACTTTTGTATTATAATACTTTCTTGTACACACGCTAATACATATCTTATAAGATTGTAAATAAACTATTATTCCCACGTGTTTTCTCCTGCCATATTTCTCTATCTTTCAAAATAATAAAAATTATAATAACTAGATTAGATCTCGTTGTGAACAACGAGTGGGTCTTCCGTCCGATTCTTGATGAGATGAGATAAGATTTTGAATGAGATTTTTTACAATGATAATATTATTTAGAAAAACGATTGTGCTGCCGTTATATTTAAATAAAAATATTGAAAGATAAATAGTCATAAGTTCGAATTCTGGCCCCTTTTGGCCCTTTATATGAGGGGCCAGCCATTTTTTTCTTCAAATCATCTTAAAGATCTCAGGCGTTTAAACTCTTTGTTCAACAAGTGTTCAGAGATTGTTTTTCGTTTTCGAGTTATATGCAAAAGAAATATTTAGGGACCAACCGTTCAACTCCCTTATGGGGACGTTTGGCGAAAAATGAAAGATTGTATATTGTTCAGAACATGATTTTGAACATCTTTTGTTCAATATTACTAATCAAAATATTTCTCACTTTCGAGATATAAAGCGTCAAAGATTTAACATTCTGGCCCCTTATGGCCCCTAATTATGAGACATACGACATAAAAATCATAACATATAGTTGTAAATCATTGAGATAAACATCTTTGCTTCAGTAATGTATTACAAAATATTAACTCATAAAGAGTTAGAGATTGAAGACTTTTGGCCCCTCTTGGCCCCTAATTTGAGTGCCCAGCCTCTTTTTCTTGATTTCATCTTAAAGCTCTTAGAATTTTGAACACTTTTTGTTCAACAACTCTTCAGAGATTCTTTATCGTTTTCAAGTTATTTGCAAAAGAAATATTTAGGGGCCAACCCTTCAACTCCTTAATGGGGACGTTTGGCGAAAAATTAAAGATTGTATATTGTTCAGAACATGATTTTGAACATCTTTTGTTCAATATTACTTTTCAGAATATTTCTCACTTTTGAGATAAAAAGCGTCAAAGATTTAGCCTTTTGGCCCCTTGTGGCCCCTAATTATGTACCATACGACATAAAAATCATAATATATAATTGTGCATTGTTGAGATAAACATCTTTGCTTCAGTAATGTATTACAAAATATTAACTCATAAAGAGTTATCCTTTGAGGATTTCTGGCCCCTCTTGGCCCCTAATTTGAGTGCCCCGCCCCTTTTTCTTGATTTCGTCTTAAAGCTCCTAGGATTTTGAACACTTTTTGTTTAACAACTCTTCAGAGATTCTTTTTCGTTTTCGAGTTATTTGCAAAAGAAAATTTTAGGGACCAACCCTTCAACTCCTTAATGGGGACGTTTGGCGAAAAATGAAAGATTGTATATTGTTCAGAACATGATTTTGAACATCTTTTGTTCAATATTACTAATCAAAATATTTCTCACTTTCGAGATAAGAAGCGTCAAAGATTTAGCATTCTGGCCCCTTGTGGCCCCTAATTATGAACTATACGACATAAAAATTGTAATATATAGTTGTACATTGTTGAGATAAACATTTTTGCTTCAGTAATGTATTACAGAATATTGACTTTAAAAGAGTTATTGAATAAAAACTGTTGGCCCCTTTCAGCCCTTAATTTGATGAGTCAGCACATTTTTCTTGATATCATATTAAAGATCTTGATATTTTGCACAAATGTTGTTCAGTATATTCTAACAAAATATTTATATTTTAAAAGATATGATACAAAATGTCTCGAAAAATCACTCATAAAACGTGTCCTAAATTTTGACCCCTACCGAGTTTCCATACTAGGCACTTCCGGAAAATATCCTGACCATGTTGCAACATGGCAACATGTCCTCTATCATCACTAAAAAATTCAGCTTTCTAGCTTGAGCCGTTTTTGAGTTCCATCACAGACAAGGAGGTCCTCTAAATTTTGATCAAAGGGCGATAACTCCCGACCGGAAGTGTTTTTCAAAAAAATGATTTGCCGGAATTAACTTCAGATGACAACGCATCGACTGTGAAAATTTGAAGCAAATCGAACGAGCCATCTCCGAGAAATCTTCTGCACAAATTTTGTAAGAAGAAAAAAGAATAAAAATAATAATAATAACTAGAGCCGAGCTCGTTGCAAAGCAACGAGTAGGTCTTCCGTCCTGTTTGACCGGAAGTAGCTTTCATTTTTAACAAAAATGAGAAATAACGCTTAAAAATGGTTTGAATCCTCTAAAGCTATGTTAATTAATGCAAAAATATGCAAATTTTTGCTACTTCCGGTTTAACCGGAAGTGGTGACGACGGACGGAAAATTAATTTTTATGCTCCCAGAGACATATGTTACCCAAAAACTTGACAAGAACGGCAAAAATACGTGTTTTTTGACTACTTCCGGTTTGGCCGGAAGTGACGACGCCGGACGTATTTTGACAACACAAATAGATTAAACTTAACATTTTGAACAACTTTGCTTCTTTGACGTATTACAAATTCTCAATACTTTTTGAGATATCAATTAAAAACTTTTGGCCCCTCTAGATCCCTTATTTTAGGGGTCAGCCCTTTTTTCGAGATATCAATTGAAAGATCTCAGAATTCTTCACAACTTTTTTTCTATATGTTTTAACAAAATATTTACAAGTAAAATGATATAATAGAAAAAGTGTTAGAAATTTTGAAACGCTCAATATGACTTTTTTCAGTCCATGCCGAGCGTTAACGTGCAGTACTTCCGGTGAAAGTTAACAACACAATGCAAATCTACATATGTTGCTCTATCTTCCTGAAAAGGTTTCATCTTCCTGTGATGAGCGGTTTTTAAGAAGAGCGACGGACAAACTGACCCTTAAAAATCACAAAACTGCGAAAATCTCCGAACCGGAAGTGACGTCATCAAAATAAAAAAAAGGGTATTGAGATTTTTTAATGTTCTATCAGACCTGAAAGTTTCATAAAAATCTAACGAGCCGTTTTCGAGAAATCGCGTGCACAAAATCGGTAAGAAAAAAAATAATAAGAAAAACAGTGGAAAAGAAACAAACGAATAACAAGAAGGTCTTCCGCTGAAGACGGAAGACCTTAACTAGATGAGATCTCGTTGCGAGCAACGAGTGGGTCTTCCGTCCAATTCTTGATGAGATGAGATAAGATTTTGATTGCGATTTTCATTCTAAAATAATGATTTACCACAATCTGTAAAAAGACATTGAACATTAAAGTCTTTAAAAAATCGGCCTTTTGCCCCTAACGGCCCCTAATTTTAGGAATCGGCCCTCTTTTTTCATATCATATAAAGATCTTAAGATTTTGAACATTTTGTGTTCAACAATTGTTCAGAAATTCTTTTTCGTTTTTGAGATATTAGAAAAAGAAACTTTTAGGGGACAACCCTTCAACTCCTTAATGGGGACGTTTAGCAAAAAATGAAAGGTTGCATATTGTTTAGAACATTATTTTGAACAACTTCTGTTCAATATTGCTTATCAAAATATTTCTCCCTTTCGAGATATAAAGCATCAAAAATTTAGCATTCTGGCCCCTTGTGGCCCCTAATTATGTACTATACGACAAGGAAATCATAATATATAGTTGTAGATGGTTGAGATGAACATCTTTGCTTCAGTAATGTATTACAAAATATTAACCGATAAAGAGTTATCGATTGAAGACTTTTGGCCCCTCTTGGCCCCTAATTCGAGTGCCAAGCCCCTTTTTCGGGATCTCATCTTAAAGATCTTAAGATTTTGAACATTTTGTGTTCAACAATTGTTCAGAAATTCTTTTTCGTTTTTGAGATATTAGAAAAAGAAACTTTTAGGGGCCAACCCTTCAACTCCTTAATGGGGATGTTTAGCAAAAAATGAAAGGTTGCATATTGTTTAGAACATTATTTTGAACAACTTTTGTTCAATATTGCTTATCAAAATATTTCTCCCTTTCGAGATATAAAGCATCAAAGATTTAGCATTCTGGCCCCTTGTGGCCCCTAATTATGTACCATACGACATGGAAATCATAATACATAGTTGTAGATGGTTGAGATGAACATCTTTGCTTCAGTAATGTATTACAAAATATTAACCGATAAAGAGTTATCGATTGAAGACTTTTGGCCCCTCTTGGCCCCTAATTCGAGTGCCCAGCCCCTTTTTCGGGATCTCATCTTAAAGATCTTAAGATTTTGAACATTTTGTGTTCAACAATTGTTCAGAAATTCTTTTTCGTTTTTGAGATATTAGAAAAAGAAATTTTTAGGGGCCAACCCTTCAACTCCCTAATGGGGACGTTTAGCAAAAACTGAAAGGTTGCATATTGTTTAGAACATTATTTTGAACAACTTTTGTTCAATATTGCTTATCAAAATATTTCTCCCTTTCGAGATATAAAGCATCAAAGATTTAGCATTCTGGCCCCTTGTGGCCCCTAATTATGTACCATACGACATGGAAATCATAATACATAGTTGTAGATGGTTGAGATGAACATCTTTGCTTCAGTAATGTATTACAAAATATTAACCGATAAAGAGTTATCGATTGAAGACTTTTGGCCCCTCTTGGCCCCTAATTCGAGTGCCCAGCCCCTTTTTCGGGATCTCATCTTAAAGATCTTAAGATTTTGAACATTTTGTATTCAACAATTGTTCAGAAATTCTTTTTCGTTTTTGAGATATTAGAAAAAGAAATTTTTAGGGGCCAACCCTTCAACTCCTTAATGGGGACGTTTAGCAAAAAAAGAAAGGTTGCATATTGTTAAGAACATTATTTTGAACAACTTTTGTTCAATATTGCTTATCAAAATATTTCTCCCTTTCGAGATATAAAGCATCAAAGATTTAGCTTTCTGGCCCCTTGTGGCCCCTAATTATGTACCATACGACATGGAAATCATAATATATAGTTGTAGATAGTTGAGATGAACATCTTTGCTTCAGTAATGTATTACAAAATATTAACCGATAAAGAGTTATCGATTGAAGACTTTTGGCCCCTCTTGGCCCCTAATTCGAGTGCCCAGCCCCTTTTTCGGGATCTCATCTTTAAGATCTTAAGATTTTGAACATTTTGTGTTCAACAATTGTTCAGAAATTCTTTTTCGTTTTTGAGATATTAGAAAAAGAAATTTTTAGGGGCCAACCCTTCAACTCCTTAATGGGGACGTTTAGCAAAAAATGAAAGGTTGCATATTGTTTAGAACATTATTTTGAACAACTTTTGTTCAATATTGCTTATCAAAATATTTCTCCCTTTCGAGATATAAAGCATCAAAGATTTAGCATTCTGGCCCCTTGTGGCCCCTAATTATGTACCATACGACATGGAAATCATAATACATAGTTGTAGATGGTTGAGATGAACATCTTTGCTTCAGTAATGTATTACAAAATATTAACCGATAAAGAGTTATCGATTGAAGACTTTTGGCCCCTCTTGGCCCCTAATTCGAGTGCCCAGCCCCTTTTTCGGGATCTCATCTTAAAGATCTTAAGATTTTGAACATTTTGTGTTCAACAATTGTTCAGAAATTCTTTTTCGTTTTTGAGATATTAGAAAAAGAAATTTTTAGGGGCCAACCCTTCAACTCCTTAATGGGGACGTTTAGCAAAAAATGAAAGGTTGCATATTGTTTAGAACATTATTTTGAACAACTTTTGTTCAATATTGCTTATCAAAATATTTCTCCCTTTCGAGATATAAAGCATCAAAGATTTAGCATTCTGGCCCCTTGTGGCCCCTAATTATGTACCATACGACATGGAAATTATAATATATAGTTGTAGATGGTTGAGATGAATATCTTTGCTTCAGTAATGTATTACAAAATATTGACTTTTCAAAAGTTATTGAATAAAAACTGTTGGCCCCTTTCAGCCCTTAATTTGATGAGTCAGCACATTTTTCTTGATATCATATTAAAGATCTTGATATTTTGCACAAATGTTGTTCAGTATGTTTTAACAAAATATTTATATTTTAAAAGATATGATACAAAATGTCTCAAAAAATCACTCATAAAACGTGTCCTAAATTTTGACCCCTACCGAGCTTCCATACTAGGCACTTCCGGAAAATATCCTGACCATGTTGCAACGTGGCAACATGTCCTCTATCATCACTAAAAATTTCAGCTTTCTAGCTTGAGCCGTTTTTGAGTTCCATCACAGACAAGGAGGTCCTCCAAATTTTGATCAAAGGGCGATAACTCCCGACCGGAAGTGAATTTCCAAAAAAAAATTTGCCGGAATTAACTTCAGATGAAAACGCATCGACTGTGAAAATTTGAAGCAAATCGAACGAGCCATCTCCGAGAAATCGTCTGCACAAATTTTGTAAGAAGAAAAAAGAATAAAAATAATAATAATAATAATAATAATAATAAAGGTAAAAAAGAAACCGAAGAATAATAGAAGGGTCTTCCGCTGAAGACGGAAGACCCTAATAATAATAAAGGTAAAAAAGAAACCGAAGAATAATAGAAGGGTCTTCCGCTGAAGACGGAAGACCCTAATAAACTCTGCTTCTAGCATCTTTCTTGCGGAAGCTACCGCTTGATCTATTTCACATGTCATCTTCCCCTTCCCATAAAACCGCGAGTTTTTCGATGTCTTTACTTGTAAAGTCGGCCATTATTATTATTTACCATGTGCTTTTTTAGTAATGATATTAACAGGATGACCCCAATGGGAGTATATTTGATTGGTTGAAAGTGAAAGGTAACCTAAGACTTGTATTAAGAAATAGAGCATTGTCCTATTCTTAATACAGTTTTACAAGATTCGAAAAATCGTATGATACACTGTATTAAGAGTGTATACACAGTAAGATTTTGTATTATAATACAAATCTTATAATACAAATCTTACCGTGTATACCGGCCTTAAGAGTATAAGGAAAAGGTCATCCTCCGGGAGGCCGCTGAGTCCCGCTTCCAGGTGGATGGGAAAAGACCTGGACAAAGAGTTCCACCAATTGGAGTGCTGTGTTGTAAGTGCCGGACACGATATGGTAGCATGCGAGAATACATCGATGATAATGCGTCCACACAACATACATAAGTTATTCTTCGTTACACAGAAGTTACACTTACTGGAAAAGGACATGGCCATCACTGACATATAATTTTTTTCTGTTATGAATCGGGACTTTGCAGGATTTATTTCATATATTTAGTTTAATATTAAACAGAGGTTGAAATCCTAAAGGCTATCATGCATTTGGAAAACATCATCATTTTTGTACATGTATATAGATTATGCATCCCTTAATGATAATAATACATTTAATAGATACACAGCAGCTTTTAACCTTTATTAGCAAACATAACTATAAATCTGCACGTATCACCCCATTTCTTGGCTAAGTGACCAAATGATTTATTTTAATCCCTCCTCTGTACCATTAGTCACAGTTCAGAGAACAATCGGACATGGAGGGGGACACTTGACATTTTTCTCGACTGACACTCGATCGCAGTCGTCCACGAGGATATATAAATAATGCTGACTACTTTCTTTTGGTCGTGAGTATCTTGTTTATACACGACTGCAGATACAGAGTGTGTTTCTGAAGATAAGACGAACCAGAGTAACCCCCCGCCTACACACACAGAGAGAAACGAGCCCCTCTTCCAGATCTCTGGCTGTATTTTTCGAGGGACGTGTAAAAATGAGCGACGGTCCGATTCTCATTCGTTTGAGGAGAAACCAGTCGGGATCACAGTGGGGATTTCGTATGCAGGGGGGATACGACCAGGGATCATGTTTATATATTCAGAAGGTAAGTACAAATTTGATTAGGAGATGCGCTATATGCTCTTTCAGAGAGAAGCCGAGGAAACAACCTTGCTTCGTAGATAAGTTTTAATTTGTTTCACAGTGAATTTTTCTTTTTAAAAGAAAAAAAATCAAATATATTTCTTAAAATGCACATTAACACCTGCTTCCCCCACAATGCACCCCGTTGACATGGAAATTGCATGTTTTTCTTTACATGTCAATGTCATTCGAAGACATTGACCTGATTGAAAACAGAGGCCTAGGAAGAGGTTCCTATGGGGACTAAAACTCGTAAAAACACTCAAGACTCAGCATCGTAAGCCCGTGTGTTTATATTACTCCAGATATCTTTCAGAATTGCCTGCTGATAATAAATATCTTCATCTGTGTATATCGGTATTTTGATAAGCTCTTTCGCAAATTGGTTTCATGTTCAACAAGTAGCTTCATATGCTGAGGTGGTATCTGGATCAAACAGGTTGAAGGGTGGCTTGGAATTTTGGTTTGCTTCCAATTTGTTCTCACAGATGATATTCTAATGAATATTTAATGAGGGTTAAAAGATGCCATTTATCATTTTTTATTGTATTAAGAGTGCCAGCTTCGGGAAGCACTAATATTGAAAGAAATAAGACTGTGATATAAAGTTAAAACGACTTTAAAGATATTACCAATTTAAGGACCATCTAAAGGGAAGAGAGGAGATAGGGTCGAATTCACTTTTTAGCAAAATGTAAATAAATTAATTTTCAATTGTTTGGATTAAAGTTAAATACAATTATGTTTGTTAAATATCAAATTTTCTATTTTAAAAAAGATCAATCAAAGTGCTCCATAAACTATGATAGCCATTTAAAACAGTTAAATACCCCCGTCCTAACTCCCACCCCCTTTTTCTAGAAACGGCACTAAGAATTGTAGTATCACCTTGAAATATGGTCATATGAAAGAATTCGTACTTAAGCATTATCTTTCTACATAACAATTCACGGTAATGCACTTCAACCACTTTGGACAGACACACTTGAATATATAAAATAAACAATTCTACAATGAATTGAAAATAACGGACGTATGTTTTTTGAGTGTTATTACTAACCATTTAACTTGGAAAGTCCCAAAGGAAATGCGTAGAATTCAACACGTACACCATACAGTTTTTCGATTGAAAAAAAAAAACATGTATAGGCACGTAGCCCCCCCCCCCCCCCCTCCGTAATAAAACTTCTTTAACTTAGAACTTAGTTTGTTTCTTTCTTTTAAAAGATTTTTTTCAAGCACTTCTACAGGACTCTCAATCAATATGCCCCTATAATAAAAGATTCGGGGTCTATAGTTTTTGCCTTGTCTCTCCGTCTGCCAGCCCATAGCCTTGCCAATAACTTGATAGTTTATTGTCATATTTCACAAGTGTGTTTCTTGTGACAAGATTTTCCTTTGGGTACTAGTAAAAACATCTTTGACCTCTTGACCTTAAATTTTAACCCTGCCCATAACTTTTTATTGGCTAAAGCTATGGCTTTCATATTTCACTTTGTATTTCTTGTGACAAGACTTTCCTTTGGGTAACAACATCTTTGACCTCTTGACCTTAAATATAACCTTGGGCGTATAACTTTTGAACAGCCGTGTTAGGGCCTTCATACTTCATGTGTATTTATGGTGACAAGACCTTTTCATTTAATATAAAATATTTTTTTTACCTTTACCATTTAAAAAAAAACCCTAGCCTTAACTTTTTGAACAATTAGAACTAGGGCTTTCCTATTTCACTGCTTTATTCCTTATGACCAGACATTCCGCTGAATACCAACAGTTTTGACCTTTGTACCTTGGAGTTTGACCAACTTTTGAAAAAAAAAAACATTTGCCATATATATAGCTTTTGAACAGTTGATAGCTAGGTGCTCAGGCTCTTATAGTTCACCTGTGTATTTATTATAAAAAAGTCTTCCCTTTGGTCTTGGTTTAGCATTTTGGCACACATGAAAAAATTCTTAAACGTTAGCCATAAAGTTTGAATGGTTGATGCTTGGGCTTTCATACAAATATATTCATTTACACAAATCCTTTCTTTGAGTTACAGCAGGTTTGATTTTTTTTACCTTGACCTTGTTTCAGGTTTGATTTTTTTACCTTGACCTTGTTTCAGGTTTGATTTTTGTTTAGCTTGACCTTGTTTCAATATTTTGCAGATTGTTAATTCATTGATAAGGCTAACGGTGTGTTTTTTAAAAACTTGTACCGATTATGGAGTTGACTGTGGTACTGTTGTGTTGGTAATAATAGCTAGTATATTGCCTTCCCACAACATAATAAAAAATCTTACTTAGGTCGGCATTTTCTGTAAATGCACTTTCAAATAGATTACCACATGTAGCTATTGGAAGAACGAGTGTGATGCATTATTTTAACACCTATAAATGAATTATCGGTAAATCCATTATCCCGTAATTCAGTACACCTGAAAAGTAAGCAGAAGTAAGCTGAAGCTTTGTTTAACTGATAGGAATATTACAATAAGCGGTAACGAATAAAGATCGTCCCACGTCGCACAAGGCAGTACTCTAGCTCTCAGTGATTTATTTGTCTAAATTAATGTCTTCTACCTATATTCCTGCATGAAGTTTGTCTGCGAGAGAGATGAGTTTTTTCCTTGGCTGTAACATGTGAAGTTGAAGGCTGTCTAGCTTGTTCAGCGCGTCGGCTTACAAGATGTGAATGTCACTCTCGACTTCACCTAAACCTACTAACAGACAGCTTTCTGCATCTGTATGAAATCAGTGTTTATGTAGGCCAACTGACAAGGATTTACTGTAAACAATTGACCGAGATGTGAGAAAATAATAATAAAAGATTAAATTACCTTTTATTTTTAATCAACAATACATGTATATTCTTAAGCAAATAAACTACTTGGTTTACACCACGAGCTAGAGGTGAAAATAATTCGTCTTGATGATAGCACGTTATACTCAGATACTGGGGGCCCCTTTTCTGCGTTTAAATTGTATGGCGATTTATAGCGAAGTTTAAACTTTCTCAAATGTAGTCAAATATGTTGGTACCCAAAGTATGATCTTCTCGCAAGAACTACACTTGTGAAATATGAAAGCCCTTTTACCACCTGTTCAAATGCTTTGATCAAGATTTAAGTTTTTTAATAGTAGGTCAAAGGTCAAGGACAAGGGTTAAAGTTGTTGGTATCTAAAGGAAGACCTTGTCAAAAGGATTATATACTTGAAATAAGAAATCGCTAGCCTAATTGTTCAAAAGTTATGGCCAGGGTCCTTAGCCCTAACTGTTCAAAAGTTATGTACAAGGTTAAAGTTAGAGATAGGTCAAACTCAAAGTCAAATGTTTGGTATCCAATGGAAGGTCTTGTCAAAAGGATTACATGTGTGAAGTGTAGAAAGCACTAACACAAACTGTTCAAAAGATATGGCCAAGGTTAAAGTTGGGTAAAACTTTGCAAAACTGGATCAGAATCCAAGGTCAAATTTGATGGTACCCAAAGAAAGGTCTTGTCAAAAAGAATACTAGTACATACACATGTGAAATATAAAAGCCATAGTCTCAATCAATCAAAAATTATGGGTGAGGTTCAAGTTTTGCGGACAAACAGATCAACAGACAAAACAGACAGACAGACGGACGGACAGGACAAAAACTATATACCCTCGAATCTTCGATTACGAGGGCATGAAAAATGTCCACACATCAGTGCATAGGCGTCGGGACCGGGGGAGTGGCTAGAGGAGGGCCCACTTTTTTTTGCAAAGATAGACATGATATAGGGATTGAAAATTGGGTTTACCTTTTTTGTTGTTTTAGCCCCCCCCCCCGCTCCCCCAGCCCCTTTCAATTAGCCACCCCACTTTCAATTTGCTTCCGACGCCTATGCAGTGAATACAATACAATGCCTTTGTGCATTGTATTGCATGTCGATCATCCACTAAATGTACATAGTGTAAAGCAAAATGAATTGATCTCTGATCACAGAATATTGATGGCTAAGAGATAACATAAAATTGCTAAACAAGATGTTTGTGAAACAGTGATGACCCCGTGTGACTGCATATGTCGAGGGTTAAAGTTTCTCAAGTATTCAAAAGTCAAGGTAAAGAGATCAAAAATGTTGTTACTCAAAGAAAGGTCTTGTTATGCTCCCGTAAACGAAGTATCTGGGTATATAGTTTTTGCCATGTCCGTCCGTCCGTTTGTCTAGCTGTCTGTCTGTTTGTCCGCAAAAACTTTAACATTGCCATATAGCTTTCATATTTCATAGGTGTATTCCTTGTGACAAGACCCTTTTTTGGATACAAAATTCGACCTCTTACCCTGGCCTTGGACTTTGACTTACTTTTACAAAATAATCCATACTTTAACCTTGACCATAACTTTTGAACAGTTGAAGCTAACTCTTTCATTCTTCATATGTGTATTCACTTTGACAAAGCTGTTCAGTGGGTGTAAATGTTTTTGACCTGACCTTGACCCTAGAGTTTGACCCACATTTTAAAAACTTTTACGTTGGCCGTGACTTTTGAACAGTTAGAGCAAGGGCTTTCATATTTCACAGGTTTATATCTTGTATCAATACCTTCCTTTTGGGTAACATTGTTTTTTACATTGACCTTGGATTTTGACTTGCATTTACTTTTGACCTTGACCTTGGATTTTGACTTGCATTTGAAAAACATCAATCTTCGCCATAAGCTGCATGCCATACGGGGGCATCGGTGTTTCACAAACACATCTTGTTCACATCTCTAACCAATCAAAAAATATAGGCAATTGCAAGTTAAACTTTTTTTTCGGAAAAAAAACAACACACAGACAGACGGACGAGCAGGTCAAACCTTTATACCCCGACTCTTCTGAAAAATATCACAGTAATCGCCAAACAAAAGTCTAATAGTTGGGAACTGTAGTAGGATCTCGGACTCTGATCAAAGGTACTGTTTGAATAATCATTTTATAGTATATATATTTGAATTTTCTCTCGTTAGGTTAGCCCCAAGAGTATCGCTTACAAAAGCGGACTCCGTGTAGGAGATGGAATTCTCCGGATAGGGAACACACCAGCACAATACTTAAACCACCAAGACGCCAAGATGGAGATTATCCGAGCCGGAAATGAACTAGATTTTGTCGTTCAGAGGTGAGTACAAGAGTTTTCAATGACAACTGAAAATGTGCAACTAGGAGTTTTAGCTAATGCTGTCCATTACAAGAGGATGACCACTGCAACCTTTGCTAAAAAATCTTGTCTGACGCCCATTGGTTTCCAGAGACCATGTTTTATTCGAAGGTCTCGAACACTGCTTATTTTCATGTTGTATTACATCAAAGATCTGTACAACTTAACTTTTTAAAATCTGAATTATAAACTATAGCTGTACTGATTTGATTCCAGGAATGTGGTTGACTTGGGACAAGGTGATCACGTGGACGCTCCGTCATTTCCTGTAAATGAATCCAGCCAATCAACAGTCGAGGAAGAATCCACAGCTTATCGTGGATACACTAACCCTAACGTACAATCCAGATCTTTTAAAATCCTACAACAGTCCCTCAACTATTCCGAAGCTACAGGTATCACCAGAACATTTGGAAACCATATTCTGATTCATAAATTTGCATGGGGGAGAATAAAAATATTTATATTCTCAAGTCTTTTGAAGCTGCGGGTATCAGTTGCATGCGGTGGATAAAGATATATCGACAACAGTCCTTGTACTTTTCTAAAGCTACATGTACCGTCGGTGAGACCGTTGGAAATCAAACATACATAAACTTGCATGAGGTATCGAGCTATTCGAGCACTAGCTGCAGATCTGTAGCTCTCCGAAAAAAATATATTGATAGACCGGTCTATCAATATATTTTTTCGGAGAGCTACGGATCTGCAGCTATTCGAGCACATAGATATGTTTCAATTTGTAGTCTGGTTCCTACTAGGAATGTTCATCAATAGTTTAAGGTTATCAGTATGTTCAACAAACCGTTTTTAGTGGTGCAAATGCCTACTTAGCTCATTTTTTGCAGGAGAAATTCAACAGAAATTGCGAATTTTAAATTAATGTGATACACGTATACGTACATACTATGCAAGAAGACCAACGTATTTTCCTCTCGAGACATCTTGATGTCATGATTGAAAATTTGCAATATGACATAGAAATTCGAGTAAAAACAACTTGTTTTATATTCATATTTGGATAAAAAACGATAATATTTCTGCTTCTTCAAATATGAGCTGAAAACAGCTGAAAAAGGGGTTTCGGTTACTCTGTTTCCTTATACAACTAGCCTCTTTGGAAGAAGGTACAATATACATATACAACAATTCTCGGGTAACCTTGGACTTTCAGTAAGCGTGGCATGCATTCTCGACGTTACATAATTAGCATCAGAAATTTACACAGATTTCATTCACTGTTGAAATATACAGTACATGGGATAGAAATTCGGGCAAATGTCAACTAGTGTATCGAATAACCAATAACATTGTCTCGTCTGGCACAGAGGTGGAGCTTAAGTCGTCCCATCGTTGTCAACATCAATTAAAAGGTCCTGATGTTATTACATGTAATTTTTTAACCAATGAGAATCTATTCGCCTTTTGACAGGCGGTAAATATGTAGAGCCAAGAATGTCACGCCTTACCAAAAGTCCAAGCTTAATTGAGAAATGTCCTAATTCAAGCAAAATATCACGTGCGAAAGCGTCACAAAACCGCTTTTTAGCTGGTGCCTAAAATGATGACACGGGATAATGTTACGTTTTACAATTTAAAAATCTTAACAGCATAGCAACATAACCCAAAACTGTTTACTGGTAACTTTTCTTCAAAGCGTTTCCTCGGACGTTTGAATATGTTTCGGAGCTCTTGAAATTAAACTTACACAAAAGTATATCCGTTCGACCTTTAGATTTGCAATTATTTACACGTGTAATCATATCCTTATTGATACATTGAAAGAGGACAAAATAACTCCTTAAACCAGAGTTTCGTTTCTTTGTTGTTTAACTTTTTTTCGAAAATTATTCACTCAAATGGAGACACCATCATTTGCCGGTGGAGGGCTGCAATGTTTTACTTCTTACTCAGAACTCAGGGTCATTAAGTTATGGGGGATCTTTTTCGTGCCAACGCATACCGGTATATTGCGACAAGGGACCTCGGTTTATACGGTCTCGCCTGAAGGACCTGAAATGGATTCGAACCCGCGACTGTAGAGTAGAAAATTCTCAGGACACGTTTGTTAAAAAATATATACATGTATCAATTAACAACACTTTTCCCCTACAGCACACTAATTCGTATAACTTTTTTTATGATGTCTGAATATGTTTCCTATTTCTCTACTGACGCTTTCGCACATCCTCTACATTCATTCTGTTAACTATAGGTTGTTTTATGTATTCGACACTAATATTGCATGAGTCTATCTCTAGTGTGTACTCAGACAAGGCCCTGTTTTACAGGTGGTTGCTCCTCTCCGGCGGAGACCGCCAATCAACAGGTGTTTTCCCTCAGTGACTTGTTACACTTCGTAGACTGTATGTATAGCATTTTATATAGGATATTGCCAATATTATATAATTGCATGCGTTGAACTCGCACCTCTGTTTTCTACTGTTAATTCTGTTTTTCCCTTTCACAGCTTTCTAATCTTGCTTCCCTTATCGTGTTATTTTCGGGGTTTTGAAATGGCGTGCAATTGTTTTATGCGAAATTTGTCTTTCTTTTCAGATTAATGAAACGTAAGGTCGTATTCTCATATCCATCTCCAACAACAGTTTCCAAAAATCATACACTGGATATTTCCAGTCTAACTGCGGATCAATCCTATTTTTACTGCCAGAATAAACCAAATGCTACTGACCGACCTATCGCCTGAATCGACCTATACGCAAACAATTTGTCTCAGCAACCACAATGATTTACGTGTGACTTTCCAGACTACCCCCTTCAGTAAATCTTTGTCTTTTTGGCACAAGTGTTGTGTCTGTCCATGACCCCCCTTGTTGTAGTTTTGTGTATTTTTATTTTTTTGACCTTTCATTTCTTTGTTTGTTGTTCTTGATAATGGTTTGCCAATATCGTTGTATCATTATTGTTATGAATATTGTGATGTAATTATAATTTGATATTTATACACGAGATTTATATTTGTACAATTTCAATGTATCTTTTTTGGAGAGTTCGTGTATATTTGTGCAAATAAACAAGAAAAATGAGGATGTTATCTTGTAATTATTACTGGGTAGTCGTCCTCGATTTGGCAGCATGACAAAGTTTAATGTCTGGAGACTGCGGCAGTTGCGCCCATTATTTACTGCTGTAGGGTACACAATATAATCCGTACAACGTTAACAGAGCAATGAATTCACAAAAACTATGCTAATGGATAGGTGTATTTGGATAGATAATCTTTGCAAGTTTCTGATCAAAAAGTAGAGTTTGCATCTGTATAACCTCTTGGATTTGATGGGATCAATACTCCTTGAAAAATTTCTTGTCGGTTTACCTTTTCCAACATACATTCTGTATTTCTTTTATGTGACACGTCCTCATTATCAAATTAAGGTTCATAAACCCTCTGCACACTCATATGATATGTAGCTTGAATCTTAATGATATCCCAAAAGAAATGTATTTTATAAGTAAAAATCATTCAAATATAGCATAGATTGCGGGGCAAAATTGGACAAAAACGACACTTCAACTTGGCAAATCTATAAAGGAATAATAGACATTTATGTCCGTAAGAGTTATCTCTCTTATCTGAGTATCAATGAACCTTAATGGATATCATAACACACATTAACGTCATCCAGAAATTTAAATTTTCTGAGCTTTCTTGTGAAAAACAATGAAAGAATATTCTTTTGAAATTTTTATTGCGCATATATGTAAACTCCCCCACTACTGTCACCCCCATTTACGATAACTTCGTATTCATTGGAGTTCATTTATTGACTACCACGGTAGTAAACTTTTATTGGCCCAGGAACATGAAATGCCCAGTCCCCCCTTCCCTGGCAAATAGAAATGAGCTGAAAATCCTTATAATATGCTCTGTTTATAGATAAATTCTTCATAATACCACCACTGTCTTGAAAAGAAGGCGCCGGGGGAGGGGGGGGGGTCATAGTAAAGGGGGTGTTCGTCTGTCTGTAACCCTTTGTTGTACCCATCTCTTATCCGAAACTTCTCTTATACCACTGAATGAAATTTAACAATACTTTTCAAAGACTCTTTATCACACAGTGTCATTGTGCACCTCCTGTTTAACTTGGGGGGGGGGGGGGTTAGTGGCCAACTTTTTCAAAAGCAAGTTACTTTCAATTCCATCAATGAACATTTCCTATAGTAAAGGTAATGTTAGCTGTGATTTTGTTCTTCATTAAAAACCCATGGCAAAATATGGACTTTGTCATTATAATCATGTGGGAGACAAGGAGTATCATTTTGTAAGCTAAGTGCTCACAGTACCTCTAGGTTATTAATCAATATGTGTGAAATATGACTTACACACTCCATAAATATAAGCAACAGAAATTTATATAAAAAATAATTATTTATAAATTTATAAATTTATTGTAAGGTTTTCTGTAATTTTTTTTTACAGCATTTTAAAAACAGATATAGTTGTAAAATAAATATACATCACTGGACGGCAATTTCACTTTGCTAGGAATTGCAACAGTCAGACATAAATGCATTCCTTGATAAAGAAGCTTCAAAATATCATTGAAATCCACTATGTACAGTATTTGTCAAAACAACACTGTGATGAAGATCTACTAGAAAAATGTCAACTTGTCAAGAGTCCATGCAATAGCTTGCACATAAATATATACATGCAATATACAACTAGTGCATATATTACATGCTTCAAATACATGCATTAACACATTCATGCATGTGCATTAAAATGAATACACAAAAATGTCAGTTTCTTTTAGTTTTGTTGGCCTTTAAACCCTGAAGCAGAAAAACTAATGTTATGTGTAAGATGAGGGACTAGGGGAGGGGAACCAGATTTTCCTTGGCCCACTTCTTCATCGTGCGGATAATGTACTCCACCTGTGGATTACTGGTGTTACGCAGCATGTTGATCACATCTCTCAAGGTGTCCCTAAAAAGTACAATATTTAAAATCATCATGCTTTACCACACCAGCGCCACGACACAACGAAAACATAAAGGGAGATAACCAAGGAGAAAATGGTAAGTCATAAAACACCTAAAGGTAATGTGTTAAGTTATAAAATGAAGTAGTGTCCACTTATTACCTAATTTATTAGTACTACATGTAATACAGAAAGCTTGAGTAAGTGTTGTGTTTAAAGGTGTTTCTATTGTAATAACCCTAAATTGAAACTGTTTTTAAGGTAAAAAATTTAATTAAGCATTGCATTAGCAATCTGCATTATTTATATTGATGTTTAATGGCCAATGTGATTATTTTGTCCAAGATATGTTTTATTTTTGAATTCACAAAAAATTCCTTAATAACAAATTAAATATACAAATATATTAATTACTAGTTTCTTTTTTTCTTCTTAAAAAGAATGTTTTTGTTTATAGTGGTTTAATATATCTCTTGCAAATACACATTTTCACACAGCTATTAAATTAGATTTTTAGTTCCACTAACTGAAAACTATTGAATATTATATGGTTGTTCATTGTACCTGACTACTTTTTCTATTGCAATTCTGAGTATAAGCATGCATAAATAATCCATATTAATATTCATCCTGTAAACTAAATCACAAACACACCATACCCACAAATGTTTATCAAAATCTCTAAACTATTAAAACCATTTCTTTTGTTTGGAAAAAAGAAATTGAACCAGAAATGATCAGCATTCATGGTCATATATTCACAACATAAAATTATTTTTAAAAAAGTGTGCTTGAACAACAATTAAACAAGAAAGATGGAGCATGCCTATTTAAAAAAAAAATTATCCAATAACAGAGTCGTTGATTTAGGGTTGTATGTTGACTTGATTGTCACGAGCCCACTTTTTCATGGTGCGAGTTATGTATTCAACTTGGGGGTTGCTAGTGTTTCTGAGTAATTGAACAACTTCCTGTAATTTGTCTCTGCAGAAAAAAGAAAATATTAATCTTACGTTTTCTGTTTAAAATTTTTTTCTATTGAATTTTGGGTCAAAATATAGACTGAATCAGAAGTTTTCACACTAATGATTGATAAACAATTTTTACATGGAAAACTTCAAAAGACAAAGCAAGATCATATGCAAATTCAATAGAAATTGAATCAAGTTTTCAGATGCATAAGTAGAATAAGCATGAACTGACTCTTAAAACAGCAAAATGTACAGTAGCAAAAAAAATTGTATTCACTGTACAGTAGTTACCACATATTACAAAGCCACAGTTATTTACCAGAACACCACAAACAGTGAATATTTCAGTGATTTATTGTAATCGGTGATGCATATTAGCCTAATGATATGAGGTGCATCTTGCACATACATGTAGAATCCTTCATATTTTTGTCAAACTTCCCTAATTTCAGTGTTTACAAAGAAAGCAGATATCCCCCCCTCCCCAGAAGAGATTGATAACCATTGAGGGTGGGGACTCTTACCTGGGCTCATGCCCTGCAATGATCATCTGAAACACGCCCACACAGGCCCCTCGCTTTCCCTCCCAGTACTCGGGATTGGGGTCCAATCTCTCCAGAACATCAAAGGCTTTGGCAGCATAGTAAAACTGTCCCATCTATGAAACAACATTATATCATAAAATAATACCTAATATACCTTTTAATTTCAATAAAACTTTTATAAAATTAGTATTTGGGAACAACATCTACATCTTTGTAGTAACAATTTGAACTTGTTTGTTGGATAAATTACCTTATAGCAGTCATTTGCTATTAGCTGAAGCAGACTGAAAGATTCCCCAGATGTCTCCATTTTCAGGTATAACTCCCAAGCCAGACGGGACTTCCTGTTCATTATGTCTTAAAAACAAATTATTACTGAATTAATAAATTTATATATATCAACATAATACCATGCTCTATGAAATATAAAATATGATTGTCTCTAAACAAAAGCTATATTTATAAATTTTCTTTTTACAATTTACATTAAAAAACATACATGTATATGTACATCTAAAAAAGCATTCCTGTTTAATATACAGTACAATATTATATTCCTAAAGGTACTTACAAACTCGGGCTAGCCAGCTCAGATAGGTATAATCATTCTTAATCTTGTCACTCTGGATCAGCATGAAAACCTGTAACCCAGAGTACAACTATAATGTGTCCTGACAAGTTTGAGCCAACCATAAAACTAAATCAAAACAAACACTACTTAATACGGGAAATGTTAGATAATTAATGTTTTATCTCAGCCTGTGAATCTAATCAAGAATCAATTTATATCACCTACCCCCTTCCAAATTAGTATAATTCAGGTACTAGTTATACAAAGTGCAAGAGCTCTTACCTCTTCTGCTTCTTTGAAATTCCCAACCGCAGCTTTGGCTTGAGCATAATTAAAGTTAAAGCTGTCATCATTGTAAAAGTAGCTCTGTAAAGGTAAAGTTCACACACTATAAAACAGCTGCGTTTTCAAATTTGAAACTTAAACTACATTTGTGACACGATAGTGGTGTTTTTCTTTGAAGTTTACTGTTCTGTATTAGTAATACAGAACGGGACTGTGGTGGGCGGAGCTACATGTACTTTCCGTTCTGTATTAGCCCTGGATACAGTATTGTATTTGCCAACTATTCTGTATCTAAAATACAGCACAGTCAAAATAAGTCTGATTCAATTTAGCAAAAGCACGTACAAATAGTAAATGCTGATGTTTTCCTATTATAATTTTGGAGAAATACCCAGTATTTTCCTGAGAATGTAAAATGTCAAAATTTCTCAATCACTTTGTAAAAACTTATTCCACACAGAATCTACACATAATTTCGATCCAACGTAAAATGAAAATTCGCAATAACGGAAATCATCCTCTGTACGTAATTTCGATCCAAACGAAACGGAAAATTCGCAATAACGGAAAACATCCACTCTCCTCGTGCAAAATCATTCAAGTCCATTTTTTCCACGTTTTCATTTTTTAAAATCCTTCTCGCTGACGACAGCCACACATCTCTTTCATTTCGTTTTCAATGTTGCAATTCAATTTGAAAATAAAATCCGTAACATCAAATTAAATCCTG